AATTTTTGTGTTCTCTAAGGAAATTTAAATCTAACTAAAAGGAGAGAGAATAAAGGGGGGGGGGGGGGAGTTAGAAAAGGATCTCCACAATCCTCAACACTAATCCTACAACTGATCTACTGCTGCTGCTCAGCTTATGCTCCTCCCTTATCAACGTCAAGTTGAGATATGCCTTGGTCTTTAGTTTGGATCAGTAAGAATTGGGTAGAGAAAAGCAAGAGACTTGTCTACAAATGTAGATCAGGGAGAGACACACACGCACAAAGTAAGAGAGAAAGAGAGACAGACAAAGATGTCTGCGCTGGTGGGTTTCTCTATAGGCAAAGATGTGAGTTAAGAGTTCAAGAGACACTATATGCAATTAGATGGGAAAACAATAAAAATAAAATTTGAAAATGAGCTCAGAGTCGATTCAACAAAGAAAATATTAAGAAAAATGAGATTATTTTAGACTAAGAATCAAAAATCTCCCTTTGACTATAAGGATGAGGTGGACGAACGAATTCAGATGAAATTGTGAATACAAATTCTATAAATCAGTTACTTCTTCGATTCCTTTACTTATCACTTAAATCAATCAAAGAAAAAAACATTCAAATGAGGTAAAATTAGAATTGACTCAGGAAGGGTAAAAAATCAATGTTGAACTGGAAGAACATTGATAGATATCATCCAACGAGAAGAGGGAGAGGACAGTCCCATTTTCATCCTAACTCTGAAGCTTTTAATATTCTGATTGGTCTAAAATCGATTTCAAAATAGCTAGGAATCAAACTTTTTAGAATCAATTTGGTTTTCAGTGAGAATCTAGATTTCATTTCTCCACCCATTTCTCCATGCAAGTAGTTCTCTTGCATGATATTTTTCTTCTTGGGTCATTTTAATACCATTAATCGACTCAATGGGTCTCTAATTAACCCAGAATGCCCCCTTAGAAATCTGCACACATTTCAAAAATATTTTTAAAAATTTTCAAATAAGGTAAAAAAAAGTCATTTATATCTAATGTAATAAGGGCTGACTATTAAATCCATACTTTAACCCTAATAAGTGTATATTTAAGGGGAAAATGATATGTAAACCCTATTAGCATGGAATTAGATAATATTAACAATTTACAGATTTTAAAAGCATGCAAAAATCATACAGTAAGCATATATTTTACACAATTAATCTTGAACATGTTTTACTTGATTGCATCTTAAATCTATGCCATTTAGTATAGATTAATGTAATAAATGTAATAATTATGTCTTACTTAGCACATAGAAATGATGTGTTATCAATCACATGAGAAATATATATAGAAGATGCTTGACAAGTTTGTTATGAGTAATGTCAAATCAATTAGTTCTCATTTTACTAATCACTTCAGACCTTTTTTTCTATAATTTAGCTATTATAAGTTTGATGTATATCATGTTGTATGTACAAGGCTAGACATCATATGTGTTGTGGATGTTGCCAACAAATTTCTAACAAATATTGGGAAAGAACATTGGATGTTGTTGTAGTATATATTTAGATATTTTGATAGAAATTCTAAATTTCGCTTAAGCTTTCAAGTTAGTATTTCGATATTAACAAGTTATACTAACACTAATATGGCTATAGATATTGACACAAGTTCACTTTTGGTTATTTAGTCACTTTTTTAAGGAGGATTGTGTTAAAGGTACATTGCTCTTTCCATTATGAAGGCTACTGTTATTTAACTTCGTAAAGAAATATTGTGGATGAAGGAATTTTTACAAGAATTGGGACTAAAGCAAAAAGAACATGTAGTTTATGTTAATGTATAATTTTGATATGTTAATCAACGTAAATTGATAATAAATTCGTAGTAACGGATGTCAGATGTAATAAAATTGAATGAAAAGCATTTAAACAGACTCTATAATATATTTTTTTTTACTTAAATCTGGATATTACTCTTGAGAAATTTCCATTTGATTCTCTAATTTGTAATTTAACATGATTATCCAAGGCATATACCCTTGAAAAACATTTTTTCAATTGCTAGGAAAGTGTTGTGAAGTTAGAATTAGGAAAACATAATTTTTTCATACATTTTGATAAATTTATGAGTGGTGGTAAGGTGGAATTATAATGGACTAATAATGTTGGGCCCAATATCAAGGCCCATTATGGGGGATATGTGAGAGGAAGAGAGAAGGAGAAAAGGAGGACACTAAGGCATGTGGAGTTTATGGATTCTTTTGGGGAACAATGGAGGAAGGGACTTTTGGTTCCCAACAGCATGATGTAGAGGTAGACAATAATAGGTAGAGCCAAATAGAAGAATTGAGAGGTTCTGTTTCTAGCAATCAATCTCTCTTTGGGTGATAGATGGAGACAAGTAGAGTGACATAAAGGTGAGTTTGTAAATGTGATTTATTTATAAATCGTGTTTTACGTTCATTTTGACTAATCCAGTCATGTGGGTGACAAGCACAAGGCAAGAATATCTTGACCTTCCCTGGCCTTTCCAACTGAAAGACAACGTAACGAGGATATATAGAGGATTGTTGACCAACAAAAGTCAGGGTTATCTTCCTCGCTCGCCTACGGCTTGCCCTTCGGCCTTCTTTATTCTTGAGACTTTTTTTGCTCGTTTAGTTTTTGTTTTGTTGGTTTTGGATTCAATTTTCTTTCAACAACTCTATTTTCGTCCTTGGGTGACAAATATAGATGATTTTCATTCTGAGTTCATGTTTAAATGTTCTTTTTGCCATTCAAATACTTTCTATAAATATTAATTGGTTTGTGACCATCTGAAACTCAATATTTCGTAAATTCACAAATATTTTATTAGGTTTTGTCGTGAAACATTTTTCCATTTTACTATTGGCTGAGTGAAATTAGCCAGGTGGTGTTTTTCTTTCTTTCCTCCCCTATTTTTGTCCAGTCACGTACTCACTCTCTAATTTCATCTATTCTTCTCCCCTCGTAATCTTCTGTTGTTAGCTCCTGCTCAATATTTTACAAGTTCTAATGGTTGCAGCAGATTTACAAGTGGTTGAGTTGTGGCTGGAAACTCTAGAATGCATAACTATTGGCAATGATGTGGAGCAACAAGGGAAACAAAGAACAAAGATGATGATTTCTCCCTTATTCCTCATTTCCTTTGTCTCAATTAGTGCTCATAATGGAATTACTTTCACAATTGACCATCATCTCTGTGAATCAGCCTCGATTCACTGAAATTTTTAGTTTAATTTTTCAATTACTATCATCTCCCTTATTAAAATTTGACTTGTTTTGGACACAATTTTCATGAGGGAGCCTCACTTATGGGATGACGGAAGAGGTTCTTAGGCACGTGACTCACTTAATGAGCATATGGCCCATTCTTTTCAGCAAAAAGAGCCATGTTTCAATATGTGGTCCATCACTTAACGTGCAAGAGTTCCTCTGGGCCATCATGTCCAGTTTTTGCTCCCTTTTGTTTTTCATCTTCTCTGCCTCAGGTGGTGATGGCTAGTGAGAAAATGATGAATCAGCAAAAGGAAGAGAGCAAGACTGCCTACTTAAGCACCAGAAGGGTGGAAAGCCACTGTCTATTGAGTGGGAAAGTGGAGAAACCTACATCCTTGGGTCTTGTTGTGCCATTGAGCTTGTCATTGCTGTTGATTACAACTTGTACAAGATACAACAAGAGAGAGAGAGAGAGAGAGAGAGAGAGAGAGAGAGAGCATAGGAAGGAGACAAAGATCTATTTGAGGCATTATTCTCTCTATTAGACGATTAGATTAACAACATGTTCGTTGTTAGATTGAGTGAGAGAGTCCCATTATTAAGGACATGGTAATGTGATCCGTGTATTCCTCATTCCTTTGTTATTTCCTTCAATTAGGTATAAGTTTAGAGACCACAAGTTTTATGACTCTGCTGTTGGATGGTGCAATCTTATTTCAGATTAGTCTATGATATTTTTCCTTCTTCGATTAAATAGTTTTTTGTATACCTCGGTGTTCTATATTAATCTGGTGACCGTTTGAGTTCGTGGTGACTTGAAGCATCCTTGAATTGTTCATATCTCTCATCTCTCATCATGTCCTCTCTCTCTCTCTCTCTCTCTCTCGCACTCCCCTAAGATGTGTGGTCGCTGACGAGTGGGAATAGGTTACGAGGAAATCCGAACGGACCCTCCCACGTGCTCTCCTCAAATTACTGATGGAAATGGTTTTGGATCATGCATTTTGCTTATCCACTGACGATATTGACGTTTACCTGGGGTTCTCAGGCTCACGTAGGAGGAGGGTTTCCCCAGAGCAGGCAGCGAGCTGGGCTCACGAGCTTCTTCCCCGTATCAAGCTGCCGAATCTTCTGCTTTCCACCGCTTCTCGTCGGAGCCAGCCGCCGTCGAGGGGAGTGACTCTGATCACTCTCTTCTGAACGGGGTTTCGCCGGCGGAAGACGCTCTGCAGGGATGAGATGAGACGAAAATGGGGCCGACAGGTGACGCTGCCCACCGGGAGGAATCCCAGTACCGCGGACGGGCTTTATCTGGGCCGGAGAGAAGGAAACTGAGATCCCAAAGCAGAGGAGCAGAGGGAACGGTCTGCGTAGATCACTGGCTGCTCGATCATAGCCTGCCAGTGATCACTGGCTGCCAGAGGAGCAGAGGGAACGATATATTCATCAATGCCTGCCTAATCAAGCGTCTTCTTTTGTTGTCTTCTTCAGCTGCCAGATCACTGGCTGCTCGATCATCGCGGATGCCACCTCAACTGGAGGATAGAAGACGAAGTGCGGACCCCACAGTATTTACTTCTCAGCGTCTCCATCTCTCCGACTTCTAGGGAACGAGTCTGTAGAACCTCGGAGGATGGAGCTGCGTGACTACGTCAATGCAAGCAGCAGAGCATCTCACGAGAGAGAGAGAGGAGGGAGAGGCCATGGGAGGGAGAGGGTGCAGTCCATATGTGAGGAAGAAAGTGTTGGTTGCCGGACTAGAAACACAAGAGTAAGAATCAGACAAAGAGAGGAAAGAGCCGCTATTTATTGAAGACCAGAAAAAGTATCCGCCGCATCACATCAAACCCCGTGGAATCGGCATCGCCGAAGATAGCGTCGTATAGTGCCCATAATAGGCGGATGGTGTCCAGCATCCCGAAGTCGGAGAAGACGTAATCTTGGATGTTGTAGCCGATGTCGTAGATTATGGTGGCTCTGACTCCAGAGAAGTAGGAGAATAGAAAGGATAAGACGACCAGCCACGGTTTTACTCTCTCGAAGAACTCTTCGATGAACTTTCTGGCAGCCTTGTAGGCGAGATCGTTGGCGACGTCGGCGACGCTGTCGGCGAAGGCGTCGAAGATGGCCATGGGGATGCTCGGTAAGAGCAAGGAGAGGACTATCGCCAGCAACACGATTAACCCCAGCATTTGCAGGGGCATCACCCACAGCACGACCCCCCCGCCGCCGTTCTCTGGTTCGTCTTCCTCCATCCTTCCCACGTTGAAGACGTTCGTCGTTCACCGGTGTGTCGCCACCCCCCCTCCGGTCTTCCTAGAGACAAAGCACATGGCACTTCCAAACGACTGAGAAGAGAGGGGAGGCTGCGGACCAAAACAAGGACGATCCGTGGAGGAGAGCAGACAAAGAAAGTCGTTCATCTTCACTTGAGATTCAAGGGATAAGGAGTCTCCACGTGGGGCCCCTCTGATCTCTACACCCCTGTTTAACTCATCCTTTAATAGTAATAATCCAATACTTCGCTCAAACCCCAATCATTCGGCGGGTTGATCGCATCCCGCGAATTGTTCCCGTGCGCCAAGTTAAAAGATTCGACGGTCATAAATTCCTGGAAATTTGTTTTCTTCCCACTACTTTTTTAAAATAACCACCGAAAATCTGTCACACTCAAAACTTGAACACTTCTTGTAAAATGTAGGTTGACATGGCGAGTCAATTATCGTATATGTGGATAAAATTATCCTTTTGTTGTTGATGGCCTGCTATGTGGGCTACGGAGACTGTGAACGAACTACGCGACCAACAAAAATGTACTTGAAGGGGGGATCAACGGGTGGGATTGGACCGGAGGGAAGCCCATGAGCTGGGCCTTAAAAGGCCCTCTAAAGTGGGTTTTGGGTGGGCTTATGTGAGGTCAAGGGCCGTTGACAAAATGAGTTTCTGACTTTAGGTTTGGATCTCATCTGAATTTCAACGTTTGCCAAGGAATGGCTTTTTTTTCAAGTACCAGACCCATTGACCTCGTTGAGTTGAAGAGTTAAACTATCCAGAAAGCTAAGTATTGAACAATAGGACCCTTTGCACGGGGTACAAGTCTCGGGTCCCTCTATATCTAGACGGAGGCGAGAGGGGGGGAGGAAGGGAGGGAGTGACTCTGTGTGTGTGTGTGTGTGTGTGTGTGTGTGTATGAGAGGGAGGGAGGGAGGGAGAGAGAGAGAGAGAGATGGGGCCTAGAAAGAAGGCGTTAGCAGGAGAACATGAAACAGGAGTGAACAATGCAAAGGAAGAGAGGAAAGAAAGGATTGCTATGTACTGAACAAGAACACACGTTCTTTGCAGGCAGTAGCAGCTAGAGGGGGATCATCACCATCGAGGAGCTAGGAGGAGAGTGAATATGTGGCACTGACGAGGTCGATGAACTTTGTTATTATTGACTGTCCAAACCAGTGGGCCAGAAATAACGGCCCATAATAAATAAATAAAAGGGAAAAATGACTTTTTCCTCCTTTTAGGACATTTGGGTCATGTATGAGAAAGGCATTTTGAGAGATTAGGGAGCTCTAGTAGCTCCGTAGAGAAAAGAGCCAGTTACTTCAAGTTGGATATTTCATTTGGTGAAAAAAGAAAAAGGTAAGCATTTCTCGTCTTATTATGTGTTCATATTGGCTTCAAGAAGAAAGGAACTTTGCACTCCAAATATTTGGAAATATGAGTTAGTTGAGAATCACTTTTCTTCATTTGTCTCTCCACCTCAACATCTATTGTTCTTGGTGTAGACATAAGAGGTTTTCTTAAAACCACAAAAAAAATTAAGACTTGTGGATAATTTTAGTGACTTGTATTCAACTTTGCCATCAACTTGAGACTAGTAATATTATGTCTTGTTAACTATTTTCAAAACATTTACTCTTATTAGAAAAAATATATTTGACAATAAGTCCACAATGCTTTGGTATATATTATTTTTTTGATGTGCTTTAGTTGTTCACACAGCCACATATTTAATATCCAATATTTGATTTTTATTATCTTTGATTTTGTTTGAACTTTGATTTGCACAATAAGGGTTCCACAAAGCTCTTTATGATAGACAAAAAGTCAAAAAAATTAAGTGATGAAGACTGGTATGAATTAGATTTGAAACTAATTAATAAGGTAAAATTGTTTATTCATGAGGTGATGTATAACATCACTAATGTGGAAACTACTATTCATTTATGGAAAAAATTAAGAATGATGTTCATGTCAAAGATTGTTACCAATTAGCTATATTTGGAGTAAACATACAACTTAAATAGGAGTGAAATAGAACATATTTTCTAACATATAAATAGTTTTTAGCAAATTGATTTTACACTTTTACAATTTGAAAGTTAAGTTGGAGGAAGAAGATCAAATTGTTCTTATTCTACCTTACCTTAGGCTTATAATCATATGATAAAGACACCTCAAAGATGGAGTAAATTAAATATACATTATCATTACATGATGTTGGACATAAACCTCCAACATGAGGTGAAGGCATGGTTGTTAAAAGTATGGGGTCAATAAAAATGATGCCAAAAAAATTAGATATGATAAGAAAATTCATTTTAAATAAAAGTCAAAAGGAAATTATGTGTTGCTACTAAAAGGAAGGACACTAAAAATTCAATTATCTTAAAATCAAAAAAATAAAAGAGTAAGAAACTAAATGAAAGGTTAGTGTCGCATTTTATTTTTTTAAAATGTAGATAATATTGATTTTGATGAAGTGTTTATCCCCCAGCCTCATACATGAGAACTAGAGGTAACAAGAGAAATCTCTCTATAAAAAGGGGTAAATGAAAGGTGAAGTGGTAGACAGGATCAATGTTGATCATCTTGGCTCAAGATGTTAGAATCTCCTCCCATTCATAGTGCAGGGATAGCTTTCTATTGACAATGCATCACGCGCCATGTCATGTGTTGACTAGGAGTTGCCCCAAGTGATCTACTATTGTTGAAAGGCGACAAGTATACATGTTTGCCGTATACAAAGTGTTGGCATGCCGATCTACTCCAAATGATGTCAATCTCAAACTTTGACTAGCATTTCCTACCAAGAGAAAAATACATAGCACAAATGGATACATATGGCATGTGTAGTGAGTGCGTCTGCCATATGATTTCCTTCATGTAGCTAATGTGTAATGATGTTGACCCTCCCTCTACAGCACATGATGTCTGACCAAGTACTTTTGAGCTGCTAATGAGAATAAGAACCTGCACGTGACATCTGAACAAGCACTCGTGAGTCAGATTCTATGATGATATCGTAGAGATTGGATTCTTCATAGACGAGCAAACCGTCACGTATCACCATAGCCTCTACTGCGGTGTTAGTTTGAATATTATAAAAATAAGAGAAGGTAAAGAAAATACTCCCCATAAGATTCGATAGGATGCCTCCTCTTCCTACAAGTCTAAGGTTCCTTCGAGCTGCTTCGTCAACATTCAACTTCAAGCATTTAAGCAGCGGCAGTCTCAATTGGATGAACCAAGAGGAAATCTCTATGCATGTACATGTGACTTGGACTTCCCAAGTCCCAAGGGCCTCACAAATAGAGGCCGAGCATGTCGCTGCTGTCAAGACCAAAGGATAGGTACTTCATAGCCATTGTGTGACATGTCTCATGATTTCTTGGGCGCATATTGACTGATATGCAAAATAAGAAAAAAAAATTCCTTTCATATCTCTCATAACATGTATGCTATGAAAATTTGTAGGTAAGGGCTGCCCTTAAAATTCTACGATGAATCAAAGACACTCTTAAAAATTTCTAGGGTGTAAGAGATGGAGAAGGATGAAATATTGAGGATCAATTTATTAAGAGTTGGTTCCAACATTCTATAGTAACGACACTATGAGAAAATAAGTGGCCCATAGTTTCGCTACTTAAAGTGGTGAGATAATAATGACACTTAGAACAAATGTTATACTTATGATGAGTATACAATCATTTATAGGAATTCTATAATGTATTAATTTCTATATAAAAAAAGAGACTCAAGGTACGATAGCAAAGTGCTAAATGAGATTTCCCTAAAACTACTTTGAGGAATGATTTCTAAAATAGTTTCAAGAAGCACTATAAGAGAAATTCACATCTAGGGTGAAAATTTAGATGGGTTGATCATCACTAAGGCCTAACTCTATTAATGAGATCTCTAATAGTAAATCTAATAAGAGTTTATACTTCTTGAAGAGCACATTAGTATCTCTATTGAGAAGTTGAGCCACCATAAGATGAGATCAAGACAACATAAAGGGGGTAAAGGAGGCCAAGGGGGTATTCGTGAATCAAGTGTCATACTAAGTACTAATAGTGCTTCGTCTCACTCGTCACTAGATTAAAGGTATCATCTACAACCAATATCTTTGTCAATCTGCCCATTACTTTTCTTCTTTTATGTCGGCTAATTGACTAGCTCAATTGTCATATTTGGCCAACACAAAAGTCTCTAAGGGTGATCTTATCATCTTCATTCACGATACGAGTTTCTTCTGAAATATGTCGATGATGTTCTCGAGGTGTTTAATCCCTAGACATACTTTTTCCTGAAAAATTGATAGTGATGACATCTGTCGAGTTGACCATCCCATAAGAAGGAGGTACATATCTATCTCACATATCGTAAGATGATGTCTACTACCTCATGTACCACAAGTAGGTGCAAAAGTATACTTATGAGGACATAGCATAGCAATTAGATGCAATCCCTTAAGGATAGAGGCTGAAACTAACATCCGTCAAGTTTCTTCTTCAACTTACACAAAAGAGAATCAAAATAATAAACCTAAGTACGTCCAAAAAAGATGAGACATCCAAGGTAATCAAAAAGTAGATGACCATGTAAGAACCCTATTAGGTTATATATGTGTCATATGGTGTTAATAGTAGTAGAAGATGCTAACATAAAGTTGTTCTTTGAAGCGTTAACAAGTTAACATGAGACCCGCTCATAACTAAAGATGATAGTCATGAGTCCCTTGATGAATGTTTTGTATCCGTCAATGAAAAATATTATGTCATCAATAAATAAAGAATGGTATATGATCTGACAACTCCTCTTCGAATGATATGGTTAGATAAGCTCATGTGGTAGTGCTTAGGAGAATATTTAACTAAAGACTTCTTCAACCAATATGAAGAGAGTAGGTGATAGAGGATCACCTTACCATAATTCTTACGTGGCTGTGAAAAAAAGTGTGGAAGTGTCATTCACCAGTAAAAAGAAGTGGTTCTCCCTAACACATGCATCGGCTAAGTCAATGAGTTCGTCAGTGAATCTACAACGTCGAAACATTTTGACAAAAAAAATTACTTAATCTTATTAAAAAGCCTTTTCTATGTCTAGTTTGATGATGACATTGAAACCATAAATGTCCTAGTCAAGGAATTATACTAGTTTGTGAATTAACATATTGTTATCATGAATGTGTCATCTCTTGATAAATTCACACTTTTCTAGATATATGAGTCTATCAAGAAAAGCACTCAATCGTGGTGTAATGATTTTAGATACAACCTTATAACACACATTATAGAGACTAATGAGCCGAAAGTCTCTAAAATAAGTTGAGTTGATCACCTTTGGTATGAGTGCAGTAAATGTGGCTTTTCAACTCTGTGGGAAGACTTTATGGTAGAAGAATTCTTTGATGGCAAGAACTAAATTTGTTTTGACAATATCCCAACATACTGAATAAAAATCAACTGAGAAATAAAGTTAGTGTCGCATTTGATTCAAAAGCACATAGAGATATTCTATCAATCTTTACAAGTTTATATTATTCCCAACGATAGATTCTTGATTCAGGTTGTTCCTATTTCATAAGTATATTTCAAGATTGAATTGTCACATACAAATCTCATGATTGAATTAAAAAATGATAATCTATAATATATATGCATATCTTTTGAGATAAAAACCATAAAAACTAAGATATTTGATATACTAATTATCTTTTAAATAGATGTAAGACATGCATTATATTTCAGAAATGATTTATCTCTATAGAAATAATTGATGCAAATGACTATATTTATATCAATGGTAATAATTTTTCAAAAATCAAAAAGTATTTTGATTATTACGAAAAGAAATAGGTTAAGTCACTATATAAGTTGTATATGACAACTATACTTGATGACACAACTGCTGCATCCCACTCAAAAAATAAAAATTTCATTATCTTCAGGCATTCTAGGATCAATCATTAAAGCAAGAGACAAATGTGATTGTTGCACAGTAAAAAATTGGTCAAGAGTACAATATCTTACAAAATTGATTTATTAAAATCTTATATTATTGGTATAATTTTATTTTTTTGGGGCATTGATACATGATTCAAAAGAAACAAGGAAGATTATGAGAAAGGCACACGATCACGATCTTACCAGCTTCCGAGAAGACACTTTGATTGAGTCTCACTACCCTCCTTTTTACTCGACAACAACGTAATGGATCGTCGTTGTCATCTGCCACCTTAGAAGAAAACTTTGTTGGGAAGAATCAAGGCTTCCACATAAGAGTAGTAGAGAAAGAAGATTGTCATCTTGGGTTTCATTTCATTGTTCTATTCAAAAATAACATTATTGAGCATGAAGATGAGGAAGAAGAGATCAAAACACTTGTTACCAAACATGGTTTTTGTAGGAAAGTATAGAGAGTAGTCAGTGAATTGTACTTGTTCATGTGGGGAGAGCCTTTTTAGAGATGGCATTGAAGGAGTTCTCATTTTCTTGGAGCCATTCTTGAAGACTAAGGGGAACAATGGCCATGGTCAAGTACTCAATCTAAGGACCAAAAAACCCTAGTGATGATATAAGATTTGCATAAATTAATTATGTAAGATATAGTATTTGACCAATTTTTTATTGTATAATAATAACATCTGACCCTTCCTCATATGACTGATCCTAGAACATCACAACATAATGAATTTTTTTAAGATATAGTATTCTAAAATTTGTTATTTATACTAAAGGAAGTAAAAATGTTATTGATTATGTTAATTCAGATGTTTATGGTGTATCTCTGATTACTTCATTGAAAGAAGTTATATATTTCATTACTTTTTATCAATGATTTTTGTAAAATATTTTTTTTTAGTTTAATTTTTAAAACACAAATTAGTGGTGTTTGATACTTTCAAACTTTCAATGGCTTAAGTTGAGAAATAAACCAGCACAAAAATGAAGAACTTAAATATCAATAATGGTAGTGAGTATGTTTCAAAAGTGTTTGAAACTTTATATTTGAAGAAAAACAGAATTCATTATTTGACTATTCTATAAACAATGCAAAAACAAATTGAGTAATGATTGGATGAATAATATACTATTTGAGAGAGCTCACTACTTGAGATTATTTATTTGAATTTTTAAGTGATTTTGGTCCATACATGTTAACACACTATTTTATTTTGTATGACTTTCTAATTTATAAACAAATTAAGAAGTTACATATTAATAATGTTAGTGATATGTTTAAAAGTGTTTGAAATTTTATATTTGAAGAAAGACATAATTTAACATTCGACCATTCTAAAAACAGCACAACAAAATAGGATAACTAAATGGACAAATAATACATTATTTGAGAGAGCGTATTACATGAGATTATTTTTATGTCTTTCTAAGTAATTTTTGGCTGAACTTGCTTACACCATGTCATTTGATAAATTGATTGTTCTACACCATTGAGACTCAAGATACTAGAAAGTGTTTAGTTTGAAAAAATAGTAGTTTATTTTAATCCACACATATTTGAATGTCATGCTTATATTTTGTTATTTGATAATAAGTGGACCAAACTTGATCATAAGTCTAAGTATTACATTTATTAAGAATTACAAACTTGAATGTCATGTTTTATTCTCTAATAATTTGTGCTTGTCTTTAATAATAATTAAATTTCATCATTAAAAAAATGATTTTTTTTATCATGCTAACTGAAGACTTGGACGGGAATTTACTTATTTAAGAAATATATCTGTTTATTATGTTTTGCAGATAGTTTGACAAGTTAGAGTTAGAGAATGCTCTTATTGAATACCCAAATTAGTGGGCAAGAAATAATAAAAAACAGTCAGAAAAGGGGAAAATTACTTTTTACCTTTTTTAAACACATTATTATGAGAAAGGCATTTGGAAAAATGAAAAAGCTCCAATAGCTCTGTGGAAGAAAGATGCAACTACTTCAAGGTGGAGATTATGCTTTGATAAAAAGAAAGAGGTAAGACTTTTTCCACTTTAGTCTATGCTGTTCTTAATGTAGATGTAAGAGATTTTTTCTAAACTAGGAAAATAATGTATTATTTAGTGGATAACTTTATAAGTTGATTTATATCCAACTTTTTCATCAATTTGAGGTTAACAATATTATGTGGTGTTGACGCATGTATTCTCTTACAAAGTAAAATACATTTTACATTAGTTATGTGTTTTGGCATATGTTATCTTTGTGGTTTATTTTAGTGATTTGCACAGCCACTCATTTATTATCGATATCCAATTTCTACCATATTAGATTTTGTTTGAACAATAATTTTTCAGAACCCCTTCGTCACAATGATGTTGGAGGTGACTACAAGGTGTTATGCGGCGTCACATATGCAAAAGGTGTTGATGAACCCATCGTCTCAGTAGGAAGATAAGACGGGGATGATGACCACTCACGGGTATATCTGGTTGAGCATCTCCTCGATCTTTCTGGCAGCCTTGGTGGTGAGATCGGCAATGACGTCACCAGCACCAGGAGCAGCGCCACCAGCTGAGCGTGGCTCTCCCTCAGCGCCCGTTGTTCCTCCATCTTCCTCTTCCTCCCCGGAGCCGCCCTCGACAGTTTCTCCGCAGCGCGTCTGAAGGACAACGGAGGGAAGACAGGAAGGGAATAGGTTGCAAGCATGGGTAGATCCGAGCAGGCCTTCCCACGTGCTCCTTAAATTACTGGTGAGGCTGGTTTTGGATCATGCATTTTGCTTATCCACTGACGACGTTGAGGTTTGCGTAGGATTCTCAGGTCCACGGAAGAGGAAGCCTCCTCGGAAGCATTTGTGACAATTCACGAGCTTCTTTCCCGTATCTTATTGGAATAAGACAATCCACATAAGGTTCCTTCTTTGAGTAGGCTTTTGAGTGGGCAAACAAGTGAAATAACAAATGGAATGAAACGAGTAGAGGTATGGGTCTGCTTTCCGACTGCCGCTTCTCGTCGGAGCCGGCCGCCGTCGAGGGGAGTGATCCTGATCACTCTCTTCTGTCAGGGTCCTCACCGGTAGACGCGGCTCTGGCAGGGATCAGACGAGACGAGACGAGAATGGGGCCGACCGGTGACGATGCCCACCGGAGCTGGCAGGAATTCCAGTGCCGCCGACGGGGTTTTATCTTGGTCAGAGAGAAGGAAATTGAGATCTCAATCCAACAGCCGAACGAGGTAGCTACCGCGGAGGTCTGACGGCAGGAAGGGCAGGCCCCACTTTTTCCAGCGCTGGCCCGAAGTTTCGACTCATAAATGCCTAATCGACATGTCTTCCTTGTCGTCTTCTTCATCTACCAGGTGACACTCATTGCGGATTCCACCCCAGCTGGAGGCTATTAAGTGCGCACTGCGAGCCCCACTCCCCATTTGCGTTAACAAAACGATCCGGTGCGGACTGCCGTCCACGTCGGCGCCTCCGTCTCTTCTCCGGCTAAGGGAATGAGTCTGCAAAATCTCCGTCTCTTCTGCATGGCATCTGACGATACAGCGAGAGAGAGAGAGAGAGACGCAGAGGGAGGGAGAGGGTGCAGTCCATATGCGAGCAAGATGGTATTGGTGGCCGGAATGGAAAGAGAAGAGTAAGAATCAGAGGAAGAGAGGAAAGTGTCGCTATTTCTTGACGACGAAAACAATTGCCCGCATCACTTTAGACGCCGTGGGATGGGCATTGTCGGAGATCAAGTCGTACATTGAATATAATAGCTGCAAGGTGTTGATGAGCCCGAAGTCGGAAAAAAAGAATTCGTAGATGATGACGCAGAGGTCGTAGACGAAGAAAAAGGCGAATCCAGAGTAGTAGGAGGATACAACCGCGAAGACGACCACCCATGTTTTTATTCTCACGAATAACTCCTGGATGAACTTCATGAGGGCCATGTAGGCGAGATCGGCGGCGAGGTCGGCGACACTGTCGACAACGGCATCGAAGATGGCCTTGGGGATGGTCGGTAAGAGCAAGGAGAGGACTATCGCCAGTAACACGATCAGCCCCAGCATTTGCAGGGGCGTCTCCCACATTGCGACCCACCCGCCGCCGCTCTTTGGTTCGCCTTCCTCCATCCCTCTCTGCCGCCGGTGTGCGCCCCGGCCCCCTATCTGGTCTACCGAGAGACAAAGGGCACACCACTTCCAAACCACGGAGAAGCGAGGGGAGACTGGGGACCAAGACAAGGACGAACCGTTGCGGGGACCAGTCGACGGAAGCAGTAAAATTCATGAGAATTAGGGGGCCTCCAAGTGAGCCCCCTTCTCTCTTATTTTACTCTGCCTTTGAATAATAATGTTCAACTACCTCACCTGAAGTCCAATCATTCCGCAGTCCGGATGAGCGCCCCACTCGGCGGGTTGATCGCATCCCGTGAGCTAAGTAACAAGATTTTTTCACCATCGAAAATCCCTGAATATTTATTTTCTCCGCACTTTAAAAAAAATCACAGAATAATCTAACCCATTAAGAACTTGCACACTTGTGGTAAAATGTAGGTTGATTTTGCGAATAATGACGATATATGTTGATAAATTATCCTTCTGTCCTTGGTCGCTTCTGTCCTGGAAACCAATGCACTTTAAGGGGGAGTCAGCGCGCTGATAGGACCCCAGGGAAGCCCCCGAGCTGGGCCTTGGAAGAAAAAAAAGAGTTTTTGTTCGTTTCTAGCTGGCCCAGCTTAGGACCAGTGTAATTGAAGGTGGAGTGAACGTGACGGATTTGATTCGAGGGAATACCCTGAGCTAGTCCTTGAAAAAGGAAAACCGTTTTGCTCGCGGCTAAGTAGAATGTCAAAGGACTTCGCGGGACCAATGAACTTGAACGAGGGAGTCAACGTGCCGGCCCCTAAGCTGGGCCTTGAAAAAAACAAAAAAACCCTCTAAATGGGCTTTGGGCGGGCCCATGTGAGGAATGGGCCAGCAAAAGGAGATAGAGAGAGAACAGGTACAATGTACAGTGTTGGTGGTGATCTTGGGACGACTGCGCCTGTTTAGAAATATGAGTTCTTGACCTTAGGAATCGATCTCATTGGAGTTTGAACGTCTGCCAAGTAATGGCCCTTTTTTGGGGGAAGGGGGCGCGGAGGCAAGATTTGGAAGTTTTGTGACCTGGAATCAAATCTAGAAAGTTACCAGAACCATTGATCTCCCTGAGTTGTAGAGTTTAACCATCCAAAAGGCTAAGTATTCAATATTAGAAGCCATTTGTACGGCATAAAAGTCTCGGGTTCCTACAAATCTAGAGAGGGGGAGAGAGAGAGAGGGGGAGAGAGAGAGGAACGAAGGCGTTAACCGTAGAGCACGGAAGAGAGTAAAAATGTAGGGAACAGAGGAAACAGAGGATCGATATGTGCCGAACAAGAACAACTGTCCTCCGCCGGCAGCAGCCAGCAGAGGATCGCCGGCGTCGTGGAGCCACCAGAAGATTGAAAATGCGATGGTGACGCCGTCGAGGAATCCGGTGTTGCGGGTGATGGCGAGGTCGTAGACGGAGTCGCAGACGCGATAGGTGTTGACGAGCCCGAAGTCGTAGTAGTAGGAAGATAAGACAGAGATGACGACCACCCAAGGAGAATCTCCTCCGTGGCCTTTCTCGCAGCCATGGCGGCGAGATCGGCGATGGAGTCGGCGATGCTGTCGGCCGCCGCCGCGGCGAATGCAGGAAATATTAAGGGAATGGCCGCCCCCAGCACCAGAAGCGGCGCCACCAGGAGAGCGTGGCTCTCCCTCAGCAAGCCCCTCCCGCTGTTCCTCTCTGGGTCGTCTTCCTCCATCTTCCTCTCACTCACTCGCCACCGCCGCCACCACCGCCCACCGTCTGCTCCTCCGCGGCTCGTCTGAAGGACAGCGGAGGGAAGACAAGTAGGGAAGTCAACGGAGACGGCCCCGTCTCCAGAGGATATTGGCAGGATTCAAAGCTCAGACGAATCGGGGGTCTCCAATCTGTCCTTCTACGACGTTAAACCTCATTTAACTAGTGCTTATGCAATAGATGTGGTGAACAACATAGTTTGTCGCTCCTAATTAAGAAGCTTTATTACCATTATAGATTCTTTAATGGTTGACCAAGCTCTGGAGAAAATACCGCCCCATGAAGACTAGGATGATTCTATTTGCAGGGAGGCCTTCGGGACGGCTGTGAGCTACCAGTCTAAGATCTAAGAGTTAGGAAACCATGGCCCCGTGGAAAACAATACCTTCTTGTATATATGATACTCAACGACCCCAGTTAAATAGAATATAAATTTTATCAGAATTATGAAATTCTCGCTGACGGCTCGTAATTTGATTGATTTATTTATTCCTTTTTCTACATGCAGAGGAAGAGGACATAAATTTCGAAGAAAATCAATTGTTGGAGTTGGTCTTCACGATCCGGACGGAAGAAACTGCGGATCTAAGAGATCAACCGCAGTAAAAGAGTCAAAACCTTATCGACAACTTGGGTTGTGGACAACTGGATGGATAATTGGACAGGATTCGTCCCCTTCCTTCTAGGATCTCAGTCCTGGTCTACCGAGCTTTGAAAAAGAAGCTCCCTTTCGATAGCATGATACAGAAGCTTGTTTCTTCCGTCCAAATGTTGCTGCTGCACTTTTGAAGCAAGAGAGTGAAATTAATCCATTTCTAAAAAAAAAATTGAAATAAATAAATAGGAGTCAATTACCTGCAAAGAAAGTTCAAACTTTATTCAGATGATGTTGATCGTCGATGTCTTTTTGCTATTTAAAACAAATATAATTGAAGACAAATAGTATAAGTTTCATGAATGTACCCACTTTTGGTCAGTTTAATGTATTTCGAATTATTGGTGACGACGAGGGAAAATATGATTGAACAAAGTCAAATTATTCCTGTTAAACAATAGGGAGGGAAAAATGACACAAAGAATAGAATAGATGCCAATCGCGACGTAATTCAAAGAGAGGACTTCTTGACGTCAACGGCGTGTGCAAAAAAGCACAAAATTATTAAATTACGAAGAATAATAAGTTTGAATTTTCCCCAATAAAATCGAAAATGTTGATACGGCCAAATTCGGTGACCCCGCCGTATTATTGGTGCTCCTCCCAGTCGGAAATACATTGATATTCTCCTAATAATTTTTAAATTAGCATATTTATGATGTGATGCATGGCGACTAAAATTAAAACTTCCCAAGTTCATACAGAGAGAATCAATCATCAGGCCCGATAACTTCTAGTCTCCCTCCCCCCACGCCCACCCCTCTCTCTCTCTCTCTCTCTCCTTTAAAAAGCAGCGCGTCGCCGCGCCGCTCGAGGAATTTCTCTGCAGGGTGCTGGTAGGTGACCGTGAAGAAGGAGAGTTGCAGGCCATGGAGGAGGGGAAGGCGGCGCCGCACGGGGTGCTGCTGGCGGTGGTGCTGGGTCTGGTGGCGGTAGGATCCTCCATTATCAAGAAAGGCAGCTTCTTCGAATCCATCCCGGAGATCATCGGACCCGGAGTACTGCTGATTCTCCCGATCTTTCTCATCGTCCTCATCCGCGTGCTCTCCTCGGAAAGGATCAACTGCCTGGCCGATTTACTCTCGTCCACCTCCCCGGATTCAATACACCGCGCCGGTGGCTCCCCCGTCGGCGTCGGTCTCCTCCTGGTTCTGATCCTCCTCCTCCTCTACTTCCGGTTCGCCCCATCCCACCGCTGCCGCGTCGATTGCGACGACGACTGATAACTCGATCTCCTCCTCTTCCCCTTCACTTTCTCCTCTCCTCCCCTCTATCTCCCCCTCAGCCTTCACTTGCGTGTTCTGTACAGAGACTGGCCGAAACTGTGGTGACGGAGGGATGATCTTGTACTTTCCGCAATCTAGTACTATGTGCGCCTCGGCCTTTTCTCTGGATTATTGCGTAACACCACTTTTCCTCGTCTCTGTTTTCTTGGGTTCCGCGTATGAGGAGGGACGTTGTCAGAGGGCGACCTGGTCGATGACTGTTCCTGTCCTTACAACACCCTCAACAACTCGCTCCATCTCTCTAATTTGTCAATTTCTTGGGTACCTCGCTCGAAGTATATCCTTTGTTTACTCTGCGTCTCCAACCGGAGCCACCTGACCTGATGGGACGCTCCTCCGCTGCCCGTCCCGTCCATGCCGGCGTGTAAACCTGCTCCCTGATGTCTGCTATGATCGGTAATCTTATCTATTTTAACTACAACTATTCCCTTTCAAAACTGTCGTTCTCTCGTGCGATTCCGCCATCCTGCGGGCAGTTCGTCACGGAATGCACGCCGAATAATCGAGTGCTGCCTTGCAAGTCGCAAGCGGCCATTGAAATATTCACCCAGATTGGACGGGTGATACATCTCTAAATTTGTCCACATTACCTCTGAAATATAAAAATTTGTGGCTCTCCAGCCATCGTTTGGTGATAGATTTAACTATTCTCCTTATAATATTGGAACGAAAGAAGAGGGCGACGACTTCTTTAAACATTCTGGTATCATCTAGAAGCGCTTGTTCTTGAGCTATAATGGTCGCCCTGCTCCCCCCACTGCCCGAGGTTCTGAACCCGGACCTTGTGACCTCTGCGACGAGGGAGAGCTCGTACATGAAAAAAATAAATAAAAAAACGACGTAGACTGCGGAGCACAATTCGACAGCGGTGACCTCATCTCGACTACAATTCTACAGAGTTGGTCTCATCATCGTCGAGTATATCCATATGGACTGCTATGCACACGTAATAGACTGATAATCCGTGCATCAGAAAATGTTTTGGCCTGATTTCATCCGTGAATTTCGTTCCTTTCTTGGGCATATCATGTTATTGTCAGCGCATGAGTTCTGGATCAAGGGAGCCACCCACAAAAGGAAAAAAAGGCATCGATATAAATGTTAAAGGGTAAATTGTATTTTCATAAGAATTTGATTACGGGTGTATACTTATTCCATTTCAACTAGAATAATTATATATTTATCACTAGTCCTAAATATACGATGGTTTTAACACTAGAAATTATGCAAGAGTAGCCCGAAACTATCTCGCCCCTCTAGTCGCGACGTGGTCAAAGACGACTTTGGGTACCACAAACGTTGAATTTCATGGGACTAAATACATGGGATTTCACCAAGATTTCTGTATGAGTGCCCAATATGATCTCCCCCCCCTCTCTCTCTCTCTCTCTCAATAAGGTAGGTATTTAGGGGAGCTCGGTGTGGTCAAAGGGGACCGACCTTGTGTACTATAAGTGTTCGAATTTCGTGGGACTAAAAAAATATCAGCAATAGGAGGGACTCAGACCACATCAATCTCTTGCATTGTCGGCCAAGATTTCTGCCACGTCTGTGGTCGAACGTCGACCACGAGTGCGGCGCCGGTTTGCTGGATGGACTCTATCCCTCCCTTCCTCATTTGCCCCCTTCTTCCTCCTGCCATCTCTCGCAATCATTCCCCTCCCTCACCGTCCAACCAATCCACACCTCGATCCCGAACTCTCCAGTTCCTTCCTGCTCCCCACGGAAGCTTTCCCTCCCTCTTCCCTCGTCTCGCGTAGCTCGTTATCTCTACCGGGTCGTCGATCCTTCTGCGGAATCTCCCAATGCAAAACCCTCTTCTGCTTCGATCCGCCGGAGAAACCCTTTTGAGAGCAAGACGGACGGTCGGAGAGGATCCGGAGGAAACTCCGCTCCCTCCATTTCGGAGAGGGAATAGGTGGAGAGGACATGGCGGAGACGAATCTCGCCGCCGGGGCCGCTGGCGGCGCCACCTTCTCCTTGCTATCCGATGACGTCGTGCTAAACATCTTCATGAAACTGGAGGGCGATCCGCGCGACTGGGGGCGCATCGCCTGCGTCTCCACTCGCTTCTCCGCCCTCGTCAACGACTGCTGCTACCGCCTCAAGTGCTCCCGATGCATCCCTTCCCTCGTCTCCGATCTCTTCTCCACTTTCCCGTCCTCCGGTCAAGCCGCCCCTCTCGCCTCCTCTGTAGTCGCCGGCGCCCTTGCGCCTCCTGGCGGCTGGTCCGCCCTTCACAAGCTCTCTATCTGCTGCCCGGGCCTCCTCCATGCCGGAGTTCTCCTCGAGAACTCTGACTTCGGCCTCGAGCGCGAGATCGGCCCCGACGAGAACTACCGCCAGGTCCGAGCCCGCGCCTGCGACTCGCCACCGCCGCCGTCGTCTTCCTCTCCTTCCTCCTCTGCCTCTTCTGCCGACTGCAGCTGGTCGCTCTTCGACGACCTCTACTTCGATGCAATGTGCGACGCGTCCGAGGCACCGGCGGCCCCCTCGCCGGCGGTCGCAGAACCGGACGTCGGCGGCGGCGGCGAGGACACCAGAAGGGAGCGGAAGAAGGCGCGATGTGAGCGTTCCCACGTCTCCTCCGGCGGCGCCTGGAGCCTAACCCGGGAGCAGGGCAACAAGCTCCTCGCCGGCCGCTTCCGGGAGGACTCTCTCTACATCTGCAACTGGCCCGGCTGCGTCCACGAGGAGGAGAAGCGCAAGTACATGCTCTTCCAGGGATTCTTCAAGGACTTCAAGCGGTCTCGGGTCTGGAGGACGATCAACGACGGGCACCGGAGCAAGATCGCCCTCAACTGCGCTTTCTGCTCATGCCGGGGGACATGGGACCTTCACTCGGCCTTCTGTCTGCGGCGAGTCTTCGGTTTCCACGACGACGGCGACCCCGTCGTCAGGGCCTTCGTCTGCGAGAACGGGCATGTCTCCGGAGCGTGGACTGAGCAGCCATCGAACACCTGAGCCACCGTCTCCCTCATCCTTCTATATTTTAATCTCCTCTTAATATTTTTTTTCGCGAAAAGCTTGTCTTTGCTATATCAAATCCTGTATACGGAATACCTATTTTTATCCGTTTGGAGATTACCTCAATTGGGTTTCATGTGACTGGAGCTCTTCTTTGGAGAGAGAGCCCTCCTTGAAGGAGGAACGGAATGCAGGTCTGAAGCATGCATTCCTGGCTGCCTACCTCCCTCATCGGGTCCTCTCTCTCTCTCTCTCTCTCTCTCTCTCTCTCTCTCTCTCTCGCTGTCTGTGGTCTATGAATGGACGGAGAGCTTCAAAGTCAGTGCCTTTAGCAGCAGTTGGTGCCAAAATTCTTCCATCAAGTGCTTCACAATCTTTGCCCTTGCTATTGATTTCCTCTCAAGTCATTAAGCCTCATGGCGTAGTGACAGCAGAAGGAAAGACCCTTTTCTCCTGAGGGATGAAGGTAGGAAAGGCATCACAGGCGGGCTATGGCTTGCTGTATTGAGGCAACTCTACGCGTTGGCTCTGGTATTCAGCGTTTCTGAATCAAGCAAGCTCCTGAAGTTGCATGCATATCATCTTGATGAGGGTTCTGGAGAGGTAAAAATCCGGTCCAGGATTTAGTAGACTTCAGATTTTGCCGAGTTGATATTATGTAAGAAGGATCCGACGACCCTATCGGACAGAAGCTCAACCTTAGAAGGGGATAATGTGAGGTAGAAATGTATTGCTAGGGGATTGTTCTGAGGAATAGAACAGCGCACGTTCCTCCACATCTCTGTTCATCTCGTTTTGGGCATCTTTACACGTCTATGTCTCAACTTTTCCCAAGATTATAAAATTAAATTACATGTTTTTTTCCGAAGAAAGTAAAACCTCGATCAAATACCCAATCGCAAGGTAAAAATCACCAATATAATTTATGAACTTGCCCCTGATGATAGTCATCCATCTCACTGTGATTTCTTTCCTTGGTTGAAGAGGACTGACCGAGTGTCGTTCAACCATGTTCATCGCTCTCAGTTATAACCACGCCAATTAGCGAATTAAATCTAGATTGCGATCTGAACCCGGATAGAAATCGTCTCCGCAATGGTCAGGCAATCCGAGCCTTTACGTGCAGTCGAGAATCTGAACTTGTTCGGTCAAATTAGCCAAGAACTTGATTCATAGCATTACATTGGATGGCGTTGGTCTCATCAGAAACTGTAGATACGGTAAGAGGGCATCGAGATCTTCACATCGACTGTTACTGGCTTGACTACTCTTGCCGTCACTGAGGGCCGGTTGTCTAGAAGACCCACGTTGGACCATTCATGTTTAGGATGCTGTAATGGGCTGAGTCTGCAGCCCAGGCCACGTTGGGCGCTTGGAACTCGGTCAATAGATCCTGATTATCTGCCCGCCAGATCTAAAAGTCCGAACAGGGAGCCAGAATCGGGGCTTCGAGTTCTTGTTGATGGAGAGTGGTGAAGGAGTCTTTGTGAAATCTGGAGAATCGGCGACAAGGACGAACAGAAACCTCGCTCCCTCTCTCTCTCTCTCTCTATAAACATGGCTTGCAGCAGGGAGCAGAAGGAGGAGGGTGGGTGAGGTAAAGAGGGAGTTTTTTTCGGAAAGATGGGGACGAGGATTTCTCCCTTGATCGTTGTCATCGTCCTCTTCGTAAGCGCCGCCACCTGCGCATCCAATGCAGCACCGCGGGCGGCGAAGAGGATGATGAGGCAGGGGGACGCCCTCGATAGGAAGAAGAATGCATCCCCTGGCCTCGCCGGTGGCAAAGCATCATCATTGATGGTGGGGTTGGACGCCATGAAGTCCAGAATTATGCCGCAGGATGGTCTGAAGGAGAAGGACAAGATCGCGAAGCTCCCCGGACAGCCCGACGGCGTTGACTTCCTCCAGTACGGCGGGTACATCACCGTGGACGAGAAGGCCGGGAGGGCACTCTACTACTACTTCGCCGAGGCCCCCGACGCTGCTTCCAGGCCTCTCCTTTTGTGGCTCAACGGCGGTAATCTCTCTCCTTCTCTCCCTCTCTCTCTCTCTCTTGATGATCAGAGATTATTATTCTCATACTCAGGGCCGGGCTGTTCCTCGATCGGCTATGGAGCCATGGAGGAGCTCGGGCCCTTCCGCGTGATGAGCGATGGGAAGACGCTCTTTAGGAACCCTTACGCGTGGAACAATGGTACGTTGATAAGGGTCACCCTTCCTCTCGTCCTCGGGAAGAACCCCTAATACGAGAGCTGCGCAGTGGCGAATGTGCTGTTCTTGGAGAGCCCCGCCGGTGTCGGCTTCTCCTACTCCAACACCACCGCGGACTACCAGATGAGCGGCGACTCTCGCAGTGCGGAGGACGCCTACGTCTTCCTAGTCAACTGGCTGGGGAGGTTCGCCGAGTACAAGACCCGGGATTTCTACATCGCCGGCGAGAGCTACGCCGGTCACTACGTCCCCCAGCTCGCCCACAACATCTATCACTTCAACCAGCTTCCCGGTGTCACTGTCATCAACCTCAAGGGCATCGCCATTGGAAACGCAGTGATTAACGATCTTACGGACGAGAAGGGGATGTACGATTTCTTCTGGACGCACGCCTTCACCTCCGACCAGAACCACGAGACCATCAAGAGGAACTGCGACTTCACCTTCTCCGGCGGCACCGACGGCGACGCGTGCCAGGCCGCCCTCGCCGAGGCCTCCGCCGTCTTCTACGACGTCGATATCTACAACATCTACGGCCCTCTCTGCTTCGACGGCAACCTCACTCGTGTCCCCAAGACGACCTCGGTTCCCTCTCTCTCTCTCGATCGATCAATCGATCGAAATTCTCTTTCAGATCCGTGGGACGGCTCTGTTGACCTGTTGTTAGTGATGGGCCATGCAGATCTATGACTTCGACCCGTGCAGTGACTACTATGTCCAGTCTTATCTCAACGATCCAGCGGTGCAAGAAGCCCTCCACGCCAACGTCACCAGGCTCGACTATCCCTGGAGCGCCTGCAGGTAGGATCAGGACTGCCCATCTATCGATAATTCTATATTAATTAGATTTAGTTTAACACCACCTTGATTAGATAAGAGATTTATCGAGGATGGAAAATGAATCCATCAAGAGAGAAAGTCTCCATCTTCTCTCCAGCTCTGAGAAACAAAACCTCAGTCTTTTCATCTGGATCCTCCAGCAGCGACTTGCCCGCATGGCTGGACAGCACCTCCACGGTTCTCCCGCTGCTGCAGGAGTTCATGGCGAATGGGTGGCGAGTCTGGGTCTATAGGTGAGAATTCCAGGAGCCCTCTTCCTCTCCACATTTTTCACGGTTTACCCAATGCCTCCAAACCTGAGGCGAGCTCTGCGCTTGGTCTCGCGCAGTGGGGATACCGACGGTAGGGTTCCGGTCACCAGCTCCCGCTACTCCGTCGACGCACTCGAGCTTCCGGTGAAGGCACCATGGCGGCCGTGGTCCGCCGTCGACGAGGTAGGCGCAGGAGAGAGGAACTCCAGGTAATTCTCCTGAGGCGGCCAAAGCCCTAATTTTCTTCCGCTATTTGCTGCAGGTCGGAGGGTACTCCATCACCTACAAGGGCGATCTGACCCTGGCCACGGTGAGGGGCGCCGGGCACGAGGTCCCGAGCTTCCAGGCACAGCGGTCGCTGGTGCTCATCCAGGCATTCCTGGAAGGAAAGCCTCTCCCCGACTACATCGTGGAATGATGAAGAATAGATTGACGTCTGTTCTTCCTCTTCTCCCTCCTCTTCATCTACTCGATCGTATTTACTACGAGATCAATGCTTGCTACAGTGATAGGCCAGATAATAAGCTTATTTATAGTACTTCTCTGGTAATGTTGTAGCATCAGACGTAAGCCGGATGTCCGAGGAAGAAACTCTCGACCATCTGGCGGGAGTCTGATGAGAGGAGGAGCTAACGAGAAATTATCGCCAGCAGCTTGTAGATTGCATGGTGCAGCACGAACATAGTTCTGTTCCCGCCCTGTACATGGTTATAGGGGGGGGAGAGAGAGAGAGAGAGAGAGAGAGAGAGAGAAAGAGAGGGCCCAATTTAGGACGTGTGCAGTACATTATGAACCAAAATTTACTCATATAGACATTAATGGAGGCCAGTCCCACAGTAGCCGAAATCGGATCGGCAGCGGCGATGTCGGCCCAATAAAAAAAGTTGGAGCCACCACCAACTGCCTGACCTTCATTATTTAATCCAGCAAAGAACTGGGTGGAGCTAATTGATAATTGGGTTTCTTGGGTTGGATCGGCCAGTGAGATCTCAGAAAACTTAGAGAGAGAAAGTGGGGACCCGAGACTCACCAAGACAAGAATCAAACAGCCTGCATCAAAAAAGAATGTCCACACCCGCAAGCCAAACTCAAATTACCACCCCGCCACCCTCCACAATGCAAGTTTTGTTCATCTGTTCATGAGATGGGGAGGGAGAACGGAGAGGGAGATAACTCTGATGGCGACCAGATTTGCAGACTCCAGAGCCCAATCTTCCGGGCGATTGATCAGATGAAGGGATAAACCCATGGCGGGAGGATGGGAGGAGGATGAGAGAAACCCTCCGGCCTGCCAAGAGACGATGATCCTCCTGGCCAACTGCCGGCCTCAGAAGTCCTGGGCGCCGGTTGGAACGGCCCCCACCATCCTGAATCCCTCTCTACCGGCACCAGTGGGAATGGGCTGAACTGGTCCCTCTCCCATGCGTAGAATCGATTCACTCTGCTCGTCTCAGCATCTTGTGCCCTTGTGCTGTTTGGCCTTCTTGTACCTGCCGCCATTGGCGGCATCGCACTGTGATGATGCCGGTGCGCTGAATTAAAGTCTTGCAGGCGGCCACGCGGCGGGGAGCCCCCGGCATGGTGAGAGGCAGTGGGCTCAGACGAGGTCCCAGCTCTAGATGCCGACCTAAGGCAGTAGAATGTGAGAATATTTCGAATTAATAATTGGTTTAATCGGCTGTGCCTTAGCGGCCCATGCCTATGGCTATTCTGGACTGTTTTTGAAAAACTAATTATGAATAAATGAATAAATGAATAAATGAATGAATGAATGAATAAATAAATAAATAAGTAAATAAATAACACCCAGGCATTATAAAAATCATATAAAATTCAAACTTTGATATTCTATCAATTTGATTTGAGGGTTGCATTTATCTTCTCTTCAGGTATTGCTGGCAGTGCCTGAGGGGATAGTTTCAAAATAAAATAAAATAAAATAAAGGAAGCCACAGATATGGGAAATTCTGGGGACTGGGAACTTACCCGTGTCTGGGAGGCGCAAAAGGAGGAGGGTGCAGATAAGATCCTGGCCTCAAAGGAGCATCTGGTTCAGCCCTCGTTGGCCTCATTGCTGCAGCAGAAAGGGGGGGCTGGTCTGCACTGCTGGGCCGACTGTTTATGTGTGAGTACGGAGAAGGATTGAGCTCTTGACCAAGGTAATGGACGTCAACAGTGGGGAATGGATGGGAAGCCAGATGATTGACTGGCGGAAAGGGGTTGCTCCAACTGTGATGGAAAGGAGGATCGATGAGAGTTTCAGTGGAAACCGGGGGAGTAGAGGAGGATGAGGACTGCAGAGGGTGAAGGCGAGCCACATAGGGGCATGGATGGCCTAGTGAAGGAGCTGGATGTACAAAGACAGCATGTCCATCCAAACTATGATCTGCACCGGAAAAATAGGTATCACCAGAAGCCCTCTAATGTGCCTTCGTAAAAAGAAAAATAATAGAGATATTCAGTAAGCTTACAAGAGATAGAAGGAGATTCACCTTCTCTGCAAAGTTTGAAACATCAGAATGTCAATATACTTGGAAGGTGCCAAGTTTCTAGTGGTACTAGCTAGTCCGTAACAATATACACCATGATAAAGTTATGATTGGAAGCAAATCTAAGAAAGGAAAAGTATGAATAATAACGAAGAATCAGATTTTTAAAATTCCTATTTGATAAAAGAGATGAATATCCAATAGAGGACTTCTCAAGAGATGATATTGGTACACGATGGTTTAGATCTAAACCAGGTGGTCCGAGTCACACATCTAAACGGAACTCTCCCAATCAATAAAAGCATCTAGGAAACATTCAATTTTCCCCCCAGGTTTCAACTGCGAACATATTTTATTAGTAGTCACAAACTGACTTTTGTTGGAAAAAAAAATACTGCTGAGGGTATAGAAAAAATTAAAAGTATGAATAAAAGAGTACAAATTCGAAAACCGTATCCAAAAGGTTTTCATCTTTTTTCAAGAAACAGTTGGTAACTGTGAAGAGTACTTATCAATAGCTCGTTCTTAATCTCAAACGCAGGATTTGCACTTACTCAAATGACGAAGGGACACGAGTTAATCTAGTAAATGGGCACCAGTGAACTCCATATGGCTGCAAAAATAGATTGACGACAGAATTTCATGTAACCCGTTAGCTTAAAGACTTGGTTCTACATTGCAAAACATGTAAACAGATTTGCTAAAAAAATTGATAAAGCCTATGTAAACCAAAAAAAAAAAAAAGAACCAAAAAATATCCAAAGTCATAGTTGAGAGGCAGACCTAAATGAAAACTTGACAAGTTATTGGTGGGCAAAACGAAAAATAGGGCCGAATAAATTACCTTTACCAGAAGTACAATCCAAATGTGATGGCATTCAATAACACGTGGTGGAGATTTATCAATCCGGATGAGTTATTTCAAACTAGTCAAACACTTGAACAGAGCTGATAACTTTTTGGAAACTATATAACGTTTTCTGTGTTTCTGGACAATCAGATTCCCACAAATTTACTTAGAGGAAATTATGAAAACATATGGAGTCGGGATTTCATGAGTTTGACATGGTCCATGCTCCTCACTTTGCTGACATGACCCACGTTCTGATGTCTTTTACGTAAGTGACATGCTATGTGCATAAGTTTTGAAGTACAGAAACAAAAAGGTGACACAAACGGGGACTTGGCATGCGTCGCTATTCGTATTTATCCCCTGTTTTATGCACAAAGTACAAACTATTTATGTCGATAAAATGAATAGTCGTGTTATTCTTTTACAATTCATGGGCAAAAAACTTGAAAAACTATTTTACCGGAGAAGCAGAATAATCAAATACTCAATTGCTGCACTCTTTTTCTTATCCAACGAACATAGCCCGCCTTCATGAAGCAAAAAAGATGCCGACGAGCACCATTAATTTTGTGCGTAGGGAAAATAGTACCTAACTACCCTTCAGGATGGCAATCGTCTCCTTTCGTTTTCAGTTCCAGTCCAAACCCAAGGCTTAACATTTCACTCTCATAGCTCAATGATGGGGAATTGTTAATTGCATATTCTAACAGATAGTAAGGCCATTTAACAATCAATCCAAAATAAGAATGGAAAGGGGTTTAACCACATGAGAAGCTAAATATAAGAATCTATCATTATTAAATCCTTCAGGAAAGAAAATAAATTTGAAAGTAAACGATAATCAAGAGATGACTTGAAAGAATAATATACGAGTTTATGGGGATTCATGCCAAGAGCGTACCATTTCTGAATAATTTAGATCATAAAGATCTTCGTCATATGACCAGTCATCCACACTAACTTCACGAAACGAAAAACAACCGTTTGCATAGAGCCAATTGCCTTTCTCAATTTTTCTACAATTCGGACATTGCATCACTCCTTTGGCATTGAATGCAGAGCCAACACAATCTGAAAATAATTATAAGGCTAAAAATGTAAAACATCTTAAATGATGGTAATATGGCATGTGAATCGGGAGATCCATATAAATTTTGTCAAACGAAAAATTCAAACGTAATGAAAAATTCAGCATGAGGATTGGAATTTCTACCGCAGCACAAGTTGTTGTACTAACAAAACTTGAAAGCGAGAGAAGATTGCAGATATTGGGGGAAAAAAAGAAATTCTAAATCTTCACCTCTAGATGTGTAATGCCCTATGCTATGATGTTATCTTTTGAAAAAAAATAAAAAAATAAAACGAAGTATAATGTCAGTAGAAAGAATAATGCAGATAACAGGGATTTGAACAAGAGCAACGTCATCTCTCAGCTTCAAGTTCTCTCCCAACTCATTCAAACAAACAACACTAAGCTTAATATGATAAAATGGCAGTACAACGACCAAGAATCATCTTGCGGTAAAGTTACAAAGTGCCCAAGCATCTCCAGCATAAACAGCTGGAGTGAAGACGGCAGATCAGATCATGCAGCAGGAGGATAAACAGGCCCTTCTTATGCTTTCTATCTTGTGTAACTCTTCCAGTCCTCAGCCCAGACTCAGACTTTCCCTCCCTTTGCTTGAGATATTCCAAAAAGGAAAATCTGCTTCCCTTTTTCTCTTTAGTGCTCTACCAGGAAATCATATAATAAAGAAGATGGAATTATGCAGAAACTTCAGAAACCTAAGATCTAAAGGCATCAAAATAAGTTGGCGTCAACTTTCAGAATTTATTTATTTTGCTGTGGGACCAGATGTTTCTCAATATAAGATATGAAAATGCATTCATATCAAAGACAAAACAATGACAGAAACGAACAAGAAAACTCAGATGGAGTGGTAAAAGGCAGATAAGAGGATATGACACTGAACTAGAATGAGAGGACCATAAATTAGTACATCAATAGATAGGGATGAGATCGCATAGAGCTCAGACAACAGTGCTAGACACCAAGCCTAAGCACTCTCTATCTGACATAGTTTCCTTATTTGCCTCATTCAGTACATTAATCTTTCTACAAGGTGTATATCATTTCATACGCTTAGCTCCTCTTTTTTGCTTTTTTATTGATATTTATTATTTATCTTTCTATGCTTTTACCCTTTTTCTTCTCTTCTACTCTAACATTTAACGCCATTCCCAAATTTTCTTTTTACCGTCTATCATAGCAAGTAATAGAACCATGAAATTACAATCAACCCCTACCTGATAAATTGATTTTTCCAAGGTATGGCATGGCACAGGTGTCTTTAATGAATTATTTATAATCGGACTGCTTACTGGAACTTCATAGGTTGCCTGCCAAAACTGTATCATGGCAATCCTTTTTCCAAGGTTTTCCCTTCCTCATTAATTTTGACATATCGTTACCAAAATGCCCTGATAAAAGAGTATGCGATATGATGTTGTGTTTATAATCCTTGCCTATTGTTAGGGAGCCGTTTATTATTATTTTTCATTTTTATAATAAAACGGCTACACGGTTTTTGGATAAGGTTTCAAGCTTCTGCGGAGAATGACAAATACGAATTTTCACTATCTGAAAGGCACGCCAAGTTGTTCAATTCCTGACATATGCCGCTTTAGATCAGATCTATTTATTTTCTTAAGACAAGATTTTTAGATTCTGCCGAGCATTACAAGTGTGTATCTATCTTCTCCTCAAACTATCAACTTTTGTTCTACATTTTTATTATCTGAAAGGTATACCAGGATGTTAAATTACCCACATATATTGCTTTAGGTGAGCTCCATTAATTTTCGATAATCAATGTTGTGGCACCACAATCCGAAACCCATGTAAAACAGTCCTCTGAAATGTTTAAGAAATGGTATCACACCATGGCAGCAAGTGTAGATCTTTATATGGCAGCATAATTCCAACTTTGTCACGGCTCCCACACAACTTTTTGGGTGTGTAATACAAGATCTTATCTCTTCATCCATCATGTTCTATGCACTAGATCTCAAATGTAAAAATTAACAAATACATACGTAAAAAGAGCAATTTAAAAAAGTAAATACAGAATTAGAAGAAAATCACCCCATCGCAGTGATTAATCTGTCTCATCACACGCGATCTAGCCACTTAGCAATGAAATATAATACCTCACTTCATCAAGGCACTAAGAAAACGTTCAATTAGCATCAGGCTGGCAAATGACTGGAACAGAAATACAATTTCTTTGGACCTGTTGTGGATGAAGATGACCTTGGCATATGGGATATCCCATGCATGATGACGACGACGAGTGTCAACATTCAAACAAATCTCGGTTCATACCGGTCATTATTGTTGAAGATGGCCTACGCCAACTTCACCTCTGACTACGTCGTGTTCTAACAAACACCATTTCTATTATCAGCGCTCACGTTGATTGTAAAGCAGCCGATGGCGTAAAATACATTCAAAGGACGATTGGGAATTCTAGCAACATGAGATAAGTTCCCAAGATAAACATCCAACATTTTAAAATATCCCTACAGAATATCCAAAATGAAACAGATCCGCGTAACGGAACGCAGTGATGACAATAATCTCAGGCGAGCATCTAATAGTTATAAATTCTAAAAAGAAAGTAATCCAACAAGGAATGAGGACAAGGGGTAATAAAACTGATACAATCTGATTACCGACCTAAATGGAATTGATGACCACACAGCAGTTTCGCTGTCGATCGTTCACCGTCATCCTTCACAGCCTCCAGGCAGATCGAGCACGGGACCAGGGACGGAGAAGCCAATGCTCCATCCCCGCCAGCAACGTCATCACCTTCCGGAACCCCTTCGCCTGGACGCATCCCGCCGTACTAGCAATCCCCTCGTCACGCCGACAGCGGACGAAGAAATCGCAACAACCGGCCCAATCCCGAGGGAAATCACGGACCAAATGCTGAATCGCGGCCAAATCGTCAACTCCTCCCAACCCCGGAGCTGGAACAAGCGAGCCAACTGCCCCCGTACTCTCCGTCCCTCTGCACCTCCTCTCCCTCTCGTCTCATCCTCCTGGCCTCTGATCGCAACGAATCCGGCGCAGAGGAGGATTTATTTAGCTGATCTCTGGCTTTCCGCTCTCGGAGTTTCACCTTTACCCTAGAATACTCCCACGGGCTTCAGAATTCACGGGACCACCCTTCCTCCTCCTCCCTCCTCCCCGAGCCGACCATCCAACCTGACCCCGTCTGAGCTGAATTTGACAGATCTGGAAATGACGCCAGTCCCCATGAGCGAGTTTACCGAGTCGACTTTGACTTTTGGGGAAGGTTACCCGGCCGTTGATTCTCCGAGTTGGCGGTCAGTTTTCTCCATCTCATTCTCGATGGCGTGGTCGCACGTCATTTGATTTTCTTATTTTTTTAAATAACCTCTGATAATAAAGTAAAAACTGAATTGTCACATCCTATTCGGAGTTTAGATAATTATGTTTATGCACATTTTGATCCCAAGCGAAGTCTCTCGTCTTGATGACTGCTCATTAATCTCCTACTGTTCCTCCCTCTAGTTCGTGACCGCCACTATATAATTACGAGAATAATAATGGGCCTGACCCAGGCCCACATAACTTCCACCTTTGGGCTGAGCCAAGGCATCGAGGTGCAATTCGTAATTCCCTCGGCTGGGACAGGTTTAACATTCAAATTAAAAATGTTTCAGAGGAGCTGATATGAAAATTTCAAACGCACTAAGATGCCGCCACGAACTAGCATCGTTGGCAGTCCCATGGAGAGACTCTTCAGGGTATAAATACATCTTCGCCGCCTCTCCCGCGTCAATCCGTCGTCATCCATCGTCTTCCCTTTCGCTTTCCGTTCCAGGAAGAGGAACGAAGATGCTTGTTTACCGGGATTTGCTTACAGGTATGATCAGTGATTTTTTCTCCTCAACTGCCATGCTATATGTCGGCATCGATTGGTAATCTTGTATGATTGTTCGTATGGTTTCGTCCAAGTTCACTCCATTGATGGCTGATTTAGGGAATTTGTATTTGATTCCCTTCTCATTTTGGCTTTCATTGCCTGCGATTCTGTCCATCCTTTCAGGGCAAATAGCCGACGGTTCTATTCGTTCGGTGACCTGAACGAAAATAGAAATGTTCGAACCCTACGTCTGGAGCTTATTCATTTTGGAGGGAGCTTAGCTATGTCATCATCTGATTTTTGTAACGACTTTAGATATTTCGTTTTAGACGCAGGTGGGTGTCAGATACTTTGCTCGATCGTCAATCGCCGGATCATCGGTTTTATTTGATATCGTCGCGTGTGACTTTGCCTTTCCATTCGGGGGTCCCGTGATAGCTCACTCATACATACCGCCGTGAGATTTGAAAAGAAAAGAAAAAGGTTTGAGTTTCTGTCTCAGTGTTTTACTTTCCTTCTGGTCACCTTTTTATTGTTTTTTCCTTGATATTTATGGTTTCACTTTAAAATAAAGTGGCCATCCGATTCCTTGCTTGATCCTAGCTTTTTTGCGGCGTGTCTCGTCTGCGCATGTAATAGTGAAATCGACATTGTCAGAGATGACCGGAAATAATCACGGGGGATCTTCCTACGGTTAATTTACTGTTTTTCCGCGGCTTACCAGTTTGTAAAACTTTGGTTCTCCTATCATATCATCAGTGAGATCAAATGTGATAGTTGTACTCAGTCAGAAGGAACTGTAAAGCATGGATTACATTGGACCAGCACGGAATTTATCGACACTTCAAGCATGGATTACATTGCATCAGGCCTCGCCAAGCCTTCGCATTTGCTATTGTTATTACTGACATAGTTATTACTCTGTCTTAAAAGATACTGTTGTAGTGTTTTGCGCTTTTATCTTTTAATTTCTGTGGTTATTAATGATTGATATGGTTTATAAAATTTAATATCTATATATTATTGTAGTTTTAGTTTTTTTCAGCATATGCATATATTTTTAACATATTTTGATATTTAAAATATTTCTAGAAACATTTTACAAAAGTGGAATCTAATAACCTCCGAAGTTAAATACTTTCCAGAAATATTTATCCCTTTGAATTTTAATCAATCATTTTTAGAATGATAAATACACTTGGAGTTGGGTGTTCGAGTTAATCTTTTTTTGACTGTTTTGTTGCACAGAGGTGTTCAGCCTAGTTTTACACAATGACTCCGAATTTCTCTATTGTTCTATCTTCGGTCCTGTGATCTAAAGTGGTATGGTTTTGCATGAATGGAGTCAGCTACCAGGTTGATTGAACATTCCCCTATATGCTTTTGACTTCAGGTGACGAGCTTCTATCCGACTCATTCCCATACAAAGAGATTGAGAATGGAATGTTGTGGGAAGTTGAAGGGAAGGTCAGTTCCTCTAAAATTGTTCAATCATACCGTTAATTAGTTGATGGTGGTGTCGGGCATGCTGATGGTATTATGTTCCTCCAGTGGGTCGTTAAAGGACCCATTGCCGTTGATATTGCGGCGAATCCATCAGCCGAAGGGAGTGATGAAGACGAAATCGTTGATGACAAGGCTGTTAAAGTCATAGACATTGTCGACACTTTCCGCCTTCAGGTGGTTTCCACGCAGAAGTTGTGGAACTGAGATGTGATTGCATACCAAAAGTTCCAAACCCTCACGGCCTTCGTTCTCCATTACAGGAGCAACCGTCTTTCGACAAGCGTCAATTTGCAGCCTATATGAAACAATACGCCAACAACCTGACCCCAAAGTTAGAGCAGGAGAAGCAAGAGGCATTCAAGCAACATATGGAGGGAGCTACGAACTATCTACAATCTAAGCTGGACGACTTAAAAATGTGAGCACTCAGATGCCCGTTGACTTCCACCATCTTCAACTCCGAACTTGGAGCCGCACAGACTCGAACCCGATGATTTTTCTCTTCTTGAGACAGCTTTGCTGGAGAGAGTATGCACGAGAATGGGAGCCTGGTGTTCGCCTACTGCAAGGAAGGTGCTACCGACCCCACCTTTCTGTACCTGGCCTACGGCCTGAAGGAGATCGAATGCTGAGAAAGCGCGATGTAGGAATAATCTTCGCAGGATCCACAGATGGTTTGGGAGATGTTGTAAATGGGATATACAGCGTAATAGTGAGAAGAGGTAGTAAGTGGGTCAGATTAGTCTACCCGTGCTTTATTTCGATCTCCGTCATGAATGGCCTACTCTACTCTTGGATGTTGTAACTTGTCTATAAAATAATCTACAGCCAGGCTACAGGCAGTACTTCAAACATGAGAAAGTCCTTCATCGTCTTTGCCCGAGAGAGAGAGAGAGAGAGTAAGAAAGAAAGAAAGAGACCACAAAGAACAGGATCTCCTTATCATGATGCTCACATTGGGCGTCTCTTTACGTGAGGAGATGATGGTGCAGGTCATTTATTCTACAACGGAAAGGCCGGGCATGACGTGGTATTCATGACCTGGTGCTTATTAGAGAAGGGGGTCGGACTCGACGGGTGGAGCCCACTTCCCCACCCCCCTGACGCTCAGTGCTTGGGCTTCTTCACTACCATGACACTGCAGTGGGCGTGATGCACACAGTAGTCACTGACACTGCCCAACAGAACCCTGCAAGGAAGGTCGTATAGCCGCGTGAGAAACCGCTCACTCAACGGTAAAACTTTCCTCTTTCTAAAAAATTAATCTTAAAAAAAGAAAAACTTTCCAGGTTCCAGAGCAGTAATAACCTAGAGGGAAATCAATGGGCTGCTGGGTTGCCTGGTTTTCTCTGAACTCGAGCATCAAAACTAGTATTTTTTATTGATCCATGACCATTCACCATGCTACGTGATAAGAAAACTGAGGTCAACCTTCTGATGACATGTGCGACACTTCGTCTCCCAGCTAATGATAAAACCAGTCATACCAAGAATTTTTTTGTGTAAATAATGAAGGCCTAATTATAATTTCTTTTTCCTCGGCCCGTGGGCCATTTCAGTCAATAAGAAACTCAAATCTAAGGTCTCTGAGATGATTTGCTACCTTTGACTGACTATTCCAGGCTATTCTGAGCTAAGGTTTCACCACTAGCACTCGCTTCCAACTTCCCACCACAACGATCTACTTCGACTTCAACCTCTAGGAACCGAATCCTAGTCCAGAGTAATAGAGAACATCTGAAATTTCTCGTAAATTTCCTCATTCACTTGTTGGAAAATCTAAATTCTGGAATGACCTCCCCAAAGGCAGGGAAACCCTTCTTAGAATCTTTCCAACGAGCTAAGATTAGCAAAAGTGTGTAGCATATCATTAGACGTATAAGTATGTTCTCAAATTCCTAACATAGTTTTCTCCCTGCCAACCATTTTTTAATGCTCTTTATAGTTCAAAATTTCAGCGAGAGTAGGCATGAGAAAAATTGAAAACTGACCTTTTAATAGCTCCATAACCATGGCTGCCCATGACCAGCATGGCGGCCTGGTGCTTATCCACAGACTCGCAGATAACATTTCTGGCATCTCCTTCAACCACTTCAAGCAGCACATTGGTCACCTGCATGTATGACAAATGAAAATGAGTTTCTCCCTAGATTCATGGCCTTCTCTACTGAAACATGATCGGATGAGTCATGTACTCATTCTGGGAATGAATCTGAGATAAATGAGCATTTTAAGCTAATCCCCAATGAGCCGACCAAAGGGGAAGAAAATCAAAACTAAAAAGAGAAACTAGACCAATAATAAATGATGATGTATAAACTTATTTCTTCCCCGCGTGGTGAGACCCATAAAACAAATGAAAGAGATGATGAGAAGCTAAGAAAGTTAGAAATTGCATAATTCTTGACACACAATGTTTGATCGAGGGGTCCTGGCTCATCGAATGGATGTAGTGAAACAGAGGGGCGATAATGCAGCCAATGAATGAGGAGAGCTCACGAGTAAATAGGATAAAATGTTTACCGTACCGATCTTTCAAGGCAGATTTTCTTAGCCTTTTCGACCACCCTAGCAGCAATCTTCCTAAGATCCGACTCGACAAATGGGAAAACATCTGCAGCTCCTGCAATCGAAAAACCGCCAGGTGAACAGATGAACCGCCGGATGAAGAAAGTGTACCATGCGCCAAGGATAAACACCGCAGAGATTTCTCCAGCGCGCGTTGAGATCAACACTCCCGGGGGAGCGCGCAGCGAAAATAGACCGAGAGTTCATCCGACCGGATCGCGGTACTCCGAATCAGGGAAGGCTTGGGAAGCAGTGAGACGGGCTGCGCTAAGTGGACGCAAGCAAGCAAGCAAGCAAACCTGGGCCGGCGAGACCAACGACGGAGGCGGGGGAAGGCTTGGCATGGACGATCACCAGGGAGAAGAGCGGGGGACGTTGGTCGGGGTCGGCGAAGAAGCGGTCCAGCGTCCACTGCAGCGCGTAGTAGCTATGTTCGCTCTCGTCCATCCCCACCACAACCACTTTGTTCCCTTCCGCAGGCTTCGTACCCTCTGATCCCGCAGCTTCGGACGCCATTTCCAAACGCCCTCTTGTTCCTCTTCCTCCTCTCGATCCTTTTCTTCATCGGATGAGGAGGACCAAGATATATCTGCGGAGCGTCGCACGTGGATATTGGGAACTTGACGGAAACAGAACGGCGTCAAAAGACGGCGGTGGTGCTGACGCGCTGACGTTCTCACGGACGTGCGAGTGTCTGAGTGAGCCTCGTGATGATCGGATTTTTAGTGAATCTAGTTGCAACAGGCCTACTCACAATCAGGACAACATTAAATACTAGAGTCAACTCCAATAGTCATATCTTGTTCTCATGCAACAACACCATCCAAAAATGACAACTAAAGGAGGGAGTTCCAAATGACAACACCATCTAGTTTGAGATCCTACCACGAAAATATAACAAGGAGGGAGGAAGTTCCAAATGCTCATTTTTAATGAAGTAGACCCTAAAGGATGAGTCTTTGGAGTATACCTACTCTTCTCTATGTTTGAACTCATGGTGGTTGAGATGTTTATGATAGTAGAATTGAGGCTCGAAGGAAAAAAATCCATGTGATTTAAATTGATTGACACTTGAAAATCCTCATGAAATTGAGAGGATTTAAGCTGACACTTGCTTAAACACTTTGGCTTCAACCAAACATGATCATTTTATCAAACAATATTAGAAATTAAATAGTGAGGTTTAGTGGCAAAATGAAGGAAATAATTTGAGAGGGAGATCTTCCAGAACATATCATTGACTTCACTTTTTTCCAAAGGATTACAAAAGAACATTCAAAGTGATGTACAACTCATTAAACAACATCACACTTAAAACTCTTGAGAATATCAAAAGTTTATGAGCCTTTAAATCCTTAGGTGCTTTAGCATTAGAGTATGTCCTACATAAAAAGAAGGGTTAGATATATTTTTATCACACAAAAGAGAGATTAGTTAAAGAGATACGACAATGGACATAGGGAGTTCAATCACTAGCAGTAAGAGGATTACTCTCATCCTTGCCAAAATTCAAGTTTATTGAGCACATGGTTTTATTGTTTGTGTATTGAATTTTTTTTCTGGGACATCAATGTTGTAGAGCATTGAAAGATATTAATTGTTCAAGAAGATAATATTACTAATGTAGATCCAAAAGATACTAGCAACAATCTGGTCAGAAAAAAATTTCTTTCCAATGAATAGTTATTTTTCAATTCACTTACAAAAAAGTCTCTAGAGCTTCAAGGTAGGATCCAAGATCCAGCAATAATGGTGCCCATTGACATATGAACAACTTATAACTTTGTATCTTAAGGTATTGTATAAGAAATAAGACTACAAATCACAAATATACTATCAATGAGAAGGCGTCAGGATCCAAACTTTACAAAGTGGTTGTGTTTGAGCTACAAGGTCTCACTATTTGTGGAGACCTATTAATTTTGTTGTTACTCACAGTCAACATCCAATTGAGCCTTAACTAGATAAAGTTAAAGAAATAATTGAGTTCTACTTTGACCAATTGAAATTTTAAATACATCTTGAAAAATTATATTGAGCAAAGATGTTTACTTGAGGTATCCCTAAACCTACATCTAGAAAAAAGGATATGGACAAAACTACAATTCAAACACATGAATTACATTGTGAATTCCTTGTAATGACATTCTGTCTCTCAAATGACTTAGCAACATTCAAAACTTTTATGAAGTAATTTTTTATAATTTCTTTGGAAATTTGTGTTGATGATCTTAAATGATATTTTTATTTATACTATTAATATAAAGACATATGAACATTACATATTTAGATCTTTGACACTATCCAATCAATTCAATCACATGTCAATTCAAAAATGTGTCTTTATATAGTTGAAGATTACATATTTAGGTCACTGAGTGTCAGCTAATGAAGTGATGGTCAATATTGATAAAGTAGAAATGATGTCCTTATGACTTCCTACAAATAATTTGAAATAACTTTGAGGCTTCATTGAGTTGACTGACTATTATCATTATTTCATTAAAGGATATGGGTCTCTACCCTAATTGCTGACCCTACTCTTAAAATATGACATTTTCAAATGGAATTTAGAAGTAGAAATAATGTTCCACCTACTCAAAAACTTTTTCATCACAACATCACTATTAGTTATTCTTAATTTATCTTAGATTTTTGAACTTGAAGCTAATGCTTCTAGTAGGGAAGTAAAGGTAGTACTAATCTAGAGCATGTGACCCATTGCATTCCTTAGTCAATGTTTGTTCTTTGATGATGAATTCAAATTTTTTTATGAATGAGAGATGATGTCAATCATTCTTGTTGTGTTGAAATGTAAATACTATTTACTTCAGAGGAAGTTTCTAATCTTTATATATTAACATAGTCTTAAATTCATTTTGAAGTAATGACAAGTCCTTCAAGATGATAATAAATTGCTCTCTACAATCATTATCTTTAACTTTGAGATTCAACATAAGGCAGTAACAAAAAATAAGACATCTAATGCTTTATCTTGAGGACCTAATTTTCCACATTACATACTATGGAGCCATTGTTACCCAAATTGATCAATTCATATCAAATTATGTGAGATAATCTCCTGGTCCCCTAATTATCTATTATCATAAAAGAATTGCAAGAAAAACTCAATAATTGTCCTTTGTGTATTTTGCATCAAATTATCTTATTTCATCATCAATGGATCATTATCTCAAAAGACTCAACACTAATATCATATATTTAAAAGAACTTGCATGACATAGTGATTAAAGAGTAGTTCAAATTCTTTTGAACTTATAAACGAATCCCATAAAACATCCAATATAATGGTATGAAAAATGGTATTAAGCGGTATGTCACATCCTATTAGATTTTTTAAAAGAATAAGTTAAAGTCTACTTCACCAATTTAACTCTTTCAATCTCTTCCCATTCTTGGTCAGATTTTGGAAAGATATTTTGATGACTTCATCAAATGATTACTCAAATCACAAGGGTTTTGTTCAATTTTCATTGTGACGGACTGACTTATTAAATATGCACATTTCTTAACACAAACATTTGTTCACTAGAGAGGAGGTGACTCATGTATTCATTAGTGGTGTGGCATGCTTACATTGAATCCCAAGGTCAATCTTCATACATTAAGATTTAATTTTCATGAGCATCTTATAGATATATATTTTTAATCACAATGTACCTACTTACAATTTACCAACCCTTACTGCCCACAATCTAATGACCAATCATAAGTCATAAACCATGGTTTTGAGACATATCTAAGGTGCTTCTTTGGTGATCATCATTGACAAAAGGTACAAATACTTCACTTAGGTAAAGTACTAATTCAATGCTAATTTCAATTTCTCAATTAGGATAATACCTTTTAATTCAATACTAATTCACTTCTATTATGAAATTAATTTTGCAAAAACATGTGAAGTTGATCATCAATTACAAGACCATAATGTCACCCTAAATCAACTCAAGCTCCACCTAGTTTGAACACAAGCTTGGATGAAGAGCTATGTGGATCAGAATCAATGAGATGTTAATTCTGCTATCGATGATTAAATATTTCAGCATTTACTATCCTACCAACATAAGACTCTTTGCAATCAATCCTATAAGCAGTTTGGGTCATATTTATTTAGCCAATAAAAGATTATGGAGTGTATTGGGCCAATCACATATCATACCTAAACGAGTGTCTACCTTGTGTTCCACCTTGTGAGCAGGGTGAAAATCTTATGAGGGAGCATTGATGAGCTCATTGTACTTCTAGGCCCACTGCAAAAGAAAAGAAGTTGATTGTAGTGATTAACCAGTATGTACACTGTTGAGGTCAACTCGTAACTATTTAGGGCTCAACAAATTGATTACGAGGTTCGCAGCTACCTCCTTTCCACCTGTAGATTCTATAATCATATTAAGGCAACCATTATTGACATAAGAGAATAAAGAGTCATTGATGCTGATAAAAAAGACTTACAACCTGAGGAGAGAGGGAGTCTACTCTCTTGTGGTATTGTAAGGAGATCAACCATCTCGAGTCAATCATTATCGATAGTCTACTCATTGTCCTTCTCTTGTTCTTCTTGTAATTATTTTTTGTCATTGGTACTCTCCCTTTGAGTTCTGCGGAGGATTGAGTGTTTTGCTCCATCTACAATTTCTCTATTTCACTTGTGTTACGCAGAGGATGTCATCCTCTTGCCAATTCCTACATACTTTCTTCTCCAAAGTATGGGTTTAGATTTGACATTTTTCTCTCTTTATGATGTTAGTGATTGTTATCATTTATTCAGTAAAAATTGGCACCACAATGTCGATTGCAGCGCCGCCTGTGTGGCTAGGGACAACAGAGTGATCACGTCACTAGTGTAGGATCAATAGGTGACTCTAATGATGCAGTGACCCAGTGGCTCCAGTCCACAGGCTTTCAGCATCTGGCATGTTCGATGGCATTTACTGACAAAAAAATTCATCCCAAATATTATGTAGGTATGAAATTATTTTCTTGGCTGCTATTAGTAAACAAACTTTAATTTTCTGGCAACGTGGGGAAGCTATTTCCTTTGCTTCATATCTGTATTGTTTCCTTGATACTAGTGCTCTAGGTCCCATGTCTTCTTTGATACATTTTGAGTCTACTCATGATTAGTGATTGTGCTCATATTAACTTGGATTTACACAAGTATCATACTATTGTACTAGGAGGCCATCAAATATTTCTTCACACTTACAATCGCATCATCTAAAACATATATCAGATGAGGATGAAATAAGATATTGAGAAGTATGTCGAAGAATGTAATGATCCTGATCGCTCTCTTCCCATCGGGGTCCTCGCCGGCGGACGCTGCTCCGCCGGAAATGACACGAGACGAGAGTTGAATGGGGCCAGCCGTTGACAATGTCCTTCGGAGCTGGAAGGAATCCCAGCGCTACCGACGGATTTTATCTTGGTCGAAGAGAAGGAAACTGAGATCCCAAAGCAGAGGAGCAGAGGGAATCGTCGACGTCGGCGGAGGAGAGGATGTCGTTGAGCAGTGCTTCCGCCGGTGCAGAGGATCAGGGCGGCAGAGGGAGTGACCGTAGGAGGTCGTCGACAGCGGGTTGCGACGGAGCACCGCCGATCTCTGGTGGACTGCCGGCCTTGTAAGGCCGACGGCCGAGGTCCCCACGCGGGGTTGCCCGTGGTGGTGATCCTCCCGGCTTGAGAGACGACCCGCCAGGTAACTCTCGCGGAGGTTTGACTGGGCAGGAAGGGGAAGCCCCACGTTTTCCAACGCGGGCGAGATTTTTCCGACATGTCTTCTTGTGTTGTCTTCTTCAGCTGCCAGATCACGCCGTCATCGCTGGAGGCTATTAAGTACCCATTTGGATTAACAAAATGATCCGGTGTGGACTCCTGTCCACGTCGGCGTCTCCGTCTCCTCGCCGGCCAGGGGAACGAGTCCGCAAAATCTCCTAGAAGACATCTCACGATACGGAGAGAGGGAGAGGGAGAGGGAGAGGGAGAGACAGAAGAAGGGAGAAACGAAGGAGGGAGAGGAGGGCGCAGTTCATGTGCGAGGAAGAAGGTGCAGGTCGCCGGACTACAAAGAGAAAGAGCTGGAATCAAAGGAAAAGAGGAAAGGGTCGCTACTTCTTGAGGAACTCAACAAATGCGCGAATCCAAATCGTGGGATAGGCATAGTTGGAGGACAAGTCTATCAGTAACAAGAGTTGGTAAAAGTAGTCTATGATCCCCAAGTCGGAGAATAAGAACTTGTAGATGAAGAGGAGCTGGTTCCAGTAGAAAAAAATGTCGAATCCAAGGATGTAGATTGATACAAGGGAGATGAGACGGGGCCGAATTTTCAATCTGCACAACACCTGGATGAACTTCATGACGATTTTGTAGGCGAGATCGACGGCGAGGTCGGCGACGCTGTGGGCAACGGCGTCGAAGATGGCCTTGCGGAAGGTCGGTGAGAGCAAGAAGAGGATTATCGCCAACAACGCGCTCAGCCCCAGCATCTGCAGGAGCGTCTCCCACAGCACGACCCCCCAGCCGCCGCTCTCTGGTTCGTCTTCCTCCATCTCGCCCGCGCCCCCCCCCCCCCGAAGAAGACGCTCGTCTGCCGGCGCCCCCCGTCGTTTTTCTTTATACTCGGGATCGAGACTGGGAACCAAGACAAAAACAAACCGTGTTGGGGAGAAGTCAAAGGAACCAGTAAATTTCATAAGAATACGGAGACTCAAAGTAAGCCCCCTTGTCTCTTATTTTACTCTTCCTTAAAATAATAATGGTCAACCACCTCCCTTATGTCCAATTATTCCACAGTCAGGATGAGCGCCCCACCCCAACAGCGGGTTATCGCATCCCGTGTACTAAGTAACAAGATTTTTCACCGTCCTAAATCCTTGGATATTTATTTTCTTCGCACTATTTTTTTAAAAATAATCGCAGAAAAATCAATCCCACAAAGAACTTGCACACTGGTTGAAACGATGTGTTGACTTTGCCAATAATAGACTATATATGTCGATAAAATTATCCTTCTGTTCTTGCTCCCAAGTGGTCCGCGGGGGGGCGGGGGGAGGCGGGGGTTGTCAGAGGACTGCGCAGGCGGCCAATGTACTTGAAAGGGAAGTCAACGTGCCGGATTGGACCTGAGGAAAGCCCCAGAGCTGGGCATTGAAAAACAAAAAAGACCCTATAAAATAGGCTTTGTGGTGGGCACATGTGAGGAATGGGTCAGCAAAAGAGATAGAGAGAGAATAGTTAGCGTTCAAAAAATGGGTATTTGACTTTAGGATTCGATCTTGTTGGAGTTTGAACGTCTGCCAAGTAATGACATTTTATTTTTCTTGGTGGGGGCAGCGCGTAGATTTGGAAGTTTGTAAGCACTGGAAGACTCCTCACCCGCAGTGCTAGCTGAAAGCGAGAGAAGATTGCAGATATTGTGGGAAAACAAAACCATATGCCGTGATGACATCTTTCGAACAAAGAAAAGAAGAAGAAGAAGAAGCTACAACGGATATAATGTCAGTATAAAGAACAAGGAAAACGAGAAGGATCTGAACGAGCGCAGAAAAAAGCGTCATCTCTTAGCTTCAACTCCTTAAAAAACAAACAACTCCTAACATCTCCAGCACGAACAGCTGAAGGGAGTGAAGGCGACAGATCAACAGCCCCTTCTTACGCTTTCTACCTTGGTATAACTCTTCCAGACCTTCCCGAAATATATCCCACACAGAGGAACGTATAGTTCCCTTTTCTCTATAGCTCTCTCTCCGCTGGGAACTATGCAGAAACCGTAGCAGGTTGCAACCATGAGCTGTGATGGTGCCGCGATACTAACGACAAACCTGAGAAATAAACAAGTTGGCGTTAACTCTCATAATTCATTTATTATCTTATTTTTAAATAACCTCTCAATTATAAAATAGAAATGAATATTCATGTCCTATTCAGAGTTTAAATGACTATCCTCGCGCTCGCTCTCATCGATCGACGCCACAACCACCGTATTTCCTTCCGCAGGATTCGTACCCTCTGATCCCGCAGCTTCCGGCGCCATTTCCAAAGCCCCTCTTCTTCCTCTTCCGCCTCTCGGTCCTTTCTCTTCATTTGATATATTGGATCATCGCACGTGCATGGTGGGAGCTCGACGGAAACAGAACGGCGTCTAAAGACGGGTGACGCTGACGGACGGACGCGTCGGTCTCACTCACGTGCGAGTGCCCGAGTAGACTTTGCCACGGTCGGTGAATATTATAATAAGCATTTCACAATCATCCCCAAAAATCTTCTTACGCTGATGTTGGGATACTTCCCGTACTTAACGGTATATTATACTGCGGGTTATTTATGCTAGACTACTCCCGCGTACGCCGCCCATCGTCGAAAGTAAACTCTCTCTCTCTCTCTCTCTCTCTCTCTCTCTCTCTCTCCTACCGTCGGCCTCTACCATCCAACGAGCACGAACGAGGAGGAAAAAGAGTGGAAGAGGGAGGCGGGTGGCACCGTCACGCTTCCTTTTTGCCCAGATTTGGGTTTTCGCTCCCTGCGATCTAGAGCTGGAATCTCTCGACGAGTCGTTGGAACCAGGCCTCGGTGGATTGACGAACTGAGCTGGGTGAGAACCTCACACTTCGTCCCCTCGATCTGTGGTAAATCGGCTCCCCGCCTGGGCATTACAGGTAGATGCGCTCATTCCGGTGTCCCTTAGGATCTCTCTGTTTCTTCTGTTGTAGGGCCGTGGAGGGGTTCCTCGAAGGATTTAATGTTCTGCTCCGTCTGCGATTTCTCTCTTTCACGTGTGTCCCGCAGAGGATTTCACCCTTTTGCCAATTCCTGGATCTTGGGAGATTTCCGTCTCAGAGTCTAAGTTTGGCATTTTTCTTTATTGTGGCTGCAGTTATCGTTCTCATTTGATCGGTAAAAATTGGCGCCACAACGTCGATCGCAGCGCCCCATGGGTGGCCAGGGGCAGCAGAGCAATGCTGCCTCGGCGGCTTCTCTGTATGACAACCACGCCATTGGTGTGGGGCCAGTGGGTGACTCCGGGGATGCAGTGATGGCCCGCTGGCTCCAGTCTGCAGGACTTCAGCATCTGGCTTCTCCGATGGCGTCTACCGACAACCGATTCTTCCCAAATGTCATGCAGGTGTGAAACAATTTTCTCGGCTGCTTTTGATAAATGAACTCGAGTTGCCGGGCAATGTAATGAAACTGTGTTATTTGCTCCAGAGCTGTATTTTCCCCCTGAGACCAATGTTCTAAGTCTCGTGTCTTCTCCTGATAACTATTTTGTAACTTTGTTCTTCTGGAAGTGATTGTGCTCGCATTAACTTGAGTTTGCTCGATTTTCAGTGCTTCTACGTTTGTTACTTGTAAGATTGGATAATCTTATAAGTATTCTTCTCCATCTCTAGCAGCGGCATTGGCGTTTTTACTTTTTACATAAAATGCAGTTGATTAGCTTAGACTGCCTTTATGCGCGTGGGTGAACTTTATCAAGGTTCAAATGTTGATTCTTTTGTTGATCTTCTGTTGATGCCATAATATCCGGTGTTGCATGCTTGTTATTGTAGGGCTATGGAGGGCAGTCCGTTGAGGAGAAACAGAGGCTCTTTAAGGTTTTTAAGAACTTGAACTTTAATGGAGAATCTGGCTCAGAACCATATATGCCGGCCACACACCCTTTGGGGGGAGTCAGTGCCATTGATGGCTTCTATTCACCTGAACTGAGAGGGGAGTTTGGGGCTGGACTTTTGGATCTTAATGCAATGGATGATACAGAACTTATTTCTGAGGTACATTGTGCCTCTCTGAACCACCATTTTATAATTCTCTGAGCTAATGAGATGCTACCTGAAGAGACTTTATTCTGTAGCATAATTTATTTTTTCTGCCCACTGTAAACCATATATATGTTGTGATAGTAATCGTTGTCAAAATAATTTATATATGGTCTTAAAGTTTACCGGCATATCTTTGGCCTTGCATATACAAATCTTTCCCAAGCGTTGAAGTATTAGTTTTATTCTATTGTTTGTCGTCATTTAGTTCTTTTTGTTGAGGTTGGTTGTGGTATATTGTCGTTATGAGTGTGGCCTACCTTGTCCAATGATTCTTCATGAATCACATGGTCAGATTTCAAGATTGCCCCTCTTCAGTGCACTTTTCATGTCCAATTGTGTCATATGAGATCAATAAAATTTGTCTGCTCGCCAGTATTGCTGGTGTGCCTGCAGTGCATTATCTATTAGTGCTTGTACATGACCTTCATGATGCTTTCGGAGCTTGAGATAAGTGCTTGCATGAGTGTCTGGCATCAGACGCAAAAAAATCGTGTGCATTTTCTCTTGCTATTGGCTATCCCATGTGCTTCACGTCCCCATCTGCACAGGCTTTGTCGCCCCTTGTTAACGTTAGTGAAATTTAAGTTGCCTCTAACCATTTACAAACGGGGCATACTTAGTTTCAAGAACTATTTCTGTTCGAGATAAGATTTATGACACACAAATGCAATATTAGCTCGTTATTCATGGGAAGATCAATATAACATCGTCCAGTATCAAATAACTCGACAGCTTGCTGTCAAACCGAGCTAGTGACATTTTCTATATGCAGTGTATGAACTTTAAGTGCTTGAATTGATATTTGTATAGAATCTAAGTTTCTGGTTCTTGTGGTGGGAGGTGCTCTTCATGTGGTTACCTGTTGAATATTTTAGCTAAGATACCTGATATTCTCTGACGAACTTTTTCTACCACTTATGTATCATTCCTGTCATGTGACATGGGCAAAATTTTGAAAAGGAAAGAAATATCATTTTAACATTTGTGTCATAAAAAGAATTAGTCATGAAATTGACTGATAAATTCTAGATCAAACTTGCATATGGTTTTCTGGGAACCCATCAACGATTTTGCAGTTGCCGGCACATTGTTATTATTTTTCAAAGTCCGCAGAGAAAATGAATTTCTTTATCTTGATTTTCATTGCCTTTCCGTGCTAATTTATCTCAACATCGTTTAAAGGTTTTCTCCTGTTTCACTGATATTTGAGCTCTTTGCATTCTTTGCAGCATGGTATATCGCAACCCTTTGAGTCATCACCATTCATGCCTGGTGGGAATTTTGATAGTGACTTTGATATAGTTACTGCCAGGCCACTGAAAGGGCAAGCTGAGAACAGCAGTAGATTATCAGCTATTGAAAAGGAGCCTAGCGCAAAGGAGAGCAACATAGCAAAGATTAAAGTCGTGGTATGTTAAGACATTTTCTGCAGGTTTCTTCAGCAGCATAGAGGGTATTTGCATTTTTATGCTGAATGCTTCCATGAAATGCAAAAATCACCTCACCATTTCATGCATGCACTCTTCAGATTTGCCTTTTAAGTGAATAGATTAGGTGGACCCAAATGGAAATACTCCTTGACAGAGAGTACAGGTGATGGTGACTTAATTAATTATGCCCGTTGAAAATCTGGTGGTGCTACCCAAAGACTTGAATGAATAGCCATCGCTGTTAAGAACAACCGAGAAAAAATGAGATGGTAGTATATATTTGTTATATTGAATATGTGCTCCAAATATTCAGATAAAGATAATTCGTGTAAAATATAGTAGATTAGGAATGTTAATAACTTCTTATTATTATTATATAATGCTTTTTTCAAAAGGATTCAGGTTGTGTTTCCTCCAGATATTCAGAAGAACAACCATTATATAATGCTTTTCGAGATATTCTCGTTGTGATTCTACTTAATATGTTGAATCTATGTATGAATATCCTCCTCTTTCCGATCTTTGAAGGGGAATGCTGATTTAGGCATAATCTGATCCATAGACCATGTGAAATTTCTTTCATGTATTTTTTATTTTGTTTAGATTCCAATTTATAATTATAAGTCTTTACTAAATGATCCTCTTGCACATTTAAAGCAGTAGTTACTATTATTTTATGTTTATATTTTCGGTTAGTGTTCTTTCCCTAGCCCTGAGAAAATGTTATCACATTGTAAAATGGATAAAATATAACTGGGTTTATCTGAGCCACTAAACTTTGTTTGAAGAAAAGAGAAATCGGTGCTTCACTAGTTATATTGCTTTTGAGCAACCTGTGATGATGGTTTTTGCCATAAATATATATTTATTAATTTTTTGGCTTGATAAAACTGGGATAAAATTATTTTATTCCAGGTTCGTAAAAGACCTTTGAACAAAAAGGAGATATCTCGAAAGGAGGACGATATTGTAACTGTGCATGATAGTTCATATTTGTCTGTCCATGAGCCTAAGTTGAAGGTTAGTGTTTATGATACGAGTTAGATTTAATCTTTTCGTATTGGTGCTAGATGCCCCAAGCATATGGAAATCTGATCCTTTTTTTGCCAGCATTATTTACTTTATCTTGATGTCTTGCTTGTATGCATGCAGGGATCTAACTGCAGTTAGTTGTGTCAGGCCAATGGTTGAGGGTCAACACTACCAACACAAATTCAAAATAGGCCAGCCCTGATTAATTTTACGTGCTATATATGTATCTGTACATTTTATATACCATATGGACTCCCTAATAAAAATAATTAGATTATATATATAAACACATCCATATATTTATGTATATATATAAGTATCTACACACATATATAGATAGAGAGAGAGAGAAGCCTTGAAGTGCGATACAGTTTGTAGGAAATGTGTTATTCACAGAATTATGTGCATTCCATAAACGTCTACATTAATGGACCATTAGCTGGCTGAGGTAGATTGATTTCGTGGAACTGCAAGTAGGCCCATGGACAGGGATGTGTTTTCTTTACGAGTAATAAATGCAAAGTCTGGCAGGACCTTTTTTTGGCGCCTAAACCAACACGGACGACCAACTGTTAAACGCACCCAAAACTCGCTGGTAGTGTGGCTCATTGCCTTGGCCGAGTAATACATATGTGTCTGCGCTGATTTTTGGCGTATTAGATTATGCTGGTATTTATCTTACTATGTATATATTTCTTTAACATTTCTGGTTATATATTTACATTGTAATTTACGATGACTCAAACATGGCACACAAGTTATTCTTTTTAACTGGAAATACATGCTCTTTTTCTTGGACGATCGAAATGTATATTCTTCGGTTTTTGTTCTCATATTTTTCTCTCTAGGCAAATTTCTTGTGAATCATGCAAGCATTCCCCTCAACATTGTTTGGAAACAATCGATTGATGGTTTTCAGTAACTTGGCCACTAATGGAGACCGAAATTGGAGATACAAACGGAGAGGAATAACCAATTGATAAATCAACATGAAACCATTCTGTTTCAATAGAAGTACGGGAAACGGTTGGGGACAATGAAGTTGGTGAAGTGGTTGGATTTTGCAAGCTGTTCCAACCACTACTAGATATAATTCTAAGAGCCAGAAACGAATGAATACCACACACAACGTGCTGGTACCCGAATCACCCCTCAAGAAAGGCACGTTGCATCAGGGAAGCAAGTTAATGTAATCTACTCATTATCATTGCCCAGTTCCTTTCCTACTTGATTGATCTGTTTTGCGACCTGAAAAATGCAAGTTCCTCGAAATCGAACGGTCATGCTTAAACCCCTCACTTAAGAGAAAAATCCACAAAGCTGAAATTGTAGAAGAACAGACCGATCAAATGGAACATGGGATTTTCGTCGACAGAGAGCTATGGTCTGCTTTCTTTCTGCCATAATTACCTGTCTTTTCAAAGAGTTCATATCTTTAAAACTCCTCGCAGAAGTTGTTTGGCGAATCTCTGTTTATTGGGAAACGAAAAGAATAACGAATGTTTTCTATATTCCCTGATCTAGATTAATGGTTCAAGATGAACAGTTATGGTAGAGTTTGTGACCGTCATCATGTATGTTGGCATTAAACCTAAAGCGAAGAGGAAAAATGAACTGTCATAAACTCAGAAGTTGCGTTTAGTGTATCTTCCAAGGCACTCCATTTCCCCTATCTGCTCCCCTTCACAATTTTTCGTTCAACATGCATATCTTTGGATCACTGTTGGTCACCCCAAGATGTACTTCCACTGGTTACTACAAAACTTTAGCCCGACCAGCTCATTTTTGCACTCTACTGCGCTCCCTTACCTTTTTACCTCGTTCTGGAAAACTATTCTGTAAAGAAAAATGATTAGGTATTTGATTTAATTGACAAGGGAAAATCATCTGAGGATCCTTAGAGTTTCTTGTGGGTCTCCTGTCCAATGCTTGTGTTCAAACTATTTTTCACGGCAGAATCTCAGCAGTTAGTTCAATCATATGGTTTTTCCAATTTGAATGTTGTGATTTGCGGTAATGGTTGCCAGTGATGTTTCATAGGTGGACCTTACAGCTTATGTGGAGAAGCATGAATTCTGTTTTGATGCTGTTCTTGATGAGAATGTTAACAATGATGAGGTAACAGTCTCTATCATTGTACTATCGGCACTTTCCTTGTACAGTTTTCCCCCTTTTTGTAGCTAACATTATATTCGAAAAGTAATAAATATCTTTCTGTACTTTGGTACCTGTTGACTTCTTTCTGACGTCTGCTATGCCAGGTGTACCGTGTCACTGTGGAACCCATTATTCCTACTATTTTTCAGAGAACGAAAGCTACATGTTTTGCATATGGACAGACAGGTGCTGATCTCTTGAACTCCCCGTGGTGCTGTGATTAAACCGCTTAAAGTAATTAGATTATTTTTCTACTGTTCATATGTGCTCAGAAACTGTTAGATAAGAGGGGGACGGCAATGTTTTGTGACAAGGTGCTAAGTGATGTGCAGATTGAATAAGTAGACGAGTCAAAGGTTTGTAGCTGTAAATTATGAAACATGTACAAGTTGAAGAAAAAAAATTTGGCGTCTATGTTGTTCTTATACCATTATAAATAACTCCAGGTTAAATATTATGCTTAATATTTGCATAAATATTTGAAATTAAAAGGAGGAAGCGTAATGTTTACTCTCAGCATTGAGAAGTGCACGCCTGTGAAAGGTATGAGTAGGACATTCATTTATGTAGTTTTATAAATCTATGAAACTTCTAATTTATAGACACTAAATTTAGTTTAGAATATTTACAGTGTATTGCAGTTAGATATGTAGAACTACAGAGTTAGCAATAATAGATTCAGGAATGATGGGAGATAGAAACTAGAAAGGGGTAGTGCAGGATAAACTTAAAAACATACTGGAAATGGTAAAAAGCTGAAAAATCCCAAGATATAAACAAGGGGTGAGTTCTATATTTCTAGGGAATATTTACAAAAGGTCAGAAAATGAAGGGATTGTGCGGCTTATTAAGTGAATGGATTCGTGCCCTTCTAGAAAAAATAGATTGGACATACACCCCAAAACTCTATAATTGGTTCTTCAAATATACCTTATTTGTAAGAGATTTGACATGTATAGCACCTATTTCTTCCACGAATCCATGGCAAGAGCTATTTTGACAACGTTATACACGAATCCATCAACTAGGAATTCTACTAATTGTTTCCACAAGTTGTAAAACTGTGATGATTGATGCAAAGATTTCACCTTATAAGAGCAACATGCAAAGTATCTCCACATGGTCAACTTCTATCAACTTCGATCAACTTGAACATAGCACTAGGTTTCTCCACATGGTCCGCTGTTTTTCTCTTTCCACTTTTCTGGTTATCTCTGAGTGAAGGATTTAAACAACAAGGTACATTTTGTCGCCTCTGTTACACTCCTGTTGATTCCTACTCCTTTCCATATCTCCCCTGATATCATGGGGAGCTTAGACACTTCAAGAAAAATAGAAATCCTTAAATGGTGTCGAGTTCAACACTCACCTCGGGGATTAGGTTGCCTCTAGCGTGGCATACTCTTTTTAATTATCCACTTCTATTTACTTGACCTGTGTCATTGAAGCAGTGAATTCTCAGAACTGTGTTGTGTGCTTTGTTGTTATGATGCGGATACCTTGATCATGCTTTCATCTGACAGATCCAAGGTTTTTCAGGTTTCTTCTATGAAGACCATATTTCGTATTTTCCCATAACACAGACTGTGTCATGTTTGTCTTATGAGTATCTGATAAGGTCTCGAACAGGACCCTGCCAAGGCAGCGAACAGAATGCACAGATCAGAGGGAGATAGATAGATGAACACAGAATAATCAGATAGCACGAAACAAGAACAGACGGGGAAAGGGTTTCCGATGAAACCCTAGAATAGTTCGGGACGAACTTTCCTCTCAAAAATGCCTCTTACCAGTACATATACCCTCACTCCCGAAATGGGCCTCGGGCCCAATTCTCCTTTAGTCCTTACCCCCTTCATTCCTTTTGCGGCGGTAAGTCCAAAAAGGGCTGGGTTCGTAGGACCCTGCTCAGACCCGATAACGGACCCAATTTGAGCATTGTAACGGGACCTATCAGTATCTGAACTCCACGGAGGTTGGACTAATTTATCATTGTTAGTTGAATATTGGTCTGATTTTACTAGTGTCGACATGTTGCTGATGCTCAATCGTAATTAGTTTCTTAATCTTGGTCTTGTTGGGTGAGGAGAGAACTTTCAATTTACCTTATTTCTTACTTCTTCTTTGTCGTTTATTGTTTTCAATACTTCTATAAATGGTTTCTCGTCTTTACACGTATCATATGGTTGGATTTTGGTCTTCAGGCAGTGGAAAGACGTTCACTATGCAGCCGTTGCCCCTGAGGGCTTCAGAAGATATTGTTAGACTTTTGCACCAGCCAGTGTATAGTAATCAAAGGTTTAGGTTATGGCTTAGCTACTTTGAGATATATGGTGGGAAGCTTTTTGATCTTCTCAGTGACAGAAGGTTAGAATTTGGCATTAATTATTGGTTCCTTATGCATCAAATTTGGTTGCTTTTAGTTGCGTCCAATGCATTATTTGGCAGATAATATTAAAAATGTATGTTTTGTCTTTGGATCCAAACCCAAGTTATTATCGAATAGGCTATATGGCCTTCAGAGTGCATCCTTAGGTTAGGCAATTGTTTGGGGTCGTTTTCTGTGAAAATCTGTGGACAGATGAAAATCTCTAGATTCCATGCATCAAAGGATAAGGCTGGGAAAAAAGTAGTGTTTAAGTATTGCACTTCTTTAGATTGCGGATTCGAAGACGCTTCAAGAAGGATGCATCAAGATAGATTGCAAAGAAATATTGAAAAACTGACAATAGGGTATGAACTAATTGCAATCAACAACATGGTATATTGCTAAAATGGTGTTTTCAGTTCTGTAGATTGAGAAGCGCGAATCTGAGGGCAAATTTATGAAATAACGAGGAGTCCAATATTTAAGAGATCCTTGGTTGGAATAAAACTTGTTTTTTTGTGATATGTATTGGAATGTTTTCAGAGTCTCGGTAAAAACAGAGTTTCCATGTCTGCCCATATTTAGTAGGTTTTTTCTTGATGATGTACGATGCGTCGGTGTTCTTTTATCTCCAATCGTTTTACAAAACGTTTAATTGAAGTGTACAATCGTCACTGGTTCTTTGAATGAGGCCAATAGTGTGTTTTCACCGGGGAATGAATACCAGATACTTTGGGGACTTTTGAAATGGTTTGTCGTTAAGTTGCCCATGGAAGTTGAGTAGGAATACGTTTCATAGTGTGTTCCACAGGTTGTGGACAGTTTGGATACATTAAATGCCTTGGTTGGCTTATTACACGTAGTTTATCATTTTTTGGGGAAAATGTACGCAATATAACATGAAACGATTAGAGAAAGTTGAAGATTTATGATATTTAAACTTAACGAGGGAAATATTAAAGGTTTGAATGAAAATGAAATCTTTTTTCGAATAAACGTCTCCCATCAACGCTATTTTGTATGACATCCAATTGTTTGGTTCCCAACGATTGCCTGGGTCTCTTGGATATTGTGTGGCATCCCAGGAGAGTTCGCCATGAATATTCTGCAGCCAGAAAACAGAAATCTTATGTAATATGTGTATGTCTATGTACATATGTTTCCATCTGACCAATGTGGCTTTTTCATAATGGACAGGAAGCTGTGTATGAGGGAAGATGGTCGGCAACAGGTTTGTATTGTTGGCTTGCAGGAATTTGAGGTGTCGGATGTGCAAATCGTTAGGGAGTATATTGAAAAGGGGAATTCAGCAAGAAGCACTGGCTCCACTGGAGCCAATGAAGAATCTTCAAGATCCCATGCCATCTTACAGCTTGTGATCAAGAAGCACAAGGAGGTGAATAACTCCAAAAGGCACAATGAAGGCAATGAATCCAAGGGAGGGAAGGTCATAGGAAAGCTTTCTTTCATTGATCTTGCTGGAAGCGAACGCGGTGCAGACACTACCGACAATGATCGCCAAACGCGGTCTGTATCTTCTTGTAATCTAGTCTCATTTATTTCATTCCAAGATAATTTTAAAAATGGATTTATAATTACTCAGATTTTTTTCATATCAAACCAATGACGGAAAATAGCCCGTCAAGCTATCGGCATGAATCTTGTCGACTTCACATGTTTTATAAGCTATCTATCTACATGGTATTCTGGTTTCAGCATCGAGGGAGCAGAGATCAACAAGAGTCTTCTGGCCTTGAAAGAGTGTATCAGGGCACTGGACAACGATCAGATTCACATCCCATTCAGGGGGAGCAAACTAACAGAGGTGCTTCGGGATTCCTTTGTGGGAAATTCCAGAACCATCATGATTTCTTGCATTTCTCCGAACGCGGGTTCCTGTGAGCACACCCTGAATACCTTACGGTATGCGGATAGGTATGTATGTTTCGATCGAGCATACTGGTCAATAATAAATTGCTAAACCCAAATGCTCTGCAGTAAAATCGAAATCGAAACATTCTTTGATTAGAGCTTAATTTCGACATGGCATTCCTTCTTCTTTTATTTTTTTTGTATTTTTTTGTTGTCAGGGTTAAGAGCCTCTCTAGGAGCGGAAATCCAAAAAAGGATCAAGTTCTTGCTCCGTCGGTTCCCGTTCCCGCCGTCAAGGAATCTTCATCACCGTACTTTCCTTCCTCACTTGAATCGCAGGATGTCTATGAGCAAAGCGAGCAGGTGAGAGCAGTGGAGACAGGGAGGAGAGCTCCAGAGAATGCCGCTTCTGATCCGGAGCTTGATAGGCACTCCTCCACTGTGACCTCGAGCTACAGCCTCAATGGAAGGGAGGAAAGTGGGACCACCTTCAGTTCATTGGAGAGGGTTGACCCTAAAGGTACCTTCGGCGGTCAATTTGCCCCTAGGCTACATTCTACTCAGAATACATACGACACTCAGGATGAAGATAGGGTGTCTCCACCCCGTAGAAAATTAGGCAAGGAAGAAAAATCCGAGAAACAGAGCAGCTGGGCTAGAAAGGACAGCGGATCTGACTTTACTATGACACGGCGTAAGCAGAAATGCGAGGGGGAGCCCAACTTCAGTGAAGAAGATATCAGTGCTATTCTCGAGGTAAAAGTCAACGCCATCGATAAACTACAATTGATTATCCCGTTTTGTGAATCTGAGTGGTTGCCTCTGGTGTACGTGTTTCAGGAAGAGGAGGCTCTAATTGCAGCTCACAGAAAGGAAATCGAGGATACAATGGAGATTGTGCGCGAGGTGAGACCGCTCTTCTTTCCTTTCCTTGGAGCGTGATTTTCCCTCTGTCAAGGCCTTGGTGATAATTTCCAACTATTTTCCGACCACATCATGAATCTGTTCTTTGTCTATAAAACCCAGGATATGGCCACCTTCCCAAATCCTTGTAAATATAAGCTGGATCATATATATCTGTATATATGATCGATGGAAAAACCGTAGCATTTCTGACTAATCTCACTGTCAACTCCGGCTGATTATCCAAGGATTCAATGCAATGTTGCTTGCGTTTGCCAGGAGATGAAGTTGTTGGCAGAAGTCGATCAACCCGGCAGCCTCATCGACAACTACGTGACCCAATTGAACTTTGTTCTCTCCCGCAAGGCTGCGGGCTTGGTTAGTCTTCAGGCTCGCCTGGCAAGGTTCCAGCATCGGCTCAAGGAACAGGAGATCCTCAGCCGCAAGAAGGTCCCTCGCTGAACAAAGTCCAAGCTGCTCTCTTACCCTAATCTGGTGCTAGTTTGATTCAATCCTCCTCACATGACCTGCGATCTCGTGGTAGAGGACTCTTTAATCCAGAAACAGATACTGGACTCTCCGAATGTGCTCGCCGGCCATTCCAATTCATTTGTATTCGTTGTACGAACAGGAATGCGGGATATGATTCGAGGGAAATACGATCGCCTCTTTGACTATTTACAATAAATAGCTGCAGAAAATGTTGACGCTATGACCCCAAACCATCCTTTGACTACCTTCTGTCTCTGATCCATGGATATGCAGCAACTCGATGTATTTCTTCGTTCAAGCGAAGTCTCGGCCGTTACATTTGGGAGAAGCAGGGCCACGAAGGGGGAGGAGTGAACGGAGGGAGGGCATCTACTCCCGCTCAAGAAGGGCGGCGCTAGGGTTACGCTCCTCGATGGCGCGGGCTAGCCTGCCGCTGCGGACGTTGAATCTCCGGCAGAGCTTCTTCAGCTCAGCCACAGTGTGCTGCATCGCGTTCAACTCGATGTCCAAGGACATCGCCTGTGGACGCGCAGAAATGGATTACCCGACCGACTTCTACTCGCGAGGTCGGAATCTGAGAGGGAAGATGGAGCAGCGGGGGTGCCCGTACCTGGTAGTCGTCGCCGTGTTTGGCTATGAGCCGGGCGATGTGGACCCGCTGGATCGTCGTCAGCGGCTGCACCGGGGCGCTCTTCCCATCTCTCCTCTTCTTCCCCAGCGCCGACTTAAGATCTGAACAAGCAACCCCCAGACGATGCTGTGAATCCCTAGTCTCCAAGGATTGCCTGCCCATACAGAGATGTCGAAGAACGTACCGTCGGCTTCTAGGTCGCTGCCGCTGTCGATGGGATCGAACTCGGAGATCGGACCCCTGCCGTTGCCGGCACCCGAGGAAGGTACCTGTAGGGAGGGGCAAAGGACGACCTGCGGAGTACGGAACCGAACTCCGAGCAGATTAGGGTTGGCGACGACGCCGAAGTTGCGGTAGTTCTGAATGACGCTGGCCTTCTCGTCCCACTTCCTCTTACCCGCCTCCTCGTCGCCATTCCCGGCGCCGGCGAGGAGCTCCCGCGGAATGGCGAACGCCGGCTTGAAGACGCCAGGCTTCTTCTTGGGGAGTGCACATCGCACCTTCGCTCGCGACTGCTTGTACTTTCTCCGCGACCGCCCCATTCTGTCTCCTACTCCACATAGGGTTTACACTGCTCGGTATTTATAGGGCCTTCTCTCTGGTGAGGCTCTCGTTTGGAGAATATTTTTTCACGGCGGAACCCCGGGGTCTGGGTTGGATGCCCACATCGCAGCCGTCCGATTAACCTTTACATTTTAACCTACCCTGTTTTTATGTAAAACAACACTTGAGAAAATGAGAAAGTCTCAAAATTTCTGAATTTGAAATTGTAAAAACGAGATTTTTAAGGTAGGAAGTGGAAGCCACTAAACAAGTTCAGCCCCAAAATTCAAGAAAATGGCCTTAAAAATCGCGGCGATAATGTGTCAATTGTGTAACACTACTGATTTTATTATTTTTATTTTAAATATTATTTTGGGAAAGTCGAAGTATATTTCGGCCTATTCAAGGTATGCATGTTGTAACTGTTGTGAAATGGTGTTGATTTCCATTTGCATGGAGATTAAAGCAACTCTTACAAATTCAAGGGCGTCATTATGAATTTTGAACCTTCTAGACTCAAGCCAGATTTATTTTATTTTATTATTTTTTAATCTGCTACCTTAGATGTGTTATCTTTATATCCCTAACAAAGTGTGTAACTCACGCGTGACTATCAAGAATATCCATGAATTTTCTTTTACTTGTTTTTTTAAAAAATATTTACATCTGCTAATGATAATAGCACTTATTTGTTGTTGAAATGAGTTTTTTTCCTTTTGACTTTGACAGATATTTCGTTGGTAAGAAGAGATAAATATAGATAGAGAAAGAATAATAGTATTTTTACTGCATAGATGTGAGTATTTGTCATATATTAATTAACACCAAGTATATTTTAACAATAATATTTCTATCAAAAAATAACATAACACTAAATACTAATAGAGGTACAATTTACAGAGAACTAAAAGGTCAGGCAAAAGAGAGAGGTTTAAACATAATTCATGAGGTTTATGATACATAAAAACCAGTAACCATATTATATTATATATATATATCTATATAATAATAATCCGCAAGAATTCAAACTACTGCATAGACTAGGAAATGGCTAAACTTTTTTTTAATCTAAATCTTGAAATAATGCCATAATCAACACGATCCATGGACAGAGGAACAAGTCGGCGCCCTGTAAACGCTGAGCCTTACAGATTCCCTCATTCTGACCCTTTGGACGTACAATTTTTTCTGCGCTGTGGGTTTCGAGTGGAAATAGACACAGACAGAGCGTTCCATGACGGATGGAGCTGATCAGGCTATAGATCAGAGGAGCGGTTAGCATACTCCTGAACCAGGGCTCCAAAGAGTGACGGCCGCTCTATCAAGTTCGATGGCTTGTCGAACTCCGCCGCGAATCCTGTGCAGACGAGAAAAAACATCCGTTGGCCCATTATTTTCTGAAAACGCTCTCTCTCTCTCTCTCTCTCTCTCTCTCTCTCTCTCTGTGCCTGTGGACTGGGGGAGTCGTGAGCCTACCTGCGTCTACGACCAGGACTCGGTCACAGTCCATCACGGTGGGTATCCTGTGGGCGATGCTGATGATGGTGCAGGAGGCGAAGTCCTCTCTGATGATCCTCTGGATCACCGCGTCGGTCTGTGAATCGACCGAGGCGGTGGCCTCGTCCATGAACAAGATCCGGCTGTGCTTCAGCATCACCCGGCCCAGGCAGAGGAGCTGCCTCTGCCCCACGCTCCAGTTGTCTCCGCTATCCACCACTGCAAGGGGTTGAAGATCACAGAATAAGGAAAGCCCGCACCAGACAACAACCGGTCGATAAGTTCTTCGGGGACGGCCAGTTCTCCGACAAGTAACGCATTATTGAACGTACCCATAGAATCGAGTTTCTCCGGTTTTCCGGCCACAACTTCCTTGAGTTGGCATCGATCCAGGCTCTGCAAATTCAGGAGCACAGTAAAGGACGAATGTACGATGACGAACTCCGAGGACAAAGCGGACGACGGGAACCTTGAGAGATGGAAAATAAAGAAATTAACTTGTGAAAGATGTCAGGGTCTTTTCGGCTTCACCGTCCATATCTCATCGTCGGAGTAGACTCCCGTCGGGTCAATGTTGCTCCTCACCGTTCCTTCAAACAGAACAGGCTCTTGAGGGATGATCCCGAACCTCGACCGGAGATCATGGAGGCCCAGCATTGAAATATCGATTCCATCGATGACCATCATCCCCTCGGTGGGCTCCACCACCCGGAACAGCGCCTGGATCAACGTCGATTTCCCGCTTCCGGTTCGGCCGACAATTCCGATCTTCTCCCCTCCGTTGATCCTCAGCGTGATCCCTTTCAGAACCATCGGGGTGTTGGGTCGATATTTCACCTGCGTCAGTAACCCGTATGGTTTACCGAAAGATTCGCCCACGTGGAATATAGAATAAGGTCGACGAAATTACTACGTTACCTTGAGGTCTCTGATATCGATATTCCCCCTGGTTGGCCAACTCGCTGACGGGAGACAGCCCTTGATCTTCCAGGCTGCTTCGGAGGGGATGTTCGTGAACTGTTTGATCCTCTCCACAGATACCATACGATTCTCTACCAAGCAACTGATCCATATCGCAAAGAACAGCGTAGTGTTGAGAGAGAGGCCATAAGATAGAGACAACCCGACATATTCTGGCATCACAACGATCCACTGTGAGCAACATGACCTCCAGAGAGAGAGAGAGGGAGAGGGAGGGGGGAGAGAGAGAGAGAGAGAGAGAGAGAGAGAGAGAGAGAGAGAGAGAGAGAGAGAGAGAGAGAGAGAGAGAGAGAGAGAGAGAGAGAGAGAGAGAGAGAGAGAGAGAGAGAGAGAGAGAGAGAGAGAGAGAGAGAGAGAGAGAGAGAGAGAGAGAGAGAGAGAGAGAGAGAGAGAGAGAGAGAGAGAGAGAGAGTCGTGAGAGTGTGTACCCGGCTTGACTATGCTGCTTGGCAATACGACCATAAAGAGAGCGGAAAAGCATAGGATGAGGCTTCCTATCAACTCCAAGCGGAAACCCAGCCACTCGTTGGATCCATTGTTGTGGAAGTCCATCCTCAGGTTCGCGTCGACTCTATCCACATTTTCCTTGCAGAAACTTTCCTCCTTCCTGAAACAGCGGATTGTTGTAACACCAGAGACACTCTCTGAGAAGTGATGGATGACTGGTGCCTTCGTGATGGAGTCCAGGCGGGTCAGCTCGCGAGACGTCGCCAGGTAGTATCCCTGGAGACACGGTTCAAAAATATAGTAGTCTAAAATGAACTAATAGCTACATATGATTGACCAAAATTTGAAGGATATTTTCTCGAGAGAAAGTAGAACGGAAAAGCAGGATTGGAGAGTACCCTGAACCAGAAATTGAGCGCTGCTAATGGGATAATGATTATGATCGTAGGCCAAGCGACCTGGCATGTGATCACCAGGATGCTGAGTACAGTCATAAACATCGCGACGACTATCCCCACGAAGAACGGAAGGAACAGGTCGATGTTGGTTTGATCCGATGACGCCTGAAATAAGAACAGACCAAGGATTATCTCTAAACCCACATTTCATCACTTATACTAACTATTATTGGCTCGTAAATATTTCAGAGTGCTTACTCGGCTCAGAATCCTCCCAGAAGGCGTGGTGTCGAAGAAGGACATCGGCGCGTGGAGGATGCTGTTGATAATCTGCTGGAAGAAGATTTGCGCCGTCGCGAGGCCCAGCGACGCAACAATGAACGTCCTTGTCGTGACAAGGATCACAGAGACGACGGAAATGATAGCGTAGACCTGGATGAACACAACGGGGTTGAAAGAGACCCCGTTTTCCCCGGAGGTCTCGAAGGCTAGCCAGTAGTCGCTAGCCATCAGGGAGAGCTGCCACACCACTGAGGTAACTACTACCGCGAAGACCCCCCACCATCCCCAAGCTTCCGTGGCGTACATCTTGTACACGCGCCACCCGATGTGGCCCGTCTCTCGCTGCTCCGCCTCAATGAGCTTGGCCGTGCCTTTCCCCTTCTTGAGGTTGTCTGTAGAGCCGTTCTGGGCTTCGGCGTGGTTCTGCTCCGGGTGGGACTTCTTTGTTGGGTTCGGCTGTACGTCGTTGTCGGCGGCGGTGGCAGCGCTCTGCTCGACGAGTTCCATGGAATTGTCATGGGCCGCTACGAGAGCGCTGAAATCTGTGCCGGTGTCGAGTAGCTGTCTGTACTTCCCTGACTGTACAATCTCTCCGTCTCGCATGACCAAGATGAGATCAACATTGTGCAGGAAGTCCACTTGATGGGTCACGAGCACTACAGTCTTCCCTTTAAGCGCCCCTCTCACGCATTCCTGCACCGGATTTCTCCTATTTATCAGAAATTATAAAATAAAAGGAAAGCTACTTTTAAAGTTATATTTATTTAAATAGTTACTATTTCCTTTATATTTATTTAAATAACTTGGGCGTCAAAAGGGCAGATAAATTAAGAAAACAGTCCTAAATCAGCTGTTCACGACAACTGCTGGGTCTCCCCCTCCCCGGCTCTCATGCTGGAGACCCAGAACTGGGCCAACAGGTCAGAGAAGCGAGTAGCCATATGCAAGAGAAGCACACGATATTGGCAGTGGCTGTGAGACTTGTCCAGCCGTGGGCCCTCTTCTTCTCCGAAGAGACCAAGCGAAGTATTTATAGAGCGAGGGGGGGCGTCTGACCTTGAAGATGAAGGAGCCGGTTTGGGCGTCGACGGCGCTGAAGACGTCGTCGAGGAGGTAGACGTCGCAGTCCTGGTAGATAGCCCTCGCGAGCTGGATGCGCTGCTTCTGGCCGCCGCTGAGGTTGATCCCCCGCTCCCCGATCTCCGTCTGGTCACCGAATTCCATCATCTCCAGGTCCTTCTCCAGGCAGCACACCCGCAGCACCTCCTGGTACCTCCCCGGCTCCATCGCCGCCCCGAACAGTATGTTCTCCTGTATCGTCCCGTTCTGTATCCACGACGTCTGAGCCACGTAGGCTGTCGTCCCGCACACCCGAACCTGCCCAAAATCCACAACAGTAGCTGGTCAGATCCGTGTAGCTTTATATATCGACACGCGTTGGACAGAAAGAGAGAGAGAGAGAGAGAACTCGTGGATCGGCCGGAAAGGTCCAGGGATCCTGTCGCTGTGCTGTTGATGTGATGGGATGAATTTATGTAAAATCAAAAGATGGCAGACCAACTGTTTGACTCGTGGACGGAATCCCAGGCTTAAAAGAATTCGGTCAAGCTGTCTAAATGACAGCGGTAAAGAATTGACCATATGTATTTGTCTGATTTCGATAAGTATTATGAAACAGTTTCTACATTAATAATTTGGCTGAAAAAAATGTGACAAGCCAAGATACTAACTGGTGTGGAGATCAATGACCCGTTACAGTTTTGAACTGAGCAAATGCTATAACGATGAAATAACTTCAATTATTATCAGACGGCATTCATGTAATATCTCCATCCAATGAGAGGAGAGAGCGATCGAAGGGCGTCGGCGTACCTTGCCGGAAATGCGATGCATCTCTCCGAGAACGCACGAGAGGAACGACGACTTGCCGGAGCCGACTGTCCCAACCACCGCCGCCAGCGACCCCTTCTTGATTTCAACGTTCACATTACGGAGGTATCCCCCCGAGCCCTCCGTCGGCTCGTCGTCCCACGTGAAGGCCCCCTCCCGGACCTCCAGAGCGACGTCGTCGTCGCATCCGCCAGCGGCCTTCTCCACGGCGCCCTCCTCAAGCTCGCGGCTGGTCATGTACCCGTCGAGGCGCTCTAGAGAAATCACGGCTTGTGACGACTGTATCAGCGCCTGCGGGAAGTTGCGCAATGGCTCCTGTAGGATCTTGAAGAAGGACGTCGCTGTGAACACCTTGCCAGCGTCCAGCTCCACCCCGGCAAGTAAGCATGTGGCGAAGGTGATCACAGCCACCAACACCGGTGCACTCCACAATGCAATGATGTTACCAGATACAGAGTAGAAGAACTTGGACAACCAAGCAAATTCCCCTTCTCGGAGCTTCAGGATTCTTTTGTTAAAATGCTCTTCCCAAGCCTGGAATTTGATCACCCGCATGTAGTTGAGCATCTCGTTGGTGGCCTTCATGCGCTTGTCTCGCATTGTCATCAGGCTGAACTGGTACCTGTTATTCCGTCGGGCCCCCATCACCACGAATGCAAGGATGGCGGCGATGGAGACTGCTGCGGTGAGCATGGCAATGCCGAGGCTGAAGTAAAGAAGAGCCATGGCAGTGCCTACCTGAAGCGGCATTAGCCAGAGGTAATGCAACTGGAGCATCATGTCGGAGAGCTGCTGGGCGTCAACAGCCATGTAGTTCACGATTTGCCCCACGCCGTGGGACTGGCGGGCGGAGCACGACAGCCGTAGGCCCTTGCGGTAGAGCGAGGTGATGAGGGTGGAGCGGATGAGCATTCCCAGCTTCTGCGACTGGAAATTGTACTGATGGGAGCAGATTACCTCCACTGTCTTCGCCGCCAACAGGATCCCGCAGAGGTACAAACCCTCGAAGGGCGAGCGCCGGTTCTTCCCAGAGGCGAAGTCAACGAACCGGTTGATCAGCAGAGGGCCGACATACATCACGCTGAGCCGGATGAGAGAGAGAGCGGCGGTGAGCAAGAGATTAGGCCAGAAGCACCGCAGAAGAGCGGTCCGAACGGGGTGGTTCGACCGGAGCGCAGGGATGGGCCAGTTTGAACGGAACAGTTCGTACATCCGCTCCGCGCGGTGCTCCGGCGCGAGGGCCGGCACGTCCGGCAGCTTCAGCGGAGATCGGTACCCCTTGTTCAGCAGTGGGTTCATCCACATCCAGGTGGCCCGGGAGACCAGCGACGCAGTGGCGAAAGGGGTGACCTCGCCATCTGTGGGCTCCGACTCCAGGTGGAGGACAACGGAGACGCCCGTGGATCCAGTGGTCGCGACGTAGAGGAGGAACAAGGAGATGGGAAAGGTTGCGAGGGAGAACACATCGTCGGGGACGAGCTCTGACCCGTGAAAGCCATGGTGGACGAAGCGGAGGATAGCGGACGCAGCGAGAAGGGAGGTAACGAGGAAGCTTGCGACCCAATAAAGCCGCAGGGATCGAGCATGAGTAGCGGCTTCAAAGCGTTTCTCGTGAGCTATTAAGATGACCGCCCCAACGTTCGCTATGGCTTTGGAGACGAGAAATGAGAGCTCCACCGAGCTCCGCCAGCTGTAACCGAGAGCGGAGAAGATGAAGAGAACGGCGGAGGAGAAGGAAAGCACGGCCGTAAGGGCCAGGGACAGCTTAAACAAGATATTGGTTCTAACGGTCGCCTTATGTTCCTCAATCAGCGGTTTGCGGAGGTCAGAGCTCGGTGGATTCCCTCGATGGACTCGCCGCCACATTCTGTGGAGGGAGACGAAGAAGAGAGTGAGAAGGAAGAGGATGTCGACGGCGGAGGAGAGGGCACGCTGGGGGCAAGGTGAGAGGAAGACGAAGCGGAGCCATTCTGGGAGAGAGGTCGCCTCTTTGGTGCAGGTGGGAAACGTGATCCAAGAGAAAGAAGAGAAGGCGGCGGCGGACATGTCTCTTCTATTCCGTGGCTCGCCTGCGCGGAGAGAGAAGGGGGTTTTTTGAGGGAAATCAAAGAAGCAGGAGACTAGAAAACCTGGAAAGATGAATAAGTAAGATGGTTTCTATGATAAAGACCTGACGATGAGGTGGACACAAGGAAAGCTTGGAGAAGGGGTTCAAGGGAAGGACCAGCTAGCTTCACTAAAAAAACCTGGATAAACTCTGATAGAGAAGCAGGAAACGGTCAAAGACGGATGCTAGGGAGGAGATCCGACTCTTCCACCCGTTCATACGCGCCAGTGATTTTCTATACTATAGTGTCTTTCTTCGGGCACTCATATTCAATTATGAGCAGATAACAAGAGTGTAAACGTGGCGGAAAACGATGCTTATTTTTTCTGAAGAAAAGCCACTGCCTTTTGAGGATCGCCCGATGAACTGCGAATTTTTTGTTGCTCGACGATAGGTAGATGAGGACGCCGAAAAGAGATCCCGTCGGCCCCCGAGTTTTTCACTTACGTTGCTATGATCAGACGAAGCGCAAGGAAAATCTGGGAAGGACTTCTCCTCGCCCGATGCTTCGAACTCATAGAAGGAGGTGGAGATGACAGTTGTGCAGGAGAAGGCGAGTGACAACAGTCTTGGCACTTCCTACCTGGAACCCTCCCTTCTCTTTCTATTATCCCCCAGAGAGAGAGAGAGATCAAACAGGAAAAATTGAGCGAGCATAAGAGAAGCACGTGGAGGAGCACTTGCAGCCACTACTTTCTGGAGAAGGCAAATTTGGACCACATGTGACGCCAGAAGCTCTCTACGTCCAGGTCGCCTGCGGAGTCGACAAGTAATTTATTGACAATACGACATGGACCAAGCGCCTGTCACCGCTAGGAACTAAATCGCACCCTACTCAAGAAGGGTCTTCCTGCAGGAATACGTGGCCGAAGCACGGCCTCCGAGTTCGTGATCTCACTGCTGACGTATCCACCCTAATGTAGACCCTTCATAACTGAGACGTGCTGAATCACCGTCCGATCCCTTTTGAATGCCCTCTCGACCGCACATAACTTACCTACCTTCCACGTCCGGGTACCGTGGGACTCAAGATACCTTCGATGAATAAAAGTTTAATTCAGCATCGTACTGTGCGACGCAGCGGCCCAACGGGAGAGGGTTCCCCTCCCTCTCCTTGCCTGCCCCTCGATGTTCCGTCCGACGACGGACGAGGCCGCCTACGACGCTTGTCTTCTCTCCCTATCATCGGACCGAACAGAAGCCATGCGATGCTACCGTCATCTAAGCGAGAGATCGACCGTTGAGTACGCTCCTCTCTCACCGATGGGTTGGAAGGAGCCGCATGCTCTACCTAGTACGAAAAGCTCCCACATAATTATTTTCCTGCTGAGAAGCGGAGAGATGGACAAAGTGGGAGAGAAGGCGACGGCATGTTCTATCCAACTATGGCCATCTCTCGAGATCTACCACGAGATTCATTCAGCGTGTCAGTACCCATTGATGGTGCCGTCAGGAGCCTTCTTTCTCTCTAGGGTTCGTGTGTGGGTTCGAGAATAGAAATCCCTTCTTCGGCATGAATGCTCGGCGAATTCATGTATCTCTTCTCTCTCTCTCTTCCACTTCCTCTGCATGATCCTGGCCGGGGTGGGGAAGCTCTGGGCCCGCAAACGTCTTCTACGCGCTAGGAAGGGAGTATAGAATAACCTAACCTGGGTCCGTGGATGTCCTGGACTGTCACAGTCGGAGATGCAGTACTTTTACTTTATGGGGAGAGAGGAGCCAGAATGCTAAAAAAAGCGTCTGTTTCTCACGTTCTCTGCCGACGTTGACCTTCGTAAGTCTCGCCGTTATTCATCCATAAAATTTGCGACTCCTTTCCCGAGCCTCTGAGTCTCAATTTCTCACGTGGTTCCTTCGAACCACGAGTGTGGGCTTTGCCTTGCACCGTAGAGCGAACTCCGGCTGTTATGGTTGATCGCACCCCAAGAGCTGTATTCGCTTGGCAACGCGTTCATGCATTCCAACTCATAGGGTTCCCTAACATTTGCCACTTGTCAGTTGTCGCCTTGTCCTCACTCTCTCACACATTAATGATATGTAATGACTGCTGTCGAGGCTCCAGTCCTCACATGGATCCTTCGGGGGCATTTTGGCAGCTACAACTGCCAATCGTACCCTTCTAATAATTAGTTTAAACTAAGATTCAACTAGTCAATTATTCATCTAAATATATCCTTTCATGTAGCAGAGACTCTCATTACAAATGCGAATCAAATTGAGTCACAAACTCTCAAGAAAAGACCTGAAGTGACGGAAATATATAAAATTGAAATATCTACTATATTAGTATTTCATGGTAATTATGTCTAGAAAAAGTAGGAATATCGGAGGAGCATCCCACTCTATTAGCCTAACTTAAGAGGCTTTGTTATAAGATGATTATTGATTTTCCAACCATTTTTTTTATGTTGGCTTTCTCATGCTAAAATAATGCTCAATAATGTTTTCACTTTTTAAGGAAATCATTTAATTAATGAGCATAAATAAAAATAAAATATATAATATTAATGTTTCACAACAATTATGTAAAAACATATATTGAAGAATACCAATGGAATATCCCTCTCCATTCACCTATGCTAAGAGCCCTTGCTATGAGATGTTTGTTAACATTAACCTTTGAGTGGATCAAAGTAGCTGACTCAAATGCAATAAGAAGTAGAACAATTTCTCATTAAACAACATAGTTAGAATAAGAGACATTGCAATGTTAGTCACATATATTTGATTGTTGAAGTGACTATGAAAGACCAATTTTTAACTGTTCTGTATGTAGAAGTCATTGCTTAAGATTGAAGCAAGACATCCCAACTATGTAAACACTTTCATAAATGGTGTGAATAACCAAAACATCTATTTTACATTGAGAAGGAGAAAGTTTCCTCTTTTTAAGGCAAACATCTGCATGTTCCAAGGAAATGACTTGCATTGAATATGAAAGATTCACATCATTTATTTATTTTTAATAATTTTGGTGTTGAATGATTGTTAGGGCTATGTGTTGGTTGCACATGGGCTGGTTCTTAAGTTGTGAATCTCTACCCTAACATGCCAACTGAAGTGATGAATTAAGTGATATATATATAGAAGTCTTAACAATATTGGATTTGATGATTTTGCTTAAAAGAGTAGTGGGACCTAAGCAAGGAATTGAGTAAGACATGAACACAATCAGCACATGTATGCACCATTCTTTATACTGAACAGTTATTGAAAAAAGCAGCTAACCTCATCTTCACATACACAGATAGAGTTATTAGGTAATAAATAATCCATTAGACAGTCGACCAATGTTGATTTAATGGATTCGCCATAAATCTTCTCATAGCTCGCCCTACGTGATCTATATATGGTTCAATGCATACCATATCACACATTAATTTCCTAACAATAAATACATATAAAATTATATCCATACCTTGATTTTCCTCTACTATCTCTGATTATTGATCTTTTTAAAGCTTGAAGTGATATTTTAAATCTAAGTTTCTCTAAATAAAAATCTTAATAAGCAACAATGCACAACACTAATCAAATAGTGGTCAACTTCACAACATGGGTGATTTTTTTGCAATTTAACCCTTCTTTTTATTTAAAAACCTTTACAAAAAAATTCATTAAGATATAATAGATCACTGTCCACAACTAGTTTCAATAGCAATGGCATTATTTCCTTTGATGACAAGATCATCCACATAGGTTAAAAGATACAAAGTAGCATGACCATTTTTCTAGATGAATAAAGATGCATGATTCCTTTTAGACGACTTAAAATTCAGGTCATAATGTCAAGCCATTTTTGAGATTTTTGTTGAATGTCACCATGAAACTGGTATAATTGCCAACCAAGAGGAGGCTCGTATATACAAATGTGGATGTGCATCCACTCCATTAATTGCCTACAAATTTTCAAGGGACATAAAGACTGACTAAATAGTAACTTCACCGAAATAAATGTTTCATGATACTCATTCTTTTTTTTTGTTTTATAACTACAGAAAACAAGTGACACTTTATATTGATCGATGGGGGAGGTAACATGACGTTTAATTTTGAATATCTTTTTGGGTCAATAACATGCATATTTTCTTGCCCATGAGCAAGACTCTAAGTACCAATGTGGAGAAGAGCATTATATTCTCCATGCAAAAAAACCCACCATTCAAGACATTTATTCACTTGAGTAAACCACGCTGACACAATGGGACTACGAAGTTCAGTGAGAAACGTGAGTGCAAGATAATGTAAAATAGAAAGAAAGGCTCCAAGATATCAGGTTCCTTCTTTACTTCTTGTTAACGCTGGATGGATAGATTGGGGACTGTGAGAAAAATAACCATAGAGTGACAGTAGGGATAAAATGGACAAAAGAATGGGAGGAGGGGAGGGGTGAGACATCATAGATGGATCTTACTGTGCAACAAAATCAGAAATATTATGAAATTTACATAAGACCCACGACGAGAGGAAACATAGCTTCAGTAATAGAAGACGATAGGGAACTTAAGGCTAACCAATCACGAGGAACCTAGGTTGTGTATCCGAAATGACGTACTAGTTGTAGAGATGTTGGAGTCATTTGATGTGGAAGAGTCTTAGTGTAATGAGTATGTAAATTTTACAAGACATAGTTTTGCACCATAAAAAATGCAGAGTACATCTTGACAAATAAGGAGAGGAAGAAACTACACTTTCCATGCAAAATAATTGTTCGAAAGAGTTTCCGAGGTAGAAAAAGACTGATATAGGACCAAGAAAAGGCTGGGAGATCGGAGCCACGCCGTCGCCGGTAAAAAAGAAACGACCCTCCCCTTCGCGTCCCTCTTCTGCGTGCCTACGCCACGGAGAGTTCCCAGGGATGTTGAAAGCAGGCTTGAAGATGCATGGCTTCTTCTATCGGATTCCCACCTTCACCCTTGGTCGTGCCTTCTTATTCTTCCTCCAAATTCGCCCCTTCGGTCCCTTCACTCTGCGCTCACTCGCAGTTCCTCTTCCGTATAGGATTTCACTGCTCGCTACATGCACGAGGCCTTTCAGAGAGAAGAGGCCCTTGAATTTCCGGCTGAAGCCCCCTTAAAAAGAGAATATTTTCCTGGCCGATCTACATCCATCCTCAGGGTGGACGAAAGGACCAAAGCCCTTAGTGTTGAAGCCGTTCGATTAAAACCACTCTTCGAGCAAACCAGATTAGCCTGCAGGTCACGCTCATCAAATCGGTCCGAGGCGGATTTAAGCCTCGGATATCATCTCCATCATAAAACTGATCACGTTTATTTAGAATTCGGTCAAACCCTCACGAAACAAATTTTCAAGCACACAAATTTTCTGCGCTGTGGGTTACGAGTGGAAATAGACGCAGACAGAGCGTTCCATGACGGATGGAGCTGATCAGGCTATAGATCAGAGGAGCGGTTAGCATACTCCTGAACCAGGGCTCCAAAGAGTGACGGCCGCTCTATCAAGTTCGATGGCTTGTCGAACTCCGCCGCGAATCCTGTGCAGACGAGAAAAAACATCTGTTGGCCCATTATTTTCTGAAAACGCTATCTCTCTCTCTCTCTCTCTCTCTCTCTCTCTCTCTCTCTCTCTCTCTGTGCCTGTGGACTGGGGAATCGTGAGCCTACCTGCGTCTACGACCAGGACTCGGTCACAGTCCATCACGGTGGGTATCCTGTGGGCGATGCTGATGATGGTGCAGGAGGCGAAGTCCTCTCTGATGATCCTCTGGATCACCGCGTCGGTCTGTGAATCGACCGAGGCGGTGGCCTCGTCCATGAACAAGATCCGGCTGTGCTTCAGCATCACCCGGCCCAGGCAGAGGAGCTGCCTCTGCCCCACGCTCCAGTTGTCTCCGCTATCCACCACTGCAAGGGGTTGAAGATCACAGAATAAGGAAAGCCCGCACCAGACAACAACCGGTCGATAAGTTCTTCGGGGACGGCCAGTTCTCCGACAAGTAACGCATTATTGAACGTACCCATAGAATCGAGTTTCTCCGGTTTTCCGGCCACAACTTCCTTGAGTTGGCATCGATCCAGGCTCTGCAAATTCAGGAGCACAGTAAAGGACGAATGTACGATGACGAACTCCGAGGACAAAGCAGACGACGGGAACCTTGAGAGATGGAAAATAAAGAAATTAACTTGTGAAAGATGTCAGGGTCTTTTCGGCTTCACCTTCCATATCTCATCGTCGGAGTAGACTCCCGTCGGGTCAATGTTGCTCCTCACCGTTCCTTCAAACAGAACAGGCTCTTGAGGGATGATCCCGAACCTCGACCGGAGATCATGAAGGCCCAGCATTGAAATATCGATTCCATCGATGACTATCTTCCCCTCGGTGGGCTCCACCACCCGGAACAGCGCCTGGATCAACGTCGATTTCCCGCTTCCGGTTCGGCCGACAATTCCGATCTTCTCCCCTCCGTTGATCCTCAGCGTGATCCCTTTCAGAACAATCGGGGTGTTGGGTCGATATTTCACCTGCGTCAGTAACCCGTATGGTTTACCGAAAGATTCGCCCACGTAGAATATAGAATAAGGTCGACGAAATTACTACGTTACCTTGAGGTCTCTGATATCGATATTCCCCTTGGTTGGCCAACTCGCTGACGGGAGACAGCCCTTGATCTTCCAGGCTGCTTCGGAGGGGATGTTCGTGAACTGTTTGATCCTCTCCACAGATACCATACGATTCTCTACCAAGCAACTGATCCATATCGCAAAGAACAGCGTAGTGTTGAGAGAGAGGCCATAAGATAGAGACAACCCGACATATTCTGCCATCACAACGATCCACTGTGAGCAACATGACCTCCAGAGAGAGAGAGAGGGAGAGGGAGGGGGGGAGAGAGAGAGGAGAGAGAGGGGGGAGAGAGGAGAGAGGGGAGAGAGAGAGAGAGAGAGGGAGAGAGAGAGGGAGAGAGAGAGAGAGAGAGGGAGAGAGAGAGGGGAAAGAGAGAGAGAGAGAGAGAGAGAGAGAGAGAGAGGAGGAGAGAGAGAGAGGGGAAAGAGAGAGAGAGAGAGAGAGAGAGAGAGAGAGAGAGAGAGAGAGAGAGAGAGAGAGTCGTGAGAGTGTGTACCCGGCTTGACTATGCTGCTTGGCAATACGACCATAAAGAGAGCGGAAAAGCATAGGATGAGGCTTCCTATCAACTCCAAGCGGAAACCCAGCCACTCGTTGGATCCATTGTTGTGGAAGTCCATCCTCAGGTTCGCGTCGACTCTATCCACATTTTCCTTGCAGAAACTTTCCTCCTTCCTGAAACAGCGGATTGTTGTAACACCAGAGACACTCTCTGAGAAGTGATGGATGACTGGTGCCTTCGTGATGGAGTCCAGGCGGGTCAGCTCGCGAGACGTCGCCAGGTAGTATCCCTGGAGACACGGTTCAAAAATATAGTAGTCTAAAATGAACTAATAGCTACATATGATTGACCAAAATTTGAAGGATATTTTCTCGAGAGAAAGTAGAACGGAAAAGCAGGATTGGAGAGTACCCTGAACCAGAAATTGAGCGCTGCTAATGGGATAATGATTATGATCGTAGGCCAAGCGACCTGGCATGTGATCACCAGGATGCTGAGTACAGTCATAAACATCGCGACGACTATCCCCACGAAGAACGGAAGGAACAGGTCGATGTTGGTTTGATCCGATGACGCCTGGAATAAGGACAGACCTTTGACTGTCTCAATAGCCACATTTAATCAAGAATAAGTGAGACTACTAGTTCGCATATGCTTCCACATATTTTTTCGAAATCCTTACTGCTCAGAATCCTCCCAGAAGGCGTGGTGTCGAAGAAGGACATTGGCGCGTGGAGGACGCTGTGAAGAAGCTGCCGGAAGAAGAGTTGCGCCGTCGCAAGCCCCAGGAACGCCACGACTAACGCCCTCACCGTGACGAGAACTACGGAGACGATGGAGATGGTGGCGTAAACGCGGATAAAAACAATGGGGTTGAAGAAGGCCACGTTCTTCGCTGGGGTCTTGAAGGCCAGCCAGTAGTCGCTGGCCATCAAGGCGACCTGCCACACCACGGTAGTAGCTAGCACCGCGACCACCCCCCACCATCCCCAAGCCTCCGTCCCATACATCTTGTACACGCGCCAGCTGACCGGGCCGGTCTGCCGCTGCTCCTCATCGATGAGCTTGGCCGTGCCTTTCCCCTTCGTGGGGATGCCGACGGAGCCGTTCTGTGCTTCGGCGAGGGTCTGGTCTGGGGGGGTAGCTCTAATGCCTTCGCCGGGGCATCATTCTCACAGGCTGTGGCGGCGTTCTGCTCGACTATCTCCATGGAAGCGGCATGGGCGGCTACGAGGACGCCGAAGTCTGTGCCGGCGCCGAGGAGTTCCCGGTAGATTCCCGATTGGACAATCTTTCCTTGTCGCATGACCTGATCCAGACAGCATAAAACCTCACGGAAAGAACCAGGGTTAACGTTACCAAGGAGGACACCGAAAGGCAATAAGAGCTCACCAATATGAGATCGGCGTTGTGCAAGAAGTCTACCTGATGGGTCACGAGCACCACCGTCTTTCCTTTGAGAGCCCCTCGCACGCATTCCTGCGTCGGTTTTTCGCATATTGGTCATAAACTTTTAAATAAAAAATAAACGATAAGATAATAAAAAAAAATTGGATCATTAGGTTTTTCGCACGTAAATTAAGAAAGCAGACCTAAATAATCATGTTCGCCGTTTGGGCTCGTTTCATGATTCGAAAGCCCGTCACTTCTCTCTTCCTTCTCCAGCTCAGGAAGGGCCAGGTTGCAGCCAGGCTCGGAGTTCATTCCGGCACGGTACGACGCATTAGTCCCCATGGTTCACGGCCTCATGTCAAACTTGTCCAGCCGTGGGCCCTCTTCTTCTCCGACGCGACCAAGCAAAGTATTAATACAGCGAGGGGGAGGCGTCTGACCTTTAAGATGAAGGAGCCGGTCTGGGCATCGACGGCGCTGAAGACGTCGTCGAGGAGGTAGGTATCGCAGTCTCGGTAGATAGCCCTCGCGAGTTGGATGCGCTGCTTCTGGCCGCCGCTGAGGTTGATCCCCCGCTCCCCGATTTCCGTCTGGTCACCGAACTGAATCATCTCCAGGTCCTTCTCCAGGCAGCACACCCGCAGCACCTCCTGGTACCTCCCCGGCTCCATCGCCGCCCCGAACAGTATGTTCTCCTGTATCGTCCCGTTCTGTATCCACGCCGTCTGCGGCACGTACGCCGTCCTCCCGCACACCCGAACCTGCCCATCTTCCACATCACCCACCGCCTATTCATCCAGATACATTTATGGAGAGAGAGAGAGAGAGAGAGAGAGAGAGAGAGAGATGAGAGGGCATGGGCGTACCTTGCCGGAAATCCGGTTCATCTCCCCGAGAACGCACGAGATGAAGGACGACTTGAGAGATCCGACGGTCCCAACCACAGCCGCCAGCGACCCCTTCTTGATGACAACGTTTACGTCCCGGAGATACCAGCCCGAGCCCTCCGCCGGCTCATCGTCCCAGCTGATGGCCCCTTCCCGGACCTCCAGAGCTACGCCGTCGTCGCATCCCCGGGGGGCCTTCTCCACGCCTCCATCCTCGAGCTCGCGGCTGGTCAAGAATTCGTCGAGCCGCTGTAAGGAAATGAGCGCCTGCGCCGATTGGATCAGTGCCTGGGGGAAGTTGTGCACCGGCTCCTGCAAGGTCCTGAATAAGGACATTGCGGTGAAGACCTTGCCCGCGTCGAGCTCCACCCCGGCGAGACTGCATGTGACGAAGGTGAGCGTCGACACGACCACCGGTGCGCTCCACAGAGTGATGAGTTGTCCGGACACAGAAACGAAGAACTTGGTCAGCCAGGCAAATTTCTCGTCACGGAGCTTCTGGATTCTCCCATTAAAATGATCCTCCCACGCCTGAAATTTGACCACCAGAATGTAGTTGAGCAACTCGTTGATGGCCTTCATGCGTTTGTCTCGCATTCTCATCAGCCTGAGCTGGTACCGTTTGTTCCTCTGGGCCCCCATCACTATGTATATGAGTATGGCCATAGCGGCAACTGCTGCGGTGGTCATGGCGACACCAATGCTGAAGTAAAGTAGGGTCATGACGGCCCCAACCTGTAGCGGCGTTAGCCAGAGGTAGTGCAGCTGGACCAGTACGTCGGAGAGCTGCTGGGCGTCAACGGCCATGTAGTTCAAGATTTGCCCCACACCGTGGGACTGGCGGGAGGAGCAGGACAGACGGAAACCCTTCTGGTAGAGCGAAGTGATGAGTGTGGAGCGGATGAGCATCCCCAGCTTCAGCGACTGGAAGTTGCACTGGTGGGCGGCAAATACCTCTACGGTCTTCGCCGCTATGAGGATCCCGCAGAGATACAACCCCTCGAAGGGCGAGCGCCGGTTCTTCCCAGAGGCGAAGTCAACGAACCGGTTGATCAGTAGGGGGCCAACATACAGCACAATAAATCGGATGATAGAGAGAGAGAGGCGGTGAGCGCGAGGATCGGCCAGAAGCACCGGAGCAGCGCGGTTAGAACAGGATTGTTCGACCGGAGGGCAGGGTTAGGCCAGTTTGACCGAAACAGCTCATACATACGCTCTGCGCGGTCCTCCTCCGTGAGGGTCGGAACGTCCTGCAGCTTCAGGGGAGATCGGTAACCCTTGTTCAGAAGTGAGTTCATCCACATCCAGGTGGCCCGGGAGACTATCGACGCGGTGGCGAAACCGGTGACCTCAACTCCAGTGGAGTCCGGCTTCAGGTGGAGGACCATGGAGACGCCCGTGGATCCTGTGATCGAGACGTAGAGGAGGAACAAGGAGATGGGGAAGGTTGCGAGGGAGAAAACATCGTCGGGGAGGAGCTCTGACTCGTGAAAGCCATGGTGGATAAAGCGGAGGATAGCGGATGCAGAGAGAAGGGAGGCCATGAGGAAGCTTGTGATCCAATAAAGACGCAGAGATCGAGCATGTGTAGCGGCTTCAAAGCGCTTCTCGTGAGCTATTAAAAAGACCGCCCCAAGGTTCGCTATGGCCTTGGAGACGAGAAGTAAGAGCTCCACCGAGCTCCGCCAGCTGTAACCGAGGGGGGAGAAGATGAAGAGAACGGCGGAGGAGAAGGAAAGCACGGCCGTAAGGGCCAGGGACAGCTTAAACAAGAGGTTGCTTCTGACGGCTGGCTTATCTTCCTCGATCAGGAGTCGACGGAGGTCGGAGCTCGGTAAGTTCCCTCTGTGGAGCCGCCACCACAGAGGGTGGAGGGAGACGAAGAAGAGAGTGAGAAGGAAGAGGATGTCGACGGCGGAGGAGAGGGCACGCTGGGGGCAAGGTGAGAGGAAGACGAAGCGGAGACATTCTGGGAGGGAGGCCCCATCGTAGGAGCAGCTGGGAGACGTGATCCAAGAGAAAGAAGAGAAGGTGGCGGGCGGCGGACACGTCTCTTCCACTCTGTGCCATGCCTGAAAGGGGAAATCAGAGAAGACAAGAAAACCTGGTGCAGTGAGAGAACCTGCACAGATCAACCAGTTTTTGAATTATACAGGATAGGTAAAGAATCGAACAGGAGGGAAGATTGGAGAAGCGCAGAATGGGAAGGATCAATGTGGCACAATCCAAAATGAGTAGAAAAAGAGGAGGAGAAAGGGACAGAGAGACCATACGAGTGCATATTTTGGAGGGTGGAGATCCATGTCTTCAATAGAACCTTACCCTCTGGGCATCGGCGGGCGTTTTCTACGATATGAATGTGCCTTCTGGTCGAATGAGATCTGTAGTTTACCATTGGTGAGTTGAGTAGTACGAACCTGCTCATTACTATCAATTCCTGTCCGGGGGTAGTTTCGTCCTTTCGTGAGATGAATAGAACCTAATCTCACGTCATAATCTACGCTAAAGATGAAAGCAGCCGTCTAGGTTGGGGGCCTTTCTCTCATGCATGAGTGAGACTTGGTGCAGTTCGAGTCTTGGTCTCCGTGGCGGCTTCTTCCGTGTATTTTTCTCTTGTTATTATTCACTCAAATCTTGCGCATACCCGTGGTGTGTGATTTCTCTCCCATTTCTGTTCTCTATCGTTTACGAGTGGTTGGCATCGCATGTGGCATCATCACCCTTAAAGAAAATCAGCAGACGTCTGTGGTGGTCCTCAGTGATCAGCACAGGTAATGCGTCCGAGAAATCGCCCTCCGCCAACTGACGGGATGCTAACTCGTCACGAGCCTTCGTTTCCATGTTTTCGCCGATACCGCGAGCGAAAAATCTTGAAAAAATTGTCCCCTTGTCCGTCGACCCATTGAAGTAGTTGGAGTAGCAGTGTCTTAGTGCCTCTCTCCTCGGAGGGAACGCGCGGCTGGTCCTCGCATCGAGCTCGGCGCTTCCTTCTCTCTCTCCCCCCCGTGTTCTCTCTCTACGATCCCAGGGAGAGAGAGAGAGAGAACAGGCTCCCGTCATAATTAACCCGAGAATCCCAGGTAGCGGCTGGTGGCGACCCGCCACGCTCCAGTCATAATTAATGTACGAATCATATTTATATCAAGGGAAACTAATTCCCAAGAAAATGAGGCAGCCTGTCGCTCTGTGGGACGAGAGACTGCCTTCCACTCCTGTCTTCTCTCCCGGGCACAGGGACGGTTTCATTGACCCGAGAAGACCAATCAGGATGTTGTTACCCACATTTGAGTGAGGGATCGCAGCTGAGAATGCCCTTCTCGTCCCTCCTCATCCCGCAATGGCGAGGTGATCTGATGGGTAGGAGGGCTTCGTCAGAAAGTGCCCTCGCAATAGAGAGCGAGAGAGAGAGAGAGAGAGGAGATAAACAGTGACTGACTGACAGAGAAACCTGCCACGGTTTGATGACTATTGCGATCCGGTGCATGCGTCCCTGTTTCTCCCGGCAGAGAAAAACAAGGTGTCGGAGTCTCGTCAGGAACTGGGTCTACTCGTTAATATAGAGGTGAAAAGAGAGAGAGACAGAGAGAGACAGAATAAGTGCAGAGAGGGAGAGAGAGAGACTGCGGTCAAACAGGCAGGACATGGAAAATCCTTTCCCGCACGGAGCCAGAAAATTTGACGTTTTGCACGGTCCACGACACGTACCAGTAATTTCCGGCGACGGCGTGGGGCCACCGGCTACGGGAACCGACGACCAAAGACCCTCCCGCCCGTTTGGCCTCGGTCCGCTGATCCTAACCCCTAATAAGTAAAAAAAATCCCAACCATTTAGAATCTCAACTATTATCGGGCCACGAGTTATCGGGAGAACAAATCGAGTTCCGGGAAATATTTTATAACTAACGAGTAGAACTCTGTTAAATTTATGGTTACCAGCGGGTTTGGCCCGGAACTCGCGTGCCCTTTAAAAAGCCCGGATCCGGGCTTGCCGCTATGTGCCTATCCACCCCCTTCCCTACTCCGATATTCCCGGAAGGGGGAGACAGACAGAGAGAGAGAGCGGCTCTTGGCCGTGACAGCTCGGAGTAAAGGACGGAACGGATCTTTCTCGATCGCCGTGGATGTCAACGCGCGTTAAGCTGAGATCGGCCAGCAATCGTCTGACGTCAGAATGATTCCCTTCGTACGTAGCTCAACCTTTCGACTAGACGAGGAGAATGACTGAGCACGGAGATTACCGAAGACAAAAATCCTGCGGAGCAAATGCGCGGTGATGGTTCCGCATGTGTACCGGAACACTTTCAGGGATCCAATAAAATCTGGCGCCCCTCCTTCCCATTATCAGGTCGAAAAGGGCCCAACAGCATAACTGGGCCGTGCTTTCTTGGGCCATTCCGGCCCAAATATTTATATCTATACACACTCTCGTATGTATATAAAAGAAGCCGCAAAAACCCTGGGGGAAGAAGAAACCCAGAGGGACTGGGGTACGGTGCGAGGAGTTGCTTGAGAATCCGATATGGACATGGAGATAGAGGCAGCCTCGTCTACGTTTTCCTCGACGTCGACGTCACCGTCGAAGCGCCTTGGCATCAAGCATACCACACAGACTAATTTCGGAGACGACTACGTGTTCCAGATTGCCTCGAGGTACGGCGACGAGGTCTCGGTCCCTTCCCTGCTTTCTCTCTGAAGGATAGAGTACGTTGGGGGAGTGGACTAAGAGAGAGATTTAATCTGGAGAGAAATTGTGGATTAGATTTTTTGCGCAGAAGACGAATGTAGTGGGCATTTAATTGTTCCTTACGAACTGTTGGGTTTTTGGGATTGTGTCTCCGCCTTTTTATTTCTTCTTCATTTGCGTTTCTATTTCTCTATTTTTATCCTATAAAATTTCATTTCGATTGATTAAATTTAGAATTTACTATTGGTTTTTCAATCAATCTATAATCCCTTGTCTATGTTGGATGTAAGCCAGGAGATTTCGTCCTTGGCAGTATCTCTTTCTTCAAATGCAATCAAGCTTTACTCTCCAGCAACAGGACAGTATTTCGGAGAGTGCAGAGGACACAGTGGAACCATTAATGAGGTTTCATTCTCGATCCCTTCCTCAGCACATACACTATGTTCTTGCTCTTCTGATGGCACGATAAGGGCTTGGGATACCAGGTCTTTTAAGCAGGTACTATTGTGTTCGCCTATTTCTTCAGCTTTCCTTCGTTGACTAAGCATTCCTAATTGCTTGTTGTCTTCAAAATGAAAACATTATTTTAAGCACTGGAGTTGCTTTGCATGTGTATTGTCTTCCTTTTATTTAAAAGAGTTGCTGGGGCAAATAGTTTTGCAAAAAGTTAGCCAATGATTATCTATGTGCTTTGGAAAAAAAAGTGTGTTTAAGCTAACTAATTTTCAGATATGCTTACTGAGCCAGGTCGCATCAATAAATATTATTTTTGACTAAGAATTGAACTGGTAAGTTATGTTGGCTGAAAATCTTAGCAGTATTGTCGGCCATTGCTTTCAGTTATCAACTAGAAGGCAGTGAATACTTCATAAACGAATCACATGAAAAAAAAATGAAGCTGATTGAGACGAGGGGCTATCACGGGATTATATGATAGATCTATAATGGTTTGGTTCACTTCAGATCTACTCCACTCTACAAGCCGCCAATGATACTTGTATAGGCTATGCAACCTGTAGGTTTGCTTGCCTAAGGTGTTTTTACCAAACCTTCATAACATCAGGTAAGTCTTGTTAACAGCAGGCCTTGCTAGCCATTGTAACACAAGGACCGAGAAAAAAAACAATCGATGGTTTGCAAAACTTTCTAGAAAGTTCGGAGGAATGATTTAATCGCATTGTAAGCTTTATTGGCTTTGAGCAGCGATTGAACATGCCGAAAATGGTTGATCTTCTGCATTCTCAGATTTATGTTGTAAATGTAATATATCAATACATGTTGGTGGATTGGCAACACATTTGTTCATGTTTCTATGAGATCTTCTGTACCCCTTTTGCTAACTTTTTGAAATTCTCGACCCCATGGTCTATACAGTTTTTGGATTGAATCTCTTCACATAAAGTTCATTTTTTCCGCTCTTGGGCCAATAATTTTCGGTTGCAAGATTTCATCTTATTTACTGCATTTTAACTTTCTAAAACTTGAACTTCTTGGCCTAAAAAATGATGCATAAAATCAATATGAAATAATATAAAATTGTGAAGTGTGGTATTGTTATTGGTAAAATCAATTTGTTAGACTTAATAAATACCACTAATTCTGTGAGGCTTATGCAAGGACCATAAGCTGTCATTTTTATTGCATTCTCTTCCTGTCTCTGTCTAATTAAGTTGGATGTATTAGATCTCCTTACTGAGGGCTGGCTCCAACAAAGAAGTATACAGTTTTGCTGTTGGTGGATCAACCGGTAACCTTCTTGCAGCTGGTTGTAATGAACAGGTATAAATTGTTAAGATAGTCTTTGTCTTTTCTTGTTGTAAGTTGCACAAGGCTTGCAAAGTTTTTTATTGTTTACATCCTGATAACTTTGTGTCTATCTGCTAAAATCTCACGACCATTTTATCTCCTTTACAACATCATCAGCACCGTTACTTTATCTCTAAAAAAATATTTATTCTTATGCTTAGATTCTGTTGTCAATGACTGTGGTTGATTTTCATAAGTTTATTACTTTCGTCACTCTGTACTAATGTACAACTTTAGTCTTTTGGCTATGCCATTGAGTTCAATATCCGTGAACCTGTTATAAATCTCTTGGACTCTATGTGGCTATTGATTGCGGTTTTGTTCTTGTTTACTTGATGTAGATTCAATTTTGGGACTGGAGAAGTGGAAAGCTGCTATCTTGTCTGGAGGAATCCCATGTGGATGATGTCACACAGGTCCGTTTTTCATACTTTGCTGTTATATTATTTTTCGACTTTAGTGTCGAGTTGCAAGCTTTATCGAAAATATTGCTGCTAAAGATACTTCAGGATACAATTCACAGAATGTGGTTGCTGACCTCTGTGTTTCAAGTGAAAAAAACAAAACATCGAATATAATGACTAACTGACTAATTAATCATGCATCAGATTGCTGACTAGCAAAAGGAAAAAAAGTAGAACACAAGTGATAGATATTATTTGTCTTGAAGTACAGGAACAAATCTACCGTGCATGGAATCATCAGGGGAACCTTGTTGTGCTTATATTCACCGCTGGACTTACATTCGTGACACTTTCCAGATTGTTTTTCAGGAAGTGGGATACTTCTTCAGATTCATCCATTTCAATTTTTGTCTCTATGCTTTTCATGGATTTTCTGCACATGTTAGACTCACCCATCGTTACTTATACTTTACATTTTTAGTGTAATAAATTCACGGCATGATTCGTCTTCACTTGTAACTCTATTGCCTTGAAGGATTTTTTTGTATTTATGTTCCTGTCCTTCATCTACGATGCAAACAAGATATATGCTGACGGTCTCATACTGCAAATTCTTGTTATTGATCTCGTGTAATATGATGCTGTTTGTGTCATTACTCGTTTGAAGGTGATTTTCAACAGAAATGTTGAATGAGCACACAATTTGCATTTTCGTTGCGGATTTATAACATGCTTCAATGCCTCTACTGGGTTTGAACTATTCCTTATATCTCCTGATTTTAGGTACGCTTTGTCCCAGATCAATCAAATAAGCTTATCTCATCATCTGTTGATGGACTGCTGTGCCTGTTTGACACTGAGGGACATATTGATGATGATGACCACTTAGAATCGGTATGAAGTCCAAAAGAGTTTTTTTCTTAAAATTCTTTGCTTCCATTTACTTGATGGTGATATAGAACTGTGCATAAGTCAGAGGTTCGTAATATAAACTGTTGCCGTTCTGGAAAGTTTGCATTTACCCTTTGCTACTTATTTCACATGCCCGCGATGCATTGGAATTATAACCGTGTTTATGTGCGGATGTACTTTGAACACGGGCGCACAAAACTTTCTTTTTCAGTCGAAGATGCGGTGAGGGCTATTTTATATTTATGTTAAATTAACTTACTCTCTGAAAAAATTAATAAACTTACAATCTTTAAAAAATGTTTTTCCCAATGGATAAGCTTGCTTTTTTTATTAGTCTACAACATAAACGTACCCCACCCTTGTAGCTTCTGAAGTTCTTCAGGATTGTGAAAATCTTCTTAATTATTAATGAATCTAACTAATGAGGTCATATGAGAGCACGACAACTGATGAGCAAAGAAAATTCCAGAAGCTTGCAAATTGAGCCTGTTGCAAACAAATTCTGGATTCTGGCTCAAACCTAGTCACCGGACTTCATGAATATATTTTCTACAATCGACTGTACTCTTTTTTTCGCTTTTGTTTTCCGATGAAAGCATATTTGGTTGATCATTTGTCTTGGTCTTTAAATGAAAAATTCTTCTATACTGGTTCTGTCAAGCTTTTATCTTTCATTGCCATTCATATTTTTTCGCTTCAAGGTTCTTGAAAACCAACTCTACGTCTATTGTTTCTACTAATTTGCTCTTTGTTCCCAGAAAATTTTGGGCCATCTAATCTTAACTTGTATTGACATTATTTTGCAGGTTATGAATGTGGGAACTTCAATAAGCAAAATTGGGTTCTTCTGTCAAAATCAGAAGCTTTGGTGTCTAACACATATCGAAACATTAAGGTATGAACTGATGCTCCTGTCCTGTATTCCTGCATAGTACCGTTGGAAAACCCACTTATTTTATGGTTCTTAAAAAAACTTTTCCTACAAATTCAATTCTGTGTTTATCTTTTCTTCCATATTTTTGTTAATAAATTTGAATGTAGTTATCCATTTCTCTTAGTTGATTCTTTTTTCTGGGGGTTGGGGGGAGGGTAGGGTGGCATTTTTGGTGTGGCTGTGTACACTTATTGGTGAAAGAGAAATGTGTTTCATAGCTGTTGATTGGTGATTTTTGACGTCATCCATACGTCAGAGGAAGTTACAAGTAACTATACAACTTATTTATGGTTTAAAAATATATTTCATGGTGTCAAGGCATATAAATTTCTGCAAAAATCGTTTGAAAAAAATTCGAAATCATAGAGCTGATGATGATCATTAGGAAGAAAATTTCCTTTATCTATGATCTAAGTTTCCCATATTTTCACCTTTTTTGGGAAATTAATTTTAATAACTATTAATTTCAAATTCTGTACAACGACTCGTGCATTAAGCTAATAAACAGGATTTTTATCTTTTTTTTTTTTGGAAGAAGGGGGGGGGTGAGGGGGGATTGTGGTTGACTTCTTGTGAAACGGGATAGAGCCATTTTGGCACTAGGTTTGGCTTTGGACCAACTTGGGAGTTACCAGAAATGGTCAATCCTAGCATTCACAGTATATTACTCTCTGAAGAGTGATAACAGGACTGTTCTTTTCCCTGGAATAAGTACTGACTCTCGCTGTGGATTATAGCATTCATTTATATTATATGGCTGGCAAGCCTCACTGTGAAAGTGAAGAGAACTTTGTACTCATCTATCTTCTTTTTGTATCCTTAATACCACGAGTATCTACGTGCATGCACACATGTTTGGAAGGAGTTTCATGTGAACATGAAGACTGAACACCTCCTCCCTGATTTTATACATGTTTTCTTTTTTCCTTTATTTTATGTTTTTGAGGATTCAATGAGCATTCTCCTTTCTAATTCTGTATTTATTGAAAGTTTTTTTCTTCTTCTCATTGACGTGTTCTTTATTGGCACCCATTTATGTAAAATTGACTGCATAAAATTTTAATGATCTACAGTACTTGGGATTGGAAGGATGCGAGACAAGAGGTTGGTCTCGAGAATGCTCGTACGCTAGCATCAGAGGGCTGGAATTTAGATAATGTACAGCTTTCTATCAGCAGAAGCATGATCTTTTATCTTCAATAGATACATTTACTTACCATTTTGCATGTTCTTTCAAAAATGGCTTCAATTGGACTATTTGTCGAACAAACAACAGCCACATAGATTATCTTCCAGGAACTGATTATCCGCCGTTAAATTGGAAGCCCCCACCACCAATCCCCCATCTCCTGCCTCTCTCTGGTATTGCTCTTTTTCTTCTTTTTTTCCCTTCTCTCTTTTTCCTGATCAACTTCATGATCTGTTGTATCAACAACCGTCATATCAGATATCCCCGATTGGATTTCAGGTGGTGATTCTATCCATTTGGATTTGGTGGATCTCGTTCTCGTTGAATGGGCTCTTGCAGACAGCTCAAGGCCCAAACTTTCTGCAGCCAGAGGAAGAAAAAATTGACCTCTGCCTCCACCCTTTTCTGTCCCCTTCTTAAAAAGCCCCGATCAAACGTAGTGCGTCGCAGCCCAACTCCTGTATTCTTTTCTCATTGGCTTCATTCTACTTCATTGTGGAATCCCATCGCCGCCTAATTTTTTTTTCTTGAGAAAACAAACGTCAACCAATGTTGCCCAGATTGACCATATCTCATATCATATCATCTTGTGCTCTGGCAGATCGACTACTTTGTGGATTGCTTCTCGGGAGCCAACGATGGTCTGTGGATGATTGGGGCGACCAATGCGGGGACCTTGGGCTACTTCCCGGTAGGTCTTGAAGGATCAGGGGCGATTGGCCCCGCAGAAGCAATTCTCGAAGGAGGGCATTCGGGGGTTGTGAGGACGATTCTTCCCGCATCGAGCGCCCACGGCAGCATCTCCCGCAGCAAGGGCATCTTCGGCTGGAGCGGCGGCGAAGATGGCCGCCTCTGTTGCTGGCTCTCGGACGGGACTTCAGAGGCCAAACGCTCGTGGATCTCGAATGCGTTGGTGGCGAGGCCCCAGAAGGCTCAGAAGAACAACCGGCATCACCCCTACTGATGAAGAGAGTGATCGATAGTAGACTGCCCCCGTCCCGCTCGCAGGCGCAGGCCGGCCAGTATGTTTATTTATTGTTAGCCCTTATTGGTTCCGATTTTCCCTGGGTGGAGACTTTGAAGCAGGAGATTATTGAATCACATTTTACATCTTCCGTCGTGGAAGCTATTTCTCTGTCAGAAATCGATTGAACAATTGATCAACCTGGACATGATCCATTGTCGTCTAGTCCGGTTAGGATACCTGGCTTTCACCCAGGCGACCCGGGTTCAAATCCCGGCAATGGAAAGCTTTTTGTTTTCTATATTTCCTCTTTATTTCAGATGAAATACCCCCATCTCTGGCTCTTCGGTCACATCGAAGCAAAGCTTCGGCATCTTGAGAAGCTACTTGGAATGGGACGCGAGAAATCAGAGGCATAATCCCCAGCGGCAGCCATGGATGTGAACAGGACATGACAAGTGGCACGCAGCAGCCTCCGCCGCTCCACGATGTCGTCACCCTCCTCTCCTCCTGCGGACGGACCGGGAACCTCCGCCTGGGCACCTCCCTCCACGCGGCCATCGTCAAGAATGCCCACCTGTCCTTCCCCGGCGGCGCCGCCGCGCTCTTCCTCTGGAACTCCCTCATCTCCATGTACTCCCGCTGCGGCCGACTCTCCGAGGCATCCGCTCTCTTCGAGCGGATGGAGGTCAAGGACACCGTCTCCTGGAACTCTGTCATCTCGGGTTTCCTCAGGGAGCAGGAGCTCCATCTGGGTTTCCTCTTCTTCCGGAGGATGCTTCGCTCCGAGGCCCGCCGCTGCGACCACGCCACTCTCACGACTCTCCTCTCCGTCTGCAACTCGCCGGAGCTCCTCCGCGCGTGCCGGGCGGTGCACTCCGCCGCCGTCGTGAACGGCCTCGCCAGCGCCGTCCCGGTGGGGAACGCGCTGGTCACCGCCTACCACAAATGCGGGTGCGGCAACTCGGCGAGGAAGATGTTCGACCAAATGCCGGACAGGAATGTGATAACTTGGACGGCGACGATCTCCGGGCTGGCACAGGCCCAGTCCTTCCGTGAAAGCTTGCTTCTTTTCAGGGAGATGCTGGAAGCCGCGCCCGTGGAGCCCAACTCTCTGACCTATACGAGCTCCCTGGCGGCCTGCTCGGGGCTCCGGGCCCTGCCGGAAGGTCGTCAGGTCCACGGGCTCGCGCTGAAGGCCGGCCATGTTGGAGATATCTGCGTGCAGAGCTCGCTCATGGATATGTACTCCAAGTGCGGCCTCGTGGAGGACGCCTGCCGGGTCTTCGACGCGGCCGACGAGCACGACGAAGTCTCCTACACGGTGATCCTCGTGGGTTTTGCCCAGAACGGGATGGAAGACCGAGCGTTTACCCTCTTCGTCGAGATGGTGAGATCGGGCACCGTCTGCATCGACCCCACCATCGTCTCCGCCGTCCTGGGGGCCTTCGGCGAGTCGGCACAGCTCTCTCTTGGCAAGCAGGTGCACTGTCTGGTCGTCAAAGCCTGCTTCGGCGCGAACGTCTACGTGGGCAACGGCCTGATCAACATGTACTCCAAGTGCGGGGAGCTGGAGCACGCCGTGCAGGTGTTCGACCAAATGCCCCGCCGGAATTCCGTCTCCTGGAACGCCGCCATCGCCGCCCTCGCGCGGCACGGCCGAGGGAGCGAGGCCCTGCGGGTCTACGACGGCATGAGAGCACAAGGCGTGGAGCCGACCGACGTCACGTTCCTGTCTCTGCTCCACGCCTGCAGCCATGCGGGCGCCGTCGGCAGAGGGATGGAGTTCCTGCGCGCCATGGAGGAGGCCCACGGGATCAGCCCGAGGGCGGAGCACTACGCCTGCGTTGTGGACATGATGGGCAGAGCAGGGCGCTTAGATGAGGCGCTGCGCTTCATCGAGGGCCTGCCGGAGGAGCCCACCGCCGCCGTATGGCAGGCGCTGCTGGGGGCCTGCGGCATTAGAGGGGACTCGGAGATGGGCGCCTACGCGGCCCGGCATCTGCTGCGGGCGTTGCCGGAGTGCCCCGCGGCGTACGTGCTGATGGCCAACATCTACTCTGCGGAGGAGAGATGGGAGGAGAGGGCCAGGGTGGTGAAGAGGATGAAGGAGGTGGGTGCGAAGAAGGAGCCGGCCGTGAGCTGGATCGAGGTGGGGAAGGCGGTGCATATCTTTGTGGTCGGGGATAGAGCCCACCCGCAGCACGAGATCCTCTATGGCGTGCTGGAGATTCTGACCGCTGCCATCTGCGACGAAGGGTTCGCATCAGATGGAAAGTTCATCGAATCACTCGAGAGCATATGATCTCCCTCCCCCGAATTCTACATCATTCAGTGTAAATAACCAAATTTATGACACGAAGTGGATTTCGTAAATTAAAAGAGTAGACACCGCGGGTTAAGGAGCATCCTCCCGTCATGATAAACTAGTGTCTGCAAGGACTAGATAGACTCCCCCCCTCTCCCAGCTATTGAAATTTTTTCAAAGACGGCTGTTTCAAAGAGGCTCCGCTGATTCAGTAATCCAACAGTTTCATGAAGCACGCACGCAGTAGGCAAGGGTTTTGGAGGAATCACAGCCAGCCAAGTATTTCTACTTTCCAATGCCAAGCTCTTTCGAGATTTCTCTGGTCAGACTGAACTGCGAAGTGCTGTGCCATGGAAACAGAGTTCTGGTGACTGGAAGCTTCCTCCGGAGATCCTGTAGTCATTAATTAGTCACAGATGAAAATCATCACTGCGTGGTGCAAGAAAGAAATGAAAGCTTGATGCCCTCAAGAAGATCAACGCCTTCTTAGCTCAGGATTGTAATTGAAAATAATCGGGCATGTCACGAGTACCTTGAAAGTGGTATCCGGAAGATTGAAGTACGATCCCTGCATGCATGCATCCTCAAACATCAGTGTGTTCCCTAACATAACTCTTCGATCTATCAGATAAACTAACAAAGAGACAGGGATTAAGAGAAAAACCTCAAGAGAAGCCATATATTCTGTTTCGTGGTGCCGAATTATGTTTGCTATTGAAATCGCGGAGTCATCTGGAGACTGAAGAGGAGATATGGCCGCTTGTAAGTCATGAAAGTCAATAGACGGTGGGTGGAATTCGAAGATAAACCAGTTCCCCTAGTAGAGACATGGGAAACTCCCTCACTATTGCCAAAGATGTAGGCGTATTTTAAGAGAGCACGGTAAATTGATAAAACTCCTTTTCAGGTTGAATAAATGTCTTGGATAATTAAAGCAAATGGCAAGAAAATAAAAGGATGTTGCATTTGTAATCAGGCTGGATAGAATAAAATCTGGAAGAGCCATTTTAAATCCCAACTCCGTCACAAACCACGTCACAGTGAAGGTATATGCTACAAGATTTCCCCACTGTAAGTCCCGGTGAAGCGAAAATGGGCAGTACCCCACAGTTCATGTAAAAAATATGACAATTGCTACATAGGATTCTGACCGGAAAATGATTTCAACGCGAATTAACAATGCAGTCTTTCCTAACCTGGACCATGGTGGAATCCTTGCATTCGTTAGTTGAATCTAGCTGCACGTTTCCTTCCTCGAAATAATGGGCACCTACCTGTGATAAAACTATATATCACATCAAAATAACACTATGCAGGTAAGGTAAAAAATATGATACGGATGGCAAGCACCAACTCAATGCGAGAAAGTCTGGACAAGCACACCACTTTCCATCCTTAAAAATAATCTTTCCACCGCACAAACGCATCTAATAGCAAATATCACTTCGGATCACCTTCTGGTAGCCATGGTAAGGGAAAAAACCACTTATAACGACCTAGATTCATCTCCCTTTGAATGGCAGGGAATTTTATGTCATGTCTTTAATCATAGGATACAGATTATCCAACAGATTGCTGATTACTTTATTTTAAATTTAAGTCAGTAGTAATGTTTACAAACGAAACAAAAAGAAACATATGAATGATCAGAATGTTATCAAATGAGAAGAACATTCATTATGAATTGAGTGCCGTCAAACTCTGCTAATTGAGTGTCTGGCCAGGTACTTCGATATGGATAACAGTCCTCAGGATCTTTCCAGAGTAAACTAATGCCATGATCTGGATATTTTCTAACAGACGATTGATCAAATCCCTTGAAAAAATCTCATAAAAAATTCATCAATCCACATTTTGGTGGACAACTTTCGGAGACCTGCTGGAAGAGAAAGTTAGAGAACCATTTAACTTATTAGTGAGGACATTTTCTAAAAGACATTCATTCTGTTGTACAAGGATTGAAGGATCATGTTCTTGTGTTCTGTTCCGCCTTAGGCATAGTGGCTCCACTTGTCCTCAGCGATGCCGTCAGATACTTAGGGTGTGGTATAGCATCTAAAGAATCTCACAAGGCCATGCCATTCAAGAGAATTACAGCTTATGAAGTATCAAAATGTGGCAGAGATAGACCCTTAAAATCCATGGTGTGCAAGCATAAGGGGACACCAGTTTTGACGGTGAAATTGGAACTTCCCACAGATTTTAGAATTTACTTATCAATTCTAGCGTAGAGTGTTAACTGAAGAGCCAGAAGCGTATAAACGTGCATCTTCTGGATCGGTTTCCTGGTAAAACATAGGCATCTCTTTTCTTACAAGTGACATCAGCGATTCCATGTAGAGGATAATTTCAAAATCCAAAGTAGCAACGTCACCAACTACTCTCTCGTTGTGAGATTTTGCACGAGAGAAACAAAAAAAAAATTCAAGAACCATTTAGTCAGCATTCAAGTCATTATACTTAAACCAAAGCGTACATATGATAGGCATTCAACTTTTGATATAGCCTATTCTTCCTGTATCTAGCCTCTGTGTCAGTAATGTTGCTGTTTTTTCGTGCTTCTGATCATATGATCCCCTGCTTGAAGGCCCAGAACTCCACTGGTTATAAATTTATCCGTCTACCCCAATATGACAATTGTGTAGATCACCTTCAAGAAAAAATGATCACACAAATGGCAAATAGGAAGCTCTATAAGCGGCAGCATAACTAGGTTACCCGTAAAAAGATTTAATTTGATCATTTTAGCTGTACACTGTGTACTTAGCAGCTAATTTCTTAACTAGAATTATGAAGAGGAAATAAATACCTGCAATTTGCCTTTTAGTTCCACAACCTGCAAATCATCCTTGAACTCCACAATCCAAATTGAACGCCAACTCCCGTTGCTGAAGTTTATGGGGGGAAAGTTAATGTTCCATAATAGAAGTTTAGATGCATAAAACAACGGCTTTCACTGAAGGCACACAAATTATCAAACCAGTGTCAACAGTTGATACCATGCTATTTCACAATTTACCTCAAAAATTACATGAGAGGTGTCAATGGCATTTTTGAATAATTTCATGAATCTGGAATGGATGTCATGTAGGCTGTGTATCACATCATTCATTTGTATTTATAAGTTCAGTAAGATGCTTAGAGGTCTCTAGGACCTTACATGGGGATACATATGGCAATACCCTCACACCTGAAAAAGGGGATTGCCACTTTTGTTAAAAGTGATTCTTATTGAACCTAAGTTAGCCGAGCTTGTCAAGATACAGTTGGTTTGCATAGCTTACTAAAACAAAAGAAAAAGTAGTATCTCGCCCACTTGAGCTCTCCTATCTGAAGCAGGCAGTACACTCCAATGGCATAAGCTTCACCAACTTAGGCCGATTTAAACATGTTTCAGTCTTTCAGTATTCATATTTGTGAAATTACCAAAAGATGTCCATTTTCTTGCTGTCACTGCCAATTAAAAAGGGACACAGAGAGAGGGATAAATTTTATTGATGACTATCAGCTGATAAGAAGCACATAAGAATGCCTCAGAAGAATGGTTAATGATGATAAAGTGCAAGCAAACCAAAACTCAAAACGAAGACGAAATTATCAAGGTGAAGCTGAACATAATTAGTTGAGGGCTAATGCCAGTTAATGGAAACGTAATCATTAGAGCACATCATACTAACTTTTTATTAACATTACCTTCCAGAGGGATGACAGAAAAATTTGGCATATAAATCAAACTTTTTTCTCGGTCTGGTCAATATAAATTGTCCATTAATAGATGTAATGACAACGGGATGACTGTAAACAGGTGAAAGAAAACAAATCCCTCCAATTTACTAAAGAAATAAACTTACAAATTATGAGATAACTCTTTGTTGATGGACACACCAGAAATTTTGTGGGCTTTGCCTAGTTGCCGAAATCGCCACCGTAAATTCGAAAACTGCTCCTGGTCCTTCCACGTCTTTCCCCTTTGTGCAGTAAACAGCACAGGTGCCTTTAGAATATGTTTCGTCAACATATTTGCAAAGCTCAGCATCCAAAGGAGCCCTGCCATGAAAGTGGGGAGAAAGAGAGAAAAGACAAAAAGATAAGAATAGTTTGAAGAAAAAAGACGCTTTCTCTTGGTGGCTCCTCTATAGCCATATTACAGAAAAAAGAAAACCACATTTCCTAAATCACATTGACACAATGCACCTCCAAATTATAGGGGAACTCGTCATAGATCACGTATGAAGTTGCAATGTGTTCGAAAAAATGGACTTGAATAATTGGATTGCATTCCCATATTCACTTTAATAATTGGAATGCACGTTTAAGTATTCTCATGCTATCCCCCTTAATTTTTACACAAAACTGTCATAGCCATAGTAATCAAGACTTGAAACACTCCAGAGCTTCCCGCAGACTAATCAAGAAGAATTCCTACCGAAATTCCTCAATGTAGGAACATGGTAGCTCCTCATCAGTAGCTGGTCTCACCTTCGTGCAAATCTGAAATGTTTATAAAAATGAAATTTCATTAGTGTTCAATTAATGCCAAAGAACTCATTCAATCTGAAAAGAGACATAACGCATTAGCATGATCGACTTGCAAGTCATGAAACAAAATGCAAAAAACAAGTATCCACCTCTAAAAACATCTAGAATAAATTTCAATTCGACAACTAAAATAAGCCTGCGCAGAATAATAGTTAGGATAAAGAGATTCCCACGATTTTACTACTAGGAAATGTCTGTAAACGTGTCATAAAACATGATTTTCCCCATGTCTGGCTACATTATGACTCATCTGGTTGAAACGTTTTGTATGAAATTCATGAGTATAAATATTTCATCACAAACCCGCACTAGTTGGAACTAAGTTGGTGAAAGCTAAAACTTGGTAAAATCTCGTCACACTTTTCAACTTTTATCTCTTGATACGAAACCAAATCAAGCAATCTTCCTATGTGACGTGAACAAATGAGGCAATTTATTAAGGTTAAATTCTGAGAATCTTTACAACCAGATGAGCTTAGTTTCATTTGTTCCAGAGCCTTTCCTTGATACATTACATCAGCAACAACGTTGTGCTGGTAGTAGACATCCCACTGTCTGATTCAAAATTAGAAGAGATTGCCGTGCAATGATCACACAAAAATGAGAGTAAAAGCCAATTTTGAATCGTTTAATGGAAATAAACATCATGCAAGGAACACAGAAGATTATTCTGTATGATTAAGTATACCTTACTTTCTACCCTTACTCTTTGCTTTGACGAAAAGTCAACATCACAGTCGAACCTTGATTTTCGTAGAACGAAATTAGAAAAATAAACAACATTGATCCTCCTATTGCACGTATTTTCTACCTATTATATTTAATAAAATAGCGTAAATAGTTAAGACTTATAAATAGACAATTTCTGATAATTTCACTTAAAAAGTGAAGAAAAATGAGATGGATGGTATTAACGGCCATTTTAAGATCACATTTACCATGGGTGAGCATATAAGAAAATAAATGGTACACTATGCTCATCCAAATTTAGGGAAATCAACGGAAATAAAATAAAAAGGTTTTCAATTATTTCATTAACCAAATAAAAAAGACGGACGTAGATGGATCAATAAGTTACCTGTTTGACATGGTCCACAATGGCAACTTGTGCAGTCCTTGGATCAAGGAAACTTTCACTGTCAATCTCCCCAAATTTTGAAATGATTACCTACGATCATATATAAAGAATTAAGACCAGAAAGAGCACGAAAATTACTGGTGAAGAGAGTGAAGAAGTACCCGGGGTTTTTAACGGAAATCCAACGGTTAATGAACAAGAAAAAAAATATATAAAAATCATTGAAGAGCAGAAAATAAGAAGAATTCATGTAACATAACTGACAAGTCAAAGGTGCAAACAGTTCAGGCCCATTGCCATCAGAAAATGTTCAAAATTTCTGCTTAAGTACACGGTGAATGCGATTAACTTCTATGCACTATTACATACAGAAATAATTTACATGAATTGTTAAAAGAAATAGTCACGGATCACCCATTCGTCAATAATCGGTTACTCAGAGAATTAGCTTATAAAGGGATTCCAAGAAACCAGTTACCCAGAGAATTAGAACACGTATTCCAAGAAAACACCCAATTTTATTTCGATAGCACCTTTATAGCCGAGATATTGATCACACGGAAAATAAAGGCGCAGGTAAAGCCGAAGCCGTGTAATGCAGCATGCCGAGAAAAAATAATATAAAATACAATCGGAAAGAAAAAAAGTGATCAGAACTCACATCGCCACTGCGGTCGGGCATCGCTAGGGACAGCAGATGGGCTTTGTTGTAGATGGGGAACGCCACGGCCGCCGCGGCCTCGTATGCTACGTCGTCCATGAGGACCGATCGAACATCTGTGCCACAAACTCAACCATTTTCAACAAACAAAGAGAAGAACCCCCCGCGGAAATCTTCCCCTTGACAAAAAGAAAAACCGATCGCGGAGGAAGAGAAACTGCACCTTTCGCCACGTACTGAATTTCTCCCGCAGGGGCGTTCGTGAGTAACCATTTCGCAATTTCTTTCTTCTGTTCTCCGCTAATCTCCGGGCCTTCTCCTTCGTCCCGGTCCGCCATTGCAAAGCAGCAGCAGATCGTGGTTTCTCTCTGCCCGTCGACGACAAAAGCCACTGTGGGCTGCACGCACGCCCAACAGTGTTGTAATCGTAGATACGTCAACCCGAAACCCGAATGGGCCGACTAAATCCGAAATCGTCCTCAGCCAGCCCAATTCTCTTTCGCTCTCGTCTTGAAAAGATAGAATACAACGAAATAGATCCACAGTCGAGAGAGAGAGAGAGAGAGAGAGAGAGAGAGAGTTTTATAAGATCGGTGGGGTTTGATGGAGGGTCGGATTCTCCATTCAACTAGTCATGATATCATGAAATTAATGAATTGAGACTTAAAAATCACATCAATCCAGTAATATAATAAAACCGTCGCTTGAAAGTGATATTATTGTTCAAAAATAGAATATAACCCCAATAGATTCTCCAATCAATTACTTTTACACCATCGCAAAAATTGTACAGAAAGAGCGAGCAAAAGAATTTCATAAAACTGTCCTTCACACAGTCTTAAGAACACGAAACGCGCAAGCCACTTTGGCCGTGACGGAGATCCCAAATCACAGATGGAGGAAAATACAGAGCAGTCTCACAAGACAGGGAGGAGCGTCCCCCACCTTGGATTTACCTCCTGCTCAGTACCTCCATGGGGTGGTTCCAGATCACGTTAGTGGAGGAGACCCAATAGAAGAGAATAATAGTAAAATGCCCCTAGAATTGAATTGAATTGTCTCGGAAGACCATGTCCAGAGAAGAGCCCCTAGTAGAAATCCAAAGCCCACCATGCGCGAGGCCCCACCGCACGCACGAGTTCATTGGGGTCGTCGGATGGAAATAGTCCAGAGAAGATCTGAATCAGAGCGGACAGCGATCTTCTCAGCAAGAACGATGTTGGAGGTGCTCACTAGTCCGCCGAAATGCATCTCCGTGTCAGCTGGAAACACAAGCCCTTCTTAGATGAATCCGAGGGCAAGTAAGACCTTCCCACACGACAAAAAAAAATCACTTCTTTCTGTTTTCTTCGTTTGCCCAATCGTGACGGCAGATCGGAATGGAGAGTGCCGATGGCAGCTCCAACCAAGAGATTTTTTCAAGAGAGAAAATGAATGAATGAATGAATGAAAGAGCAGTGGTGGGCGAATTGACTCACTGAGATCCCACTGGAGACCGGTGGTGGTCGTGCTAGCAGACGGTGCGCCGATGGGAATCAGACCGCAGTGGGGGCCTTCCACAGATGACTGTATGATGATCTCGTGGCGGTGGGTCTTCGGAAGGAGGTAGATCAAGCAGTCATCTGACATGAGGATGATCCGGGTCTTTGGGAATCGATAGAGAGCATTGATGTTTCCAACTTCATGGTCAAATCTACCGCCAAGCGCACCCGTAACAAGTACGCATAGCTGCAACATTCAAACGCAAATGGTAACTGTACCTGCATGACTCTGGAATCCAATCTTACCGATAGTAAGTAGTAAGGGCCTATTCAGCGGGCGGCGGCAGAAGAAAAGTCAATCTTGGTATTATATGCCCGAATCATGGCACTTTATTCGTGCCTTTAATTTGAAGTTTTCTCATGAGTCTGTTTATTTGTGCATTAAATACCTTCTAGCAGTTACTTCGATGGCCAACATACCAACATTCTGAAAATAAATAATTCCAGCTCTGCCTCAGATGAAACTTGGGATCATGAGGCTGGAAGACTACAGAAACTTGAATGTTCATCATTTTTATTGAAGCAAATATGCATATTCAACAATAATTTTACTAGAGATTGACCTACAGCGAACTTTGACATTGGACAGACGCTCAATATCATCATTAGGTAGTCATCTTCGATAGGGGAGAAAAACCAAAATTTTCAGTTGAACTGATAGCGATACAAGAGAAGAGAAAATACTTTTTCTAATGAAGACACCAAATGCAAATATTGGATTCTCAGAAAGATCATGAAACTTTACATTAGACTTGTCCATGTCAGGTATCCAGTCGCAGATAAATGCTACACATTTATACAAATCTGTTGTGTCCTGATCGTGTGATTCATCGACTATCTCGGTTCCCTGCACAGGCATTGAAGTCCATTTAAATTCTGAATCCAGAACGTCCTATGAAAAATGATTCAAGTCTTTTTACTAATAAAAATCAGAAATTCAACACGGCAGAAATTCTTTTATTATCTGATAAGTAATCCAATAAAATCAGAAATAAAAGAAAAAATAACGGATATACACTAACAGTTTGCACTAAAAGAGAAAAATGCGATCGTGCATTTCACAATTTTTTTCAAGAATTCGTGTTTTCCTTCATAAAAGTTTGACCTTGGACTCCACTCACTGTTCCCAAACGGCCTACAGCCTTCTGAAGATCATCTCTGATTTATCGAATGAGGAGGATCCAGTCTCAGCATAGAATAAACTGTTGATAAAAGAGACATTTCTTCTAACTAAATATATTTTTATTTATATTGTCCTCTGCAACTAAACCCCTAAATAGTGCACTTGACAAGTGTAGCGATCCAGTAAAACAGAACTCCAACCTTCCTCAATACAAAATAGAAAAGATGTTAGCCAGCGTTCACATCGAACACAATTCTCTCTCGATAATAATTGTAGAATACCATTCATCCTAATAAATCAGTCTCCAATAAAACCACGTATTCATGAGAAGGAGAGTATATTTGAAGGATTGGTCATGAACAAGTGACGACGTAAAAAGCAAGCAAGCAAGCATGCAGCTTTTCCTTATCATCCACAAACTATGACTTAATCTAAGATGTTTAACTATCAGGGATCTGAACACAAACTCATGTGTTTTAAGTTAGATGCATAATATATTATTAGAACGAAAGTTAGACGTCTCAACTTCCCGCAATGTCAGGTCATGTATTGAGGCGTGCACAAACTTGCACGTGAAGAAGAAAGCTCATTCAAGTTCCACTAAAATGGTTGCAGGTTCAAATCCAGGGCAGGAGATCTTCTACCACATATCAAACATTTTTTTCGTTCACATTCCAACACTTTTACATTGGTTAATCCATTACTTCTTCTTTCTTTTGTGGTAGAGTGTTTTTTTTTATTTAGAAGATTACTAGGACTAAAAATTGGCACTCTGGTAGAATATTTTGCTATTGGGATAGACAAAAGTGTAAAAATATTTGGGCATCACCGCATCTCATTTTTACAGTCTTTCAACTTAAGAATGAAGGTGCTTTCCATTCTTCTATAATAAACCGTGCTAGGGGAATGCACAGAGAGGCTCCTCACTCCAAACAAGGCATTCTGAAGCGCTAGCCACCTCAGGATTGACGTTTGGTTTTAGTCCATACTAGACTTAATAAATATTTCTACTCAAAAAATATATAAATAAATGTAGGAAAATAAAAGGATGCTAAATTAGCACGGGTACCATATTGGAGTAGAATTCTTTTACTTCTTCTCTGATAGAGTCCATATCTCCTTTGATTACATCCGGTTTGTACCTGAAATGAAGAACTACGATTTAACTTTTGGCAATTACAGTCACCATGAAATGGATTATACATTGTTAAAAAGAAGGCAAAAAAACACCAAACGATATATCAAAAATCTCAACCAAAACTGAATCATAAAATTGTTAGGACGATCTTTAGTTCAAAGATCAAATAATGACTTCCACTTTGGCATATACTCATTCACATTGAAGCATGCTACAAAGGACCCGCATCCTTTTGTTTCAACACCAGCAAAGAGAACTCATGTAAGTATCCATTAAAGCAAAGAACCGTTCGAACAGAGGTTTCAAAAAGGTGAGGTCCCAGGATTCACTCCCCTAAGTATTCGAAATGGGAGAAAATGTAGACATATACAGAAGAATTTACCAAAAAATTCCACATTTCCTCGCCATCGCAAGAAAAACGTAAGTGATTATGGAATAGTGAAATAAGATATGTACCATAAACCGAATTAATTAGGACTTGATGGATGACGAGACAACCTCGAGTCGTTCTGTAAAATACTATGAGAGGAAGAACAGATCTATGAAGATATTTTTCCAAATTCGTAACAGATCTCCGATTTTATTCGCATAATATGTGGATGGCTAAAGTTAGATAGAGGATTCAACTTAACGAAACCAAAGTCTTATGTTCATCATTCTTTCGGAAAAATAAGGGACCAAATAAACAGCCTGGCTGCTTTTCTTAATACGACAGGAAGCTAAGCATTAGACCAGAGCTTTTCGCAGGCTCAATGAAAAGCATCACAAGGTCAAAGCACCGTGAAGGAGAATCCATGGAAAAGGACTGGACGAGGCCCCAAATTAAAGATGACAAGTTGATGGTGTACTATTCATCATAGCACTTGAACAGAAGCAGGAGAATCAGGGTCCAACGGAGCTGGGTGGTACCACATCTTCTGCCAGAGCCTTTCCAACAACTTTGGGAAAAAAATTTGATAAAGGAGAACAGGAAAGATAACCTTTTCCGGACACTGAAAGGATTTTCGTGCGGGAACATCGCCGGCATCTCGTCGTGGAGCCTGTTCGCTCCTCCATCTGCGCAGATGCGCAACTGTGCTGCTCTAAACGAACATCCCCCGGCCATATAAAGAGACACATGCGCACAACAGAAGGAAATTAAAACGCTCGAAACCAACAACAGGGAAAATGAGACGCAGCCGAACCGAACGACGCGAGCGTAGTTTATCTTTCGGCTGCGCGTGGGGGTTGAGAAGGAAGATGCTAAGAGTTCGGAATGCGCTCAGGACGTACCGTGATTCCACAGGAAGGGCGCGAAGAAAGGGAGGCGTTGGTTGAGAATGACGAGGGCATAGGTCTGCGAGGATCCGTCGCCACGGGAGGGGGGGATGGAAGGGAGGAGAAACGTGGAGGAATGAGTCATCATCTCCATTCCTGCCACTTCCACTCTTCTTCCTCGGGCGACGCAGCAATTCCCCCTCGAGAACCGGCAGCAGGAGAGGAGGAGAAGGACTGTGAGGTCAGATCAATCTCTTCACGAACGAGGTTCTGACCAGGCAGAGAGATGCGGATTGAGATCGCGTGAACACCTTCCCTGTTCCTCGCGGATTGAGATCACGGAAAAGAACGCAGGAAAGCCACCGCCCCCGACGATCCTCCTCGCTGCCCATTCGGCTTTGACCCCACCTCGCGGGGATCCCCAAAGTCAGCGACTGGGATGCGCTCGTCAGGCCTCTCTTTCTGTGGACGCTTGATTGCGCTCGCATTCTCTCACCCGGAAGCCTTTTTGACTTTCACGGAATCACCATATTAACCATTTATAATTATCACGCAATCCTTTAAAAGGGCCGAATTCCAATTGAGTCAACAGAAGGCAGCCCATTGTCAGCTTCAGCCTCGGAATGGCCCGGCCCAAAAAATAAATAATTAAGGCGCGTTTCAGTACAGAAAAGGATGGGAAAATATCTTCTGCGGGAAGATGATCTCCTCCTCCTCCCACTAGAATTTTCCCGTGGGGCCCAATAGGCCCTTGAAATCCGAGCCCACGGGCCTGCGACGGAGGGATCGTCGATGGGCCCCCATGTTGCTGGCCGTATTTAAAATGCGCCGTTTGGGCCTGACGGGCGGCGGGGTTCTCTTCACACGTTTTCCATTTTGTAAAAATACGGCCGTATTCGGCCCCATCAGGTCGCCTCCTTGTGGGTGCACCATGAGATAGAAAGAGAGAGAGAGAGAGAGAGAGAGAGGGAAAGGAAGGTCTTCCACACAACTCCGAGGGCCTTTGTAATAAAAAATCGATGTTCTCCGTCTACGTAACCATATTTTTTTATCTATCTGACTAAAAAAGTCGGCCTCATGCAATTTCTTGAGGTGATTTGAAGATTTCCTATCAAGAAAGTATACGAAATTCTGAGAAAAGAGCCAGCGGGGGTGGGCACCTTTTCTACCTCCCGAGTAACATAAAGTCGACGTGTCATCGATTTTTTTTATTTAGAAAACGCAATTATTGTTTTTTTCTGGAAAGATAAGAAGAGGGGGGCACGCCCCCTCCCAACACAATCATATAACATCGACGGGACGTAAACATATTTTATTTAAGATGGCGTCACACATTTATTTTTCATACCCTAAAATGGGAATATCTTAATCGGTCAACTCATTTCAGAAAATTCACGTTTCATTTCGGGGAAAATCGGACGTGTAACCCGCCGCCCACCTTCTCCTGGGTGACAACACTGTTTAGTAAATATAAATATATTCATTCAACAGGTGCACTGACCACGCCTAATGGGAACATTATACCAATAAAATGGGTTGCTTTCTGACATGTTTTTGGTGCCCATGGCGAGTTGAGTGAGTTTGAAAGCCCAGCTTCGTTAAAATTGATTTTTCTGATGCTGGTGTACCTATTTGTTAAACCTGGAAAGAAAGAGATACGCCCGGCCAAACATTTCTCCGGGCTCAGCTTGGGTTCAGAGCTCGCTCTCTCTCTCTCTCTCTCGTGGATAGACATTCTAAAAAGCTAAGCTTGGCTAGTTTTCTAAACTAGTCTGTGGGTTTGGACCCTTCAAGTCTCACGGCACTGCAGGAGCATTGGGTGGAATCATGAATCACCCATGGACAATGAAGGAAAGAAGCCTCATCTTCTTGCTTAACATCGATCTGAATCAGAGTAAAGAACAAATATTTTGCAGGCTACGGACGAGTACTTTGACCTAATTCTACGAGATGAACCTGCGCTGAAGGAGATATGAAGGGTAATGACGCGAAGAGATAAGGTTGAGGGAATATATTACGTGAACTGCGATGTTGCTCCTGACAGTTTTTTATACATCGCCTACTTTTTTAGAGAAAAATAATGAAAAAAGTTTGGAAGAAGCGGGCTGGAAGTCGGAGAGAGGGACACAGAGAGAGAGCCGTCCACTACCCTTTTTCCCTCTCATAAGCGGCCTGGGAACTCTAGAGAGAGAGAGAGAAAGAGAGAGAGCCGTCGACTATCCATTTGCTGTCTCACTAGGTGGGAGGAGGACATTGTCTTGCACCAGCCCAACGGAGATGGCGAGGGTCTACCCACAACCGGCGGCCGTGGAGGGCTCTCCCTCGGAGCAGAGAGAGGTCTTCACCATATGGATGAAGTCGCTGGTGCTCAACGGCAGCGGCTGCGCCGTCTACGACTCCGGCGGACGGCTCGCCTACCGCGTCGACAACTACGACAGCAAGCGCGACGACGAGCTCTTCCTCATGGATCTCGGCGGCAGGGTCCTCTTCAAGATCCTCAGGAAGAAGGTCACTGCAATCCATAATATCATCCCTCGAAACCTTCCTTCCTTCGTAGAGGAGATAATAACTGTGCCGATCTTACAGAAGCTGGGGCTGTTCGGGAGATGGGAAGGGTACCGCTGCACTGGTTCGCAGCAGCAGGAGGAACTCACCCCGTCGTTCAGGATGGTGCGCCCCTCCGGCATCTTCACCGGTGACGGGCCGCGGGAAGTCACCGTCTTCGGCTCCGGCGACAGCTGCCGTTACAGGATAGAAGGAGCCGTCCGAAAGTCCAGGTATAAGATCACCGGCGTCGGAGGAGAGCTCATTGCTGAGGTAACTACTCCTCTGTTCCATTCGTATCAGACAGTCCTCTGCAAACTCTTTGTTTTTATTCTTTCAGCTGGAGAGGAAGAGAGCGGCTTCTGGTGTGGCGCTGGGGGACGATGTCCTGGCTATGGTGGTGGAGCCCCACTCGGATCTCTCACTCGTCATGGCCCTGATGGTAGTTTGCAGCCGGATTAGCCACACCATGTGAAGATCGCCGCCATCTGCGGGGATCACCGTTTTTCTTCCTTCCTTCTTTCCGGTTCTTGCCGCCTGCTTCCTCCTCGTTTCCCTTTTTTTCGCCGCCTAGAAGCTCTGGTGGACTGTGCGCTTCTGTCTCTCCGTCCTTCTTCTTGGGCAGCCAAGAATTTTTGAGATTTTCCGTCTGTGTAAGGATAGAGGAGAGAGAGAAAGAGATGCCGGGGTTTCCAGCCGGTCATGTAAGAAGGTTATCTTGTGAAGAGGCGAGGAGTATGTGGAAATAATCCAGGCCCCAGTTGGAGAATTGGGATGCTTGTGGTGGTCGACCTTCTGATATTATTCATCACGCGTTCGTCATTGAAGAGCTTCTCCGATATGTTGGAAAATTTTGGAAGAGAAGGGGATTCTGAAGGAGTCAGAGTTATTGTGAATCATGAGACAGACATGAAAAGCCAGAAAATATCACCCTTTTATGTTCACCGCAGAGCAAGAGAGAGAGAGGGAGAGAGAGAGAGAGACGCATGAGTTTCCACGAGAGTGCAGGACATGACAAATTATTGAAGGGAATATTATCCAAGGAACAATCAATGAAAGACACTGTGGTTGGAACGAGGGTGAAGTCGACCGACAAACTCCATTGAAGTTCATACTTCGATCTCATACTTTCCTCCTTGATCACCTCTCCAATTAGGCATATAAATTCATTAAATTATGGGTTCTGAACGCACTTTACACAACTCAAGTTGATAAATTCGATGAATTTACTATGAGGAAATGTCTCAGAGAGAGAGAGAGAGAGAGAGAGAGAGAGAGAGAGAGAGAGAGCAGAAGATGTTGCACCAGCAAAGTCGCACTTTTCAGCAGAGAGTGCCAGCAAAGTTTGGCGAGGAAAGTGCCGATAATGAGACGGTGGCAACAACCAAATAAGAAAATGGAGTTGACTGGCGGCACGAACAACGTGATAGGTCCAAGATATCAATACCGACGGCAGTGATGGTTGACAGATGGCGATTGCGCCTTGGAAGATCATTCGGAGAATAATTCAACGTGCAATGAATTGCCTTCAGAAACTAATAAAAAACTTCACTCTACATTACTCCCACTATTTTAGGCCAATTAGAAAATACTGTAAAGTGTGGACCCATCGAAAATACTGTAAATTTTTATGTCCACAAGACACTGCGATTCTAGAAAAATATCCACTCAACTTAGGGTTAAGCAGCCGCCCCACCTCAAGAAAATGTGGGTTTGGTTGATATATATATATATATATATATATATCTGTGCCTGCAGATGGAAAAGAGACGAAACATGAAGCAAAGCAAATTGTTCACTCACACCTGAAACCCGTGTAAAGCTGTGCTGTTCTGAAACGAAGTAAGACCCGAAGGAAATCAAGGCGGGTGGAAACAAGGAATTACACAATCAAGAAACGGACTAATTATTGAATCATTTCAACCCGATGCGACGAGTCGATCAGGAATTCTTCAGAACCTCAGCCCCATCGTCAATTCTCAAATAACAATCGTAATAAATCGTTAGTTCTGAGCGGGTGAGCTTCTACTGAGCGACTCATTGCAGAGGGCGTTGCAGGAAGGTGAACCAAGGTGAGAGGAGAACAACCAGAGCATCCATCATACTTGCCGTGGGATGTTAAGAATAATAATAATTAAAAAAAAGGCATGCAGTAACCGGCGCAACCTGGCAGAGGACCGGGGGTGGGGATGGGTGTGTGCAATGTTTATTCCGCTTGAGCCCAAGATTGTATATACAGAGAGGGATGAGGGTCTCGCCTGAACCCAAGCTGAGAATGCCGGTTACAACCAAAAAAAGAACTATGCTCAAAAGCAAGACATGCCTTACTAATTAATATAAGTTGATCTTAAAACACAAATATGGATGGAAGACAAATGATCTTTAAAAGAGGGGAAGGGCACTTCATGTATAATACACGGCAGCAGATGCGGCAGAAAGCCAATGATTCCTTTCCTGTTAATTCTTGATTGGTGGGCTAGGCGTAGGCGGGACGGGGCTGTACAAACAAAAGGAGCTTCTACATGAAGTAGCTGAGAGCCTTCTTCTTCCTCGAACCACCTTCACCATAGAGCTCGTTCCATTGGATAAGCTCGCTCATATTTGTTGATTCGGATGAGACACTCGCACAAACCTACAAGCATGTCCATATAAGCACCGTTTTTAGGGATTTCTTTTCTTCAGAGTCTCACTGTCGCTTTCTCAGTAAAAGAAAAAAAGCTGTTTCTTTTCCTCAATTGGAGTGACTGATGCTGCTATCTTCTGTTTATTTAGCAGGAGATGGGAGCCAACAATGAAACATACATTTCAAGCGAAAGTTCTACTAGTTGTGAAATTTAGTCAGCTACCAGAGTTTAATGGATGTAATCGAAAGGATAATAATGAACGACAAAGTATACATGCCTCCGATGAAAGTCATCAGTATGAAACCGAGATTTACCTGTTCATGAGCGTATTTGAAATCATCCATGCTCAGTGAACGGATATCATCACAACTGTGTAAGGCAGGCGGTGCCCTGCCTTCAGCTAACGCAAGCTTTCTCTCCTGATACAGAAACGCCATGAACCCATTAGAATACTGAACACGACGAACATGGTATAACCTGATAGACAGAGATCCCCCCCCCTTCCTATACCAATATTTCCATCAAGAACCACTTCTGGCATATCCACATCAATGCGAATCAATCGCCATATAACGGTACTGATTAGATTTAGCAGTAAAAAGAAATCCTAAATAAATTTCCCACTACCTTCTTTTCCTTTTCCAAGATTTCTCTGATGGGACAGTGCGCAGCAGTAACACAAAGATTCTGACATCATGAATAAAAAAATCCGGGAATTCACGGTCAGTTCTGGACAAAATCATTGAACAATTTTGCAGGCTGGGAAAAAAAAAACACAGAAAACAAACCTTCAGATCGCTTCCTGAATACCCCTCGGTCATAGTTGCAACTGCCTCTAGATCCATGCCTGGAGCCAATTCCTCTTTAGCCAATATCACTCTCAGAATCTTTTCCCGGTTTGTCGTGTCCGGTAGGTTGACCATTAGCCTGCGCAGACGGTATATATATGATAATGAGAATAAGGCCATCATTAAGTTTACAGTGAGACAAAATGATTTTACCTCCGTGGGAGTCTTCGTATGACAGCTTCATCAAGGTCAAAAGGTCTATTGGTGGCTGCAAGCACTAACACGCGTTCTTTATCCTTTGTGCGCAACCCATCCCAGTTCACCATAAACTCATTTTTCATCTTGCGCATGGCTTCATGTTCGCCAGGATTTTCTCGTCTTCCCAACAAGCTATCAACCTAATAAAAGGGAAGAGCACGCCACAACAATCTTGAGAAACGAAAAAGTATCTTCAGAGAACATGATCAAATATCGATCCGCAGAGGAGTGATTCACTGCATGATAAATTTGTGCTAGTAATTGCCTTCTACCAACCTCGTCGACAAAAACAACACTTGGAGCTATTTTACTAGCCAGTGAGAAAACTGCTTTCACGTACTTCTCCCCTTCACCAAACCACTGTTCCAAAGGGAAAAGAAGCAGATAAGACCGTTTGTCTTGAATAATAATTATTATTCGAGCTGGTGAGGGAAAGCACGGGGTTGAATCAAACAGAGGCCTGTGTATATCATTATCCATTCTTGCCTTTGATGTAATGCTCGACATTGATATATTGATAAAGTTGGCACCGGCCTCTGTTGCAACAGCCTTCGCAAGCATTGTTTTCCCCGTACCAGGGGGGCCAAAAAGTAGAATGCCCTTGCACGGCTGCAAAAAGGAGTTGGTCAATTGAGATGTAAACTTAAAACACCAATACAGCTCTATTTTGAGAAACCAAAAAAAATAAAAAATGCCTACGAGTATTTCCCACAATAAGGTTTGATCGAATAGATGCCTCAGCTCCTTGTCGTTTTTCGTCCTTTCAGTTGGTATTTTTTTCACGAAAAGCAGACATGAGATAGCAAATCAAGTCTTTCCCTAAGATTTCGAATAGCTGTCCCGAATTCAAGTTGATTACGTTTCTCTTCTTCCCCAGAGAATGACGATCAAACAATTCCCAACCAGGGTCCTTGCGGATTGGATCGTCCGTAAAGGATAAAAAAAGAAACTCCACATACTTGCTACCCTTCTCTTTGAATGAGATCTCAATTCCAGCTACGGTTTCATTAAATATCTTACAACTAGAATCCCTCTTTTTTTCTGATCCGGTTGCTCCACTGTGAACCCCGGTTAGATTCAGGCATCATACACTTAAGATTTATTGGGAGAATCCAAGTTTTCTCGTGCAGATCCATGAAACAACTCTCAGAAATCTTTTTCCCTTTTGGAAGATACAGGCGGGAAACAACCAACTATTGATGTTAGAAGACCAACAATATTCTTTCAATGCCTCATTTTAGGTTCCAATGGAATTCATACGTATAGGAAGAAGCCCCATCAAATAGAAATTTTGTCTTTCGACCATCTCTCAATTGTTAATGCAAAATATAAGGACCGCTGCTACGAGCAGTACTACACCTTTGATTGTGAAAACGACTGTGAATCACGTTAAAGAAGGATATTAAAAAATATTCTGGATTGTTAGAAGAACGCCTGGCAGCCAGTAGGTTCTCCAATTCTGTTACTACCAAATAACACCAACGGCCAAAAAAACAAGCGCAGATCAAAGCGTAGGATATTGGATAACAATTAGAGGATTAACAGAAGCTTTAAGACTTGGATGGAATAGGGAAATTTCAACCTTTTCTCCTCTATGAAATGGGGAAAAATAAATCTTTGACGATGGAAAACGACAATTGAATCTAACGCACTAACAAATTATCTCAGACAACAACATTGTCCGCTATCATACTCTCCCTGTACATTCTAATTGTCAGGAAAAACTGGCAGTTTTTAGGCAAGGGGTTATAATAAGAACCATCATAGATCTTAATCCAACAGTAGACTAGGTTCAAGATTCTGAAAAAATCATAGCAGGCTAATAAGACATTAAGACATAGGAAACCTTAATATGCACATCACATTATTTCCATCTAGTCCACAAAAAACTAAAAACAGTGTCTCTATGCATTACGCATACCACGCACAGCTCAAAATTTAGCGACCTCATGATCAATGAAACGAGAGCGTTACCAAGCATCTAATTTCATATCTCAATCACAAGTTTTGAAAATATAAAAGTGTAAATTTCGAAGTTTTTGATTTCACGTTATTTACCAAGTAGATCCAGCTTTCATAAGCTGTGGAACATCTCAAGGTTGCAGTGTCATGAAAATGAACTGGCATCTACATCTGAAAATCCAACAATTTACCTCCTACTTGTAACTATTTTCACTCGTGGAAAGATATAGACAGGGAGCACATCCCATTTAGGTTTAAGACAATGATAGTCTAGAATCAGAAGTAAACCATGCAACACGCACCTTGGTAAGCTGGCCTTTACAGAATAGCTCTGGTCTCTGCAATGGAAGCATCACCAACTCCTTTAATGTGTCCTTCACATTTTCCAGAGCTCCAATGTCGTCAAAAGTCACCCCGATATCATTAGGTGGAATAACATCAGCAAGAAGCCTTTTTTCAAATTCATTCTCAGTTACCACATCCTATGATCACAAGAAAGAATGGTCAGATAATTATAGCCGACCAAAAATAATGTTGCCGACTTCAAATAAGTCATTGACCTCACCTTGAGTGATTTCTTCAAGCTTTTTGCATCACTCTGGATGGACTGAAGCATATTGAATCCATACTTAATGCTGGTAGAATGACCAAAAAAATATGTTCATTTGTAATTACTGAGATGCTCGGGTACAAGGAGTTTCCAGTTTATAAGATAAAATGTCGAAAGAAATAAAACCTTTCAGAAGAAAGTATGAGCTTCGAATCTCTGGCAGAAGCTTCCACTTTACTGTACTTCAGGTGATGACTGAGAGCGAAACCAACTATCTTATCAACACCTAATAATGATGAACATAGGAAATCCATCACAGACCACCTCACAAATTAGTTAAAAAAGATACACCTAAGCACATTATAGGGGACGAACTTTCATTAGTTAAAGCTTGGTCCTTGATGCATATGGCGTCAAGGTCAGTGCAATCCAGTCCATTGCGATTTAGAAACTGAAAGGAACATAAATACGTTAGCCTTAAGGATATTTTAATAATGAAAACAAATGAATCAAAAAAATTGCCAAGAAAGAAAAAAGTATGCTCTGGAAAGTCAGAGCCGATTTTATCAAATAAGTAAAACCTAAATAAGATGAACAAACGTATCTGTATTCTGAAGAAAATAATGAGATAAGTTGGATAAAATATGAAGACCATCTGAATATTGTGATCACTGTTTTTAACCATGAAATGAGCCATGTGACAGAGAAATAGGTCATTAGGCTCCAATGAATAGAGTAATAAATGTGGTCCAGCCTTTCAATGTTGGATCTGCCAAGAGTTAAATTAACAACCATTCCATTCCATTCAATGTAATATTTTTCAAATTGAAATATCAATTTGTATCACAAGTCGATGATCATCAAATTGATGTGTATTTTATGAAGCACATAAATATTAAAATCATATAAGTTAGTCGACTGAATCTTCAGGACAAAAGTAGTAAGAAAACATTTTAATGTTATTGATCAAAAGTGACTGAGGACAAACTTTTGCTTTAATTTTCAATGAAAATGCCAAAAAAGATAAAAAATACGGCAAACAAAGGAACCATGCACCAAAAGATGTGGATGCCAATCAGATGGAAAACTTGTCCAGAATAAAAGTACTCCACATTATGTAAATTACTTCTTGTGTGGAATAAATCCTTCCAATGCAGATCATGGATAAAAAGGGTTTTTCAAATTGGGGCTAGAGCCCGATTAAGTTGTTTTGGCCCACTATTCATCCAGATTTGAAAGCCCACTCCAACTAAAAGGGTATGAAGAACGTATGATAAACTATAAAACTATAGAGAACAAATCTTCACAAGTGACAGGTCATAGAAAACGTTTAGTGGTCGCTTACTGTACGAATGCTAAGAACATTAGACTTTGCTTTAAGAGTTTCCACGTCACGGTCTAATTGTTGCTTCCAATCCAAAAGCTGGCCTTCATCCTGATAAAAGTTATTAGGACTTGCTTTCTAATCACTAAAACACGAGTCATTTTTTGATAGATACCTGAGGAAGCTGTATGGTAACCTTATTTGGAAAAATCCTGCTAAGCTGCTTCATTGTCTTTGGTACTTCTTTGTTTCTTTCATGTAGCCTACCAAAATTGTCCTATAACATTCCGACAATTACCTTCTGGATAAGCAAGTTGAATCTTAACTGAATAATAATACTTTGAACCGAATTTACAATTAATATTATCGCAAACAAAAAGAGAAAATGTCACGGTACGAATTTACCAAATAGAACAGGCCACCTTTTGAGGTCTCTTGTTAAATAAAAAAACCAAATACAGAAAAAAAAATAAGAAATCACATAAGGAACAGTGGAGAAAGAAAAATGATTACAAAGAAAGGATAATTAGTATTAAGAATTAAATAATGAGAATGATAGTGCATGATGTACTAGCATACAAATAGAGGAAACTAATACTTGTCATAAAACACACTGTCCTAACGAGAAGACTTACTAACATTTGTAGCTGACATGCCTGAAACCAACCCCCCCCCTCCCCCAAGTGGTTTCAGCCTACCAATTTATACTCCCTTTCAGTTTGGTCATCACTAACCAGCCACAACTGCCCATTCTCCCGTTATCCTGATTACTTTTCTGTAATACGCCTGTATGATAACTGAAAAGCCCCTCGTTTATTTCCCAAGAGAATGATACACAGTAACAAACGGAGTTGATCGTTAAGCACTGCATGTATAAAATAACGAAGTCCTAATGGTTTCAATTCTCTCAGAAAATTTTATGGTCTGAACATACAAGACACTTTCAGAGAATTGATCTGCCGTGACGATAGAGAGATGAAAAATCCTCAAGCTAGATGACACAGACTTTCAGAGAATTGATCTTCCACGAGATGACTTTCTAGTCCTCAATTACTTTGAATTAGAGCTCAAAATGCTAACAATTTTTCTGATCCTCTGGTCTGAATGCACCATACGAAAGAGGGATCCTAAGATATCTGATGAGAAATCCCACTACACACCCCAAAAGTCTAGCATCTTCATGCAGGTGCTAATGATTTCACCCAGTCCCACCAATACCCGATTTATTAAATTTAACAAGCAAAACTGTAAGGGAAAGATTACCCTTTTCAAATTATAGATTTTTTTTCATCATCAGTATCAAATATATTTAATCCATCAGCGTATTGGATGCGTGTTGAACTCATATTTCTTATTTTGGATAACACGCACAATTATTTTCTTATTTCTATGAAGAACGTCACAATTAACCCCACAAACACAAATATAAGGAGAAGAAGAAGAATGGGAAGTAGAAGAGAAGGATGCAAAGTATAGTCCAGCCCTCAACAGAAGAGGATGAGAAGCTGAAAATTCGTACATAATTGAAGAACTGGTAGCAATGACAAACTATACGCAAAAACATAGGTGACAGGTAATATTATTTTGTCTTGTTCACCACTACAAAGACCTGCGATACATCAGTGCATGTTATATATGCCTTGGTCTCTCCATCGGGTTTTTTTTCTTCTCTACTTTTACTTTTCCCTTCACGCTGAACTGCCGACTACCGTTGTTTATGCATTCAAGGTTCTAAACAGCTGAAAACCTGCCAATCGGGTCATCTTCCCCTCATCCACTTGCAAACTTTGAAGGTAAAACTTTGGATCCAATATGTAATTACAACAAATACCTAAAATAGAAAAAGAAACCCTCACAAACTTCTCAGCTCTAAAGAGTATCGGATAGTGGCATAACTACTCTAAAGAGTAGTAACATAATCAGCACTAGCTTACTGCTACACATCTTTTTGTACGAACTGTACTGAATTATAGGTTTTCGAAAGTCTAATTCATCACGGGTTGCAACATCAGATCGAATATCGGATAAGCTAATTTGGGTGATACGACCAAAATAGCAAAGACATTAAGGATATTTCATCAATTATAAAGTATTTTTATTAAGCAAAAAAGTACCAAAAAATGATAGCAGCATTCTCCAAGAATTAACAAAAAGAAAGAAATGGATGTACAACTATTGTACCCAGGGTCACAAGATGGCATACTCCAGGAAAATGGTGTTGAAAGATGATGGGTATTGATGAGTTTCACAAACGAAAAACCCCTAGACTTTTTGGCAGCCGTACTATTTTCATCTTAGGTCGCATAACCGAGGTCATTTTGATGTTCAGTTCCATAGAGGTATATTAATAGAGTTCTGAAAACATCCCTATCCCTATCCTCCAACCCTCAGGGAATAGTTGAGGGTATGCCCTCAACACTTAACCAGAAGCTTTGGCAATTTGGATTTGAAATCAAATACGCAGACAAGTGAATAGAAGGATGTGTGAGAAAATAAAGATAAATAATAATGCTATTTAAACTGAAAAGAAGCTGGGGAATACCGGGAAAGCAAAGTCCAATAGAGCTGTTTGGTTGCTTCCAAACTTGGTAAAAAGAAGACCCCCGGGATGAGACTGCAAAATATGTTTACCGGTTTTCAGAACATAAGTGTAAAAAATAGACACAAAAAAATTATTAAATTGGATCATATTTTCGAACCTTTTCTTTCCGGCTGTCCATCTGAATATGAGATGCAATTACTAGAACACCAGCTGGTATCAACTCAAGCTTTGTCTTTAAACTTCCATATGAGTCAGACATACCAGCCAACGATTTCTCTATGTCTTTCATGAAAACAAGTAGAGGACCGTTTTTACATTCATCAGTAACAACCTGGAAGACAAAATGACATTAATTATATATATATATATGAGAATTTTATTTAGTGGAGGAAAGAGAGACAAAACCTCGAGGAGCTCACTAATAGCAAGCTTTTCAGTGTCATCACCAGAAGAGTCTAAACGAAGGTTTTCAGCTGCAGACATACCACATAAAGGGGAAAAAATTGTTGTCAGGCAAACAAAAGACTGCAACACAGAAGATAATCCATCGAGGAAAGCAACGTAGTTAGGTGGTAACAAAAACATGGATAAATTTATGTGGAAAGATTTGTAATCACCACTGCAAAAGAAGCCATGGTCTTCCTCACAAAGGCCTCCAAGATCGGTACCTTCCGAAATTTGTCTATCAAATCTAACTCCAACTTTAGAAGCTCCATTATCTTCAAATGCAAGAAGTACTTTTCCCCGATATCCATAATTTGGTCCCCTGAAAATAAAGATGATGTTTAGTCTAACAGCACAGAAGCCTAGAAGGTAGCACAATAACAACATTTACGTTCCAATAGATAGATTCAGAAAATTCAGAACATAAAGCAAACGTTCTCTTCGAGAAACATAGAAACAGAAATGAGCAATAAATGTAAAACTACAAGGCAACTTTCAAGGTCCAATAATCACAGTCAGGAAAGACCTCTCTGCAAAGATAGTTCAACTATCAGCCAACAACTACAATAAATTGATAGTAAAAAGTGTAGGAAATGTTGTACGATAAATTGGAGTAGGATTATTCATTGCTTCTAGAACCGCAGGTTGCAAAAGAGAAAGAGATGAAAAATGAGAGGAAGACAGATCCATCAACAAGTATTGTCGCAATGAATGAATAAAAGGAGTAAATATGTTATCCAATACAAAATATTAAAGCAACAGTCATGAAGTCATGAAGTACCCAAGTAATGTACCCTTTTCATCTTCTCTCACCCATTAACCAACGAAAAAATGCTAAAATGAGAACTTTCAATAACTTTAACAGAAACCACAATATGCAGCATTGTCCAAAAGTTCTCACAAAGGATTCATCATGAGGGTAATCGGGCATTCCATGACTTGGGATGAATCGAAAGCAGATATAGATGATTTTGTCATGCAACTGGAGAGAGACTAGACTGGAGGCAAGCTTTCAATGAAAATTAGCATTGGTAAAGCATTATGTAAGATCAAAAACGGGAAAAGAGCATAGCTAAGGCCCGTCCATTATTTTGTAGGCACTGTCGTTTATCTGTGAAAGAAGGGGCAACGTTTTGAGACTGTTTTCTGGTAAACAGCTTCCTCAGACAGTACCAAGGTTTTTTGTTTTACGTACAGATTATTGTTTCAGATAATCTGCACCAGAATCATTAGATAAATAAAAAGAGACAATATAAATGAGCGAAAGATAATCTCTCAATCCCCAGATCATCAGAAAAACTGTAATCTATGACAGCAAGGTGTAAAACAAAATAAACTAGCCAGCCTTCGCAAAATGATTTACTTGTCTTTGTCCTCACAAACATTCCGACCCACTCACAAATATTTTCACAAACCCAAGTAAAAGCCCTGCCAACAGTGGTACGTTTTCCTTTTTTTTTAAACGACATTTTTTCACTTTTTTCCACAATATAGGTCCAAGGCTTAGGCCTTGATATGTCTAGGTTGTTGCTGACTGCCTCTAAACTACATCAGAGGAAATTTTGAACTGAGAAAAGCATAATACGAAAATGAATGAGAGTTGAATTTGACCATATATTGTAGATAGAAAGAAATCAAAGTATGCACCTTGGTGGAGCCTGAATAGGAAATCCAGTAGACTGCATTGGTCCCACATATCGAACCCTATCACCTAAAAAAGGAATTGACATAAAAAAAGAAATCAAGTGGAAGCAAACATACTATAAAGAATCCATTTGTAGTAAAAGATAGAAACATGACAGGTCACAGTGGCGGTCAGCTTGCCTTCTTTGAATGTATAATTTTTTGAGGTAGCGGTTGATGCCTCTTGCTTTGGCTGAGATTGTGAATTAAAGGTTGATGCTCCAACAATATCGGCATCTACACTCGAAGTTGGTCGCTTGAGCTGAGCAGCATCTGCTACTGATGCTCGCTGCTTTGTAAAAGTTGCTGATTTTTCGGTCCTAGCACCTTCTTTAGGAGGTTCCGATTCTTTCAAAGAAGCACCCTGAAGATTTTAACAAAAATTCCCCGAAAAAAATTAGAATTTCAACATTTACTACCTCGAAATTCAATTATTATTCTCCCAATGGTACAAAAGATACAAGCACTCAGAAACATATTGATCGACATTGGAATTGAAGGAAGCTTACACCCGGGAGAACGAGAGACTCAATTATGAGTAATCTGGCACCAAAATGCTTAGCAAGTGCTTTTGCTAAAGTTTCCTGATAAATTTCAGATCCTGTAACACGTAGTAGCGACAAGTTAATGTAACAGATGGTAAAGAACTGCACACAGGAGATCCATCCATAAAGAAAGAAAGTGTAAACCGTTGTACCTATAGGACCAGATAATAATATTCGTTGGCTGGCGGAAGCTATTTCTGCAGTGTATTTAATAAATTCCTTGCACTCCAGGTGAATATAGGCAGAAGATAACAACACATTTTTTGTGCTCTCACTACATGACAAGAACAAAAATTAGTAAAAGATTGTAAGGACAGAACGAGCGAAAAAGTTCGAGGGTTGAAATTAAGTGTCACACATACAAACAGATGTGCCCAACTAAGTTAGCATCCGTTCATCTCATTTTACCAACCAAAAGAACTTCCCTTTGGGGAGAAAGCACACTTGACAACACAAGCGAGGACAATTGACAAATACGCTTCTTATGCATGTAGCCAGAACAAAAACATAAGAATAACCATGCATTGGACCAAAGCGTTAACACCGTATACACAAACGAATCCATCAAAGATCGTCAAAAAACATTTTCATGTCCTGCCACATTGCTGCCATTCAACATGAACACGAACCTCTACAGAACTGTATCATTTACAATGAACATGCAGATCACCACCAAAGCAGCCATTTATTACCATCAATGAAGCACTCCTGCACTATTCCAACGTAACGGAATGACCCATCATCGAAGAAGTACCACATATATAAATAGATTCCGACGCTGCCCAGTGACGCTCATCAAAATTGTCAGAATCGCTCAACGCCAAATTAGTACGCAAATAGGTCCACACTGTACTCTACTGATTACCAGAGCGGATGCATTGCCAGCAACTTTACCACGCGTCAGAAAAACAGATCCATTTTTTTAATTCGTTATCGAACTCAGAGAGTCACCCCTCAAAGAAAAACTTTCTGTAAACCAAGATCAAGAAGATAACATAGCGAGAGACCTCGCTGACCTGTCTACAACTGAATTTGGAAGGATGAACAAGACAAAAGTGACTTGACAGAGTTAACACAATTTCCTTTCGTGAGAGAAAACTGAATGCAGTAGATTGCAACATTTGATTTTAAAAAAGCCAATCCCATTCAATTTGCTTAATCGACAAGGGCTTCTGCTCCCTGATTCCTTCAGTTGTACAATTGTTTTGAGAAAAATTCAATGAAAAACCTTGGAAATTAATGAAGAATAGGATCCATGATACAGGCGCCATGAATTTCAGGAAACAATATGAAGGATAGAATGGCGAGATGCCAAAATCACTTACTTCAATGCCGATGCACCTTTATGCCTTTTCTTGTGACTAGAAAAAAGATCGAATCTACATTAAAGCGAGGCTAAGCTCATTAACACACCCTAAACTCACCGAGAGCTAGTCAAACATAAAGCAACCTTACATTGATAACACAAACAGGAATGCAAGGCAGACCAAAGTATTCCAAAGAAAAGCTACAAGCCCTATTCCAAGGAAAGGCATAACCTTACATTGATAGGTTATGCTTCACAAATAACAGTAAGCCTACTTCATGGGAAAAGCTACAAGCCCTATTCCAAGGAACCTTTGGGCAAACAACACTTTGGAGATGGCATCAGTGAAAAGGATGCCAATAAAATTATTCTCCAAAACAGCAGAAGATATCTATGGAAAAATCGAAAAGATCAGAAAGTATGAACCATCATCTCAGGAACCAAGATCCAACAATTTAGGCAAATGACATAAATCCACAAAGAAAGGGTATCCAATGGAAACAACGGGAGAAACAGAACAAGTACTAACCTTAGGTAGTAAGGGAAACTATCAAATGATATTTGAATGTCACCGGCATTAAGAATGCCTTGTCTCAGGCCATCCTTAAAAGCTTGGCATCTTGTTGATGGTAAAGCTGCTTGAGATTCTAAATCCTTAAGGAGCTCCCTTTGATCCTCAAAAATTTTGTAGACATTTCCACTCAAATCCAACTCAGATGCAGAGGATCCTGCAATCATTCGTAGAAAGGGCCTCATTTCATAATTTGACCTGGAAATCTTTCCCGCTTCTGTGTCAAGACGAGGATCCAAACCAACGGGATTAACATGGAAGGTATTATTGGCAGTGAGATCAGCAGAGAGAACAGCAGCCTTGTCACCAGCAGGAACGCCAGCAACCACATTATGTTCTGTTGTACCATTCCTAACATGGCAATTGATATCAATGTCGGGAGTACAGCTCTCAGACACCTCACAAGCTGGAGTTTCTGAAGGCCTCTCTAGTCCTTGCTCTACATTCTCACCATTCTGTGCTGGTGGAGGAAGAACCGCCAAATCTTTTCTCAGATGTGATAATGATGCCAATATTGATGCTCCAGCAACAGCAGAAGGATCTCCTGACGGGGATTCAAGATGGACTCCTTTAATCAGAGCACTCTGTGCTTCAGATAAGCCAAGAGATGACGGCAATGCTTGTCCAGTAAGGTTTTCAGTAGGCAGCTGCTGGAAAATCTGATAGCACGTTAAGGAATCCTATTCGAAAAAAAAGAACATTAAAAACGGTATATTTTGCGGCCACCAAATACAAGACAGGTGCACAAAAAATCCTTTAACATTTTGCTAAACTATTCACATAGAATGGCAAAAGCTAAAACAAACGAGGCATAAAAGGATACATAAGCATGTTTCCCGGACGAATTGAAAATCACTTCATCTCCTCCAGTGAGGATGATATTAGAATTTTTCTCAACGGTCTTTCCATTAACTTGAACAATACCCTTGCTCCCTGAAATCTCAAGTGAGGCAACCGACGTCCCTCCACACTAAAGAAAGAAAAAAAAACTGAAATCAGTGACAATACTTCATCATATGCATTCAACTCGCAAAAGCATGTACTAAATCTCCTAGCATTTTGGAGACCAGAAAGACCATACCTCGATTTGCTTCAGTTTACAGAGAACTGTACTGACACTTGGATCTTTCAAGCATAAGTTGCAAGTTTTTCCATGACCAACAGTGAAAGTCGAACTAAATATAGATTGGTGAGGATTCTGGAAAACCAAGAAAAAAAACCAACATGTTATACAAGTAAATAAAAGTAAGCTGGGCCATTGTAGAGTTTTCTGTTTCCAGTATTCACCGAAAATTCTACAATGACCCAGATTACCTTTATTGTAATACAGGGAGAACCCAATATTCACCGATAAATTCAAAGAATCATTATAGACGCGTATGACAGACAAAAGACGAAAAATGAAAAAAATAAACTGAAAATATATAGATTTTTGCTGCAGTGAACATGATGAGCAACTCATCAGCAAGATTTGTTTCAGTTCAATCTAGCTCGTTATAGTTAAATGAGCAAGGGGAATAAAGTGCCTCAACCCATTCATTACAGCTTGTTAAGCAAAAATCAAATCCATTATGGACAATTTTAAGTGTTCCCCTTTTAGTTCTTTCTTTTTTTCCTTTTCTCTTGGGGGGGATCAACTATCAAGGGAACTGACCCATCTGGCATTCCTTATGTGTTGACAGCTTACACCCAAAAATTAAAATTGAAGGCATCAAGGACAACAAGAATGACTGAACAACCCGATCAGATAAAAGTGAACGCATGTCTGCATTCCCAGAAGCTCAAACCCTATTCTGACAATTCCACCTCTTCTTCTATAAACTCAGATATAGTAGGACACCTCCACTTCTTTAATTCTCTCAGGCCCTCACACCCCCCTCCAAAATAAATAAATAGCAATCAAAGCAATCTCCTGAACATCCACATCCCTTCGATTCTACTTGCCCCTTGTCTTTTTGGTTTCCTGAGCATGAAACGCCCTGCTTCCTCTCTCCTTCCTCATGCTCATGCTTCACATCTAGGATATCTCTTGCAAAGGTATTTTTCAATCACCACATGCAAACTCTTCCAACAAAAATTCCCAATTAACACAATGAATACACTTGGCCTTAGTGTTAATGAAAAAAGGTGTTGAATAGGGGTCAAAAGATGTCTCCCACCTGCTGAAATAGGCCCGTTTGAGAAAACCTTGTACAATTTCGGAAGGGTTAGGAATTTCATTAAGTTCCATACGGGATCTGGATAAAATTCTGCGAAAATTGGATAACTTAATTCACGTTTGCCTTTTCTCGGATATTACTTTTTCACTCATTGTTCCTATATTTTCCCTATTTACCGTGATTGATCATGTTGAATGAGTCGATAATGAGTTTGCAAATCAAAAAATTATTTCAAAGAAGTGGTCTCCTGCCATAGAAACTTTATTCCTTCCGCTGTGTCAGGTCATGTTTTATCCATCCATTCGTAAAATTTAGATGTGGGGAAGATGCCTGAATCAAGGTAAAGTTTCGCAGTAGAGTTTCTGCTCTAGCGTGGTTATCAGATGTGTGAAGGTCTCATGGGTGGATTAAAAGCTATTTGATAAGAACTAATAAATCCAGAATGAACCAAAGTTTGTATATAATGATGTCAGTCCATAGTGAAGTACAGAAGACCAAAATCAATGGGACCTGCTCTCTTTTTCTTTGGCTACTTTCCGACTTTGTATTTCTTCTGAGATATACCTTTCTTTGGCTTATATCGCATTCCGTACATAAATAGAACGGTGCAAGAGAAAGAATTATTTGAGCCCTAGATGAACACCAACCAGGTCAAACAAAGAATAGTCGGGCACTTGGACAACAAGCACACGTCTATATGAATGCGTCTTTTAGACAGGAAACTAAATGCCCAGGATAAACAATAGTATGGCAAGCATTACGAATATTTCCAAGCATCTAAATGTACCCTCCCAAGGGTAGCAAGCTTAAAGAGAAGAGTTTTTTCACCTTAGTGAACTGTGTTCGCTGGTGCACTATCATAGTGAGTGAGAAAACGGTTCAATAAAGTTCATTACCGTTCGTTGTTGACCATTATGAATGAACTTGAGAAGGAAAATACGTATTACAACAGAATCACCGCTGTTGAGAAATAATTTGAGCCGAGACTATTATGCACTACGTGCTCTAAAGAAATAAGAAGAGAATGAGCAAAGAACAATTTCATCTGTAAACTGGGCGGAAGGGGGGGGGAATTTTGGGGAAACAGAACGATAGAATTAGAATGGAAAATAGCCGGTTGAAAACGAACCTGTGAACATTGTGATAAGAGCTTTCCCCATGCCACTTTTGGCCGAGATTTTCCTACTCTTTTCTTGGGCAAATCCACTGGTCCTAATAGCTTTGCCAGCTGCTCCGACTGTATAGAAGTGCACCCTTACAACACCAAAATAAAACAAACTCGAAATCAAAAAAAGAAGATAACATAAAAGGTACAGGTAGAAAAATACCGAGGGATTACATGCATGCAGAAAAACGGGTGAAAGATCGGACCTCGAGGTGACATCCCTGTGACGGTGCTATGCTCGACCCCATCCCCGGTGGGCTTATCCTCCGGTGGAGCTATTGACTCGGCAGACTCCTTCGACAGGTCAGGAGGAGCTGCCGACGGCGGCGAAGGAATCTGTCCCGGTTCCTTCAGATTGGCCTCGTCCTCCTTCTGACCACTCTGGTCTGAGTCCGTCAGGGAAATCGCCTCTGCCTGGTAGATTTCGCCAAGAATCCCAACCCGACGAAGCAGAATGACGCGTGAGACCCAGGGGAACGTTTGAGCCAGAGGGGCCAATAAAACGAAAAAAAACAAAAAGATCTGCGAACAAACCTTTTGGCGCTTGCTCCCCGACCGGGACGGAGGGGGCGACGACGGGAGCGCACGCTTTGACGACGACGAGCTCCTCCTGGTTTCTACCATATCCAACGCTCCTGCCTTCGCTCGCCGGCGCTGCTCTCCTCCTGCTCTTTTCCCCTCCTCTCCTCGGGCTTCCGATCCGATTCCTCTTCGTCTTCACCCCCCCAGACAGCGAGAGAGAGAGAGAGAGAGAGAGAGAGAGAGAGCGAGCGAGCGAGCGACGACAGAACGAGAGAGAGAGAGAGAGAGAGAGAGAGAGAGAGAGAGGGGAAAGAAATAGAGAGAGGAAGAAAAGGTGGACGCTGAGAGACGAGGGTCAGTAAATGGCTACCTCTTAGCGGAAATTTTTCTCGATATAAATTGTCCTTTCTAATTCCTTCTTTATTACTCCTCCTCGCCGTAATTATCAAATCTCACAAATCATTCATTCTCAAGAAAAGAGGAGAGAGGGGAAGAGAGGGCCGGGGTTGACGGCGCGCTGGTGCCGATCAGGATGAACGGCTTGAGAGAGAGAGAGAGCGGTTCGATCGGACCGGGATAGGTTGGCAGCTCAAACCCGAACCGGGGTTTGGTAGCGGCCTCCGACCACCACACCCGTACCTTCACGTTGCCGTCGCTCGGACAAAATTTCACCCCAGGTCCTTCCCTGGTTGGTCCTAACTACCATACCCCTGAGATGAAGAAAATTACAAACAGGCCCCTCCATCAGGGCAACCACCGCCTTTTGCGGGGCCCACCCCGAGGAAGGTAAACGCGTTCTCCACCGTCTGATTTGGCAAAAGACGGCCGAGATTTCCAGATTCCACCCGCTATTCGGGAGACGAGAAGATCGGAGAGGATGGACAGAGAAGCAGCCGACGGTGACTGGTGCTCGTGCCTACGGCACGTGCGAGCAGTCATCAGTCCCTCAACGTGCGAATTTCCTTCAACGTCTGTGTTCTTGCCCATTCTGATCTATTAAGCTGAAATGGAATAAACATATTACTACGAGGTTAGACAGTCCATTTCCAAATTTTTTACCTAGTTAATAAATACTCGAATTATTAAATTTAACATTAAGAACTCCCGAATGTCACAATTATTAAAAAGAAAAAAAAGGTAGGTGTTCCCCAGAGCAGGCAGTGCCCGTTTATTGGACTGCCACGGATGTCGGCCGGAGATTCAGATAAGGCTAATTTGCCTTTTGTCCCTCGCATTAAATCCCGTGTTGCCTTCGTACCCACACTCCTCGTACATCCCTACACAATCGCCGGAGGCGTCTAAGAGAACGATGACAGAAGGGTGGATATCAGCGTAATTTGGGCGGTTGCCAGGGTTCTGCGGAGAAAGTGCGCAGAACGCCAAGCGGGCAGTCTGATGGGCCAAATGGGCCCTGGAAAAGCACGCCCGACTTCGTGGTGAGCCCAGGCTTACCGGCCCAAATAGTTAATGCTACTCCTCCGAGCCGACTTCTTTGACACGTCGACACGTCACAGAGCCTTTTCCGCAATGATTACGAACGACTCGAAACGGGCCCGGGAAGCCCCGTCTCTACCTTGGACTGGCCCCAATCGACACGAGGCCGATACCCTCGTTGACCACCGAAAAGTCATCGCGCATCAGCGTTGCTTTCCATTAGGGGGAGGGTGAGTGGGACCGACTCTGCTAATAATTGACGCACCCACTGAGAAAATAGTAAAGACCGAGGATTACATTTGTGGGAGCGGGGGACCCACCCACTCCCCCCAAGAAGACTAAGCTGAACGGGACGAGTGGGTGCGCGGCCATTTTGGGTGATACCTCACCGGACTATTCCTGCAAGGTTTAGAAGTCGCTCACCATTAGAGAACTACCAAAGCAGAATTGTTTAACGTGGAATTTTATCATAAAATTATCATCACTGCATAAATATATAGAAATAGCACCACACAACTGGTTGATCATTCGTATTGGAGTGCTGGGGAGGTGTGAACAACCAATATTTAAGAGGGCATATATATATATATATATATATGTATTATATAGGCAAAAATGAGACACCATTTCTTTACAATATCTATCACTACCTCGTAATCTTTAGCCGGCATTAGCCAACCGGGATATGCCGTCTTTCCTGTTTTCTTATACAATCATGGATGCATATATATATATATATATATATGGTTGCATCTCTTCCTTACAAGAGGAAACAAACAAGAAAGAGAAAAAACATTGTAATTAAGTCCAAATCGCTTGCGCATGCAAAGAGCAAAATATTAACATGAACCATGAACCACGTCAATTGTGAAATGTCAGAGGTGAACGAGAGGAAGAGATATGAGAGAGACCCGTCGACCCGTTCCGTCCTTGGCATTTTTTTTTTCTGTCGGCATGGACAGTAATTGGTACACCAATGAATGCAGTGCCATCTCAACGTCAGCAAGTAGGCAATGTACATAAAGCTGGAGCAGTCCCTCATGATAATCACCTTCAAATGCTTAGTGATTCCCCAAATTGCTGAGACAAGTCTCCTTTGACACCACTTTTGCTGAACACTCTAAAGCAACCAGTGCCACTTTGTAAGGGAAATTATATTATTTATTCAACCCAATGTTCAATATTTAAAGAGTCAAATAGATTTCAAATTCTGATGCTTCAAGTCTTCTCTCCCCAAGCCCACCATAGAAAGGTCAGCTCACAAACTATTTGGTACAGATGGTCATATAAAAGATAGCAATCCACCAGCACAAGTCTGATGACAACTAAGGTTTGTGTACATGTCATACGACTACTAAGGTCAATGGTGTCTATTTTCCTTTGGTTGTTCATGAGTGTAATTCAAGTGAAGATACACAGAAGAAAAATTCTGGAAATCCAGCATGAAGGATGACGCCCAACGAGCATGAGGGTGGTGGGGGGGAGTAAAACGGACGATATCAGCAAATAAATAACTCGATGCCTCAATGGACGATTCCAGAAAGTGATAGAACTTTGTTGCATTAATAGGGCCCTGGAAAACGATATTATGGAAAGATGAACTTGTTTGAGTATTGAAAAATTAGAGTATGGATCATTTACCTCATGAGAAAGAAAAAGCAGTGTTTGAGTCATACACCACCTGGGACTACAGACTACATAATGGACATAGGGGGGTTTCAATCACCATTACTGGACCAGAACAACAGATACCGGAGATTTCCCATTTTGAATTTGGGCGGACTGCGACGGGGAGGAGCCAACGCCGCCGTTTATTCCTTCCAATAATTAATAGTCTTTTGTAGATAATAATTTATTCAGGGTGGAAATCGAAATTTCGAGACGACATTCCACTACCAGGATAGCCGGTACCAAATCGTAAAATCACGAATACAACCATCTCACGTTAAACTCCAAAGTACTCTCTCTCTCTCTCTCTCGCTCTCGTCCTCCACGGCGCGTTCCAGAACGACAACAGTCCGCCGCCGTGGTTGACTCTTCCTAATAATTCTATCTTTTAATAGTATTTTTTAAAATAATGATTTAATGATTTCCTAAGGGTGAGAAATCAAAATTTCGAAGGCGACATTCACCAGGATAGCCGTTAACTAAACGTAAAATGCTGAATACGACCTCCAATCACAGCCATCTCACGTTAAACTCAAAACTACTCTCTCTCTCTCTCTGGACGACGTCTGGTTTGCGTCTCCATGGCGTCTCCAGAGAAGGTTCCGGGAGCTCGCAGACTGGAGACGGGCCAACGGCGTTGCGCATGCAGACAAAGCACCCGCGGCCACACTCGCCGGATAGATCGGGCTTAACGCCGCCCCCTGCTCGCCGGCCGTGAAGGTAAATCGCCGGATTTCTCTGCGGTAAATCAGAAAACCCTACCCGGCTGCGTGGGGACGGGAAGAAGTAGGTACAGAGATTAGGCTTGCTTCATCTTCCAAAATGGAAGGCTGATGATTTCTAGAGATAATTACAGCGAGGGAAAGCTGTTCCTCCAAAACCCCTAGGACCTTATCCCTCTTTTCCTTCCCGCATCCTCTTCTTGTGGCTTCTTGTGGCTTCTCCGCGCCCTTCCTCTCCAGGAACCCAAACCCCAGGGGAAGCGCCGGAGCACCTGGTTTCATCCCTTCCATCTAACTCCTCCTTCCCAAGAGGTATATAGGGTTGAGGGTTGTCGTAATCTCTTATCGGACTGTCCGCAGCTCTGCGCATTCTCGCATCCATGGAATCGGAGGCCCCCTCTTCCGCAGTTTCCCCGGCGCAGGAGAAGCCCCTGACCTCGTCGGGCTCTGCCATTGCTGGCGCACTCGCCGCCTCCCTTGAGGAGACGGAGCCCGTGCCGTCGGCTTCATCCCCGGTGTCCGAGCCAGACGAGTTTCTGAGCGACGAGGAAGAACCCGAGCCCGTCCCGGAGAACAAGCCTGCTGCTGCTATCGAGGAAGAGAACTCAACGTCCGATTCCAACCACGAGGACGCTCCGTCGCGCGTCGTCGTCGACAAAAATCCAGACACCGCGCCTGAATCATCTCTTTCCAAGGACGAAGCCACAGTTGCCGATGTCGACGCTGATTGGAAAGCTTTGTCGACACGGGCTGTCGAGTCCGAATCCCTTCTCTCTCAGCAAGGTTTAGTGAACGGAGGTGATGGCGCCCTCGATGAGGACGCGGACGACGGCGACGAGAAGAAATCTATTCAAGAGGTGGAAGGAGGTGCTAAGGCAGATAGTCTGGAAGGGGTTCCAGATGAAAACTCTAAATTGAAGGTGAATCGTGATGGATTGTCAAGTAACGTTAACGAAGGCAAAAACTTGCTCAAGGGGGACGAAGATGGCAAAGATGGTGGCCTTCATGACAATCTCGTGCTCGATGGGGCTGCTGCTGTGGAGAGTGAACACGCTGACACAGGCGATGGGGATAAGGAAGGAACTGCCCCTGTTGCTGAAGCTGTTCAGGACTTGGATGCAGAGAAAATTCTGTCCAGAATTGGGGTTACCACCTGGGGGGTGGAGGAGGAGCCTACTATTTGTGAGGAGAGTAAGTCTACAGAGAAAGGAAGGAGTGTTGCTCAAGCGGAGGACTTGAAGCATGAAGAAGACTCTGCAGTTACCGTGCAGGAAAATGGAGATGACCATGATGGTGATTCTGATGATAATTTTGAAAGAGTTACTCCTACCATGGCTGATGGCCAGGAATTTCAAGTAGCTGACACACAGGAGAGTCCTGGGCATGACTCCACCGAAACGAAAGAAATTATTGAGAATGTTGAGAAAGATGAAGCACCGCAGGTGGTAGATGTCTCACTGGGCTCCAGGGAATCTGAACATTCAGAGCAGAAGCCTGGAAACTTTGACAGAGATAATGATGTTGATGAAATCGTTCCCTTTCAGCCCATTGCTGGGGGAGATGCAACTGAGCAAACCTCGGCTGAACTGCAGCTGAAGCCCAAGGATGCTGAGACGGTTTCTGCCAATGAATGGGATGCTAGGTATCCAGAAAATGAGCAACCACTTGCAGCCAGTGAGGAACCTTTGAAATCTAATGTTTCTGGCAGTGAAAAAGCATGTGTCTTTCATATTTCTGATTCTTCGGAAGTTACTGCCCATGCAGAATATGCAGGTTTGATTAATGGGGGAGAAGTAAATGACAAAGAAGAAGAAGAAGAAGAAGAAGAAGAAGAAGAAGAGGAAGAGAAAGATGAAGAAGAAGAAGAAGAAGAAGAAGGAAAAGAGGGCTTGCCCTTGGATGGGCCTTCTAAGGTTTCTATTCTGGGAAGCTCCGAAATTGTCAGACGGATAATGAAAGAGCTGGATGAAGGGTCTTCAGGTCCCAGTTCCGATTTCAGGAGCTCTCAGGACTATGGAAATCAAATGGACGGACAGATTGTCTCTGATTCTGAAGAAGAGGTGGACACTGATGGAGAGGGAGAAGGAAAAGAATTATTTGATTCTGCTGCATTGACTGCTCTCTTGAAAGCTGCCTCTGGTGCTTCCTCCGATGGTACTATCACCATCTCCGCTGAAGACGCGGCCAGGACGTTTTCTATTGAGCGTCCTGCTGGCTTGGGGTCCTCAATCCCATCCCTAAAACCGGCACCTGCCCGCTCAATCAGGGCAAACCTCTTTTCTCCTTCTGACCTTGCAGTACCCGGAGAACCAGAGAACGCCATGGACGAGGAAGACAAGAAGTTGCAGGAGAAGGTCGACCAGATAAGGGTCAAATTCCTGCGCCTCGTCCACAGACTGGGCCAGTCTCCCGATGACAGAGTGGCATCGCAGGTGCTCTACCGTCTGGGTCTTGCAGAGGGGATCAAGCGTGGCAGGCAGATAGGTCGGGGATTCAGCCTTGAGAATGCAAAGAAGAAAGCTCTCCAGCTTGAAGAAGATGGAAATGAACCTCTGGATTTCTCCTGCAACATCCTCATCATTGGGAAAACCGGAGTAGGTAAGAGCGCGACCATCAACTCAATCTTCGGTGAAGAAAAAGTACCCACGAATGCATTTGAATCTTCGACTACATCCGTTAAAGAGATTGTTGGCACCGTAGACGGCATCAAGGTTTGTGTCACTGACACCCCTGGTCTCAGACCTTCTGTCATGGACCAAACTGCAAATAAGAGGATCTTGGAATCCATCAAGAAGTACACCAAAAGATGCCACCCTGATATTGTTCTTTATGTCGACCGTCTTGACACACAGACCTGGGACTTCAATGATTTGCCGCTTCTGAAATCTATCACAGCGACCCTGGGCTCATCCATCTGGTTCAACGCCATTGTTGCTCTGACCCATGCTGCTTCTGCTCCTCCAGACGGGCCCAGTGGGACCCCCCTGAGTTATGAGGTGTTCATTGACCAGAGATCCAGGATTGTTCAGCATGCGATCAGGCAGGCTGCCGGTGACATGAGATTGATGAATCCCGTGGCACTAGTCGAGAATCATCCTTTGTGTAGGAGGAACAGGGAAGGGCAGAGGATCCTTCCCAATGGCCTGAGCTGGAGGCAGCAGATGCTACTTCTGTGCTACTCTTCAAAGATCTTGTCTGAAGCTAATTCTCTTCTCAAGCTTCAAGAACCGTCCCCTGGGAAGCTGTTCGGCTTCCGTGTGCGGTCCCCCCCGCTGCCTTTCCTTCTGTCTTCACTCCTGCAGTCTCGGGCCCATCCAAAGCTGGCAGCTGACAATGGAGGCGACAACGGCGATTCTGACATTGATCTGGGCGACTTGTCGGACTCCGACCAGGAGGAAGCAAATGAGTACGATCAGCTACCGCCATTCAAGCCACTGAGGAAAGCCCAGCTCGCCAAGCTCACCAATGAACAGCGCAAGGCGTATTACGACGAATACGACTATCGTGTGAAGCTCCTCCAGAAGAAACAGTGGAAGGAGGAGATCAGGAGGCTGAAGGAGCTGAAGAAGATGGGAAAGAAAGGTGAAGATGAAGCATTCGGAGACATGGCCGACGACTACGACCAGGACGGAGCTCCGGCCGCTGTGCCCGTCCCACTGCCAGACATGGTCCTGCCGCCCTCCTTTGATTCTGACAATCCGGCTTACCGTTTCCGCTTCCTCGAGCCGACATCTCAGCTGCTCGCGCGCCCTGTCTTGGACACGCATGGTTGGGACCATGACTGTGGATATGACGGAGTCAGCCTTGAAGAGAGCCTCGCGATCGCCAGCTGCTACCCAGCAGCTTTTTCCCTCCAGATAACAAAGGACAAGAAGGAATTCAACGTCCACTTGGACTCCTCGGTCTCTGCCAAACACGGGGAGACTGGGTCAACGCTGGCGGGATTTGACATTCAGTCTGTTGGTAAGCAGCTCGCCTACATCCTCAGGAGTGAGACCAAGTACAGGACCTTCAAGAAGAACAAGACTGCTGCTGGAGTATCGTTGACTTTCCTGGGGGAGAATGTGGCCACCGGATTGAAGATCGAGGACCAGCTCCTGGTGGGGAAGCGTCTTGGCCTTGTTGGTACCTCTGGTGCTGTCCGTGCGCAGGGTGATGTGGCGTACGGTGCCAACCTGGAGGTCCGCCTCCGGGACAAGGACTTCCCCATAAGCCAGGATGTGTCCACGCTGGGGCTGTCTCTGATGAGGTGGCGTGGTGACCTGGCGCTGGGTGCCAACTTGCAGTCACAGGTGTCTGTCGGCCGCGGTTCCAAGGTGGCAGTCCGAGTCGGCCTGAATAATAAGCTCAGCGGGCAGATCACCGTCAGGACGAGCACCTCCGATCAACTTCAGATCGCCCTCTTGGGCCTTGTCCCGATTGCCACCTCCGTCTACAGGAGTTTCTGGTCTGTGGAGTCCTACTGATCTCCGTACATTCCCATTTACCTCCGTTCACCTTTCTCCAGATCTTTAGCTCTAATTGCGGAGATGTTTGAGACTGTCCTGCTTCTATCTCTGAGCGCCTCTTCAGATATTGAATAATGTCGATTAATCTCCATTTTTGGGAGTTTTGTTCTTGTGGGCATGGGCTGGGGAGGGCGCCCTTCATGTTCCCTGTAATTTTTTGCTTCATTAATAAGTTAAAAGTCTTATTCCTGCGCTGGCTGTATGTGATTTCGAGCACCTCCGGCGGTTGGAAGCCCAGTTTTAGTTTGGGCATGCAGCAGGATGTCTTATTCGATCTTTTAATCATGATTTGGGACCATACTTACTTATTCAAACATAGTTTTTTTCCCCTTTTTAGCCCTTCTCATGAGAACCGCGCCTAATTTGCTCGACTCACGTTAGTTCTCGAGTCCGGCTCCGTCAATTCCATATTTGGCACCCAAAATCATGCCCTGCAAAATAACTATTTTCTCTCCCCCTCTCTCCCCCTCTCTCCCCCTCTGCCTCTGGTTCTGTGAGAGATGGGTATTTGGTGTTTTGGGCTTCCCACTAGCGCGAGTCCGAGGCCGGTCCACTATGAAACTATTGGGCCTAGTTGGGCTTGTCTGAAACAAGCATTTCGAGCCTGACCCTTGTGGGCCCCATACCTTCAGAGCCATCGACTTCCTGGTTCCTTCGTGGTGACGGACTAATCCTGGTTCGTCTTTTCATCTTTCCTGTTCTATATTGCCCCACCCGCGTGCTCCAGAGTCCTCGTCTCTCGGAAAATCTGGGTCAGAGATCTGACCACAGACGCGATCGTTTGACCCGTGGGGGAGAGGAATTCGCCGGAGGGTGTTGGAGGGCACCGGAGGTTTGACCTATTTGACCGTCTAGAATTTGGTTGGAGGGAGGAGGTCTGCCGTGCGGGAATCGAGGATTTGGGGCAGGAAGGATGTTTACCCAGACGATGATGGATCCGGAACTGATGAGGATCGCGCAGGAGCAGATGAGCCGGATCCCCCCACAGGAGCTGGCCAAGATTCAGCAGCAGGTTTGAGTCCTTTCGTTCTCTCTCCCTTCTCTATGTTTCCCCGGTGGGATCGTGGACTATTTCTTTGTCAAATATCTGCAGGGGAACTTGATTTCTGTTAATGACGACGTTCCAGAATGTTGTTTCTGAATTTGCGCAAGGGTTTTGGTTTCTCTCTTCTTCGATCGAGAGGCCCTTTCTACTATTTGCTCTAGGGTTCGGACGGAACGAGCAAACAGAAATTGATAGGTTTTCTGCTTTGTAACCTCTGCTATTTGCTTGTGTTTCTCATAGAATTGTATCTCTTAGGGAGGCATTTCGTCAGAGGGATTCCAAATTCAGACGCCCCCTTCCCTAATTATAAATGGGTATTCTATTCAAGGGGATCAGAATCAACTCGAATTTCTGGGCGCTTGTTAAAATGCATGTGCAAAAAATGGTGATGATTTCGATATCAACCTTTACAATTATCTTGCTGAAATTAGCCAAAAGATGCCGACTGCAATGATTTTTTCCAACTTTTACTGGCCTTAACTAAGACACTAGTTTACTGATAACTTATGGGAACCTTCAATAAAAGTAGTTAAAATCTATTCCTTAGATAAAGAGGGAAAGGAAAATGAAATTAAGTAAGAAAATAAGGAAAATGAAACCACATCTCTCAGAAATACATTTACTACTGTGTGGAAAGGACTAGGTCATGTTCAGAAGTATGCACAGTACTACGACAACTGTGGAGGGTATAAGGCGAGGTTAACAGAGGAGCTGGGCAGAGAAAGAGAATAACAATGTATGGTAGCTCATCCTTAGTTAGATTCTAAACAATCTATAGTGGTCGGAACAATCACATATTCTAGTGTGACAGCTGCTTATCGAATAGATGTTTTTCTCCTCTTTCTTCCAACGAGGGAAAAAGAGTGAGCACGTTAGTTTTGTAAGGTTTTTTTCAACACCTTCAAATTCCTCGAAATGGACAACTCCCTCGTGTTTTTTAATGTTGGGAGAAACTATCTCCGAACTTGCACTCTGTGACCTAGATCTTTTTGGTTTGGACGCTACTTTATAATAGAAAATGAAAATTTTCTTTTGACCTTTATTGGATTCCGTTATGTTTTTTTCAAAAATACAAATTTTCCTCTACTTACTGTCTAATGGTTGATGTGAGAGTGTGGCAAGTGGCCTCTGTTTCTTCTCCGACCAAACATAACCAGCAAGGATTGGCCAAGTCCCTGGGAAGAGGAATCAAGTAAATCTGTCACAGAAAAATGTGACGCAATTTGATTCTATGCTGTACATGTTTTTTGAGAAAATTGATTCTTTTTTAAATCTACATTTTCTTTATTCCAGGATGCAATTTAGGATCCTTTCCTATTCGATATTTTGGATGACCACTTTCTATAGGTGTAGTGCATGGTATTAACTGGGTAAAATGTTTACAGAGAATAGGAAATTTGGTAGTAGGATGGAAATAAAAGCTACTTTGCTACGGGGGGAGGTTAGTTTTATACCACGCTATTTTGTTAGACCTTATTCAAGAGTCCAAGAAGCATATGGTTAACAGGATAGAAGTAAAAGTTGAAAGATTCATCTGATATGGCAGGCAATGATATGCTATCAAACAAGAAAGGATATGGAAACCCAAATTGGACGAAGCCTGATTCTTAAAAAGAGAACTCCCCGCCCAAACTCTTCTTAAGACCACCAATCCCACTCGAATCAATTCTGTATTTGACATCATGAGCATAAAAGACAGAATTTGTTATTAAGCGACTGGGAAACATGAAGTAAAAAAGGGGGTCATGGATCGAAGCGATTACTCAAGAGAAACACTAGAGAAGCATCATGTTGAACTTTCGTGTACTTTGCACGAGGTCTCGAGGATGGGGAGTAAGGAATTTCAGTACTGGAGGAGTAACTTTGTACAGAGCTTATAATCTTGCAACTTCATGCAATGTGTCATATTTCCCTTCATAACCACTTTATGAAACCTCAGATAGAGAACTTGGGAGCAGATACTACATTTAATTGCCTCAGATTGACAACCTTGTACCCTTATCACTAAACTAGGTTAAAAGTGATGGTTTTCGAATGCAGGAGTTGTCCAATAAACTTGTGGTTCTGAAATGATTCAAATAGTAATGATAATTATCTGATTAATTTGGCCGATTTCTTGATGTCTTTAAGTTTGAAGAAAACGCCATGTGAGAGGCAGTATTTACTGATTGATTGTGACATGAAACTATCCTTTAAATGGTTTCCATGCTTTATAGATTCTGCTTATTCTGATATGGAAGTAGGAAGATTCTATTTTCTTCTTCATCTCGCCACCTCGTGTTATTTCAAGCGACTTGGGTGACTCTTGCTTCTTTCTGCTGTTTTTGGCTTCTGCTTGAATTTTTTTATGGTCTTTATTGTTCAATTGTGTTAACCTGGTTTACAGATGATGTCGAATCCCGAGCTAATTAAACTAGCAACAGAAAGTATGAAAAATTTGAAACCAGAAGACATGAGGACTGCTGCAGAACAGCTAAAGCATACACCGGTTGAAGACATGGTTGACATTGGAGAAAAGATGGCTAAGGCTACACCGGAGGAGCTTGCAGCTATGCATGCCCATGCAGATTCTCAGATTTCCTACAAATTGAGTGCAGCAGAGATGTTGAAAAAACAGGTATTGTCATCTTTTTCTGATGCTGAAGTTGATACAATAAAATGTTATCTGCTTAAAATCAGTATTAGAGTACTCTCATTTATGGGAATTGGACAGAGTTTTCCTACTTTACGTTTTGAGAGAAGGTTGGTTATTTCTCATTTACGTTGAAAATTGAAATTTCTATTTGATTTTAGGTTTCATTTATGCCCTTTTACGTTTGTTTTGACAAAAAACTTGCTTTTCCTATTTTCTCGCTCAACAAAATTGATTTACCTTCTCTCTACAGCGTCTTTTAATGATAATAGTAGGGGTTTTGATGATTTTCTCAAATGCAATATATGTATAAGCAGTTATACCACTTTTGTCCAACCTAGGATCAATGTAGATAAAATTTAGCCTAACTAATCCTTAAGTATAGACTGTAACTGCTATTAAAAATGATTGTAGAATCTGCTGGAGATGCAAGCACTAAATCACTGTTCCACAAGTATTTTCCAATGATATCCTGTGGGTTTATACTTCAGCTTTTTTAAGTTGGTGACTCTGAAATATAATGTGATGTCCTGTCACTAGCCATCCAAATGCACCTTGATCTTATTTGATGGATGAGAAGGGTGATATTTACATTTTCATAAATGACAAAAGAAAATGATGAATCATGCACTTGAGTCTTAAGGAATAGAGAAAATGTTTTGATGAGAAAAGGTTTGTCTATAAAATAGATTGCATCATTTTAGTTTTTTTAACTTCGTTGTTGAATGTATGGACTATTTAAAAAGTGCTAAGGTTTTCACTCTCCTTTTATTTCAACAGGGGAACAACCTTCACAACTCCGGAAATTTTCATGATGCTGCTCAGAAGTATATTCTTGTACGTGGGGACTTACAGCATGTTAAAACATTTTTACATTTTATCATTTTATGACTCAACTAATGCTGTTCACCAATGTTCATTTTTAGGCGAAAAACAACTTGAAAGATATTCCTGCGTTCAAATGTAGAACTCTTCTATCGCAATGCTCTGTTAATTTAATGTCATGCTATTTGAAAATGGGCCTGTTGAAGGAGTGCATTAAGGAAGGATCCGAAGTAAGAATCACCTTACTTTCTGTGGATTATGTTTCGAATTTTTTTTTCCACTTTCTTGCTATCTTAAATGCGTCTTTGTGCCAATGTCAAGTTAGCTTGTGTAGCAGATGTGGTGTGTTACTATGATGGCTGATTACCCTTTTTTGCTAGGTGTTGTCATATGATTCAAGGAATGTTAAAGCTCTTTATCGCAGAGGTCAAGCATACAAAGAAATTGGAAATTTCGAGGTGAAATATCCTTCTTTAATCCCTTCGCATGAACTTAGCTAATGATCGTTAATTTTAGTTGCAAGAAAAAGTATGCTCAATGAATTGTATTTTCCTGATTTTTTTCTCAGCTTTGAATATTTGAAAATCGTAGTGGTTCCATTATCTTTGTAGGCAGCTGTCTCTGACTTGAGAAAGGCTCATGAAGTTTCACCTGATGATGAAACCATTTCAGATGTCTTGAGGTATGAAATTTTCTTCTGTGGAACGTTGACTGGTAATCATCTAGAGAGGAGGACCAATGGAGCAAATTCAGATGTGTATTGTTAATGGAGGCTTTTGAATTGCAGAGCTGCCAATGAAAAATTCAAGGAAAAAGCTGCAGATAGGACAGTGTCAGGAGGTTTGTTCTCGGTCATCACACTACTTTCTTGTAAAAGGAACTATTATCCATCAAAGGGTAAAAAGGTATGCTCTGTCAATTGAGTAGGTGTTGTCATTGAAGAGTTGGTGGAAGAGGACGACCAGGCTGCGGCATCAGAAAACTGTAAAGGATCTTCATCATCATCTGCAGAATGTTCTGCGTCAACACCATTAGAAGCTAGTGGGGGCTTACGGAGGGAAGATGTGTCTAATAGCATCAAGTCCTCCCCAGAGTCAGACTCCTTGAGGGGCTTACAAGCGAATCCTGAAGCTGTCAAGTACTAACCTTGCATGTCTTTATTTGTCATGTTAACTGCATGCGAGTTATCATTTTAAATTTATAACCTTGCGTCTTTAAATTTATAAGAACCGCCTTGCATTTAAATCCTTTTTTATAAATGTGAGAACAACCATGCCACTGTGACTGTGGCATATGTTTGCATTTCCCACAATTTCTTAAATTTTACTTCTGGTCTGTGATTTTATTCATGTCTCAGGTTATTCCAGAATTTTGTTTCAAGTGCTGATCCGGCCTCTCTGGCCTCTTTCGGTGGTGGTCAAATGTCTCCAGAGGTGATTAAGACAGCCACAGGGATGATAAGCAAAATGAAACCTGATGAACTTCAGGAAATGCTCCAAGTCGCCTCTTCCCTGAAAGGCGATGGACCAAGAGTAGGCTCAGCTTTTCCTGAAATGACACCTGAAATGGTTCAGATGGCATCTGATAGAATTAGCAAGATGTCACCAGATGAGCTTCAAAAGATGGTTGAAGTTGCATCTTCAATGAACTCTAGTTTCTCGCCTTCTCCTATGGGTAATTCCGATAATGGCAACCGTAGGGCCAAAGCTAGTTCACATTCATCAGCTTCCACAAAGCCTGCCACTGAGCATGCTACTGGGGAAGAAGGTTCTAGTGGACAGTTCTCAAGCTTTTCAGAGGTTCCGGCTTCTTCAAGTCTACCAAATTCAGCGACTGATATGCAAGAAAACCTGAGAAGTATGACGAAAGATCCAGCAATGAGGCAGGTTGGACCTTATTCCTTACATGTGCTCGTTTACTATTGTAGTGGTCTAAATTTATCTCTTTTGCATTGAAGTATTTTTAAAAATGCAGGCACTCTATTATTTCCCCCCTCTTTTCCTCCTTTTTGTCTTCGAATTCTCTCCAAATTACTGTTTTCTAGATTTTTTTTGTTTGGGCATTCCCTAGTAAATGCACTAGTTGGTCTCACTACCACCCACCTTTGTACTCTCTATTGCTCGAACCTTGAAAGGTAGCATACAGTGCTTTTTATGTATTCGAATATTTCCGTGTATGCAGTGTTCTTGAAGAATATAAATCTTGCAGATGTTTACATCTATGATGAAGAATATGAGTCCGGAAATGATGGCAAGTATGAGTGAGCAGTTCGGGATGAAGCTTTCAAAGGAGGATGCGGCCAAAGCTCAGCAGGCTATGTCATCACTGTCTATAAACGACCTGGACAGAATGGTAAAACCGCCCTCGTACTTGTTATTCTTTATTTTTGATTAACTTTATCTCTATTTTCTTCTGTTCGATTTGGAATTATTTCGTGGTGAATATAAACGGGCGATCCATCTTTTTTCATTTTCCCATTTCCGACCGAAAATTGAAAATTCAATAAACAATTGTCATTTGAGAATTCTCCTCAAAATTCTCTTCGCCGGATAATTACCGTCTAGTAGAGGTCATTATAGCCGTTCTCTCTTGGGAAGCTCGTGTTTGGCACAAAACGTTCTATTTTCTTAGCGAAATTGTGAAACCAATTGAGGGGGGGGGGAGAGGGGGTGAGGGAGCTGAGCTCTATGTCCTTGTAAGAGATTCTTGCCGTGTCCATGGTTGAGCGGTCTCCCTCGCATTCCAGCTCACAAGTGGTTTCATTTCAGATGAGGTGGGCGGAGAGGGTGCAGAAGGGCGTTGAAACCGCCAAGAAGACGAAGAACTGGCTACTGGGCACGAAGGGCTTGATCTTGGCGGTCTGCATGCTGATCGTCGCCTTCATCTTTCACCAGCTCGGCTTCATTGGGGGCTAAGCCGAAACAGATTCATTCATTCGTGAGACTCTGAGCCGGGAGATCCCACGGTCCTCCACACGTGATCCAAGTTCTGAAGAAGAAGCCGGTGGGTGGCGGGATCAACGGCTGAAAGAGGGAGGGTGATGGGGGGCGCACTTACCGCCAGATTTATCCCACAGCACAAGAGCATAACTAACTATGGTTGCTATTTTTTGCTGAAGTGATGCACGGATTTGTATAAATATGAGCGAATACTTTGGCTATTGGGCGCTGCTTCACTAATACATGAACGCATTTCAATCTCCGTTGCCACTGCCACCTGACATATTACTTTAATTATCCTCCAAAGAATTCGAGGGAATGAGGGACCCAATAGGCCGGGTACGTCCCTTCAGAAAACCTGCATCGTCTCTCTCTCTCTCTCTCTAACATTTATAAATGAGAGAGATGTAAGAGAAAAGAACTGAGCATGAGGATCGAAGCACCCAAGAGAAGAAGGGCTTGAAGATAACTGGGCTTCTACCCAGTGTCAGATTCATTGTCTGCATTCGGATGAACGCTGCTGGTGGCGCAAGAACAGTTGTTGCACAGGAAAAACGACAAATATTTTCTGATGATTTTAAAATGCCACACAAATGGGTATCATGGTATTTTACAAGACGTTTAAGGTAGCATCAGAGCCCACTTGAGCATATCACACATCTACGCTATTAAAATGGTTCTAGAATTGCTGATCACACAGTCACACTATTGATTCAACAATGACTCAGGATTCTGAGTGGGAGAGTGCATTAGGCTGTCTCCATCCTGCGATTGAGTGGAAATTCCCTGGAAGACGGTGGGGGGAGTCAGACGGAAGATCTAAGAAGGTGACATCCTCGCATAAAATAGAACAGAAAATAGCTTCAAAGCCCAGAATATAGCTGGATACCTGTGGATTAACCAGCTGCTGGGACTGCTGATCCTGACTCCATGCGTAAGGCTGCGGCTGGGACATACGATAGTAGGGCTCTTTTAGGTCAAGCTTGCACGAAGATGTCTGCAGTATGCCCCCCAGCTCAGCGCCGGCGCCCCACATTTTAGCTAAAAGAGGAAATTTCAGACAAAAAGGATTGGGCCAGAGACACCACTGAGGCAGCGAATTAGATGAATTAAACAAGACCCACCTGACAGGGTTAAATAGAGCGTGTAGCTCTGAGCATTGTGGGCCACCATGCGGAGTTGCCCGGTAATCTCTTGACCAGCCATAACATATAAAGGCTGGGAGAGCACACAACGGAGCTGATACCAGTGAGTGGTGGGCGCACCTGGAGCAGTAGTGAGCCACCTCTGAACAGAGCTGTGAAGAAAGATTTCATTGGAGATGTCCCAGTTTTTAATGAGCAAAGCATCATGAAAAAAAAGGGGCATTTAATAAGGGAGCAAAGCAAGGTTTTACAAATCAATTCTGTGTGTAGGTAATCAAATGCAAGGTTTTACAAATCAATTCCTGTGTAGGTAATCTATCCCTTCACGCAAACTTGTGACGGTTGGATCTGGCAGTTTATGGCTGACTGGGCTAACGTAAGCAGGTTCGACCTTATCCTAACTACTAAAATCCTTGTGATTTGCTTCAGCAAAATTTAAGTAGGATTTGACTTCAATCTGTTTCCCATTCCAATTGAGATCGAAACGCCAACCTCAGTGTGCCCTCCTCTCTACTGATTGAGATCCAAAACTAATCACCGTCTAATTCCGGGAAGGTAATCCCACCGAGGACAAGCTTCACAGGTACATAACCGTCATTGACCTTTAACGTGTCATTCCACAGCGACACTGAACGAAGATTGGGCAAATGTGACACTTAGTTCAAGAAATCTTCTGCCAGAGATGCAAATTCAAGAAAAGGTCCAGAGTGTTGCAGCAAGGTCATGAAATGTTAACTGCAAAAGGAAGCTTCAACGTGTAACCCCGGTAGAAAATTTTACCCTCCATTGTCACCTTGGAAGGAGATGAATAAACAGATTTCATTGATTTAGTAATGAGAGAGGAAAAAAAAAAAACAAAAGGGTGATACTTAAAACTAAGAAACCCAGAAATAGATCATACAAGAGTTGACTGCAATTGAATTCGGGGGCAGGCATCACGGCAAAGTAGCACACAGATTGGAGCAAGATAGCTACCTGCCATTGAACAATACATCAAACCAGCATGCTAGCCCATGTACCCTGGTGCCAATTGAGGCTATGAAACTGAGAGGAATATCGATTTCATAGAGCTCTTCTTCCTGAAAATGGTAAAAAATGTGAAGTTTATAATTTAGGGGTAGTAATGGTTGCGTTAATGATTGGATAAACAGTGACTGATTCAAGCAAAGTACATTTCAATGCTATATAAGGAGATAATAATGTTAATTATAGAAATAGGGAAGCTTATATCGCATGGATGCTTCACCTTAATGTAAGTAAAATCTAGCGTGTGAGATACAGCTGGCGAGATCAGTAACCTCGGATCAAAAGCATCGACCACTGGCTGCATCAAGAAATCACTATAACACCATCAGAGGAAAAGTTGGGTATAAAACTACTTCAAAAAGAGCAGCACTACATCATTAAATTGTATATTTCAGCTATCATAGAAAGAGGTTTCGTCAGTTATGTTGATCGAATATAGTATATGTTCTCCAGTCTCCATTTTATTTCTTTTTCATTTCCACACTTATTGGGGCTCCTGTACTTGGATATGCATCTATCAATATCTACAAACATATATACACAGCAATACAACATGCCCTATTCTTTCGTTTTTGATTGGGTTTCTTTGACAAGTTTCAAGCTCACCTATGCTTCACGTCGGCTATCTTTGCATGCTTCTTCCTCACACTCGTAGGCTCTAGGTTTATACTTCAGAACAAAAAAGGTTATAACATCAGTGCCTACGGCGGCTGTCTACACTGAGTGCCAATTATTGTTGTCGTCACTGCTATCACTTTGGTGAGAGCCAGCCAACATTCCTCTTGGCTCGTTGTTTCACCTGCAACTGATGCCTCCAATCTGAGCACCATGATCTGCCTCGCTACCATGGTTTGCCAGGGTGTCCTCGCCAGGTTTCGACAACATGGCCACTCAGTTAAGGTTTGCCACGGCGCTGCTCTCTTGAGTGCAGCACTGTGCACCTAAGTATTTTGTAGACTTGTTCACACAATTCATTATCTTAAGCTTGTAGACCCGGCCCCATAGTCTTTGCTGGCATTACCAACTGTACAGAGGACTCAATGTGCATATGGATCGACATCAAGAAATAACCTTATACCTATTGAGGAGGTTCTTGAAACTTTACTCCGTTCATGTGGTTTATTATTTTATCATATGTTACCTTTGGCGTCCTTGTCTAATATTCCCAGGATGAATATTCAGTAACATATAGAGATCAACATTCACCCATCCCCAAATGATACCTCTCCGATGCTGTCTCTTCCTAATATTTCTTCTGCAGAGCACGTTGTTGACTTATTCATCAAGTCGTAGACGAATTTTGGAAAACTCTCAGTCTATGATGCCTTGTGGATCTGTGTTCAGATGGGATGACACATTCCCCGTGCAATATTATCACAGTACCATTCTTTCCAGTTTTGGCCCTTTTTATGTTCTAGTAATTGCATACAAGTACATAGCAATACCACGTGAGAGGTGTGCTCTCTAATTCCCCCTATTCTCTACTCGTACCTGTTTAGAAACTAGATTTACAACTAATGAGTGAGCTAAATGATCTAATCCTTTGTTTCAAGCTGAAAAATGTGAAGTGGGCCATCAACCTACACGAATTTAACATAAGCCTATAAATAAATCAGCTATACAAGTGTCAACAGAGCAACAAGCCACTCCATTTAAGATTCGAGCTAAATGAAAGGATGAACTTGTATTCTGCCTAAAAATACACAAACACTGGTTCTATAATAACACAAATTTGTATTACAGTAACACTCAAAAGTTGAAAATTCTAAAGAAAGAAACTGGAAGAAGGCAAAAAAGAATCGTAATATTATGAAATATGCTATCCCGCACGACAGGAAAACGGACTAAAAATACGTAGAAAAAAAATTAAAAAATTTAATATTCAAAAACATCGAATAGAATTGAATGCATACAGATTTTCAATGAGGAATCACAAAAATGATTGTAAATGACTTACCTGAGTAAAATATCCCTGGAATGCGGGTCCATGCAAGGGAGTAAGGTCCACACCGAAATAATTCTTCTGTTGCCAAAAGAGAGCCTAAAATGGGAGAAAAATCTCAGAACAAAACCTTGACCAGTGTAGGGAAAAGCCGTACACAAAAACCAGCCCCAGAAAATTTCCCCAACAAAGTAGTAGCTGAATAGTGTCCATTTATTTACAGATATTCTTAACCGAAAAATATACAATGATCAAAATAATTATTTTAAAATGTGAGGAAATAAAATAAGATAAGAGCGGTCACGTTTCCAGACCATTTTGGAAGTTAAATTATTTCACCATCAGCGAATCATCAAACCAATTTTTCCACACATCAAAATTGAGAAAAACTAACTCTATGATTCAACAATATCTGTCAATAAAGCCACCAGATTAGTTGTAAGGGCCGTTAATGGTGTACATATATATATTTGAATTTATTTAGATAAAGATGCAATCAAGGTAAGACTAAAATAAATAAAAATTCGATAAAAACGTCAAGACTATATCATATACCTTGTTTGCGATTTCAACATAAAGATATTCATCTGAAAATGGTGCCATGTGTATCCTACAGGTTTGAAATTTAAGACGTCATAATCAATCCAGCTTCATGATAGGTGCACGATTTTGAGGCTCAGCTTATTTTGAACAAAGTATTGATAAGACAAGGCAATTTGTCAACGAAAATAGCAAAAGAGCAGCAAATGTTTGATATTAAACGGAAAATAGAAAAATAAAATACATTTTTAATGAACAGAAATAATTGGCTGATAAAAGAAACATAAAAAAATGCAGTTTATGCATAAATGTTTTCAAGAAATGAAATTGGAAGAACAAAATGAAGCTCTGTGCATCGTACAGCATAATGTTGTAAACTGTTATGAAGTAGCCAAAGTTGAAATTATTAGATGGTCCTCGGAATCGCATTATCTGATCTAATTTTACAAAGGGGATTCCAAAAAAAGCCACTGAATACATGTATGTACGCACACAACTGCGAGTGTGTGCGTGCGTGTGTAAATGAACCCCAAATCACTCTGGACAAGATTCTGAAAGGGCTGGATTATATCAACAAGCTACTCGTCAATCCAATTAGACAGGCTTATTCCCAGTTGTTCCATGCATTACACAGATTAATTTGACGAAAGGAAAACAACCATTGCAGCTAGTGTGTACGCCCACGTCTACGAGTGTATATGTGTGCAAGTGAACCCCAAATAACTCTGGACAAGATTCTTGGTGGATTGGATAACATCGACCGGATACTCGTTGATATAACTAGACAGGCTGATTCACAGATGTTCCATACAGTACACAGATTAATTTGACAAAAGAAAAACAACCATTACAACGAGTTGAATTTCTGCTCCCATGAACTCTGGGACCACAGTGAAAGGCTTGTACATCTTTTCTATTGTCGATGATGCTCCAAAAGTGACAATGGATAGCCATGATTAAAAAAGCACAAACCTCAAAACGATACCAAAAGATGCTAGAAAATATCCAGAAACAATGGAAAAAGAGCAGTTGAGATGAAAAGCAAAAATAAGCCTCGTCAAATCCTGACACCACAAGGATCCTTGTGAAATTAGGAAATAAAATGAAGGAATTAATAGAGCTAAAGTAGGGCTGGAGTATTTGCATATGATATACATTTTTTATTTTAAAGAAGGGGTAGGCAGAAACATACAGCCAGCAAATGAATTGAGTACTTAGATCCGAGAACCCCATGATATATCATCATTCGGAATTAATGGGTCTCCTCAAGCATGAATGATAAATGATGACAATTAAAAAAAATACAGCATTCCATCACAACCTAATCCTGTGATCAGAAAAAAGTACATGTCGAATACCAGATAAATCCCATAAAACCCTTAACACAAGAAATTACCGTAGAGCTACAGAAATATTGTTTAATGAAGCAGACATCACCTTCCAACTGACGGAAACATTTTGCCATTGGGGGTTAGAAATCGATCTCTTGCTATTACATAAGACTCCAGCATTCTTTCATTGACCAATAAAGTGCCTAAGGAATTTGTAATAGAAAGTTAGTTGCAACTACGGCTTTCAAATATGAAATATTATTTTTCTCAAAATAATGACAAATACTTTACAGCTTTAAAAATAATAAACATTTAATCACTAACAATTTTTTTATAATAAAAGACAGACAACAACCCAAAAGAAGAATTACTGGTCAAACATAATCCGAGACCTTTGGCAAAGTATAATATAATGAAACATACATCAATGAAAAACCATGAGGTAGCAGATATTATCAAAACTAGCGCCAAAGAGCGAGAAATGAATTTATAATGTGAAATGCTCGGAAGAATTAGCGTTTGGGCATACAACAGAAATCATCCAGTCCCCCACACCCCAAGAGTAGTCATTTATCACTCTCTCCTGATAGAAGTCCTCAAACTTGCGGTGACAGTCTGCCTTCAGCCCCTCTCTGTCTCCACCTACCTATGTAACCTTATCCATCATGTTTAGAAAATAGGGCAAGTAAAACCACTGGCGGGAAAGCACAGCAGACAGCCATGATCAAGGCTGTCACTGGCAATTGCTAGAAGCAATGAAGGTAGACTTTTTCCTTACATTTTCGTTCCCTAAACTTCTTCCCCTATACCTCCTTTGATTACATCCTATTCATATCATCTGGTGGCAGGACAGTATGCTTGCGCACCTCTTCACTCTTCTTCCTCCAGTAGTAAGTAAGAAGTCCAATCCCACAAATGAACAAGACAATAAAAGCGATCTTATACAATTCATAACCGGTTCAACTTCGATAAAAAGGAGGATCACAGTTTTCATCCTGAAATAAGATATCCAAATCGACAAATCCACATTGGATATAAGAGAGAATTCCAAGGATGAACGGGATGAAATATCACAAATCATGGTGGTTAAGGGCGCGAAAACTATTTTACGCAAGGCATAACATTTTGTATGAGATGCAATGACCAAACATAATGGTCCTTATGTGATACGAAAAGATTTCTCTGAACAACTAGGCTCCAGCCTGATCCAGAAACTGGCTTCGTACAATAAGCGTAATATCGGCACAAAAAGATGAAAAGCAAAATCGAACGAATTGTGTAAAAGGTGAACATAAATGTAACTTATAATTCAATATATAGGAAACAGAAAAATTACTTCCTTGAAGAGAATCGAACCTACCCATTGGTTCAGATATCAAAATATCTGCCTTCTCAGGTAGAGTAACCTCTTCGACTTTACCTTTGACAACCTGTTCAAAGATTCAGCAAACTTTGAATGTAGTCGCAGGAGTTTTCGGAATAATAAGTAATATCAACATTAATTAAGCTCTGAGGGGGACCAAACTGTTATTCTTTCCCCAAGCGATGGATTTCCAGCAGTCAGTCTATGTGCATATTCTGCCATCTCAGATGCTTCAACAGCATAAACATGTTTTGCACCAGCCTACACAAGTTATAATAATTGATGAACAGACAAGAAATAAGCTGAAAACGCATTGACTGACATATGGAAGAAGGGCATCCACACAGGCCAATTGTTTCGTGCGTTTCGAAAATCAAAACGTTTACAATGTACCTGAGCCGCAAATAATGAAAGAATGCCACTACCAGCACCAACATCTACAACAATACGGTCATGAAAATCTGCACGATTCTCCACAACAGCAGCAAAATATGTTCCTGGTAAAAGATCAATATTAGCATGTCGAAGTAACAAAAAGTAATGTGCATGGGTCATGGAGGTCGGAAACTAACATAAACTGCTGGTTATTTTCATAGCAATATCGTCGTAAGAAAACAAGTGCAGTTGTTAACTTAATATTATGATGTCAGGGACACATACAAGCTGACCTGTTCTCACATAATCTTGTAACATATTCTGCTGATGTAATAACTGGCCATAATAATGAAAGTACATTTTTGCAGAAGAAGCTTCTATTTTATCATCAAATTTGCTTTTGGAAACTGAAATGACACCATTTTCCAACTTTGAGCCTGTCCAACAACAGGAAGAAAAGGGACAACATCAGTGATAAAGGAATTGATGAATGCATAAAAAAATAAAGTTTCAATGTAAATACGTAGAATATGCAATACTAAAAAGTTTGACAAAGAAAAAACTCAGAGGCCAGAATTATGAATTGACGGTTCTGTCACCATGCAATTTCAAGAAGACCAAGATCCCGACGTTTATATAGTCTATCGAATAATGAGGATGTTGCTACTAGTCGAGCAGTATTCTTCCAAGTACGTTGTACATTTACTTGGTCTTGGGCATTCAATATCCTAGAAAACGCAAAATTTACCACTTGCAACTCTTTGTCATTAAATAACACAATTTATCAATCAATACTCATTAATGAGCACAACATTGAAGAGTAAATGTTGTTCAACCAACAAAAGAGAGGTTGTATGGTATGCTCGTTCACAATCCTCTTTGACTTTCTAATGATGCACTATATGACATAGGAAAACATCTCAAAATCTAACGTTACGAGTCCATTACGTTGTATGTCCCAACACAATATCTAACATCCCAAATCCTCTACAGAACTTTCTCAAAGCGAAACCTCCATACGAGCAAAACCTGGAAAATTGAACTAATCTGAATAAAGGCCATAATAAGCCATGATTAGGCTTCCCTCTAAAACATGTGCATACTTCACCCAACACCGCCCCACCCCAACCCCCCGGGAAAAGAAATAAAAAAGAAGAAAAGAAGAGGTGATCTGGGAAACTGATAGCCAATTCTTCTGATTCAAATTATTACTGTTGCTACCGTATTTGAGCTCCCAGACGTCATCAACCAAATTTCCTTAGTTGACTCACAAAAAGGACAATGATTTCTTAACTGGTGACAAAATAAATAACCAAGATTTCCTGGTACGTCAAAGCCACAGCTGAAGATAAGTACATGCATGACAACGAATGCTTCTTCAAGGACCTTAAAAATTATATCTCTAATTGAAAACAATGCTTGTTACCCTCTTTTAACCAACTAGTGCTTACCTTTAAAAAATGCAAGTCGGCCAACTAAGAATTTTCATGAGAAAAATATAACTTTTTTTGACATAGTATGAAACACCTAAATAAATAAGAGGAAAACCATGCAACCAAAGGGCATACAGATGAAACCCAAATTTAGGCATAGAAAATGTAAAAAAATTATATCATGTCAATAGTGCACCTGTGCCTGTACCAGTGACAACATTCTTCCACTCTTCAAAAGCACAATGAAAGGCTTTTCTGTCATTGTCTGATCTAAATCTAACAGTTATTGCACTTGACGTGGAATTCTGGATTAAAAAATGTTGGATCAGAGAAAAATCCTTATAGAAGATTATACTAAGCAAGTCTCAATCAACAAAAGAAAGTAACATTCCTCGGCAAAGAATACAAAATATAAATGGATAACGTTAAAAGCACATATTAAAAAGGTGAGATTTGGAACATATACCATCAAACAAAAGAGACTATGCCCAGGGTGTTAAGTTGATAAACAGAATTAAACATCATAAAATATCATTATCAACGTGTAATCAACATGAAAAATATACGAAATATAAAGTACACCAAGAAGAAACACATGATAATACAGGTATCTTGTACAGATGACCAAAGAATGGAAATAAAACTTGGAACATTTCTATTCCACAATGGCATAACCAATGAAGGCACCGATCCTAAATACTCATTATAAGTGAGAAAATACGGATTACATGCTGAAAAACAAAGGCTGTCGATAAATAAACAGGGAATCTGGATATCTAAAACCTAGTTGCCAGGACCACGGATGTTAAAAGGTTCACTGCACCATCAGAAAAATGAGGATATAGCCATCAGTAAGACAGAATAAAGTCCCAGCTCACACCATACGAACAATGTAAAAGAAGTTTACCAGCACCAACTAACATACGAACAGATCATGGAGCGGAACATAGCAAGCCATGACTCATCATTTTGTGCAGTCATTCTTCAACAAATGAATCAGCAACCAAATTCATTCTTCACAGAAATTTGTCACAGGTGACAAGACGCACATTCCGTTCCAGATATAGAAGCACTCTCCAAGTATCTTTCTTGTTCTTTCCAATCTAAAAATTAGACGGTTTTGATTTATCTCTCAAAAAGTACAGGAAAATATGTATGCATACAGGATGCTGAAGTGATTGAAATGTCGGCAACAAAAAGTAGAACTACTCCGTGGTCGATCGACAAAAGCGAGAAAAGGAGCAGATATATACAATGTGTGTCTGTATACACACTCATGTGTGTACATATACTGCTTCTAAAAAGAAATGGGATGTCTAAAGTGGCTGGTTAAACAAGCCCAGTGAAAAGATATATGCTCATACGTGCGTGTACATACTCGTCCATGTACCTCTTTTTCATTGTTGTTGCTAAATCGCTCACTGACGCAGAGTGATTCCCCTGGGCCTAATCTGAAAAGCTGGATTTCATAGAGGAAGAGATCAGCATAAAGTAATGATACTGCGTCGTTCAAACAACGGGAAAAAAAAAACAAACACGGAATGTAGCTGGACATCGTGCACATCCTTTCGAAGTAGAGAGGAACACAATCCAGTTACAAGAGCCGCTCGGTTCAAATGCATGAACTGCAAACCTGGGAGGTCCGGACGTCGATGCAGGTGACAAACCCGACGTCAGCTTCACGATGGAACTGCAGCTGTGGGTCACCAGACTCATCCACGATGAACCGCAGAGTCGCGGTCGACGGTGACGGTTCATCGGAGTAGGAGCAGGATACGTGGCAGATTAAGACGCCGGGGATCTCCAGTTGCTTTAGCTTCTGCTTCGGAGTCCCAGGCGACGCGTCCATCCCCGCGACGTCCCTCACCCTCCTCTCTCCTCCACGAAAGCACCGGTCGACGGTGCTAGGTTTTTACAGAGTTTAAAGGTGGGCACACCGCTAGGGTTTTAGACTGCCGCGGGGGAAACAGGCGTCCGTTTCCTTTCTAAGATACGACTTGCCCGCCACAGATCGAAACCTCCGCGGACAACCATGCAAGATACCTCTTCGGCCGCGCCGTTTCTGGCTCGGCGGGGGCGGGGGGGCCGACTACTGCGTCAAGCAGGCTGACAAAACAGGCAAGCCACGGCAGTGGAGCGTGCGCCAGGCACTGAACGAACGCCACACTCAACTCCCGACATGGAAATTTCCTAAACAGCTCCGCAGCTTGTAGCAGATGGCCCGCTGGGCTCCTTCCCAAAAGGGTCTTTTACTTCGCCGAAATACTCCAAGAAATCGCCGTCGGCCTGCCTTCAAATCTTTGAGTTGCCCAGCTGGAAATGATGACCAGAGGAAGATAACCTAAATAAGACCCAGTGCCCCAGGAAGAAGACAATCACCCCTTTCCAAGCTTGCGATTTTCTTATTTTAAAAAAGCCTCTCTTTGGAACATAAAGTTGTTAAAAGCCCTCTCTTTGAAAGAAGCTTCTCCAAAATTCCATTTGATTGTTAAAAAGTTTGTTTTCTACAACGCATCCAGACGTTAAGGCCCACGTAGGCTCAATTAAGAATTTTGGCCTGGATCGGACCGGTCCGGGAGAGCTTACTGGACCAATCATCTATTGGGCCAGTTAAGCCAAACCGTTCCTATTTTCACACCGCAGGGACGAGAAAGAGAGAGAGAGCAAGAGCGAGAGCGAGAGAGAGAGAGAGAGAGAGAGAGAGAGAGAGAGAGAGAGAGAGAGAGAGGGGAGGCGATGGAGGCAGTCAAACCAGCAGCCGAAGCGCGCTCCCTTTTCGTCCCCAACGGTTTCAGGGTCTCGAAATGGGCTTTCGCCGCGGCGCTGCTGGCTCTGGATGGCCTACTCGTCTGCTTGATCATAGCCTACGTTCCCTGTGAGTTCTGATCTCTCTGTGCGTTCATGTTTCTATGTGTCCTTTGCCTTTAGTTTGACAGTCTCGCCTGCCGCGTAGACACGAAGATCGATTGGGATGCGTACATGTCTCAGGTAATAGATAATGTTACGGCACCAGTTACCCAGTATCATGTGTCTGGCTTCTCAGTTCTAGGTTGATTCACTTCCCTTGTTTACCTGAACTGTTATGAATTTAATTTAATTATGTTTTTTCTGGTTGATGAGAAATGAGAATAGGTGGATGGTTTCCTTCAAGGAGAGAGGGACTACACGAAATTGGAAGGCGACACGGGTCCTCTGGTTTACCCAGCTGGGTTTCTTTACATCTACAGCGCCCTGAAATATGTGACCGGTGGACTGGTCTTTCAAGCACAGGTGTAGCTGCTTGGAGATACCAAAGGAGATTCATTTTTTAGTTTCTCCATTTTGTTTATAAATTCTTGATGTTTTTTAATACATTATCGAATGTTGTGTTGTGACGTCTGCCCTCTTATGCCCATTTGATCACTATTCACTATACCTCATAACTTTTTATTTAGCTTTTTTCTTCAAGGATTATTGCACATGATCACATTTTCTTGTGTCATTTTGCAGGTCGTTTTCGGCATATTGTACATCATCAATCTTGCAATAGTGATGTTTATCTACTTAAAGACTGATGTGGTACAGAAACCTTCACTAAAATTTTATCTTTGTTTCTGAGGTTTTCTCACGTTGTCCTAGGTTCTATGATTATTGTAAATCATCTGATGGTAGAATGAACATCTTCTAATTGAAAAGGAATCAATATTTATAATGCTTAAAAATTATGATTGTACTTCTTTTCCTAGGAGGGATACACGACTCTACCCTGTTTTGTGATATTTTTTGATGAACTGTGTATCCCCCATTACATGTACCTCACTCAGGAAAATTATCGTGAGGACCCATTGCAGTAACTGTCTGTCCTTGGTCTCTATGCGCCCAAGGTACAAAATTATACACAAATGTGCCGAAAGGTTGGTTGATTATGTGCATCCTGACTTGCCACCCTGGTCAACTTTGATCTTCCATGACATAGGCCTGCCTGCCATAAAAATACTTTCTAGAACATATTAACTGATTATGCAACTTTATCCTTGTAGTTTAGGGCACTATTTCTTTTCTTCACAGTTTTTATGGATGAAGATAAATTTTCTGCTTTCTTCCTGATAGATTTTTGACAGCTTTTTATTGTTTTGCAGCTCCCATTATGGGCTCTTTGTTTGCTCTGTTTGTCAAAGAGGGTCCACTCTATATTTATGCTTCGACTTTTCAATGACTGTTTTGCGATAGTGCTACTTCATGCTTCAGTGGCTTCAATTTTACATGCGCAATGGCATCTGGGCTTAGTTATATTCAGGTTACTAATGAAATGTTTATTTAATCAAAGTAATAGCTATGTTTTGTTCATTACATGAGATTTCTTTCGATGCATCCTGTGACATAGTTTTATTTATTATTCGGTTTCTCTTGTAGTGCTGCTGTATCAGTGAAGATGAGCGTGCTCCTTTATGCTCCTCCTTTGTTTTTGCTCATGCTAAAGGTATATAAAATCTCCACCAGTGAATTTGACAACGGCAATCATATCCTCGTTGACCAAAAACAAATCCAACTGTCAAGAGTTGGCTGATTTTTTTCCTGTCAGGGAATGAGTCTAAGGGGTGTTACCTCTGCTCTCTTTTGCGCAGCATTGGTGCAGGTACGTATGCTTTTCCCATTATCAATGTCTGGTACCTTTATTTAAATTTCACCTTCGGGAAAATGAACGATAATTAGATTCAGGTCTGTGCCAATCTTTCATCATAATTCAGATATTTCCTAGTTTTTAGTAACGAACTGTAAATACCCATGCCCTACGTCTACATGCATGGATCATATGTACTGCAAAACTTGGGATTTTTCCTTCACATGGACGCCAAAGTTCGTGAAGTAAGGCTCTAGGGGGTTCCTAAAAGCTCTTGAGATGAGACCTTTCAAACTTCTGGACCTGAAACCTATAAATAAATATCCGATGGCAATGGGGAGAAGCAAAAAATGTAGTGGTGAAGGTAATTTGGGAATGATTGCGAAGTCACTTTTAGGTTTGGGAAGGCTCCATCAACAAAAGCTTTGAAGCGTCTCCTGAAATGTAGGTTATGTTCCTAGATTATAGCATAATCATTTTTTGTCGATGAGAAATTTTACATGATTTACATCTTGGCCATGAATCTGATTAAATGCTAGTATGACTTCGCATTTGTTAAGTCGGCAGACTTTTATTTTCACGCCTAATGATCATGTGGCGCATTATGCAGGTATTGGTGGGATTGCCTTTTCTGTTATCTCACCCAGTGGCCTATTTATCAAGATCCTTCAACCTCGGACGTGTCTTCATACATTTCTGGTCCTCTTTCATCCTTGAAAGGCTACTTTTGTGCGGCTGTTACCTTATAGTATGATATGTAGCTTTCTCCCCATTAGTTGGGGGTTATCTTTCAGTATCTGGCCGGTTTCTTATGTAAAATTTTTCATCATTTACTTTTGGACAGGTCTGTTAATTTCAAGTTTGTTCCTGAAGATATATTTGTATCAAAAAAATTCGCAACTTTCTTGCTTATTACGCATCTTACACTGCTGACAGCGTTCTGCCATAAACGGTGGTGCAAGTAAGTACGAAAGCTCCTAACTTTTTTCATGAAGTTGTTTTTTTTGAAATTTTTATTGTTAACTATTTCTCTTACATTGTGCCTACATTTTGCTTACTTTTGTTGCTGCCACATGCATCAATTAACCTTGCACTGGGCAACCATTAAGGATTATAATTTTGCTCGGTACATGTGACCTCCATATCGTTCTAGGCATTGGGGCTTGGAAATAACTAGATGGCCTTGTTTTGCAGGCACGAAGGAGGCCTCCTTTCTTTCTTGTATTCTAGGATTTGTCAGATAAAAGTAAGGGCTGCTGTTCCTGAACCGTCCTCTGTTTCCACAGTTCTCTCTCGGGATTCAAACCTCAGTATCCTCAATAAAGAGCGTGGGTGTCTTGAAGCCTAACATGTCCTTCTTTTATTTAGTCATGGGGTTTCTTATCACTCTAAATAATAGCGGAGCTATGACTTTGCAGATATAATAACCGTTTTGTTTGTTGGGAACTTCATTGGCATTGTATGCGCTCGATCACTCCATTACCAATTTTATTCATGGTAAGTGTCATTCGGTCTGGCTTTGGTATCTTGTATATCTTCTTTTTTCTGGGTTTCTTTAAGAAGAAAATTGTAGATAAGCATTCCTTATGCCTGCCTTCATTACTTATCCTGCAAATTTATACTGCTGGGACATTAAGATTTTCATGAATCATCTGAGTGATGTAGAGCTGCTGAACTGCTCCCTTTTATTTTTATCCTTTTCTTGGATCCTCTGGAATAATAACACGAGAGAGAACCCTGAGACCTTAATGATATTTAAAGTATAAAAGTCTCAGGTTTGAGAATCAATCTATGTATTTGAGGCGATGGCAAGGGGGTTAATGCTGTCCATTACATTTCCATATTTCCAGTAAATTTTGCTTCTTTTTTTACTAAAAAAAATTATACTGGAAATTGATGCTTAACTGATAATAGACCATCCAGTTGGGTCATTAGGTTCGGTAAGTGAGCATATACATTAGAACCAATCATTTTCTATGTCGTCACATATCTCATGAGAACCAATCATTTCTTGTCAACACCAATCTCCGGTGTTAATATTCCCATTGTTCTGGATATTCATGAAACCAATCCGTTGATCTTTACATGTGCTTCTGGAAAAGCAACTGCCTGTTGCTGCCATTACAATAATCCTTGGTCTCTACACCAACCTCGCTTGCTATTTTAGCATGGTTTGCCATTCAATTATTCTATCAGATGGGACTGATGCGGTGTGGGCTTTTCAGGTACTTCTACAGCCTGCCATTTCTCCTGTGGAGGACTCCCTTCCCTACCCCTCTGCGGTACACCACAATCTTCCTCTACCATTCTGAGCCATCTCTCCTGTGGGAACATTCATCGCCTGACACAGGGTTATTTCCGATAATTCAGGCTGGCTCTGTTCGGAACGGTGGAGCTCTGCTGGAACATCTACCCCTCAACCTCCTACTCCTCTGTTCTCCTCCTCTGTGCTCATCTGCTTCTGCTGCTGGGTCTGTGGAAGGCTCCCTGTGAACTCCCGGAGGTAGCTGCTGAACCAGCGGCTCTGAAGGAGGAATGAAATGGCTTCTTAGTCTTGCAAAGAGCATCATCTACCGTGAATAGCTTCCCTTCATAGGCACGGTTTGCTCGTATTCTGTCACAAAATGCCTAAATTTTAACTTATGACGAACAAAGTTTAATGAAGAAATTTCCCAATGTTTCTCTATTCCTTTTGTACACATTCCTCTCTTCCTCTTAGTTTTTCACCATGAAGTGAGGGAGAATTACTCTGCCCAGCTGTTTTTTCCGGTGAACATCGGCTGTGGGGTCTTGATTCTCTATTTAAGTTTTATATATATTATTTATTTATTTAACTTTTTATGCCTCACGGTCAATTGCATGGTTTTGTGATTGCAGTCCAGTCCAATGGTCTCAATAGAAAGAGATAATGCTAAGAAGTAATTAGATCCCTACAGCGACTTGGGTAGAGACGACCCCTGATTTCAGGGGGAGGTCAACATACGAAATGGGCCCATTCATCTCACCAATTAGCTGAGAAGGGCTTCCATCAGAGGCTCCTTCACTATCTGCTGCTGCCTTGCTCAGCTCCTGCAGGAATTGGAGGGGAGAAAAGTCAACACAGGGTGATAACTCTCTCTCTCTCTCTCTCTCTCTCTCTCTCTCTCTCTCTCTATTATTTAAAGAGAAAACAGAAGAGATGTCGATAGTGAGTCTTGAAGTGATTCTTCAATTTGTTTGGTTGGTGAGTCTCATTGAGAATCATGAGGCTTATCTAGAGCACACCACCTTAAAAGATGAAGACATGCTCACCACCATGTTGAAGAAAGTTTGTAAGGTTATCTTTCTATTCATTCTTCCACTCAAAGAAATCTCTCCAGCTCTCTCCATGGATGTAAAAAGGATTTCTTTGAGCCAGATAAATCTTTGTGCTTTTTCATTTGCATTCAATCTCGTCGTCTCCATACTTTTGTCTCAATTCTTTTGACACATCCATAATTAGTGGACAACACATTTTGCTATTCATGGAGTTTTGTCTTCTCCGGGGCAGATGATGAGATTCCCCCCATGTAATTTTTGCTTCATCAAATTGCCTGAGGAACTGCTCTCATGTCCAGATCACCATAGAACTCTTACTTGAACCTCCTCCTATATAGCCCGTGAATTCAAGGTTTAGAGTGGCATTTCTCGCACACAGTACAGCCTTTATGGGGATAATTGCAAGAAACCTCAAGTTGGCATCACATGCATTCCACCATTTGAGGTTTGATGTCATCTGAATCATTCTCTTGCTGATTTTAGATTAAATATCCTACTTTGTATTAAATTTGTTCAACATCATTTAATGGTAGCCTCCTTTTTATTTCCAGACCTTGATGTATTGGCAATATAAATAAAGCTTATATCTATGTTCTTGGTCCTATACTCCATAGTATTGAGGGGTTTTATGATAAATAATAAAGATAAGAATAATCCGTGTACTTTATTCTCAAATATTAATGGTGGAAGCATTTAATTCTGGCTAAAATAAAAAAGGCAATTAATGAGAAGTTTATGTATTTTAATAACTTGGTTGCCCATGGACTCCCATTTCTCTATCGCATGCTCCATAAGATCTTCTTGTAGATGATACAAGTAATAAAGAATTAAGACCAGCTTATGTGTCCCTCCCAAGCAAAGGAGAGAGTGAAGACATAGAGCGGCATCTCATATGCTCATGATTATGGTACGAACCTTGTTCCAAAAATGAATAAGATTCTTTTTAACTGATTTAGTCATGGAGACTAAATCAGTTCTCCCACAAGTAGATGAAAGTTTTCCAAGAACCTCTAAGACCAAGGGTCTTTTTTTTCTGCCCCCCTTATACAACTAAGTCCCCTTCTTTATAACCCTCAGTCCTCCCTTTCACACGTGGATGGTAACTAACATGCAAGAGTGACAAATGGACCTGTAGAAGTAGGACATTTCTTCCTCCTTTAGTATGTTTTGATGAGAGGCTTATACTCCCTCCCATGGCTTTCCTTGTGGTCAAAGTTAAATGTCACCACAAAGCTACATGTTCCCATGAAGCCACATGTCTTGTTGCAATAAAATACATATAGGTTCCCACAAAGCTTTGATGTCTGGTAAGTATCACCACTTGATGAGAAGTTTTAAGCCTATTATAGAAGCTCTCAATGTTAGTACATCTTCTAGGTAGAGTAACCACACCTTCTAGTCAGTTAAGGTAAGATGTAGAGGTTGACTATGATAAGGAGGTCCCAGCACCCTGTGTACATTAGACACATAAAATATGAGGTGGAGTAATATTTGGGGTAGAAGGTCTTAATCTATATGTCACTAGCTTAATTATTTTCAAGATTTGATAAGGTCCAAAACACCTTAGGTTTAGCTTCTCATTTGCTTTCTTAGCAAACAATTTTATCATATGAGGCGCGAGTTTTATATAATCATGAGAACATCAAATTGAATATCCCTTCTATGTTTATCTACTTACGAGTTCATTTAGAATTGAGCCCACTAGAGATGCAGTTTGAGTAAGTCAAGAGTTTGATCTCTCTTGGTGAAGTTCATTCACTACATCCATAGGATAAGCGAACAATCATAATGAATAACTACTAGTCGATCTTGTCCATATACTACTTTAAATGGTGTCATATTTTTTGATTTGTTGTAGGAAGTGTTATAATTGAGATCAGTCTAGTGTAACAATGCTAATCACTATTTAGACCTGTCAACTACAAAATGACTTAAGTAATTCTCCAAGCACTTGCTATTGACTTCAATTTTATTGTCAAATTGAGGATGGTACAATGAATTCATCTTCAACTCAAACTCTTGGAGAGTGTATAACTCTTGCCAAATGTGTTAGTAAAAACACTATTATGATCATAGATTACAGAGTTTAGAATACCATATAATCTTATAATCTATTTGGCAAAAAAACATCTTTGGCCAAGAAAGAGTGCTTTAGAGCAAGGAAATGACTATACTTATTAAGCCAACAAATAACCATGAGAATAGAGTTATACCTTGTTGATTTGGGAAAATCTTTGATGAAGTCCACCAATAGATCCTCCTAAATTTAATTTGGAATAGACAATATTGTAACAGTCATGTCGAAGCTAGCAAGAATGATTTGTATTATTAGTAGATTGAGTAGTTATTCACATGTTGCTTAATATTTGTCTTCATTCTCAGCTAGTAAAAATGTTGATTTATTATTTTATAAGTCTTGGGACAACTCAAGTGTCCTCCTAATACATTGTCATGAAATTCTTCAAAAAGAACAAAATAAGTGATTAAATTAGGGGTAATACCAATTTATCATTGTAAAAGAGGGATCATTGGAATATTAAATAATTCAGAATTGATCATGAGCTATTGAGGTGGCCTATTTGATAGCATTGTATCAAGCATCCCTTTCCATTTCTCGATTGATAGTGACAGTGTCAAAGAAATGAGAAGTCTTTAGTTGATGAAGAAAAAGTTTTGAGAGAGCATCTATATCCTTTTTTTTTTCCTTACATTTACTTTCGAAGTTGAAGCCCATTAACTTTGTCAACCACTTGTGATAGTCATATGAACTTTCCTCTAATCAATAACTTATTGATACATACCCCACATATGTAATATTATTGCTATGACAATTAGTTCTCTCTCGTACACTGATTTTGATCTTGATTTCACCAGTAACACATGTTTGAATCAAGCAATAGGTCGACCATCTTGCATGAGCACCACCTCAACTCTTACCTTGAAATTGTATGTCTCAACAATTAAGGGTTGAGAGAAATTTGGTAAAACTAACATAGTTACTGAGGATATAATCTTCTTGAACTCCTTGAATGCTTGTTGTGCTAGGTTAAACCAATTAAAAGCATCTCTTTTCAAGAGTTGAGCAAATGAGGAAGTGATTGATACATAATTGTGCCACAAATGTTCGATAATATTTGAGCAGCCCCAAGAACCCTCTTAACTCAAGGGTTTTTTTAGGAGTAGGCCAATTGACAATGGTCGGGAATTATATTTTTAACTCCCATAAGTGGAAGTATTGTCATCCTTTTTTCATATATATCTAAAAGTACCTTGATTTTAAATCAAGTTTCAAGAATAAGGACATATTATGAAGCTCATTTAATAATTTGTTAACCACTATGATTAGAAATCAATTGGGCATCATCCTTTTGTTTAAGACTCTATAATCAATATAAAATCATCAACTTTCATCTTTTTTCTTGATTGATAAAATTGGGGTTGCATTGAGATTGTTGGAGTAACAAACTATTTGTACTAAAAATAATTTTTCAATGTCTTTTGATCTCATTTGTTTGGGAGTGAGAGTACCTATAGGTTTTGAAGTTGATTAGTTGAATGCCAAGAATGTGGTTGATCAAGTGAGAGTGATTGATCATGCATGGGGGAACTCATAACTCAACGCAAACACCTCAAATAATTTATGCATTAGCTTGTCTTCTAGATTTGATTGAGCCAAATTTGAGAGGTTATGATCCTCGTGGATTGAAACTTAATGTAATTCAACCATATAGGCTTGACTCTTCCTTATCTCTCACTTTGTTGCTTTTAAAGACATCTTACCTTGTTGAGACTAGGGTCATCCTTCAAAATATTTGCAATCATCCTTGTGCATAAACTTTATGAGGAGGTAGTCATAATGTGAATGAATCCAACTCAATGTCTTTAACCATTGAATATTGAAGGTTATATCAATGTTGCTTAGGTCAAGCAGTATGAAATCTTTTTTTTTCGTAAAGTTTTGAATTTTTATTAGTATGTTATGACAAATTTTGGTCCCACTTACAATGTGCCCATTGCCTACAATGATTATATAGATATGTAATTCACTAATCTGTAATGATAATCTTTTTAATAGTTTCATTATATAAGAAATTATGAGTAGCACCACTATTTATGAGAATGGTGATAATCTCATTGTGTAAAGTATCCCTATGATAGAGTTTAAAAATATTTGAGTTGTAGGTTGACTAATCTCTATCTTGTCTTTCTTCTCAATCATTTTCATCTTCTTCCACAATAAGGATGTTATGCTCCCTCTTGCATCTATTACCTAGAGCAAAAATCTTTCATCGCAATAGAAATATAGTTATTTATCCTTCCTTAGAATTCTTCTATTAGCTTCAACTATCTACAATTCTCCTAGTTAGAAGTAGAAGATAATTTATAGTCTTTGGATATACCTTCTCAATTCAAGCAAGGAGCTTGGTACTCAAGTTGTCTTCCCCAATTCATAAGTCTACACCTCTTTTTAAAGGGACTAAAGTAATTTGGTACCAAGGTAGATATGCCATTTGGTTAGGCTTATAGGATCTTCGTGGATCCTCCTTCCAAGCCTATTAGACTGTGTAGATGGATCTCAACTTGGACCAATGTGTCCATGATCTCCCTAAGGCCAATTGACTTGTACATCTAATTGTATTTTTGATTTCAGTCCTTTCATGTACGTCTTCTCAAGGACTTCAGAAGGTCTGCATAGGAGATATGTTATCAATTGATTGAATTCAGCTCTAAATTCAAGGACTGATCTCTCTTGCTTGAGGTTATGAAGAGGTTGATATGTTTCAATCAATGTTTCAATTGGATCTTGAAATCTTGCCAATCATGGAAAAGAAATATATCTTCCATCCATAGGTGACAGTCTAGTACATGCCACTCAACACTAATCAAGAGTGTCGAGATGTTCTTTTTCAGGTAATGGATTCAAGCAGAAGTACCTTTCTACGCATCAAATCCAACCTTCTAGATTTTCTGTTGAAAATAAGGATTTCAGCTCTCATTTCATCATGATGGAATTCCATGTGAAAATGTTGATTTCATGGTAATTGTTATGGATCTTAGACATACATTGTTTCACCTTTAGTCTATGAAGGAGAGCTTGGCATGAGTGTTGCCATCCATGTCAAGATCTACTCCACCATCTCACTTTGCTACCTTACTGAGTGCTTCAACATCATTCTCAACTAATGACATGTGAGCTAGGCTGAGCCCTTTGACCGTTTAAATGCTGTCAAAACACGAGTTTCATGTAGAAAATAATAGGATTCCTTTTTAAGGGAATGGGAAACATTAGGGGAGGAAGGTTTGAGTCATGGAGACAGCATCAGTTCTACTTCAAGTAGACAGAGGATCTCCAAGAACCTCTAAGACCAAGTGTCTTTTTTCCCTAACCTCTATACAACCAAGTCCCCTTATTTTTATAACCCTCAGCCCTCCCATTCACACGTGGATGTTAACTTTCATGTACTACAATTAGACCTATAGAAGCTAGTAGCTTCTTCCTTGAATATGTATTGATGGGAGGCTTATTGCTTTATTCAGCGATTAAAGTGGAAAAAAATGTCAATAATTGATGGGTTTTTCTCAACGGTTAGTGGTGAAGAGTCCGATTTTAAAATAAATAGGAGATAAATTGTAATATTATCTCACAAATATTCACACAGCAAGATGATGACATACCCTGGTGCAACAGATATAGAAGGTTTTCTCTTCCTTCAAAGCTATTTGAACAAATAAAGCGAGAACGAAGGCAAGGGGGAGATTTTAGAGGAATTTCGCAGCCCACATTGAGTTAAAGATAATGTTTATAAAAAGGAGGTCCTTTCCCTGGATGACTTCCTGGTTATTCCCCCCAATGGGGCCCACTCATCTTTCTAATTTGCTAAGAAGAGCTTCCATCGGAGGCACCTCCTTCACTATCTGCTGCCAATCGGGCATTCCCTGCAGGGAATAGGAGGATAGAAAAGTCAACGCGGGATCTACCATAAAAGAATGCAGGAATAGTGACACTGAGAATAAATATACCAGCTCATATGTTAATCTGAAAGCGGTGATTCACACGATTCAATGTGAGAAGACTGAAAGATCATCTGAAAGTGGTGATTTTGATTTTCATTACCTTCCCAGATCTTCTAACACGTCCGTCAAGACGCAGCACTATGTATACATCCTCTCCGGGTTCGAGACCCGGTTGCTCAGAGATCCACCTGGAGGATCATCAGAGAGCGACAGATGAAACTCAGATGGAGGAGACACGAGATGCTCAGTTCCACAGTCAACACTTTACCAGATGTAACACTCGGTTCTGGTTTCATTTCAAAAGGGAACGGCCGGAAATATTAAGTGTAAACAGAAATGGTAAAATTTAAACCAAATACAAATGTAGATCCACAGAAGACACTGTAGATGTCTCTCAACTAAAGACCTAGAAGATAGATAAGAACCCTAAGCCACAAACGGAATCAAACCTGACAGAACAGCCTGATACTGTGGAATGATTTAGTAAGAGGTGAGCCATGAGGAATTCTAGAGGGTTTACATCCTACGAAGGGGGTGAATCCCCTTCAGACTCTTGTTCGACAGGAAGAATCTTTCCTCCAAATATTGCTCTTTCTTTCTCAAAGGTTAACAGTTAGTTAACACACCAGCTAAAGACAAAGCCTACCTCGGAAATAAACATAAGCTGGAAACTGAGACCGAGGTGTGCTCTTACTGTGTCAAGGTAATCTTAAATGGCATTCTTCAGAACGACATGAAGGGGGAGAGAATATTCAGCCCATCTCTTCAATCTCAAGACTCAGTAAGAGGGCACGAAAAACGGTTTCTATCACGTAGGACGAAATGGCGGCACAGGCAAAGATCAAGGTTGAGGCTGATGATGCATTAGATCGAGATTCAAACAGGGATAATTTTTTCATGACCCTGAACAATAAATTCCTAGTCCGTGAACCTGTACCCACCCGTCTTGACACAGGTTAAAGTTGAAGCAAACCGGGGGGGGGGAGGGTATAAAGCAATTCGGGAAATAAAGAGATCAACAAATCTGACTGCATTTACTCATTGAATAGATGAGCATCAAACGTTTTTTTGAAGTTAGAAAACAAACAAATTTGAAATGGATGACAAATTTGAAATGAATTGGCACATGGATACTCAAAATGAGACAAAATATACATAAACAAATGGAACGGCCGACGAAAAAATCGGAATAAAGCATCAATAATAAAGAAAGAACGTGACCTTTCCCACTCATTGGGTGATACGATCTCAGCTCTAAATCGCACCTCAGCCTTCAAACGAGATTTTGCAGTAATAGATTGAGCTCTTTTATCAAAGTCATCCTAAAATGATGCCATCAGAGTGTCAAAATTTATTTTGAAAGATCAACCAAATTTTTCCTACGGAAAAAACTAAAGATACAATAAAGGAGTAGCATCGGATTAGACATTTCATACAGAACGATTTTTGACAACCATAAAATCATATAAAAAAAAGGTGGCACTCAGTAGGACATCAAAAGGATGCCATTTGCAAGTGCAAGAGAACTTATGGGCATGCCTGTCATGAATGCTCTTTAGAAGACAGTTACAAGATGAAGTTCAAGATGAGGAAGTGCAATCATTGATTCGAATGGCTCGAACTTATATGTGCTAGGAAATGAGGCATGGTCGTCGATGCTCCCCCTCCTCGGTTGGACATCGTTTTATTGGAGTAAATATGCTGCTTGCATCAAGTAAAAGCTCTTATCTGTGATGAACTTATTTAAAATTGAAATTATTTTTTCAGATTTTCCGCTCATACAAGAGTGTGGACATTGAACTTTCTTCTCCACATTTTTGGATTTTGAATATTTTTTCCATACTCTAGACAAAGACAGCAAACAAACTATTTATATGATGATGTTTAGTCTGGAAGGCTTGTATACAGCGAAATTCGCCCAAGGAATAATACTCAACTTTCTTATAACATAAAACTAAGGTAAAGTCTGCATTTGATGTTTGCAAAGTTGCATTGAAAAATAAGACTAGGGCAGCATATGCTCTGTATCAAGTTATTAAAGCCATAATTTAGCCCAAAACTCTGAAAGACTGACTTATTGAATCTCATAACCAAAAAATAAGAAAATACTGAGAAGCTGGCTTACCCCAATGGAAGGAAGCGATGTTGCTGCTTTTGTGGGAACGCCAAAGCCTTTACTCTCAATGGAAGTCCTTTGCCCTTCACCCAAGACAACAGGGACTAGGAGAATACCTCGTAGAAGCAGCTCAGTCCGAAACCTCTCTGCCTTCTCAATCGCATTTGACACCACCTCCTTTTTTCCTGCGAGAATAACCTGAAGTTATTGATTAGAAAATCCTATCAAAAGTGAGAGTACAATAATAACTAATAAATTTAAATTATTGTAAATAGTTACATGCAAGTCTGCCGACCATCAAGTACCTCCAGCTAGTAAAAACTAATGATCAGCTTAATCTATGTATGAAATAAAATATTTGATACTAACTGGCCTCGCAGTGTCCCGAAGTTGCACGAGTTCAACAATTCTATTTGTTGAAAGGCGCAAAGGCAATCTTGAAAGTGTTTCATCCCGTGTTATCTGTGCAAGCTGCTCCTCTTCCTTCTTGTTATCCCAGATAAACAATGCCACAAGAACAGCAATACCTGTGAAGAGCTGATTTAAAATTTTAATCAATGTATAAATAAAATGATAAGACCCAACTTGTGATACTTGTTCAAATAAGAAATTTATAGGAGCTAAAAGAAGTAATCGTAATACTAATAGATTCCCATGCTTATCAAAACCTGTTTTCTCAATTCACTGTCACATCACATCTGTGGTACTCTCCTAAGAAAAGGCTGACATCAAGAGGATGCATTCTAATCACTCCCATAGTTGACCGATAAAGATAATAAAGAACATCCAACTAAGAGAAATGAGGACAAAGCAGGTTACTTCACAGTTTCAAAAAGGTGGTAGATGAATTTATTCATAAAATTTAAAATAATCACTCGCTAGTAAGGACTAGTAAAATCTTAACAATCTGTACGTGAAGATATGTGCCTCATTCCAAGCAGTTTATTTCCATGTTGAAAGAAAGAGATGCAAGGTACAAAGAAGACGAAATTTACATGTACTACAATGTGTTTGCTTCTACCTTTGGGCATGAACATTAATCTAAACTCCACAAGTGAACATATACATTTTTCTGAATCATGTGGAAGTGCTTAAAGGAGAAAATTTTAATATGCCAAAGATAAAGGAATAAAGTCTCCTACTAAGCTTCAGTGATGCATCCACCCAATTACATCTGGTATTTTTCTGAGGAAAAATATTTACCTCCAATGTTGACAGCAGCATTTCCAGCAGTCTCCAACAAGTCAGGAGCACCATCTCCACCATTAATCGCATGTAAAAGTCTAGGCACAGTAAAAAAGGTGGCAATTCCAGCTGCTGCAGTAAATGCCACATAGAAGAATCTTCTGATACCACGAAACGGTGCTTGGACCTCACTAATGAGCTTCAAGTCTCTCCTAAAACCATATCCTATATCCTCGCCACCACGTCTTGCCTGTGAAGATTTTGAACATCGCTATTAGAAAGATATTGAACTAGAAGATGATGATTTTGTAAGTCAGTTACTGAATCAAATGAAGGATATTCCAGTCAAAAACGTGATAATAACTACATAACAGAGAAACTTAAGAATCCAAAAAAACTGATAGTATGACAATGGAAGCTTGCTAACAGAGAAATCAATTACCTCTTCTTGCAATTCTTTGAACTCTGGTAAGGTTCTGAAGGAGGCCAGGTCAGGATCATTAAGGATTGTGCTGAACTTGAGATTGTAGTCTCGGAGAGCCACCCTCAGACACTCTGCCGCTTTCCTGCCTTCCCCCCTGAATTCATAAAATAAAAGACTAGATCAAAACCCAAATCATCTAATAAAATCAACAAGCTACCCCATATACTTACTGTGAACACTACCTGTAAGCATGACAGCAAGCCTTGTTATACAAAGCTGCTTGAGCTTCCACAGGATTTGGATCCAGTTCAAGTGCATTTTCAAATTGAGCAAGTGCTTCCTTTACCTAGAATATTTACGAGGACCATTATCAACGTACAAGATTATTTTTGTTACTATCATGGTATAGGAATGCCGAATAGTCAAGGATTACATGAGTTAAAAAATCAACAAAAATGACCTACCCATATTACTGATAAGGCTCCACGCACATATGTTAGAAGGAAGAAGGCTCAAAGCCCAATAAGTCAATAACGGTTAGCATGATTGAGCAACCCTCCATCTGTTCTGGATTCTTTTACTGTACTTTATCTTTGGTATTTCTGTTCTAAAGATTCTTTCTTTCATCTAATACGAATTATTCGTAATTCTTTGATCTGGGTTCTTATCAACTGGTATCAAAGCCAAATTGGGCTATTCCTGTATGGTTAAAGGGCTTACTATTGCGAGGATGGAATCTCTGGAAGCTGATCTCGAAGCTCTTAAGGAAGACAATAGGGGTACAAAAGAAATGTTACAACAACTCACCCAACAACTAGCAGCTTTGATGACACGCTTACCACATGAATCTCCACCAGAGTAGTTTCACAGACAATCAGAACCACACCACTTCAAAATCCGGAGCAAAGGGAGGGCATTTACAAGCCCAACCATTGGACTGAGCTTCCAAATTTCATTGGTGATAATCCAGATGGATGATTACAACGGGCTGAGAGGTATTTCCGTATTAACCAAACACCAGAACACAATCGTTTAAAAGCAATAATGTTGAGCATCGAGGGTGATGCCCTGGATTGGTATATGTGGATGGAAGATCGCTTTCCATTCCGTGACCGGTATGATTTTAAAATCCAACTTAGTGGTCGATTTGGTTCATCAGCAGCTAACAACACATATCAAAAACTTTTGAACCTGAAACAAGAGAGTTCCATATTAGAATATAGGGCAGAGTTTGAACGACTCTCAACCTATCTTCTGAACATACCAACAGAAATACTGGAGCATACATATTTGAAAGGACTCAAGCTTGAGATCCAATCAAAATTATCTATGTCCAAGCCTATTGGGTTACGTGAAATTATGGATACTTCAGTACAGGCCGAAGCTCATATTCGTACTCTATGGCAAGCATGGAAGCAAGAACAACCACGACCACCCAAACATGTCATTGCTGCTTGTACTCCAGACCAACAAAGACTTCCTCTGATATCTAATTTCAGAAATGAGCAATCTAATTTGGAGAAAACCTAAGTGACCACAGCTAGTGCCTCAAATAAAGATGGGACGTCCACATATACTCCACGAAATATGAGCAATAACTGGGGAAATAGAAGACAGATACAATTGACAGAAGTTGAACTACAAGAAAGATGCAACAAAGGATAATGTTTCTATTGTAATGACAGGTTTGGACCAAGCCATAGATGCAGGCAAGACCTTAATATACTCATTGTCTAAGAGGAGGAGAAGTCCCAAGAAGACTTCAAAGAGGAAGATTGGGCTCTATTGAAGCATTGCTCACAAGAGGAAGGTACTCTATTCACAGCCCATGTCTCATTAAACTCTGTCATGGGATTGACTCAACACAAGACTATGAAGGTAAAAGGCATCATGCATAAATCAATAGGTAACCGTTCTTATAGACACTGGTGCTACCCACAATTTCATATGCAATAAGTTGCAAGAAGAGCTATCTTTACCTGTCGGTGAATTCCACAGCTATGGTACTGTAATGGGCAATGGGCATACCATGTAAGGTCATGGGATATGCCATAACATTCCACTCAAAATCCAAGATCTCCTCATTATTCAAGATTTCCTTCCCTTGAATTTGAGTAGCATAGATATCATACTAGGAATGCAGTGGCTTAAAACACTGGGGTGGATACATTCACACTATGGGCAATTAATCATGAAATCTATGCTCAACAACACAATCTAGACCATTAGTGGGGATGCAAGTTTAAACAAAACAGCAATATCTTTCAAAGCAGTAAAACGTGAATTAAAAAGAAGCCAAATATGTGTAGTAGAATTACACCAATTGTCTAGCACCGCACTAAATTTTAGCTCCTCATTAGATAATAGTCAAACTGCAGAAACAGTTACCACAAGTCTTTGAAACCTTGTCAGGGCTTCCTCCAGAAAGAATAGTTGATCATGCCATCAATTTATTACCAGGTATTCAGCCTATTAATCTACGACCCTACAGGTACACACAATTTCAGAAGGATGAAATAGAACGACTTGTCCATAAGCTATGTACTGCAGGCATCATTCAACCCTCTAAAAGTTTATTTGCTAGCCCCTGACTAGTAAAAAAAAAAGGATGGCAGTTGGCAATTCTATATTGATTACATGGCCTTAAATAAATCCACGGTTCCAAACAGGTTCCATATTCCTATTGTCAATGAGTTACTGGAAGAGCTGCATGGAATGTCGATTTTTTCTAAACTAGATTTGAAGTCTGGTTACTATCAAATCCGTATGAAACAAGAAGACATTCAGAAAACTGCTTTCAAGACCCATGAGGTTCACTACGGATTCAAGGTTATGCCATTTGGGCTCTCTAATGCCCTAGTCACATTTCAATACTTAATGAATGATATATTCAGATCTTATCTACAGAAATTCGTATTGATATTTTTGGATGATATCATGGTATATAGCAAGACTCGTAAAGAACATGATGAACATTTGGATAATGTCTTCCTTATTCTTGCAGCTAATAGCCTTTATGTCAATGAAAAAAAATATCAATTCAAACAATCTCAATTAGAATACCTCGGCGAATGGATTTCTGTAGAGGGAGTATCTACAGATCAAGGAAAAATTTCAACAATATGGGACTGAACTACTCTTAAGAATTTGAAAGCATTATGAAGATTCTTAGGACTGACTAACTATTATCACCGGTTTGTCAAATGTTATACCACTTTATCATGGCCCCTGACTAAATTGCTCAAGAAAAATTCTTTTCATTGGGACTCTGATGCTCAAGAAGCTTTCCATAAGCTGAAAGTGGCAATGACTTTCACACCAGTTTTGGCCCTACCTAATTTCTCTCAGAAATTCATAGTTGAAACAGATGCTTCAAGGCATGACATAGGTGCAATATTGATGCAAGAAGGACGACCAGTAGCTTATTTCAGTCATGCTTTCAAGGCACACTCTTGTCTAAAGTCAACCTATGAAAGAGAACTCATTGCCATTGTGATGGCAGTCAAGAAATGGAAGCATTATCTCATGCTCCATCCTTTCATCATTCAGACAGACCAATATAGTTTGAAATTCTTGTTCGACCAAAAGGACATTCACTCAGAATATCACAAATGGATCACTAAACTAATGGGATTTAATTTTCAAATACAATATAAGGAACACAAAAAAAATTCAGTTGCAAATGCACTATCTAGAGCACCACAATTAGGCAAAGCAGTGGTAGCACCCATGTGCATTACACAAGGAGTGGATGTAACCACAATCAACAAAGAATTGGACGATGACTCACAACTATCCAAAATCAAAATCACACCCATAGAAGGCTCAACTTCTTTTTCACATTACTCAATTCAACAAAGGTTACTTCTCTACAAAGGCCGACTATTGTTACCTCTTACATCCACTCTTCTCTCTACATTACTACGTGAATTTCATGATAACCCCATTGGGAGGTCATGCTGAATTTTTAAAAACATACCAACGAATTGCTCAGCACGTCTATTGACCTGCCATGAAGAAAATGATTAAACAGTATATTAATGAATGCACTATTTGTCAATTGAATAAGGTTTCGACCTTGTCACTAATAGGACTTTTGCAGCCCCTGCCTATTTCGAATATGATCTAGGAAGACCTCTCCATGGATTTTATAGAAGGTCTACTTAAATCCAAAGGCTATGACTCCATTCTCATCATAGTAGACAGACTCAGCAAATTTGGCCACTATATACCCCTCAAACATTCCTTCACAGCCAAAGACATTGCCCAGATCTATACAAAGAAAATCGTCAAGCTGCATGGCATTCCAAAATCTATTGTGACTGACAGAGGGACTATATTTACCAACACTTTTTGGAAAGCACTCAACAAACTTCAAGGCATAGAATTGAAAATGAGTTCTTCCTATCACCCACAAACAGATGGGCAAACTGAGGTGGTGAACCAAAGCTTAGAGAATTATCTCCGCTGCTTTACTTATGATAAACCTAAGTTATGGGGTAATTGGTTACATTGGGCTGAACTTAGTTATAACACTTCTCATCATTTTGCCATCAAGATGACCCCTTTTAAAGCAGTGTATGTACAAGACCCTCCCATACTTACATGTTATGGATCTCCTACGTCACCAATTAATATAGTCGACACGTATCTAAAAGAAAGGGATGATACACTTCAACTTCTCAAGGAACATCTATTGGCCGCACAGTTCAAGATGAAAGCACAAGCCAACAAACATCAACAAGACATAGAGTTTCAAGTGGGCGATTTGGTTTATATCAGGCTCCGACATTATTGTACGAAATCATTGGCCAAGAAAGCTAATGAAAAATTGAGTCCTAGATTTTTTGGACCTTACCCTATATAGGAGCACATTGGCAAGGTGGCATACAAATTAGAACTTCCCAACTCCATAACTATTCACCCAATTTTCACATTTCTCAACTTCACAAAGCACTAGAGAATTCTACTTATTGTCAACCAATTTCGGGCATATTGACTGACACTTTGGTATGAAATGTGTATCCTCGCCATTCGGAATTTCTCTTTTGACACAGAAGTCTTGGTCAAATGGGCTGATCTCCTTGATTTTGAAGCTATGTGGGAACTAGTTTCATCCCTCCACCAGCAATTTTCAAACTTCCATCTTGAGGACAAAGTGAAGCTCATGAGGGGAAGTATTGATAAGGCTCCACGCACATATGTTAGAAGGAAGAAGGCACAAAGCTCAATAAGTCAATAACAGTTAGCATGATTAAGGGAAGGCACAGTTATGGCAATGAACAATATGACAAGGAACAGTTATGGCAAAGAGTGGTTATGGCAAGAACAGTTATGGCAGGAGACTAACTACCTAAATAAGAGAGGGAAAGGAGAGGATATAAGGATGGATAGATCAGGAAGGAGGGGGGGGGGGAAATGAGAGTTAGTATCTCATGCATCTATGAGAAAGGGTTGGAGGGTTGTATGCAACCCTCCATCAGTTATGGGTTCTAAGGTTGTATGCGACCCTCCATCTGTTCTAGGTTCTTTTATTGTACTTTATCTTTGGTATTTCTGTTCTAGAGATTATTTCTTTCATCTAATACGAATTATTCGTAGTTCTTTGATCGGTGTTCTTATCAATTACACACCTGCACCTCATGCAATATTGAATGACCTTATTGATTTTAATTAGTCGAGCAGCAATAAGGTCAAATAATTTAATATTGAATTCCCATCATTATCAGGTGACATCACCAAATCTGGCGACAGGGAAGCCAAATCATTGTCTCCATCAGAATTATTGACAGAAATGAGCAACGTTAAGCCCAAGAGCTAGAAATATACGATCATAATTGTATGCAAGCAAACATTACATATAATTTGTAGAAAATCACACAGGTAAAAAAATGATCATTAATCCCAGATCAAAAACAAGAAACAAGGTAAATGATTCAAGGATACAAAAAAAGCCTGGGAGCTTAATACAAAAAGAAATACCAGTTCCTACTCCATTCTCTTCGTCCCTATCAGTAGGCAGTGTCCCCAAAAAGCCGCCACATATTAGTCTACCCTCTTCCTTGGCTCAGGTTTGAATGCCATGCCATCCTCGAAGCTTATCCCATTTCTAGATGGGTTCATGCTTGAGATCCGAAAACATGTATTTTTTTCTAGAGGTACCTAACTCAGTTAGGTGCATAAAAATTCATCTAGCCTGGTTGAAAAAATTTGAATTACGATTACCTAAATGTGTTCAGAGTAGGCAAAGCTGTGAAAATATCTGAACTATGATATAGGGATTTTGTTGGCGCAGTTTTGGGCCCATCCAATTCTCAAAACTAAGATTCCAATAGAAACATGAGGTATAAAGACGATCACTGTTAATTGAATTTTCCACAGGCATAATCAGACACTTCACTCTGATCATTTTTGGGGTTCTGGAAGCAGTCCCACCTTTTCCTCTTCCTAAGATTCCAAAGTGCGCTAGGCAGTTTTCCTTGCTTAAGTCATATGCACGCGGATAAAATGATACGAGAAAAGAGATGATTAAATAAATTAAAGTAATAAGACATCCGAATTCTGCGATCAACACCTCAGGATAATATTGTCTTGAGGCACAAAGGCATCGAATAAAATGAATTAATATATCAGCAGGCCTTTGCGACATATTTCACGTTCTCTAAAAAAGGAGTTTGAATAAATAACAAATTTTTCAAAGGAATAAAAAGTCAGATAGAGGCAGTTAAAGGGAAATTTAACAATTTAACGATCCGTAAGTAACCAAACAGTAATTTCCCATATGAACGAGATACGAAACCCCTCATTAGAGGGTACTGATATCAATATTAAATTAAAAATCCCATTGGGGACTACCAGTATCCAATACAACCAGCGACGACAGGGTGATAATAACAACTGAGCGAGTGTGTAAAAGAAGGGAGATCAACCGGTCAGTCGACGTCTTGTGCCCCACCTACCCTTCCTTTGGAGAAGAGGGAGAGTCCAACGTTAACGCAGCTCTCGGCCGTTTCCGTCTTCGCTCCTGGGGAAGGGGGAGGCGATGATGAAGACGAGGAGGTCGCCAAGACTAGGAGCCGACTCTGGCGAGAGTTTAGAACGCTTCTTCTTGTAAACCACATTCGTCGCCTCGGACGGTGGAGCAGGTGCTGCTGGAGCGCAGCAGCGGCTGGCGCTGCCATGGACATCGTTCTCGACCTTCTTATCCGCCCCGGCGGAGGAGAGGCGCTCCCAACCCGCGCTTCCTAGTGACCCCATCTTTCTTCCCTCGAAGGTTCGTTATATCCATCGCCATCGCCCTCCAATACAAATGCCGATAACTATTTTTACTAAAACCTCTAATCTTACGAACATTCATAAAAAACCCTCATGCCAGGCCTGAAGGCCCACCACGTCTCTCATATTCAGGCCCATTAATTCTTCTTTTCGGGCCACAAACAGTTTGAACCATACGCCGTCATTCGTAATTCTTCTTTCCCCTCCTTTTCCTCCGTTCTTCTTCCCCTCTCTGGTAGCCTGGAAGCAGATGGGGAAAGAAACTCTGGGCTCCTTCATTGGATTGCTCAGACGGCCAAATTTCTTTCTCGTGGTTATCATCCTTGAATACTAAGAGCATACCGCGGCAGAAAAAATTACATCAAAGATAGTTCTTAAGTTAATTGTAGAAAACATATAATAAAAGGAGGGTTAACGACAGGGTACACACGACCCCCCAACAGAATGGTAATGAGCATGTTCAACAGGTAAGGAGCCTTTAAATATTTTGCGCAAAAATAGCAAATAATGTTGCTCATTTGTGCTCAATAGATAATCTGGAAATTATGTTCCATGTCAAACTATACATGAGCCCTATCACGATCGATGGTTATTTTGAAATATTGCAAAATATTTGGTTGCATAACATGTACTGATATTCCTTCAAAAAATAGGGAAAAGTAAAAGTTTCTTGAAAAATATAAATATATTTTTATCAGTTATATATATATATATAGAGAGAGAGAGAGAGAGAGAGGAGAGTTCAAGAGCTTTGATGATGTAACTTGAAGCCCACTACTGATGCAAGCTGAGGCCCACAATTGATGAGCCTGAAACCCGCTACTAATGAAGCTTAAAGCTTATTACTATTACAACTTGAAGCCCACTTTAAATTGAAGTTAGCCTAATTACAAAATTAGGCTCATATCTCTATTTTTATTATTTTTTTGAATTTCAACTCGAAGTTAAAATTTTCGTTTAAAATTTAAATTTCATCTGAAATTCAAAAAAAAAATGAAATTGAAATTTCATCCAAAAATTCAAATTTAATTTCTTATTTTAAATTTTATTTTGTAAATTCAATTTTTATTCAAAATTTGATTTCATTTGAAATTCAATTGTTGGTGTCAAATCAAGACTTTAGCCTATTTAAAGTCACCCCATGTAGGCCTAGAGACATTCTACCTTTTTATCAATACAATTTTATGTGTTTCTTCTCTTTCTAAGTTCTCTCTCTCTCTCTCTCTACTAGTGGACTCAAGCACCCCTTGTGGACTCATGAACCTTGTTTTTGATTCTATGGATTCAAAATCACCCACTTATGAACTTAAGGGATCAATCCTCTTCAAATTATGAATTTAGGATGAAATGACAATTATTAAAGCACAATTTTTCAAGAATTCAAGACATGACTTTGACCTTTACAACACTAAAGTTGATCACAACTTGTCTAAGCCATCCCCTTTTCAAGTTTCACTACGTCATTTGGGCTGGGCTACTGAATGAACCAATTTTGTCATATTTGCTTGTGAGCTACAGAAATCTGAGGATGTCATCTAAGAAAAAGCATGAGGTAAAGGGCATGGATGGAAAGTGACATTTTATTCAACAATAACTACACTTGAAAGCTAGTCAATCAGCTCAAAGAAATTATTCCTGCTAATAACAGCTCTCTCCTTACCCACAGATTTTGACCCACACTTCTTCTTTGAAGGCGTCTATAAAATTTTATTGCTCACAAGCAAGTAAACAGGGCAATATTGGTTGATCCATAAAGCTCACAAAATGAGCATACCTTTCTTCCAAATGTGGTGTATCAATCTCAAAGGTACAAAATAACCTTGGATTAGATGTAGATCCTATGATTTTATCCTTCTTTTACTATCTTTTTACTGGTAATGGAAGCCAATTTAAAACTACCAGGGAACCATTTTATTGAATACCATATTTCCAAAAAATTACCAATTCATATGAAATAGGAGGAAGAATCCTGAGCCCTTGGACTCTTCACCGTAGCCAATGAAAATATATTTGGCATCCTCAGACTCGTCAAATTCTACAAATGTGCCCCTCGATTCCTACTTCATCTGCTGCAGGAATGTCATCCTCAGTGTCGACCATAATAAGACCAACAAAGTGGACCGCCACCAAGAAGCTCCTTGAAGCCTGAGATTACCTTCTACCAATGTACACCATTCACTCTGTCTGACACCACCATATCAGGCCTGTATATTGGACGAGGCAGCTAGATCAATCAGTACAATGTACCAAGGTACATTGCAGCTCGCGCTGCTGAACTCTAAGAGAGTTTCCTCCACTGTTAGTCCTGGAGAGGGCACCTGGAGTCCTTGAATGGGTCAACCTGGCAAGAAATTATTCCCTGTCCCTCCACCAATAGTCCGGTTCATAGCCTGAGTTTTTTCTGCCTGTTGCCATCAAAGGAAGGGCCCTTCCCATTTTTCATTTAATGGAAAGATACACGTATCTCTTGTGTTCCTAGCCCTAACATACTAAATTTGAAGCAGATAACTAATTCATATGATTGATCATGTCATTTTCTGATAGGTGATTGGACCATAATTTTTCCACTCATCTTGTCCCTATAATTAAACAAGCAGAACCCAACTAGCCTCATTAGAGGTTACATAGATTTCTAACATAAAGCCACATTCTAAGAGAAAAGATATACAGCTCGATAAGACTTACAACGTGTAAGTAATCTCTCGCAGATTTTACACCCTCCAACCACAGACCAGTAAACCCTGCATTCCTTAATGTTGGGATTGACCAATAGCATCCACAGGAAGTTTTTAGAACGAATCATTTACATAAACCATGGAGGTATCCAACAGGAGCTCAGATAAAGTGAAAAAATTATCTTTAAATTAAACGCATACAGTTAGCACCAGTTGGATACACCGGGAGACAGAGAACGATCACAGTTGGAGAAAGATTCACGAGTGACTTTTACGTTCGAATCATTTAAAACTAAAGTCATCCTAGGAAGAAACAAGATGTAAAAGATAACTAAAGCAGCTGGAAGGGAAACGAGCTTTCTTTTTGTCAGAGTCAATCTTCCTCCCTACCTAATGTACTTAAAATCTAACCACTGATCAATAATCATAAAGTAAATAATTAAGGCAAAAATTTACAAGGGTACCACAATTAGAACCAAGACAAAAGATTAACAAAAACAGAAACGGAAACAATGGTTCCCACGGAAGGTTGGCATCTCAGAAAGGACATGAGACATAGGTAGCTATAGCTTTGGAAACATTAGTAGCAATTATCAAAAAAAAATATATGCACATACGGTGAAAGCATGCTCACAGAAGAAAGAAAATGTAAGGGAATCTTCATCATCGAACCACCATTTATGAGAAGCAATTCACTTCAACCAAAATCTGAACAAGATTTACATTTTTCAGACACTAGTCACGGACTAGAGTTTGTTAAATATCTGGCATGTAGCTTTCTACTGAAATGAAGATGTTCTGAAAGAATCAACTATAGCCTGCTCAGCATCTCCTCCTCTCTAATCTCCAATCCTCGCACAAGCTCCACTTCAATGCTCATAGCCCTCCGATTCTAAGTGTCTAGCCATCTGGTCTATGACGTCAAACATATCTCTCCATCTGGGATGTGACCAATCATTTACAGTGAACTCATTGACAACACTGTCCACCTCAATGGAGCTGCACCCTGGGATTTTCCCAGCTCCCATTCCCTTTACCATCTTCCTCATTTTCGTGACTCCATCCCACTCATTTCTTGAAGCGAAGATGTTTGACAGAAGCACATAGCATCCCACATCACTTGGAAATAATCTAGATATGTGTCTCACAACAAGCTCAGCAGTACTCAGATCACCGTGTAACTTGCATGCATTGAGAAAAGCCCCCAAAATTATCATATTTGGCTCCATTGGCATACTCAATATGAGATCTCTTGCCTCACTTATGAGTCCCGCCCGACTGAGCAGATCAACCATGCAACCATAGTGCTCAATCTTTGGCGAAATCTTGAAAGTGCTACACATGCGATGGAACTGCCTGCGGCCTTCTTCCACAGCTCCAATGTGGCTACATGCGGATAAAACTCCCACAAAACTGATGTCAGTGGGCTCAATGTTTGTCGATTCCATCTCCTTAAAGAGAGCCAGAGCATGATCTCCACAGCCATGCATGGCGAGTCCACACAGCATCACATTCCAAGAGGAAATATTCTTGTGCTTCATTCGATTGAAGACCTGCAATGCCAAGCCGATGGACCCACATTTTCCATACATGTCAACAAGAGAAGTTCCCAACACAACATCAAATCCCAAATTGCTCTTGTCCACGTAAGCATGAATCCACTTGCCCATATCCAGAGCTCCAAGCTGTGAACAGGCTGCGAGCATTGTTGCCATCGTGACTGCGTCTGGTCTAATACCCGCTGCGAGCATTTCTTTAAGCAGCTTTAAAGCCTCCCGGGCCCTACCGCTCTGTACATAGCCGGCGGCCATCGAGCTCCAAGAGACCAAGTTCCTGTTCGGCATTTGGTCAAACACGGCCTTCGCAAGATCCATGAGACCCAGTTTAGAATACCCGTTCAGAGCTGCGTTCCAAGTGGTCGAATCTCTCTCCGGAATATCGTCGAACAGCTTCCTTGCCATTTCAATCTCCCCATTAGCGAAGGCCACCGAAATCATGGAATTCCATACTACGCAGTTATTCGTTAGACTCTCCATAAACAAGTGAGACGCGGTGTGGGCATCTCCACAGCAACCGTACAGACTGACAAGGGCACTGCGGAGGTACACGTCTGATTGTAGCCCGACCTTCATAACACTGCCGTGCACACAGCACCCCTTCCTCACGTCCCGAACGGCAGTGCAGGCCTTGAGGATTGATACGAATGTGAACTTGTACGGATGGACACCGAGGTTCGTCATCTGATCGTAGAATCGGAGCGCCTCAACGTGGTCCTTTGTGTTGATGAAACCCCTGATCATGGCGGTCCACATGTATACGTTATCGGGACGGCCGAGGTCATCGAAAATCCGGGTGGCGGTAGACATGTCCAGAGACACGGAGGCGCAGAACTCCAGCATCCGCGTGGCCACGAAGCGGTCGGCGCCCTCACCTCGCCGGATGATCGTGGCGTGAAGCTGCGCGAACTCCTCCGCGGATTCACAAGATTCTAGAAGGGAAAGAATCTTGATGTGATGACGGTGGAGGAAGGCGATTCTTAGCCCGGAGAGAGCGGATGAGAGTTTGCGGGAGAGGGACGACAAAGGAGCGATGAAGGTGGCAGACATGGCATTTCCATGGTCTCTCGTCAATTCTCCTCCATTCCTCTCCCCCACCTAACCGAGAAGAATTTTAAACCCCTCGCTGGGGAATGCTTCGGGAAAGAAGAGCTTCGGCTTGGGGCACCCACGTGTGACCCTATCGAGTTCTCCCACCCGTTGGATCGAAGTATGAAGTATAATCATGACCCTTCGATTTACTGGCTCGCTGGGTGGTAAGCATAAATGAAATATTCTCAAATGAAATTAAATTTGCAAAGAAGTGTCTAATTTAAGCAAGTATAGCAATATTCTATTTACTTCTCAGAATTCGATGGGATGATATTTCTACCGGTTTAATAAATAAAACCATATTAATGCAGGAAATAGTATTTTGGTGGATAAAAGTTAACATGTCATTCACAAGTTTCAATTATTACACAAAAAGTAAAACATAATATTGCAAACTAGGGTAACTTGGCCTCAAAATTTATCAGTCATACCTACAGTAACAAAAATATTGCATGCCTTAAATTCCATCAATATTATATTTATTTTTTAAAAAGTATAATATTAAAAATATTTGGTTAATATAAATTATTTTGTAGCAAAGTAAAACACAAATTGCCTAGATATTTAACATCATCATTTTTACTTTTAAAAATAAGTAAATATTTCTCTTCACTTATAAAAGTCCAACCCATACATGATAAAAAAGCAAACGAAGGCTAGAGGTCTTTAAATCCAACTTTCTCATTTTCCCTTGACAAGCTCGGCCAAGCTGAAGCTTCTTAATCTATGCATTAGGAAAAGTTTAGTAGGATCCACTAGTCAAACCATCAATATTTTATTTTTATTTTACCAATATTTAGTATAGCTGAATATAATGAAGTTTTTTAAAAATGGTCTTCTATGTGAGCTGGAGGCAGTTATTTGTGTATTATTTTATTACTTTCTCCTACGTAGATACATGAACAAAGGAAAATGGCACTGGCTCCGTGATTTATGCACCGAAAGAAGCATCATTAAATAATTTGGTTCACGAAATACAAGATCTGGCAATTTTTCAACAAAATAAATTACTATTGTTAACCAATTTTTACGTTCTTAGGTCAGCATTACTCAATATTCTGTTCGCCAAACATCAAATATGAAGGAATTTCCTACAAGATGCCGTATTTTAATCCACTACGACGGTAATTTTTCTTAATTATGTCTCGTAGTAGAGTTAACAACCGACCAAGCACAATCATTTATTTAGCGGGCGCAACCATGCAAGTACCCCCCCCGCTCACAGTTGTCGAAGAATCGACGAAGAGAGTCTCTATCTTCTCTCATGGAGAACTGAGGCAGCGTTGGGCGATCCTCCCGACGCCGCCGGCCGGAAGGAAGCCCCCCGTCCGGTGCTCGTCGCCGGTGCCGTACACAACGCTGAGAATCTCCACCGGAGAACGCGCATACGAGAGCGACTCGCCGTCGGCGGAGAGGACATTGCTGCTGGTCCTGCCCTCGGCGCCGAACTTCGGCGGCACGATGACGCCCTCGTCCTTGACGCCGCACTTGGCCAGCCGGTTCCTCAGCGCCGACACGCCGGCGGTGAACTCCGCCACCGTACGGTTGTAAGGGTGGACGACCTCGCCGGCGCGCCCGAAAAGCATTCTCCTGATGACTGCGTCCTGCCCCGCTTCCACCCCCAGAAGCCCGGCGAGCAGCTGCGATGGTTGCGCCCCCGCTTAGTCGAGTTCAGAGATCGGAAAACCAGAGGGAGGAGGAGATGGGTTCGGAAGGGTAGCTCTTACTCTCCTGGAAACGAAGCCGCTGATGATCGGGTTAGCCCCAACATAGCCGACGAGGCCCATGTAGGGGATCACGTAGGAGGCCAGGAGGTAGTTGATGGTGTTGGCGTAAGGATCGAATGGCGGCTCCAGAGGGTACCCCAGAGCCTGGTTAAAGATCTCGGCGAAGTTGTGTGGGCTCAGATCCAGCAGCGGCCGGGGTAAGCCGCCGACGGTGGACTTGATGGCCCTGGTAGTAAAGGCGAGAGAGGTGTCAGCGGAGTGTTAGGGTTAGGGTTGCAGGAGGAAGAAGACGACCCACCTCAAGTGACCCACTTCCTCGAACCCGAACTCGGTGATGATGGCCCGAGTGAGGCCGTCGAGATTGGCCCTGCGCGCCCCGATGGGGGGAGGCCCACCCATGACCAGCTCCGGTGCGATGGCATCGAGTCCTTGGCCCAGCGCCGAGTGCAGGAAGAAGTCCGCTTCCAGGTGCTCCAAGTTGAGAGCGAACTGGAGAAGGTCCACGTCGAGGGGAGCCACCGCAACCTGAGGCTCCGGCACGCACAGCGGGTTGCTGCGGCCGGTGGAGGTCGAGTAGCAGAGGAGGAAGAATATGGAGAGAACAGTGAATGGGAGGTTCTGCGGAAGAGTCCCCATCGTCGGAGGAGCCGGTCCGGACGGTGGGCAGCGGGGTCTCCGCTTTTATACCCTCGAGCGCTGCCGGATTTGGCAGGGCGGTGGGGAGGGGCGGAAGCCGGTGGGGCGTTCACCTTCTTTACACTGCCGCGTCGCTCGATTTCCCCGTCCTCCTAAGACTCTTCCTCCTCTCCCCTCCATTAAAGATCCCTCTAACGAGTGCTTGGGCCCGTTCGAGGTAGCCCCACACTTAACTGCACCAGCTTCCTAGAATTAGGCGATGCTTTTAGGTCAATTGTGCCGCCCTGGCCATGAACAGGCTGCGTGTCTCTGACCACAACACTGTGATCAAATGCGATGTGGTTGTTGGATGGAACTAGATTCTTCTCATCCCCCTCAAGACATTATGCCATTCCGGGTTAGACGCAAGCTCCTTGGTAGTAGAGTTGCGTTACGTAGGAGAGAATGGATTTTTTCTTCATTCCGATACGGGTCTACCACAGGCTCCGTATCCAGTAGTGACTCCATTGACCCTCAACCCCCGCCTAAGTTAGCCGAGACCTTCTCGAAGCAGGCCGGACCTCCCAGCGTACCCAAGCAGACTAAAGATGTTTTAGCCATCCCCGGGTGCATCTAAGCCTAACTCGTCTTAGTCATTCCCGTCCCTTTCTCTTAACTAAGTAATTAGTCAATTTCTGGAAAATTGCCATAATTGGACCAGGATAATTGCCATCAATTATAAGCTGCCTACTCTACCTGCTCGTTCGGGAGGCCACTCTAACTATTTGTTTTTACAGCTGCACCTCATCCATTGCCTGTCCAAAGTAGAAAATATGATTCCGAATAATTCATAAGATATCATACCATGAAGACTGTAAAGTACTTCTTACCATAGAGAATTAAGCAATTAACTTTGGTGCTTCAATCTGTCTTATTGTAAATTTGATTAGTGTGCTCAGTATTTATGCAAATAAGGCACTTAGCTTTGGTGCTTCTTACCATGGCTTTTTAAATCCTCGTACAAGAATCCACAGGAGGAGATGGAGGTAGACCACCAAATTAAGAAGAAGAGCGAAGAATCACACTCGTTCACACAAATATCCTAATCATGCAGATAATTAAATATCATAGAAAATGAGTTGATTCTAAAATATAACTCAAGATGTCACGTTATTGTTAGGTTTAAGAGTTTAAACTATTCTGATGATATGGGAGAGCGATTTAGCAAATTTTTACGGAGTAAAATTATGAGATTGTCGTCATCGACTTAAGGATTGAATCAATCACTGAGAAGTCATATGAGAGATATACAAAAGTAACAAGTTTCATATTAAGATTATTTTTCCTGATTTATCATAAATTTTGTATCATTTGAATTGACTAAAAATACATTGGTCATTGCCCTAATATAAGCTGAAGTAAAGGGGAATTCAATGCCTCAATAAGCGCATAAAAATTCGAAGGTCCTGATTCAATACGCTTTTTATAAGGTTTGGAAAAGAGTTTTTACTTTCAGGGCACAACCCATTAGAACTCAAAGGCGTGGCCCTCTTAGGCACAACCCGATCAAGCCCAAAGGCACGGTCGAGTAACATGCGACTGCTAAGTCCCAAAGGCCAGGCCTAGTGAAAAGTGAGCCGTTGAGGTTCAAGCTGCAGTACGGTCCAATTCTCATAAGGTCATTAGAAAAATGACCTTAACTGATTAAACCCAAGTATATTCGCCCAGATTATGGTAAGAAGTTGAACTAGAAATTAAGGCGGACAAAATACGAGACTTCCTCCTCCTTTGACTTCAAGATCCTTGTGTGGATAATCGAAAGTTAAGCATCTTCATCAATGAGATTTTCTAGCCGTTCAGTCTTCTTCCACAAAAAGCTTCAGCTCCAAAGGATGCCATTGACCCTCTACGCTGTCAACTACTCCTTCGAAGATTTCAACGGGCTTCGTCCTCAATGCCAAATATTCCTCTGTGAAAGCTTTTGCCAGTTCAACCTCAATGCCAAATATTCCTCTCCATCAAAATTAAATCGAGCATCATGAAGATGCTAGAAAACAAGTTGATTTACTGTGCCGTAATTGGTTGCTCATTGCCTGCTTGTAAATTATATTGAGTCACCTTTGGTGTATCTATAATGAGTTAAACACGGAGCTAGAACCATGATTACTATTGGGTTGATATAGACTTGTGGAGTCTATATTGTAAGGAGGTTGTTGATCCCAATTTAATTTGTTGCATTCTCGGGAAGAAAAGAGTGGAACCCAAGGAATGAGTCTTTAGAGAGTGAACTTAGGTCTAGCGTGACCGAGGTACTATAAAATTTCGTGTTTTTCATCGAGGAAATTAATTATATTCGATGGAATTAGAAAGAAAGAACTTATATCATCAAGGATCAATCTCAGTGATTATACAGTATCTGAATTCTTAATTACAAGTAGAAAAATAATTCAACCCAAGTTAACCGAACGAATAGATTCAAACCCCCCCTCCTTCATATTCCCCAACATAGTGACCTAGGTACCAACAACTATTAATACTATAATCTGAATAATGAATGATAATGGCTCAACAATGAAAACTTATTTGTAAAAAGGCTCTGAAAAATCTAGTTCCCATAGCAAAAAAAAAGTCCCCAGCAGATATATAGATATTTTCTAGGTAAACTTATGATACCCAGATCCTTTAAAGAGTAAAGATGATACTCACCTGATCATTAGAAGAATGCCAAAGAGCACATGTTTGGCTTTCCTGGTAGATTTTTCCTTAAACAGAACTTATGGAGATACAATCGGGCTTTGGCCTCCTCAAGCACAAGTTGCAATCCATTTTATTACAAAATAAGACATCAGTAATGAACAGGAACTTTTTGGATTCCTTTGAACATGAGACTGAAGAAAATTGGCTCTCGTTGTCAAGAAACAGTCGCTGTTCAAATCGAATATGTTTCATTGCGTCAGCTGACGTTTGGCACCCTCGAGAGTGTTCTTGAGTAGCATGGCAACAGTCATTGGTCCGACGCCACCTGGTACTGGGGTTAGCCATCCAGCCACCTTAAGTGCTTCTTGGAAATCTACATCGCCCACGAGTCTGTAGCCCGATTTCCTACTAGGGTCATCAACAGCATTCGTTCCCACATCAATAACAGCAGCACCAGGCTTGATCCAGTCTCCTTTGATCTTCATACAGAAAAACATAGAAAAAAAATTAAGTTTGGGATAATTGCAGCTTGTGAATGGAAAAGCTGACTCAAGACTACAGAAAACAGAAATAAGCTAAACTTGAGAGCTCTGACGTTTCTTAAAACTGCAATGCAATAATTGGCAATAAGTTAAATTTAGATGCTTTTTCATGAATCTGGGGATTCATGGAAGACGTGATTCTCTGCGAGAGTTAAAAAAGTAGCACGATGTCTGGTATCACGGTTGGGATTCAGGAAAGCTACCAGCATTCCATGCTTATGACTTCTAAGCAATGTCTACACCAATCAAAGGCTAGTTTTTGGGACACAAAGATTCTGCAGGACATAGATGTATTGTAGAGCATAACAGTTAATATTCCATAGCAAATGAGAAAATATCATTTTTTTTTTAATTTAGAAGAATAAAATAATCTCTGCACGTACATGGCGAACGAATTCATCCTTACGAAGGTCTTGCCAGTCAGAGGACTAGGCAGCATATTTCCTGATAAGACATTCAGCATTTTCATTATCAACTATTTCCTTTTTTGCCCTTCCATTCCATTGATATTGACAGGTTGGTATACATTTCCACTTTCCACATGCAACCATTATAATTTTCTTGATAACTGTCACACGGTGTCATCTATTAGTGGAGTAAATCTATTGACTTTCTTTTTACCTGAAGTAGACTCAGCAAGACCAAAAGTCACGTTCTTATCCCAGAGTAAATGAACATAAGCAACAGTGCTATCTCATCCATTTGGAACCACTAGAAAAGCTAGTTCATGACAGCACTTACCATCATCGCTTGTCCCGCTGCAGCAATAACAATGTCTGCTTCACGAATGATGGTCTCAGGATTAGTAGTTCGTGAGTGAACAACGGTCACAGTTGCATCTTCTTTCATAAGCAACAATGACACGGGTAATCCAACTATATTACTACGACCCACTACAGCAGCTTTCTTTCCCTTTATGGTTATCCCACTTCTTGACAGAAGTTCGAGACATCCCTATCGAGAAGAAAGTATTCCAAATAGACCAATCAGTATGGCTTTGAAGAAAATAAACATATGGGAATAAGAACAATTTAATGATGAGAGATATTTGTGGGAAGAAGACTATTGCAATATAGCTAACAGTTACGATACCTTGGGCGTGCAAGGAAGGAACAGCGGCTGCCTGCCTTTCATTGCAAGCTTGCCGATGTTCAGAGGGTGGAACCCATCAACATCTTTCTGAATGCTGATTTCACTGAGTACATTCTCTTCGTTGATATGCTTAGGTAAGGGGAGCTGAACCAATATTCCTGTCATTCAATGCATCCATTCATATTCAATCCGTTAGGTCTGTAGGCACTGACAATAAGGGAAAAACTAGACCAGACCCTGAAGTAAAGCTGTACAAGAACGAGGGCACAAGAGAAAAACACAGAATATGAAGCTGATTGAGTATGTCTAGGCTTTGGAAGATTTGAGGCCAACACTGAAGGAAACCTTCTTTTTCCTCTGCAACTAAGAATCTGATTACGCTCCCAGCTCTCTCACTTCGGGTAAAATATCATATGTTCACCTGCATTCTCCATAAATCAAACTCTGAGAAAACCCTATGTAGACTCTTGAACGACGTTTTTCATGAACAGCTTGAGTGTTGACTCTGGCGAGATTAAGTTTTAAAGTCCTTCTCGTGGAGTTTGATATACTATGGAAAGTTTTGAGGTCCATACCGGCCCTCTTTCATCCATTGTCCTGAGGCTCTTTTCTTCAATTAGATTCCTTCTTAAGTAGCCATTCTTTAGCTTTTTCCCCGAGTTTGCTGGGGACTGAATCCCTCCGTGGTTTGCTCTCAAGATTACCCTCTTTCATGGAGATGTGAGATATATGGAACCAGCCAGATTCGAATAAATATGAAAGCATGTGTTCGCGGAAAATTTTCTGCGTCCAGAAAGGAATTCAAATGAAGGATCGAGAAAAATGGAAAGTCCCGGACTCACCGTTAACACCAGGGTTGGAGTTGAGATCGTGGACCTTCTGGATGACGTCTGCCTCGGAAACATCTTCGGGGAGATCGACGTCGAAGGAATGGATTCCCACCTCGGCGCACGCCTTCCTCTTCGTCGCTACATAGCTCTGCGAGTCCCTCCTGCTCCCGACGATCACCACCGCCAGCCCCGGGGCCTGCCATACCCACCCCGTCGAGTGAGCAGGAAGCGCCGTCGACAATCAGCGCGCCCAATCGAAATCATCATCTGGCAATCTCCGGATCGCCAACCAGAAACCAAACGGATCGGGATCTCGCTTTTACCTTGCCGTATGTCTCGGAAAGGGAACGGACTTCGGCGGCGATCTCTTTCCTGATGGTCTGGGCGATGGCCTTCCCGTCGATGATCTTCGCCGTCGGCGGCTGCTGCTGCTCCGACGCCATGCCGAGGACGGTGGTTCGGGATGAGGGGGAACAGTGGATGGCGAGAAATGGCGCACCCCGCTACAGACAACAGCTCCTCACTTCCTGTCGTCACACAGGGAGAATCCGATCACCCTGTTCTGTGCTCCCCTCAGCGCACAATCCACGATAGATTAAAAAACTTGAAAAACAAAAAAAAATGCGATCAAATCCAAATGTTGCTTTCCGAAGTTAATGATTTCCGGTGGAGTTCTTCTGAAGACATAAATTTCAAAAGTAATTTTTTTGGCGTTCATGATCTCCGTAAATCAGCCCAATGCCTCTGCGAAATTCTCAGAACTCACGAATTAGCAGGCCGGACGGACGTCCCATAGTTTACCCACAATCATTAGACTCCAGTGCACAGATTCTGCGATATGGCTCGACCGTTTTCAGAGTATATTATGTGATTAATGGATCTATTTTACCCATTTCTAGACTAAATATTTGATAATTTGTCACGATATTTGAGCGCAGATCGATTGTAGAAAAACTAATCAGCCAACTTTTCCTGCTTTTGTAGAAAATATAATACAAATAATAAATATGTCATTTTGCCGCAATTCTTGATATAATAATATGATTTCAATCATAGGAATTGTGGACGCCGGCGACATGAGCCATATGGTCGAGCGTTCAGGTAGACTGAGCGATGGTTTCTCTTTCTACTTGATACTTAGAGCAAGTGTTACATTGTCCAAACTTCCAAAAGCGCCTCCAAATGCGATGATCATTTTAAGTGAAGTATTTTACAACATCATTACATGTGAGATAGAACAGTAGAAACCGATAGGGGCAACCCCAAATAGCCACAGGTTCAAGAAGGCCGAACCATTATAAAATAGAGCGTGAATCCTTGCGTCTTCGTTTTGACATGGGTTGATTTGGCAGCACTCTATTAGCAGAAAATATTCATTTTCAGAAGGTTCAGCCTAGAAAAATAGTTCTGTTTTATTGAGATGTCTTCTGCCTTCAAATGGCAGCCTGATTTCGCCTCCGAGCATCTGGGATTCCTCTTTCACCTCTCGGCTGGTCTCTTCTTCGTCTTCCAATTGACGAACTCCATCACTCTTCAGCGTCGTCTGATCACGAGAATATTCGTCATTCTTCGTAGGAATCGCCGACGTTTTCCTCTATAAAACTATTTTGTATGACCAGGTTTGGAAGAGCAGGACTTTACGGGAGAAAAGCCAGTCGGCAGTCGGACACAAAAATGGCGCTGCGCGCGACGAGGTTGGCGTTCTTCGATGACCCGTCGATGTTGGATGCCCCTACCACGGTCCTCTGCCACCTGGAGGTCTGCGTTCTCTTCCTAGTCTTCTCCCTCCTTCACTCGACTCATCGCTCAGCCGATCGTCTTTTCCTTGTGTAGGAGGAAGGTGCTCGCCATGCCATAATCCTCGATTCCACCTTGTTTCATCCACAGGGCGGCGGCCAGCCTGCCGACACTGGCTTTATAGCCGTCTCCGGCTACCCCGGGCTCAAGTTCATCGTGGAGGACGTCAGGTCAAAGAACAATGGTGTGGTAAGAATTCGGCCACCCCTCTTCTTCTCTCTACTCGATGAAGACGTCCGTTACTTGCGCATGCCTAGCAGTCTAACAGTGTTTTGTGTGTGGTTTTCCTGCCATGGCTTCTTGGGATTTAACCCGAAACTTCTTCAACGACAGGATAAGTAATGCTTAAGACGATTCCATACGCGGCCCCGATTCTTTGATCTTTTCTCTTATGTTTGAGTTGAAGCATTTTATGGTTTCCCAATTGTTTAGGTCTATCATTATGGCGTATTTGAAGATAATCAAAATACACATGGCATTCAGCTCAAAGAAGGTCAAGAAGTTCATCTGTATGTTAATGCACAAAGGCGCAACTTGAATTCCAGGTGCAACATTTATAGACTGAAAAAGGATTTTCTTGTTTTTGCTTATCTGTAATCATAAACCTTGCCATAGTTCCATTGACCCTGAACACTTTATGACGTCTTGTTTTTGAAAAGATTCCTTCGATAAACCTCCAAATATTACCACCAGGGTTCTTAAAAAGTATCATTTGGTTCATACCCTAAGCTTCTGATGCGTCTCGTTTGTATAGAATAATCAAAGTGCAAGATAGCCAATCAAATACCAATTCTAGTTCTATAGATTCTTTGATGCAGACTTAAGCACTGCTTCAGATAAGCGGTCCCTAAATCTGATCTGGATGGATGCAAGTTCAATTTTTTCCTGATCTGTTGACTCAGATAGGAATCGGCACATAATTCTATAGACTTACGGAATGAATTCCAGAAAAGTGATTCCAGAGGGTATGAGCCAAATGATAAGTATCAATTGAGCCTAATTTCGAACTTATCTGCTTCCCTCATCATATTTCTTTTAGGCAGGGTAGGAGAAGATTGTGTGACAGTGCTTTAATTCCATCCTTATGTTTGCTGTATTTTCCTTATTTTATGTCCACCTGTGCGTGCACAAATTTTTAACTTCTTCAAAGAATATATCATTCTATTGATCACAAAATTTTATCATTTTTTAATTTTCTTGCTCTACATTGAGCCATGGACAAAACATTTGCTTTAAGTTTACTAAGTGTTGCACTAATATATTTTTCTAAATGTAGGCTCCATTCAGGTGGGCATTTGTTGGATATATGCATGCAGAATGTCGGTCTATCTTATTTAGAACCAGAAAAGGGTTACCACTTTCCAGACGGGTGGGTTGCTGTTTAAAGTTCTGCCTCCATCCAGTTCTTCTGAATTACCTATCTTTCGCTTATCATTTTAGTTTGTATTATTCGTCTAGAACAGTTTTCCCTAATTTATTTGTTATCAAGAAAGTGTTGATCCCGTACTTTGAAAATTAATTCATTTGTGCAAATCTCTTAGCTGCCTTACTGTTACAATGCTTATATTTTGTGCTTAGAAAGTAGGGATAGGAGAGGGAAGAGGATGTGAAGAAAAACTAATCAAAATATTTCCTTTGTGGTGACGTTTGAGGAGGAAAGAGATGTATATGGAGAAGAAAAAGTGAAAGATAGCTGAGAACCACAAGCTCTTGTAGTTCACATGTAATTTCAATTTTCAGGATAATGACAGTGTACTAGTGTTCATTTTTTCCTTCAGAGTTTCCATATTTGAGAGGGAACTGCTACTAATTCTTTGGATTTAGTATGATGGCATGTGCTCTCAAATTAATTCATTTGGAGACAAGTGTATACTGTCAATTCTTGAATTTGAGATGGAGATTTTCTAGATCTTTGCATGCAATCACGCACAAAGGAAATTTTTCATGATCAAAATAGTTCTGCCTGACTCATACACGATTTCTTGTGGATCTCACATCACAGTCTTCTTCTATGTTTATCTATTTATGGATCTAATGTGTGCGTGAGATTGTTCTGTGTCCTACGTAAATTCGTTTGTTGCGGTAGTGCTAAATTTTACTGGTATACTGGTTGTGGTTGACTAATATGTCATTTAAAATTATCCCTTTTTACCCAGTATATTGCTATACTGGAAACACCTGTAATAAATTGTATTCTTAGATTGATGGATAGCCTGGTTGTTTGTTTGTCTCTTGGATTGTGTTTGTTACAGCAACTTGACTATGTATCTGAATTTTGTTTTATCTGCGCTTTCGTCAAAACTTTTTCAGAGGAAATTATGTTTCCCCTTATATTAAGCACATTTTTCCTCATTTCCATATGTGCTATTCCAAAGTCTGTGGGCACTTTGGAGGATTCCTTCCTGGTTGCAGTACTTTAAACTGCATAACCCATAAGGTAATTTTCTGCATTCGAACAAGCTTCTGAGGCTGTAGTAAATCCCTTTTATGTCTGAGTTGCATTGGCCAGGCACTCAGTATTGCCTTGTTTTTTCTTTGAATGAGGATAGTTCGATGTGTTGAGGGTTGATGTCAGGTAGGCATCCAATCAAAAAACTTTGTTTCATCGTCCTCAGAGAAATCTTGCTGATCTTAGTTTGCTCTTCTAGGGTTCACGACGATGATATACTTCCATTTGTACATTAATATTACTTTGCAGGCCATTTGTGGAGTACAAAGGCACTATCCCATCAGATCAGTTGCTAACCAAACAAAAAGAGCTGGAAATAGAAGCTAATGCATTAATTGCTACTGGGTGTAAGGTCAGTGATATACCCAGAGGTCAATTGTTGACTTATCAAGTACTTTTTGAAACTGTCATGTCTGGTTTCATAAGGATTCTTCTTCTGAAATGAGAATCATCTTCATTCAGGTGTCGGCGGCTGTTGTACCTTATGACGAAGCTTCTGAGTTGTGCGGTGGAATCCTGCCTGGTTACATCTCAAAGGTTAGCGTTTACACGGCATAGGGCTGTGATCTTCAATTGATAATGAAATTTAATTATTTCTAGTCATGTTCAAGTCATCTAATATAAAATTTGGATCACTTAAGTTGTTTCATGCAAAGTTGTCTGTTTCCTTTAGTAGTCTGTAGCGTTTTATATCAAGAAATATATTTATTTCTGCTAGAGAAATGTAAGTATTGGCAACAGACTAAATTCCCAAGCACAGACAATCCAACAGCAGTGCTCTGCAAGCATAGGAGCAATTCCTCCACCCCCACCCAAATTCAGCCACTCCCCCATTGCCCAAATTTTACAAATGCATGCATTTAGCAGATGCCATCTGAACTTTCAACCAAAGGGTTATGGCCTGAGACGCACTGAAAATGTTGATCCATCTTTTACAATCAGATCCCTTGGCCCAGGCTCTTTAATATCAAAGGGAAGAACATATAAGCCATTGATGAGTGGTAAAATTTCTCAGAAACAACCAGCGGAATGGAAGGACTACTCGTTATTGGCGACCTGGCATGTTACTTCTATTGTTATTCTAAACCATCATCTTCTTTCTGCTGTTGGTCTGTGCTGTTGCATTATCTGCTTTAGTAAGCCAAAAACCTTTTATTTTTCTTTTAGCTCTGTCTCTAAACAATTTCTTCTTGAATACATGCAGGATAGCAATCCACGCATAGTTAGGGTAGGAAGCAATCCTGGCTGCCCCTGTGGAGGTACTCATGTTGCTGATATTGCTGACATTGGAAGCTTTAAGGTATTAATTGCAGTGGCATTCTATAGCTCTCTTTTCCAAAATATTTGTGCTTTTATTGCTTCCTCTTGTTTCTTGGCACGAACAAGATTCCCACAAGATCAGGAATAATAATCATCATAATATACTCTTACAGTACTATCGGTCGGATTTGTGAAGGTAAATTCACTTTAGTGGCGATGGGCCACAAAGTGTACGGTAGCATACTGAATATCGACATGGCATGTTACTTCTATCATAGACAAATATGAAAACTTACCCAATATATGCGTTTAAGTTGTTTTTTTGTTACTTTCTCACTGGGAGATGCCATCAAGTTAATAAAGTAGTAGCTCCAATTCGAGTGTAGTCACTGTGATTTCATGTGGGCGGCATGGAAAACTTGACCAACGATAATCAGCACCCACCCTGATGGAAAGTTTAGTTTTTGAACTCAGTTGAACCTCCATTATCATTGTGATCATCCAACTCAAAATCAATTGGTAATGAGTGGAGGATGCTCGTTTCAATTACCACTTCCGTTTCACATTTTTTTTCTAAAACGTGGGTATTCCAACGAGAGGCTCGACCACTAGATAATCTGACAACTTCGGTTTGAAATATATCATAGCCAACAAACGCCTCCAATTTACTGTTTATTTATGACCCACCTGCCATTCTAGGGTTCATCTCATGGGCCATATTCACTTGCAGGTCACAAAGATACGTGCGAAGAAGGGCTTCACAAAAGTATTTTATACCCTCGACTCATAGCTCCATTATCAGAAACACGCAGCATCTCTCTCTCTCTCTCTCTCTCTCTCTCTCTCTCTCTCTCTCCCTATAGAAAGCTTCGAGCATTGATTGGGCTGTCTGATGGTCTTTCTGCATTGCCCTCGTGGATGGAAACCAGGAATTGGCCATATCATATCACCCAAGGTAGAAGCTTGATTTATTATCATCCAGTTGTGGTGAAGTTATACTCTTAGCGTCTCTCTTGTTGAGCTTTGAAGAATCAAATAGTTGGCGTCCTCTCCGGTGAACCCATCTTTTTTCTCTTAATAATTATTTTCTAAAAATTGCCTCCCTGAAAATCAGAGGCAGACGGCATCTTCGTGCCCACCCAGGAATGCCAGCAAAATCAAATGAAGACCCGTTTTATTATTGCTAACATTTTTATTGATCTATTAAGTATAAACATAAAAAATGTATAAAAAAACCGTGCTCATAAATGGAACTAGTAATTTTTGGGGGAATGTTTGCAATAATAATCATGCTCTAAGTAGTTTGCAAGTAGCACAAATTAGATATACAATGGTTAAAAGAAACATCTTCAAAATAGGCATATGGAATAATTCTGTCTCGATTTAATATCATAGTGATATGAATTGTAGGGGAAGATTTATTAGGCCATCTAATATCAGAGGAGGTGTCAGTGGGCCGTCGGCCATAGTGAAGCAGGCCCATTGTGGCCCAATATGTGGGACAAGAGCAAGCCCAGCGCGACACGTCAGACAGAACAGCCTGGGATTGTGGTTCCCAAGCATTTCTTAGGACATGGAGCGACTAGTGACGTGGGTGAAATTACCTCGTTAACAGGATTATCAGGAATCGACTGAGTAAATTACGTTGATTTTGATTGGAAATCTGAGACGATTCTGACATAATGTCGTAAAATAAGTTTTATTGACTTGAGAAAATACTACTGTGAGACATGAAAGGAATATAAAGTTATTGAAATCCTACGGAAATTTAGCAAAAATAAAACTTGAAAAAAATCGTTTTTTAGTTAGTCGGCCGGTGGATCAGGACTGGGGCAGCGCCATGCCGGATATCTTCGATTCTCTCATCTTCTCGTCGCCTGCGAATATCCGTCAGTCAGCGCCGGAGAGAAGTAATGCTCCCCGTCGCCTGGGGGTTGTACATCGTCTCTCATCTGCTTTTAACAGAAGCTTCCATCGCGCCTTCCCACTTCTATGTCCGGTCGTTTTCAGCAGAGCAAAACCCTCGGGCCCGTCAGTCAGCGCCGGAGAGAAGTAATGCTCCCCGTCTCCTGCGGGTTGTCCATCGTCCCTCATCTGCTTTTAACAGAAGCTTCCATCGCGCCTTCCAACTTCTATGTCCGGTCGTTTTCAGCAGAGCAAAACCCTCGGGCCCGTCAGTCAGCCCCGGATAGAAGTAATGCTCCCCGTCGCCATTAATGAAGTCATGAGTTCTCTACAGGCTCTTCCTTGCCGGATATCTCGTTTCCTCCATGGGCAAGATTTCCCTCGCACTTTTGTAGTACGGCGGAATGATGATTCTCAGTCGGACGCTCGGGCGGCAGGAAACGCCGGAGGCTAGGAAACGGGTTGTGCAGGTTAGCAGAAAGGAACATGTATTATCCATCGTCATAGTCTTCCTCCTTCCTTCACGAACAGTACTCACAAAGATTGATCTTCTTCTATCTGGACGGTCCTCTTTATACGGATTACAGCAAGATCGAGCTCACATAACGTGGCAGGCGTTGGCGTTCTCCTCGCTGAAGGCATGGTAGGACGCTTCATCGGAGGGGGGTATCACCAGTGCGGCTGGCGGCGGCGGACTGTAGCAGGGCCCGGCAAGGTAATAGTGCGGGTCGGGGCCTAAGACGAAGCTGTGCGGCAGCGAGGCGTAGAACGCCGCGCCGTTGCCGGCGTTGGGGTGAACCGCGCTGTAGCTGACGGCGTACAGAGGCGACGGCAGCGCCGGGTAGGGGGGGAAGTGGGAGAAAACCTGCTGGTGATGAGACTGGCAGGCGGCACTGTCGACGGCGTCCTCCTTCCGGTCCTTCTTCCCCTTCCTCCTTCCCCCACCGCCACTACCCTTCTCGCCGCCGCCGGAGTTGGCGGAGGCCTTCTCCGGCGAAGGGGAGGATACTCTGTTCTCTATATTAGAAGCCTCCTCGTTCTTTGTCGGGGATTTCGTCGCCTCCGCTTCTGCGGCCGCTGGACTCTCAGGGTCACCATCACTGGCGCCGCCCTCTTCGGGGGACCTCTTTTCGCAGACGTTGCTGGAAACTGGGTCCTTCTCCCTAGACTTGCCATTCCCCTGGGAACCCTTATTACCTTTTCCACCGCCGTACCCACCTCCCTCCTTAGCCGGCGGCAGACTCTGCGGCCATATCTCGGCGTGCTTGCCGGCCCTCAGCAGCTTCTTGACGAGGACCTCGGCGTCAACGTTCCCGGTGACGATGACCTTCTGCTGCGGTGCATCCACCGCCGTCGTGTACACCCCTGCAGGAGGAGAACCTATCAAATCGGCGAAAACCAGAGAGGTGCTGCAGGAGGAGGAAGGAAAAGGGTCACCCTCGATGCTCTGGAGAGCCTTCTTGACCTTCCTCTTGCAGCCCTCGCAGTGGATGGAAACTTTCAGAACCCACGTCTGCTCTCACAGCAGCAAGAAGCAGTCTCCCAGTCACGCCGAGCTCCGAGAAACCAGCGACAAGTTTGATATTGATCCGGTTACCTGGTATTTCAGCTGCTCAGGGCCTCCAGCCCGGGCCACTTTCTCCCCACCACTGTCCATCTGAGCTGCCTTCGCCGGAGCTACTGTTAAACCTTCAGTTTCTGTGTGGATATATATCCACAGAGAGAGAGAGGTGTAGGCTACTGCGGGATTACACAGGGGGGAGGGGGGGGATTGTGTAGGCTTATATGGGCCTCGTTTCGTGTGGAATAATGGGTTGTGGGCCCAATTATTGGGAAGTGGGGACCACCCACTAAGCTCGACTAATCGAGGGCGGGCACATCGGATCTGCTTTACTTGATCCGGCGGTGGCTCCCCGACGTTGACCCAGGTAGCCTCTTTCCCCATGAAAATATCATCACCCTTCGAGAGCACAATACCGTGGTTAAACTTGTCAATGTGGGGGGGGAGGTGGAGATGTGGGTCCCGTCTAGGCAGGCCAAATTTGATCTCCTAGAGTCAAACCCACAAGCCCGGCTCCCTCCCTATACAAAGAAATCCTGCTTGAGAGCTTCGCCGCCTGCCGATGATCCCCGCGGTGGCGCTGGAAGATCCTATGGAGTGAATGAATGCCATTTAATGACAGCGGAGAGAAGAGGAGCGGAGGAGATAATGATGGCGGCGAGCAGCTCCGCACTGTTACGTACTCCAACCGGAGTTAATTAATGCCCGCCAGGTTCCACCGCCCTCAGGTTCTTGGGGTGGGGGGGGGGGGAGAATTTTGATCCGACTGAGACGCGTGGGGAAGCAGCGGCGGATGCACAGCGCGGTGGTGCTGTAGGCATCTCGGCCGCACCGCGGCGGCGCACGAGGCTCAATGCCCGGCCCCCCCGGGGCGGGGAATCTCGTTTCCCAACACCGGGGCCGGCCTAGCCTCGCCCTAACTTCTCTGGGAAGAGTGGAGGACGCCCTACTCTCTCTTTTCTCCCTCCCTCCCTCACTTTATCCAATATTTTTTGTATCGGATAAACTCCGGCAAGATAAATTTTATGAACAATTCATCTTCTATGAATATTTTATCTTGGATAATAAAAGGGACAAACGAATTATAAAAGAGTTGTTTTGTCTGTCATTTATGTTGAGTTGAACATGCACAAGTTTGATGGAACCTTCTATTAGTTGTCTTTATGAAATGACAATCAATTTTAGTAAAGTCTGTGATTTCATAGAAGGCCAAGTTGCTAACAATATGTATAATCATCTTATTACCTTAAAATATAAGGGTTGAAAAAAATGATCCACATAAAAATATCGTAGTAATTGTTGTAACAAAATGATTTAGAAATTGGTAATGTTTTTATTTGCCTTTCATAAGATAAGTGAATCGTTAAATAATAAGTAAATACTAATGATTGATTTGCACAAATCAAGTCAAGTGGCCTAGTCTACATCTGAGAATGCTTGAATATATAGAGAATATGAAGTAAAACGTAATATTCCTTAGTCAAGCATTGATTTTAAATAACTAACTAATGTGATGTTTGTAAGTGTGATAGCTAAGATCTGAGTCATGAATTGACTTCGTTAATTGGCTGTAAAAATAATATCTTGATGTGATAAAGTCACACATGATAATTGACAAACAAGATGACAATATTGAGATGTATCCTCATGTAATTGGTATGTGGCGTTATTAAGTTGTTGATATGGATCCATAACAACTATAGTTGTTTGAAATTAAGAAAGTCAATATCTTATAACAATTATAAAGTTAAATGATGTTGAAATAGCATAGTGTTTGTTGTTAATCATGCAATCTGTAAACCTAAAAAAAATACTGCAAATTATCTAAATCTTTAAGATTGAATCAAGAGTGTTGGAAGTTTTCAAATCATTGATAGCCAAAGATATAAAGTTCAATTATATTATGTTGTCAACATAAACAACAAATGTAATAAATTTATAATTATATCATTTAGTAAATAATGAATAAATGCCAAATAAGTGACATAGATAATTTGAAATACTAGATGTTACACCTGAGCTAGGTGTAGGTATTAGATCACTGCCCATTTCTCAACTAGCCCTTTCTTTCATTCACTCATACGAGAAGGATCTAGAGAGGTACAAGTTATTTCAATTAAAGGAGATGTAAGAGATTCTTCTTCACTGAGTTCTACAATTGATTGGTCACCTCTATGTATAGTATGAGGGAGTCTCCTAGATGTTACTCCTTCTAGGTTACCATTACAATAATTGGGCAGTCATTGGGAGATGCTTTGAGTGCCTCACCATCTGTTCAGCCTGCACTAAGTTTCATGTCACCCATGTCTAGATTCTGTTCTTGTCATCATGTGGGAATAGCTCCACCTTAACTCCTACATGTGTGTCACCACTCTCCTATTTTGGTTCCCATCTTTACATGGTAACATTGGTGCTTTTGTTGCACGTCATGCCGTTGTCATTGCCATGGTGTCGTTGCATGTCATATTATTGTCATTCATCATGTCTATGAACTATGTCAAATGCTCATTGCATTGTACCATATTCGTGTCTTAACCATGCCACCCATGCATACCATATCGGTTGCTTGTGCCATGCCATCTACACACATGTCTTGACAATGTCCTTATGACATTATCTCCTATATAGAATCTAGTGTCCTCATAAGAAGTCAGGTGAAATACTTTATGCACACCATATCATTATGATATATTTCAATTTGTCCTCAAATTACCACAACCCATTTAAGTGTTAGGTACTTTAAGTGATCTAATTGTTATATAATAAATCATGTAAATTTAAATTTTATAAAATTAGAAAATACTATTTTTTAGACTTTAAGAAATATTTTATGATTTCATAAATAAATAAATTATGATTCCATAAAAGGTTCTAAAAATAGTGAAAAAATTCTAAGTTGATCACAAGAATATAAAATAATACATGGTAATATTTTAAATTTTTTGTCAAAAAATATGATTGTTTATGATTTTTAGATTAAATAATGAAGATAAAATATATTTAAAAATTTACAAAAAAGAAAAATTTAGGTGAGGATGTCAAGATGATGTTAGGACCCTAACAAATATAATTAGGATGAAAACAATTACCTCTGGTAATTCTTATGTATATGATTATAATTAATTTAATTGATTAATTAAAATTATAAAAGTCAGAAGAATCGTAATTGAATGAAAAAGGTTTTTGAAACTCTAAATCACTTAAAATCGTACTAAATTAAGTAAAAAATAAGTTTAAAGTAAGAAAGATAGAGTTCCGACTACGCGTGGCGATCATTAAAATTCTATATTCAAAAGAATTATCATGTGATGTCCATGGCCTCAAAGGTCCTCTTTAGACATAGATGACATGAACAATCTTTAGATCTCCTTATAAAATCTAGAAATTAATGAAATGAGTTAATGAATTCCAATGACTATCACCTAATAGAGTAGAAAAACGATGACTTTTGGATCTCTAGTAGTTGTTATCTGATGAAAATAAGCTAGATGGAGGTGAGACGTATTTTAGAGAGCCTCATCCTAAAGTCTATGCAGAAAGAAAAGGTTTTTCATCGCATCTAATATGGTCTCAAGAGGTGACGACTTATCTTTTGACAGACCATCTTATTCTCGATGACGACTAGTTCATCAATCAATAAGATATGATTTATTTAATAAATTCACAATCTTTTTATCTTGAATCATTTCGACAATCAGTAACAATATTCTATGAATCACGTTGACGATATTTTTGTTTATGATTGAACAATTATAGTAGCTTAATTGTTGACTGGTGCCCTATAAAAAAATCATAATTTAATGAGATAAAAATATGAATGTTAACTTTAGTGGAATTCGAACTTTCACTAGTCATTGACGTGATTTAATCATTGTATAATAAATCATATAACTTTAAAATTTATAAAACTAAAAAAATATTACTTTTTAAATTTATAAAAATATAGTAAAATAAATAAATACATTATAATTCGTTAAAATATTTCAAAAATAATGAAAAAATTTCAGACCAATCATAAGGATGTAATATAATATATGGTAATATATATATATTTAAAGGAATATAAATTTTTATAATTTTTAAAATAAATAATAAATATAAATTTATTTAAAAATTCACAAAAAAGAGAAATAAGGGTCTTGATGTTAAGATAATGTATGTGCCCAAATGAATGTGATTCAGGCAAAAATATAGTTTCACTCGATGATTCTTATGTAAGAGATTACATACAATTTAATTAGTCAAATTAAGATCTATAAAACCTATAAGAATTGTAATTGATTGAAGAGGAATTTTAAAACTTGAAATCATACAAAGTATCACTAAATTAAGTAAAATATTAAGTTGAAAGTAAAAAAATTAAAGTTTCAGCCTCATAATAGTGATTGCTAAAATTATGTATGTTTGGAATGATTATCGGGTGATGTCTATAGCCTCAAGAATTCTCTAGATCTCCTTTTGAAGTCTAAAAAATAATAGTAAAATAAGGTCTTAGCATCATGGTGGTGATGCATCGAAATCTTAAGTATATAGGAGGGTTATTGTGCAATGTTCACGATTCAAAAACTCTCTTTAGATAAAGATGACATTGACAATCTCTATATTTTCTTGTGAAATCTAAAAATTAATGAAATAGAATAACGAGTCGTCTCCAACAACTATCACTAAATAGAGTAGAAAAATAATGATTTTGCAAATCTTTGACAACTATCATCTGATGGAGATAAGCTAGATGAAGGTGGGGTGCATCTTAGGGAACTTCATCTTCAAGTCCATGCAACAAGATGAAGTTCTTCATCGCATCTGGTATACTCTCAAGAGGTGATGACTCATCTCTCGATAGATCATCTTCTTCTTGACGACGACTTGTTTGTCGATTAATTAGATATAATTTACTCAATAGATTCGTGATCTTTTTATTCAAAATTATTTGACAATTTTAATAATGATGCTCTGTGAATCGTATTGACAATATTTTCATTGATGATTGAGAGATTTTGATGTTTGAATCGTTAATAGTCAATATGCAAGAAAAACATGATTTAACTAGATAAAATATGAGTTTTGACTTTGATGGGATTCAAACCCTCGCCGAT